TGTCGTCAGTCTCAAGAATAGAACCTATATTAATAGCAAGAGAAAAATTTTATGCTATCTCACCGACCTTTTTTATACAATACAAAGGGGATTCCCCATGCCAATTTAAGCAAAGGAACGTTCCGCGTAGAAATCTCGTTTCCATACACAGGACGCTAAGCTTGAAAAGATTTAAAAATAATTTTTATTTCCCTGAATACTAATATTTGATTTGACTTCAAATTATAATTATACACCATATACATGTACGGGGTTATATATTTTATAGTGATCGCCTTCAAAAACGAATGGTCCGCAACATAGGGCCTAAGTATATCTACATGTAGCCTAGGTCTCTAAAGTCGACAAAAATTGGGGATGAAAGTAGATTTCAGTCTATTTTTATTTTCTATTCCATTTTTAGTTCACAATTGCGATTTGAGCCCTATAGATTAATTAGTGACGTGCCTGACAATTACTTTGAATCGGCATTTGATGAAATTATTATAAACAGAGTCAGTTTTATTTATGGACTCGTTTAAAATCGGTTTTATTGACATCGCTTTGTGGATAATATTTCTATAGAAATATGTTATATTAATTAAGTAGTATATATCTGTATCACATATAAAGCAACAGAGTGTTGTTAAATATTTATTTAACTTTGAATTAGGAAAAAGAGGGCATCAATACCGGCGGGGTAGGCTCTATGCTCGCGTGTCTAGTATGATAACGAATTATCATACTAGACGAGCGCACTTAGTAGCTTATCAATATGAATCACGTAATGCACCTTTACGATGTTGGTGTTTATTTTTTTTCTTTAAGCAGACTTTTAACATAACCTGCATCTGGCGTCGCCGTGTACCTTCCTTGTTAACACTTTATAAGAAAACTGTCTTAATTTTATAAAACTTACAAGAATGATATTTAAGACAAATGCTAAAGTTCGAAACCCTTAACCATTATACCAACACCTGCATTTGGCGTCGCCTTCACCACCATGCACTTTCGTACAAAAACTACCCTGCTTGAATTTTTCTGGCAGTAATTCTTTTTGAAATTATTATTTTAATATTCATTCATTTGGGTATATGCTTTGAAAGAGAACAGTGATGGTACATTAAAGCATAAGGCCAGGTAATAGTTATGTAGCAAAAGGTTTTACAGATTAGCCTGAAACTTTTGCTCCAACTCCTAATCTCACATCTATACGTGTATTGATGCAAGTAGCTGCACAGTGCAATTTAGAGTTACGTCAGATGGATGTGAAAACAGCTTACTTAAATGCTCCAATTGATTGTGAAATATATGTAGAGCCAGCAGGTTTTACTGAACATGCGAATGACAAAGGTGAAAAGTTAGTGTGGAATAGGAGCCTATATTATATATATATATATATATATATATATATATATATATATATATATATATATATATATATATATTCAAAATAGTTCTCTTTCTTTTTTATTCAAATTAAGTACGTTTTATGATTTAGCTCCATAGTCACCATAGAAAATAACTAGGCCCCTATACTGCAGCAATATAGTTACTACTATGGCAGATTCAATTTTATGAGGGGGGGGGGCGCAATTGTCCATTTAGGCCGATTACAAATTAATAAACAAAATGAGCCCAAAACCATGTCTATACCTGTGCCCTACATGCAAATTAACCTACAAGTTACAAACCTAATTTACTACAGTCACTGTCACAGCCAGCAAAAACATTCATCTATCTTTTTTTATTTGTCTTAAACGGATAAAATAAAAAAAAAGCATCTACAAATGCAAATTTTGTTGTCATACCCACTTTTCACAGAGAAGCACAAAAAAACTTTTTTTTCATTTTAAAATATTTTATTCTTAATACTTTAAGCAAATTTATAGACATACATGTATAACACGTTAATTTTAATAAATATGCTCATCACAATTCTTTATTAATTAAAACATATGGAAAAGAATATAACACAAAATTTAAATAAATGAAATATAAAATAATTACGTTTACTTGTCTCAAATGAATGCAACCTGCAAATTAAATAATGGTTCTTATTAAATCTTCTTATAAAATAAATTAAAATAAATATAAAGTTCATTTGTCAAATGCTTGTCAGTTGATTTTCTTTGGATTAGTCCACATGCTCCACAGGTGGGCCTCCCATAGCTAAGTCACTAGCTGTGGTCCTCCCATAGGCTGCTCACTTTCTCCTCTCTGGCTGCACCATAAATCTTTACCATGAGTGAAGACACCTTCTCTCGGTCTTTAAGCTGGTATTCAAACTCCTTTCTTGTCTGCCAATAATTTGTCATCCAGTCATCATTTTATACAGTTATAAATGTCAAAATGATGCTGATGCACTTTCCATTGTTAATCAGCATAATGCCAAGTTAGATAATATGAATCAATTATCAATCTCGATATACCAGTTAAGATTCCAAAGTCCCAAAAACCCCATTAAAAATAGAATGCAGGAGATAAGGTAACAGCATAAATTTGGCAAGTGCGCTTACTCGCGTTCGCCCGTCTACTTATCAGTAAAACAATTTATAATTAATGATTTATCCACAATCATATGAATTGTGGTTTGTGTATTAACGAACACGTAACGAAATACCGGAATAGGCCAAACATTCTTAGAATCGGTCCTTTATCGCTAATAGTACTACCCACTGTTAGGCACTAGCTGTTTTATAAGTAACTGAGCTCAATGGAAAAAAGTTGCAATGCTTCACCGATGCTTAGCTTTTAAATGAAATAATCTCGACTCTTATCTAGAGAAAAAACAGCTTTTCCTTGCACTACAGTTCTTTGAAAATGTCGCGTGGCCTATCATTAATCGTAGGCCTTCAATAAAATAATTATTTGATCCCTGCTACAAGTATAGTAGTAGTACTGCGCTAGTAGATATCGCCCGATCGCGAGAAGCACCTTATAAAGTGCTTACACCAGACCGGCTTTATTTTCAATTAAATTGTTCATTCTTTTATGTTTCTTGATAATTTATCAAAACTATCGATCCTTTCGCACAAATTCCCGCACCACCAAAGGTGTTTAAACAATTGTGACATAAAAAGTGTTCATAGCTTTTCAAAAAAAACTTTGTGGACGGAGCATGAAGTCGCTGATTTTCTTGACCGCTATGTCCAGTTCTCTGCAGTCTTTGTCCTGAAGAAGGTTGACTGCAGGGTTAAAGTACATAGGTAGACGGCGAGCTTGTGCTGCCTTTCTCACACGTTCTATCATGCTGGTGACGCGGACACTCAGTTTGTCGTCTGACCAGTCTTGACGGGAAGGGCTGTCCTCACACACCCAGAATAATATATTCTGAAATAATCATCATGATTAATTGAACAGCACAATTTATTTGAAAGGTTTACACCATGATCAATTCTACGTGCTTATTTTTATTTACGAGTATAATGCATTATAAAGACACGCAAATTAGTGGATTTGCATGAGGGAGAGGCCAGGCGTTCTGTAAACGTCATTGTTCTTTTACTGTTTTGAAGAGAACACAGTAAATGGCGTGTATTTCACAGTCTCTTTAGAACTTCACATTATACCTTCAGACAGTAGGATGTGATAACACGGCTGGTCGTATCACACCACACATCTTCATTAAGTTTCTTCATAATGCGGTGGGACTTCTTACGACATCCACCGTCACTGTCGATGTTTTCTATCAGTTTCTTTTCTGCTTTTACAAAGGAAACCATCCAGTCGAAGTTCTTTTTCGCAACTTTCTGCACTCCAATCCTGCGTATGTCGTCTGCTTTTGCTGGAGAGGGCCATTTTGCTTTGTGATGAGGCCATTGTATGTTAGATGGGAAGGGTGTAAATCCTTCTACCATTACTGTGAAATCAACATTGATAGGAAAGTGATCATCCTCTGTGATGATGCGAACTGTTAGCGCGGGGCCATTTACCCGTTTGTTCTTTTTCACGATTACTGAAAACGATAGATGCATATGTTATTTCGTGTAACTCGTCCAAGAAACATTTTATCTGCAGACTGCGCACGGTAAAGCATAATTAGAGAATAATTTCATTAATTGTTTTGTAGTCATAAGTAGTAAGTTTTATTCAATGAACAGCTAATAGTACAAACGCTGTTTACCTGGAATATTAGCGGAAGGGCCTAAACAACATTGTCAACATTAGCTATTGATTTAAGCAAAATAACTGCTTAATACTCAAAACATAACAATGTATTTCTCTTAAATGAGCAAAAATCTTCATAAGCATGGTAGTTGGAGCATAAATTAAATTTCAAACCGTTAGCTAACGGTATAAAAGTATTTCGGCTTGCGTTTGATAATTTTCATTTATGATTACCCGTTTGTTCCCGTTTGTCCCGTTTTTTCTTTTTTTCGTTTTCTGAAAACGATAGATGCATATGTTATTTCGTGTAACTCACCTAAACATTTTATCTGGCGACTGCGCACGGTAAAATATAATTAGACAATAATTTCATCAAATGGTTTGTTTACTCATAAGTAGTAAGTTTTATTCAATAAACAGCTAATAGTACAAACGCTGTTTACCTGGAATATTAGCGGAAGGGCCTAAACAACATGTTCAATATTAACTATTGATTTAAGTAAAATAACCGCTTTATTCTTCTCGTTTCAGAACGGTCCTTTTCGTGAATGTAAGCAAGTTAGTGAACAAGTTCGTGAACAAGTTAGTTCCTATTTTCAACACCGACCAAAGTTTCTTACTAATTTGAATAATGATGCGTTCTGACAATATGTTATTCCCAACATGGGTTTTAGCATAAATAATGGTGGCCGCTGATACACAAGTGCGGAGAGAGAGAGAGAAGGAGAGAGGACTACCTTGTAAATCTAAGTCGCGGATTGCATCCACTAGTAGCTCATGGAACCTCCGTTTGACCAAAAATGGAACAATGTGTCCACCCATAGTCATGTCTTCCGAATGTATCCATACAGGAAAGGCTGGACAGGCATAACTATTTCCACCGATCTCTCGGTCTTGTCACTATTCATTTGAACAAAATCGCCGAAATATGCTTCCAGAACGTTATTCGCAAGAGCCATCCTTTCTGTGTCATGTAGCCTACGTGTCCAATTTCTAGCTAGTACGTACGCTATCGCATGTATATATACACCGAGGTTATCTTCTCTAACATAAGAATACAACTCAGTCTGTCGCCAGTCTTAAGAATAGAACCTATCAATAGCAAGTGGAAAAATTTATACTTTTGCTTTCCGAGTTTTATTTTTTCACATGACGATGGGCATTCCCCATGCCAATATAAGCAACGGAACATTCCGCGTAGTAGCCTCGTTTTCATGCACAGGACGCCAAGCTTGAAAAGTTTAAAAATGATTTTTTATTTCCCTGAAAACTAATATTTGATTTGGCTTCAAATTGTGATAATACACCATATACATGTACGGGGTTATTTTCAAGTGATCGCCCTCAAAAACTAATGGTCCGTAATATAAGTATATGTACATGTAAGTCTCTAAATTCGACGAAAACTGGGGAGAAAGGACATTTCAGTTTATTTTTACTTTTATTCTATTTTTAGTAGACAATTGCGATTTAAGCCCTATAGATTAATTCGTGATGTGCCTGACAATTACTTTGAATTGACATTTGATGAAATTATTTTAAACAGAGTCAGTTTTATTTATGGACTCGTTTAAAATCGGTTTTATTGGCATCGCTTTAATTGTGGATAATATTTCTATAGAAATATGCTGTACTAATTAAGTGGTGTATATCTGTATCACATATAAAGCAGCAGAGTGTTGTTAAATATTTGTTTAACTTTGAATTAGCAAAAGAGGGCATCAATCCCGGCGCGGTATGCTTGGATAACGGATTATCATACTAGATGAGCGCACTTAGTAGCTTATCAATATGAATCACGTAATGCTCCTTTACAATGAAGTGTTGGTATTTATTATTTTCTTTAAGCAGACTTTTAACATAACCTGCATCTGGCGTCGCCGTGTACCTTCCTTGTTAACCCTTTATAAGAAAACTGTCTTAATTTCATAAAACTTACAAGAATGATATTTAAGACAAATGCAGCTCTAGTTCGAAACCATTATACTATCACCAGCATTTGGTGTCGCCTTCACCACCATGTACTTTCGTACAAAAACTATCCTGCTTGAATTTTTCTGGCAGCAATTCTTTTTGAAATTATTATTTTAATATTTATTCATTTATCGTTATGATTATCATTTCGAGTTTTCATTTTTTTAAACATTGGCACACGTTTCAAAGAATAATCTAGAAGTCTTAGAAACCTCGTCGCCTTCGTCCGTGCTTTACAAGCTAAGAATGATATTATTTTGAAATAGGAAGCACCCCTCTTTTTATAAAAAACTTGTCTGGACACTTCATAAAATCGTTGATCTTCTTGACTGTTATGTCCAGTTCTCTGAAGTCTTTGTCCTGAAGAAGGTTGACTGCAGGGTTAAAGTACATAGGTAGACGGCGAACTTGTGCTGCATTTTTCACACGTTCTATCATGCTAGTGACGCGGACACACAGTTTGTCAACTGACCAGTCTTCACTGGAAGGGCTGTCTTCACACTCCCAGAATAAGATATTCTGAAATAAAATTTAAAAAAAAAAAACATCACAACTCATTGAACATATATGTTTCGTCATAAATAAATGTAGCACGTGATTACTCCCAATGTAATGCTTTATAAAAATTTGAAAGTTAGTGGGTTTGCATCTGTGAGGGGTGCAGTGTTTATTATCCACTACCCAGGGCGACTGATAGATTTTTACAGATATTCACAAATATGTCTCTAGCTAGATAGATGGTCACTTTGAGCTGAAGTCACCCTGTTGAGGAATCTCAAGGCTGATTACATGGCTGGTAATTGTTTGCATAACTGCTCAGGCACTGCCACTTAGCAGGTCCAGTCTGTGGCTCTATTCCCATAGATTTTAGATCGATCTATCCCCGCGGGGAGTCTCACTAGATTACTTTCAGATAATCCAACTTAAATGTCCGTCCCGCCTACTACAAGCTGTAAGGGGGTAATTAACTTTCGTGTCCGCCCGGCTGACAGCTATTTAGCGTGAACCCCCAGGGAGTTAGGTCGATCTAAAGTAGATCGATCTAATCTCTGGAAATGGGGTCTTAGTCTGCGTGACAGCAATCAAGACAGTTAATTGCTCTGACTTCAATCACTTGCTCTTCTGTGACAGATAACAAAGCCTTAGACTGGTTGCGTAACGAGCAGTTATCACATCATTGTGAAGCTCAGCTCATGCAGAGCAAGTACAGGTAGGCCTACAGATTTTTGGCGCGCGTGCAGAGATAATTGTTTCCACATGGGATTCCTCAACAGGGTGACTTCAGCCCAAAATGACCATCTATCTAGCTAGAGACATATCTGTGAATATCTGTAAAAAACTATCAGTCGCCCTGGTAGAGGGTAATTATCCACCGTCATTGCCTTTTTTCTATTGGCGAGATCACCGTAAATGACACTTATTTCACAATCTGTTTAGAACTTCAAATTATACCTTCAGACAGTAGGATGTGATAACACGGCTGGTCGTATCACACCACACATCTTCATTAAGTTTCTTCATGATGCGGTGGGACTTCTTACGACATCCACCGTCACTGTCGATGTTTTCTATCAGTTTCTTTTCTGCTTTCACGAAGGAAATTATCCAATCGAAGTTTTTCTTTGCAACTGTCTGCACTCCAGTCCCGCGGATGTCTACTACCTTTTCTAGGGAGGGCCACTTTGCATTGCGATGGGGCCACTGTATTTCTGATGGGAAAGGTAGAAACGCTTCGGTTATCACCGAGAAATCTACGTCAATACAGAAATGGCCCTGCTGTGCAATACGGATTGTAAGCGCCGGTCCATTTACTCGTCCTCTCATGCTCACGGTCTCTAGAACAATTTAAAAAAAAAATTAAAGATTGATTAGGATAGCTATTCCCTCTTATATCAAAATGAAACCAAAAAATATTATAATTTGAAATAATAGAATTGGGAAATAAAATTTCGCCTCTCTCTCTTCTTCAAGATGAGAGAGAGAGAGAGAGAGACTTTGACTCACTTTGCAAATTCAAATCACGAATCGCTTCGTTTAGAAGCCCATGAAATTGCTTTTTGACCAAAAATGGGACGAGGTAACCGTCAAAGGTCATGTTTGTCAAGTTACTCCAACTTGGCACGGGCGGGCTTTCATTCTCTTGCAGCTTCCAACAACAATATCCTGGTGGTGGACTTGGAAGGCTTCTGGGTCTCCTGATTATTTGCAAATCGTACGGGATGCTTTTCAGCGGGTCATCGACATCGCGATCGAATCCAAAGCATCGCCGAGGGTCACTGCATCGTGAAGACGTTTCTGGCAGGGACAGGATGACGCTAACATCAAACTCATCAGCTCTTTCAACCTTAAGATTTTGCCAATGACTTCCAGCATAGACAGGCTGCACAGTGAAACGGGAGTCCTTTTTCTTGATTTCCCTCAAAATTTTATCAATGACTGGCATAACAATTTCCACCGATCTTTTTGTTTCATCGCATTTCATTTGGACATGGTTGCGGAAATACGTCTCCAGGACTTCATTCTTAAGAGACATGTTCAATGTATCCGACTCACTCGCTTCACCGAAAAACGTTTATCTTCTCTGATTGCCACGTAAGCTAGGCCAGACAGGATTGACGTGTTATACTCCTATTTTGGGGTTCGGAAAAACCCAACTGAGCTTGTTTGCGGAATACAGAACGTCTGCGCATGCGTTTTTCATGGGGGCGTCTCGATAGTCCAAATGGTTGATTGGTCCTAATTAGGTCGTTACATTTTCATCGGTTTTTTAATCAAGGGTTCATTGGTCCGAAGGGTTCTATACTGAACCTTCGGACTATTGCTACGGCCCCCTTCAGTCACATGTATGATGTCTATATCTTATAGTATTTACAGCTGTAGTTGGAGGCCATGAATTTCTACAAAATATCGTTTAATGGAATTTTATAATTATAACATTAGTTTTCATTATATATCTTCATTTTTAATACAGGAAGCCTGCGTTACACAGGTGATCCGAAGGCGGTTTAGTGCATAAATTGCCTCGTTATTTTGGAATGCAGAATTAGCTTTCATAATCTAAAAAAAAGGCTCCTTGTCACCCACACAAAATGGTTTTTACACATTTTAATGGGATTTTATAATTATAGCATTAGAGTTTTCATTATACATCATCATTTTTTAAACAGCAAGCTCGCATTTTATCTGCTCCATGCTCCAATTTTGAACACAGGTCCTACAATCCGTACGTTACTTCGTTATTTGGAATGCAGAATTAGCTTTCATAACCTGAAAATCTAATTTTAAAACGTTTTAATGGCTCTTTGTCACCTGAACAAAATGATTTTCACACATTTTATTAATGTCTCTATATACATGATTATCTGTGTCTGTTCACGGTACCCGCACTCTCAGCTGTCACCGCTTGATCGAATAATGAATCTAAACACCATAGAAACGACCTAAGAATACATAACTTTTCTACCATACATAAAAATAAATAAAAAAATTGGTGAATCGCTTAACAAATATAATTAAATTACCATAAAGGGGCTGTGTGATAAATAGAAAACTGACTATTTAAGGTAACTGGAATTGGTTTTATGCCAATGCCACAACTGCCTTTTTTTTTTTTTTTTTTTTTTTGTTCCAAGTGCAAAAAGGTGAAAAGACAGGTCGAATTTTACAAATCCGTATGATTGCTTAATTTCAAATATTTTAGCCAATGTTTCTTCTAACTTAATGCAATGCCTCTCAAACAAGTATATAAGCTTTTATTCAGTACATTGGGCCATGTACGTAGGCTGAAACACGTTAAAACTATGTGGTAATTGTAGGACTACTTTATTTCAAAATTGTAGGACTTTATATTGGTTCGAACTCATCCCCCTCCTTTTTTTTTGTTTTTGCTTCTTCGAAGCAATGTGCACTGCTTCCCAACAGCGATACAGTCATCTAGTGTGCAGTAGTACACCATACATATTTTTCTGAAAGGCTTGTTTAAAGGGATAATAACTCTTCGTATGATATCTATATTTCACAATAAAAACATTGTGAACAACTCGTAGAAATATAATATATTCTGTTTTACCACAAAAACGGCAGTTATAGCAATTATTCTGATATCTGAGCTTCTCTTCAGATCACATGACCTCCATCGATGGCTGTGCTCTGTTATAATCTCTTAAGAGATTTTAACAAAAAACCAAACTTTTTAGAAAAAAAACAGGGACTAACTTTGAACGTAAAAATGGATTCATAAACCATTGGTAAGTATGGGAAAATTGTTTTTTACTCAAGGAAAATTCATTTTTTGGCCAAAACGAAGAGTTATTAGCCCTTTAATTTTCTTTATGTAGACTAGGTAGTTATATTATTTCATTGCAAGTTTTCTCGTGGCTTAATCCCATAAGATACAGCCAGCATTGTTTCAGTTGATAGGAGCTAAACATTGCATTAGTGCTGATGCATTTATATATTTATGTGTATTGATGGTTGATCAGTACTCTGTTAATAGTTCCATACATTTACTTCAATTTTGTTAACACCAGCCATTGCTGCAGTAACAACTGCCCAAATATTCACCAATTTTAAATGTCTTTTGCCATCCATCTTATTCAGTTTTAAATTTTCTGTTTGTGGCATTTTCTGCAATTAATCCTTCTACACCGTTTAACAAATTTTGTTTGTTATGATCATTTCCTACTTTCATTTATTGAGGGGTGTGTGGTTTCAGATCACTCAAGGCATTTACATTAAATTTTATACAATAAATACATAACATGCAGGTTTGTCTAGATTTCACTGTCAGTGACTAGTGGGAGGGTCTCTTACTTTCCATGGTGGAAAGTGCTAAGAAAGTTAGCATACAATTTGTTTTACTAATAAAAACAGTTTAGGACAGGACCTCTGATGAATTTTGCATACTTTTACCCAAACAAATTCAGTGATGTAGGCAGAGTTATTGTCAATTTTAATTTGCAAATTATTTATGAATCAAGGTTAAAATTTATCTTATGGTGTAAAGTAAAAGCATACAAAACATGTTACAGCTTTATAAACTAAATGCATAGTTCATATTTCAAATGTTACATGTGATGTTCCCTATCTGATTCAATGCATCACATAAATTTATACATAGTGGACATTAGAACAAATAATCAATTCAAACATTTTCTTTTACTTGACTCTGCTTTTAATTCAGTGGCTTTCAAAACTACAATAATAAAGGATTTATGTTCATTTTACTGCTAATACATTCATTTCAGATACTTGAGGCATGGCCAATTTCAGTAATATGGTGCTGATCAATCTCAACTTGCATTATTTTGAAATCAAACCTCCAGTTTTAACCATGACATTTTCAAGTTTCACCCTTCCCTCGTCCTGTGTAATTACCAATGACACAAAAAGGCAACAGGACAACTGCTTAATAAAATTTAATAATACATGTATAATTAAAAGTTACAAAATTTCAAAGAAATTGATCTTAAAGATTTGCACAGCACATTTTCACAGACCATATAAGCTCTATATCCACTTGAAGCATGTGTCCCCGCTGATCTCCACCCTAAAAAATATAAGCACTCATTAAATAAGGGCACCAATCAACTTTTCAGTGTAGCAGAGCATACTCTAGTCATGTTCCATCTTTCATTCTATGAAAAAAAAATCAACACACTGTTCTTAAGTTCAAGCCTTTCCTTCAAATTCTTTCAAGTGACAAAGTTCTACAGATAGTAATGAAACAATTTCAGCAAATGCTAGCTATCTATGCCATCTTCTATGATGCATCATTTAAATCATTTGTATTAAAATATTCTTTAAGCTTACCAAAGTCTGTCCCACCTATCAAGCAGTTCACTTGCTTTTCCGACTTGATCTCTTACCATCTGTTGACTCCTCATCACTTTCAGACCTCGACTGCTGCTTATCCTTGCGTGATTTCTTACTACTTCTTTCCTTGCCTTCACTGTGTTTATTTTTCTTTTTCTTTTTGTGTCTCTGAGGGGAATCATCATAGCCTGGACTCTCATTGGAGTCTGACACTGATTTTGTATGCCTTCTTGGCTTTTTGTCTTTTGAACTACTGTCTCTGTTGTAATATTTCTCCTTATGGTGTTTGTCTCTGTCATATGAATGCCGTCTGTCTCTACTTGAATCCCTACGTCTCTTTTTCTCCCTACTTCCACTTCTGTCTCTGTCCCTAGGCCTTCTATCCCTACTTCTACTCCTTTCCCTTTCTTTGCTCTTGTGTCTTTCCCTACTACCTTTTCTGTCAGATTTATACCTATCCCTTTCTCTTTCAGGATACTTTTTTCTGTCCCTATCTCTTTCTTTCTCTCTGTCCCTGTCTCGATATTTTTTGTCTATGTCTTCTTTATGTCTGTCCCTGTCCTTGTCTTTTCCACCATCCCTTCTTTTGCCTTTGTCTCTAACCTTATGTTCATCCCCATCTATATTCCTTTCCCTGCTACCTCTTCTATCCCTACTTTCACTTCTTGACTGGTGACTCTGACGAGACCTTTTCCTATCCTTAAGTTTCTGTTGTGTACTCGATCTACTACTACTACTACTAGAATCAGAACTTTCCCCACTGCTATCAGAGCTATCAGACGAACTATCAGATGAAGACGAACTTTCTGAGTGTTTCCTTTTCTTCTCCATTACTTCGTCTTTTAGCCTAGAACTTTTTATTTGAGAGCCATCAACTTTTTCCCTAGAAAAATGCCTATTATGGGATTTACTCCTGTCTTTCTGCTCTTCAGTGGTTTTCTCCTCATCCTTGACATCAAGACCTGGGATGTTACTGTATCTGTTTTCAAATGGACGCAGTGCAGGAGCCAGAACTTCTGGTGGAGGAACATTTCCATGCTCTGTACTATCTCCTTTGGCTAAAAAGGCATTAAGAATATACAAGTCATCAATGTCTGTTAAATTTTTTTCCTCAAAATTCCAAAAATGAAGATGCTTTTGCAAATGGTCAGATTAATATTCAGATTCACATGATAAAAATATTTACTGGCCTTTAAATGATCTAATGAGAAGAATATGTCTACCTTTTTTCAGCTTGGAATCGCCTTTTTTCTTCCAAATAAATAACTTAAAAGATCACAGAATTCAATGCAGAATTCCAAAACTGAAATCTGGCTCATTTTTTCTATTCCTGTACATGACATGTACATACCTAACTTCAGTTGCCTTTCCTCTTCCAACCTAGCTGCCTCTGCTTGTTCCATTTTCAGCTGCCGCTCTTCTTCTTCTATCAACCTGCGTCGAATTGTCTCTTGAAGCTCATCATCAGAGTCTTCTTCCTCATCATTATCTTCTTCCCTAGTGCTCTCATCTGCCTCATCCTCACTACCAGACCCATAGCCTAGCCCTACAACAGTGTTTGTGTAATTTAAGTACACACATAAAAATTGGAGTGACTCAAAGTACCAAGAAAAGCAGGCACTGTTTTTATTAAGATTTTTTTTTGCCCGTATACTTATGCCTTAGAAATTAAATGTTTCAATATTCAAATCATTAAGACATGATACAAGCATAACAATATCAGCATTCAACAGCACCTCCTGGTTAAAAAAAATAATAACTGTTAACTTCTCACCCAAAATCATTCCCCACCCCCTATTATTTTACTGGGCGATAACAGCATGCCAACAACAGGTGCTGCAGACAGCTTAATATAAAAAGCTACAATTTTGAAGTTTAAGTAAAAACACTAATGACAAAAATTTCACCATGATGATATACTTCCAAGCAATCAAAATAAATGAATTTGCCATTCATTCATAAATGCATTGAGCTTTACAGTAATGAAGTGAAAAAAAAAAAAAACATTTTACCTGAAAATGCCAAATGTCAACATTATATTTTAGAGACTGAATATTAAGTTGTGTTTAGCACTTACCAAGCGATGTTATAGATGCCAAAGCAGTTGAGGAGGCTAGCTGCTTTGCTGGAGCTTTACATGTATACATACAAACACATTAGTATAAGAAAGATACTGTCTGTACCATCACTGCATACCTAAAGGGATGCCTGTAGCAATACCCCTTCTGTTCATCTGCAATACAACTGTCAAGTTAAAGGGAATATCAAAGGCGCTTTAGCAATCAACCTGGGATATGATACTACTTCATCTCAACACAAGAAAATATGCACAACTGAACCACTTAAATAAGCATGGAAATGTCAAAATGTACACATCTGATTTTTTTTACTTGGTCATATCCATTAAACTGGTTTTCAAATTCTTAAGCACTAATGATCTTTTAACTCGCCTGTCATACTTTAAACAAAACAAGAAAATTACTAACAAACAATATAGTTGCCCAGGTTGAGGCTAATACATTGTTCAAAACAGGCCTGCTAACTAGCTTTGTTTTATTATGTTAAGTCTCAAAAATTTTAAAGGTACAAAAATATCAAAAATACTCATAATTTTTATAATATCAGTTGCAAATAGTTGCACAATAAAATCAAGTAACTTGGTAAAAACCATAAACAATTAAGCGTCCTTTACACAAACCTGTATAATTCTTCATTTATAAAGTTTTTTTCTATTAAATGCATTTACTGCCATCAAAGTTCATGAAATGCATCATTATCTTTTAAGTGGCAGCTTGAGTCATTGCACAAAATGTTTATTAGAAAATACGAGTATCAAGAGACCAATTGACGGCTGATGACACAAGTGACACACCCAGTCAATACCTTTAGAAGCCTTGGTTTTAGCTCTTTGGTACACCTCTTTAGCTACACCATGAATTTCTTCACCAGTCACCTCCAGCAAAATCTCTGTCAGCATACGGCGGACACGCATCATCTTAAATAATACATGGATATGGCAAACTACTATCTGCTAACTTTTTAATGTTGTCAAATCATCACCTACAAACTAGAGACTGACTAATTCAGCATAATAATTGTAGACAGTGTACAATAACCATAAACCTTTATAATTATAACCTAAGTTTGGATACAGTCCTACTGGAAGTTATGTAGATTCTTTAACATCTTGAACTCTAAACTCTATGTATTTACTGTATCTGACTGTAGGATTACCAGTTCATCAAAACTTACAAAATCTGCCTGTTTTTCCTCCTCTGTCCTGGTGTCAATAGTGGGAGCTGCTTTCTTCCATTTAGGTTTTGCTTCAGCTTCTTTTTCTCGATTTTCAGATTGGTCCACTTTAGGAGAGAGTCGTTCATTTTGTTCATCTGTTTCTTCTTCATCTTCATCAGAATCATCCTACAAACAATACATATTAAAGACAATTTAGTTTATTTTTCAACATAAATTATAAAAAAAAAAAACATAAAACTAATTTTTAAACAATAATCCAGTTTATAAATGGCTTAAAAAGCATCAATAATAGATGACCAAATGGATAAACAAATTGATTATATCATTTTGGATTATATGACCCTTTTATTTCTCACAATCCACGCTTCCCTTTGTTTGTTTCTTTTTTCTTTTGCAAAATACTTTTATACAGAAACTTACAAATTTGCTCTTTTTTGGCATCTTTGGACTACCACTGCCAGACTTTTCTTTTTCTAGTTCTTCCAGTGCTAACTTCTCTGCCTTTTCCCTTGCTTCCCTTGCCTCTTTAAGTTCTTTTTCACGCTGCTCTTTTTCTAATTTCTTCTGTTTTTCACGTTCAACTTTTTCCAGACCTTCTCTGATCCATGCTGGAAGGGTTCGTCTCTTTGCAGCATCTAACAAATTACAAAAATTGTAAAGCAGATATATAACTCACTTTCAACATTATATTTCTATAAAAGTTCAAGAACTCATTTAAATAAGGTGCCAAATAAGAAAAAACTACCACAGTTATTGATTTTATGTGTTAACAATAATGGCATTAGTAATTTCCTCTGTAAATAAAACTGTTTTTCCAGTTATTTCATTTATTTTGATTTTTCTTTTCACTGACCAATGACAGTGGTATCATCTTCTGGTACTATGGTGGATGACTGTGGCGACCTTTTCCCTCTGCCTCCTCTTGGCCCAGGCACTTGGTCTCCGACACCAGGGGGACCCTCATTCCAGTATGTGTATTCATCACCTCCATAGTTCTCATAGCCCTGAAGGTAATACAGGTGTTGAAATTCGTGGCAACTACCTAATGGCCTCCACCAAGCAATGACAATGTTGTTATGCTTCTCTTATCTTTTTGAACAAAGATATTTGTTCCTTGTGTGCCAAATAAAAATACCAGCTAAAATGTATCATTTCAACAACAAGCAATGCTTTTACACTCAGAAAAAGAAAATGACAATTCTTTAGTTGTTCACAAATGTCATGGGATCGTACAAAAAATATATACAATGTGTAGTACATAATGAACCTACCTGGAATCCTCCGTGGTTGTAATCAAATGACTGGGTATACCCTTGATTGCCATGCCCATAATCAAATGTCTGTGCCTCCTAAAGCAGCAAAACAAAATTACTATGAAAAGATTACCAGAGAACCAAGGGATTAAATACTTTTCACATTAATTTGATAAATACTGTATTTCCATATTACTTTTAACTTTCTATTCACACTAGCACATACCTTCATTTCTCCCTGCATCCCCCATCCTCCCATGTCCCATCCATGCATCCCCCATCCCCAGCCTCCAGTCATCTGGTTCTGATCTCCCATGGGGTAGCTCCCTTCTGCACCACTAAAACCTATTCACAGAGAAAGATTTGGTGACGTAAAATACTAAATGACAGATGAAACCACTCTAAATAAATAAAAAAAAAAACTATTACATGCTTTTACATATATATATATATATATATGAATTTTCTAGTTTGAAAGAGTGACCTACAACAAATATGCTTAATGTATATTAAACCTTTTCCCAATTTTGTTTATGAAAATAATTTCAGGGGCGGATTTAGGCCGTCTTCTGGGTCTTCCGGAAGACGGTCAGATTTTTAAGTTAACATTGACGGGTATCCATTTTTTTCTGTCGGAAGACGGTCAAAAATGGAGGACGGATCAACAAAGATAATTTGGAAGACTGTCAGAAAATATCTCTGGATCCGCCCCTGAATTTCATCAGACTTTTACAAATAAAACATAATCAAAAAACAAAACAAAACTACATTGAAGGATTTAAAAAAATTGCAGTTCACATTGTTCTATTTACTGAGTAACAAACTAACTTGTATTTTGGTTTCCATTTTCCACAGCAACATTTGCAGCATGACCTTGGCCACCGTCAGGTGGTGCTGCCTGATTCTGATTGCCTTCAACAGGTTGGTTCCCTTGCTGTGCTGCTTCCAAATTGTCCTTCTGTGATATCCACTGCTTTGCTAATGCTGCCCAGTCAACTTAAAAACAACAACAATTATGCATTAATCATAATTGCAGAAATGAACAGAGCAACATACAATGACAAATAGTTTTCAAAAAGCCCCTTTCTTCTTTAAGATTAAATGTCAAAGTGAAGTGTATAAACAAAATTTATTGCGATTTTAATATTTTATCACTTCATACCTTGCTCATGTGGAATATGTTGATAGGCAGCTTGTTGAATGGGCCATGTTCCCCAGCCCCCCTGTGCAGCAGGCCACATTGTGGAAAGTTATTATCTCCCTCTTCAATACCTGTAATCTAACATCAAAGACACTATGCTCAGAAGTAGATATGTGGTAAGAAAGATCACATTTTCCTTTTCCAAAATGGAACTAAATAAGGCAAATCTACAATCAACAAGTGGCTGCAAGTAACTGACTATTTGAGAGAAAAAATACAACATCTTCTCAACAAGATCAAGCATGGATGTGGCAACCCATGCTAAATATCTAATAAGTTTCACAGTCAGCTTCAGATTAAGAACTTTTTTTGCAGTCAAACCAGTTGAACACAACGAGGAGTAGAGTCAGACTGAGTACATATATATATAAACTAGTACATATATATAAACTAGAAGCACAGCACCCGCAAAGAACTTCACTACCAACTTACACCTAAATAAGCATATATATGGCACCAATACTATACATGTAATACATAACAGGCCGATGAAAGAAATAACAGTGATTCCCTTTTAATTCAGTCAGTTCCATTTATCATCTATTTCTATTCAACTTAAAAAATATAATCTACAGAAATTCTCTATGACTTTAATGAGATGGTGAGATATGTATTCATCCTCAAAATAATTCAAAATACACTTATAAACCCAGTGTACATACAACAGGGTTCCCAGCATTTTATGGTGACATTTCCTGATCATAAAATAGATCCATTTCTAGCATTCCTACTTCAATAAACACCTATTACAGGCCCAAGGCATTCGCTATTTGGTGTGGGCACAAGTCGAGAAAGTCTGACCAAACATTAAAACAAAATCCCTTATTATTACTTTTCTCAAATTCTGGTTTTTCCCTGACTAGAAAAGGCGAAGTCACTTTCCAGGTTTTTTCTGATTTGTAGGAAGGTTGGGGACCTTGATACCACTGTCAATTGACGACCCACAGATCAACTGCTTAATCTATGTACTGTACCTCGAATCATCGACAAATAGTTAATGTTTTTTCTTCTAAAGTGGCGGTAAATAATGAGGTAAGATAATGCAATTTAATTAATACCAAGCTACAGTAATGGAATACTATTAAAGCTAGGCTATATCTTCGTTACATAAATCTTTACCTTCAGTAGATGTAAAAATATACCATTATTTGTAAATCTTTATCTCGAAGAGCATTGTTGCAAACATGGCTTCCCCTACATTTTCCCATAATGCTATTCGCATTTCAGTTAACATCCGGTCACTTCCGGAAACCATGGGTTCCCTCAATGTACAGTGTGTTTTCACAAGGCATTTGCACCGTATCCTCAACTCAAAAGGTGTCACTTTACATGATGCATTCTTAGTGAGAAATTTTCACTTGTCTAGAAGGTAAGATCGTCAGATGAAAATACTTCGGCCCCCAACGGTCTCAAAACATTGTCTCGATTGAATAAGTTACCGTTACCAGCAGTACATTGTACATGTACATCACAGTACAGTACTCAAGTTTTGACAATCTGTACCTGAGGCAACTACGCAGACAGCTTAGGTCAGCTTTGCTTGGCTGTCACCTTGATTGGTTAACGGGTAACTAACCTTTAAGCTATAGTAAAAACTACACAAATCATGCACACTATACTGTCTAGGTACTGACGAAAAGTGCAGTGGGACAGTTATTGAAAATTTAACCCACCTCAGTAATGTCTACTACATATGCCATATAATATGGTGGACTCTATCCTATTCTTTTACCAAGAGGTGTGTGTGTGTGTGTGTGTGTGTGTGTGTGTGTGTGTGTGCATGCGTGCATGAGTGAGTGTGTGTGTATTAAATTTGTTGAAGAAGTTGATATTAATTTAATAATTTAATTATATGTTTCTTTCTGCTGTTTCAAAGGGACTTTGTTCAAACACACGAAGGAACTCATTATGGGAGCACAATAGATAAAGATGAAATAGAAAAGTTTAACAAACTTGCCAATAATTGGTGGAGTGAAAATGGGGAAATGAAAGCATTACATGCAATGAATCAGCTGCGTGTACCATTTATAAGAGATACTTTAGTGCCAGAGAAGTCCATAACATCCAGTCCATTAAAAGGTTTGCGGATTCTGGATGCAGGAAGTGGAGGTGGATTTCTGAGTGAAGTATGTTTGTCATTATTTTTTATCTTTTCTCATTTCACTACAATTTTGTTGACTCCACTGAATGGCAGTCTTGGGAGATGTTGCTTTTTTGTCCTGCACTGAGATTGAGATCAAGCATGAATTTGATACTTTTACAATATTTATTGCAGTGTGTCGAATGCTTGTTCAGCATAAATCCAACAACATTTGTAAATCCATGTCGTAGCTAAAAAGATGGAAGGTAAAATGAAGCATTAGCCCACCAGTTTACATTATATTTCCATTCTTTCTTTTCATCAAATCTTTTCTAAGGAGATGCATGTACAATGTTGTTAAATTCCACGTAAAGACACTATACGTAATTGACAGGCAGTGGTGGGTACACAAATATCAGTTGTTATGGTGAAGGAAATAAAGCATGACCCAAAAGTAAATTGTTAATTTTGTTAATTTCAGCCACTTGCAAGACTTGGTGCAACTGTTGTTGGTGTAGATGCTTCCGAAAAAAACCACAGAGTGGCTAAGCTACACAGTTCTCATGATTCCAGTCTAGAGAAATACCTGACATATATAAACTGTGAAATAGAGGATTTACTACCAAAGGAAAAGGGATCATTTCATGCAGTTGTTGCTTCTGAAATCCTTGAGCATGTGGCAGATACAGAGACTTTTGTCAGAGCCTGCAGTGACTTAGTTATGGTGAGTATAGACAATTTAACAAAACTGTCATTAATGCCAATATTCTTCAGCCTGAGTTTCAGTGAACAATTGGAACTCACCTCTCCATTACCAGATACAGTGTACTTGGGTGAAGGGTAGAGGTTCACAGCAGACTAGTTCCTGTCAGTTGACAAGATTGTCATTGGGAATCTGCAGGCCATGGACGTCGGTAATATTTTAGGCATGGAATTTTATCTCACAAAAAGGAAATCATATGTAAACCCCATTTTTGTTTATTTATTTAATTATGCCCAATGATAAGAAATAATAATTCACTTTTGTAAACATACTAGCACTTATCCTTATCTTTATTGCAATTCTTTTTTTATTTCACTGATAATCATTGGTAGACATGTCTTATTACTGTTCAGATTATTGGTGGGTGGGTCAGTTTGCTTCTCTACCATTCATACATGTTTGGCATAGCAGTCATGTATTGTACCTTTAAAATTAGTGGTTTTATATTTAAAAATATTATATTATTATATTTGTAAATAGTGTTGAGACTTGTGTACTGGGGTTTTAAATCAATGTCGATTTTTATTATTAAAATTGCTGATATAATGTCAGTAAGACTATTAAGCTTTTTTACTAAAAATATGCAATTAATAAATGAACTTGGATTAATGTAAATCACTTGTGTATGTGAGCACTAGGTTTCTGCCTACCGGGGTAGTTTCAGGTATGATTTTTGACTTCTTTGTAAGAAGGATTCCCTTGGGGTAAAAATTCAGTAGCATTATTTACTTATTTACGTGCTGTTTCAAGAGAAATTTATCTCTGTCACTTATGTTCAGTGTTTTTATAATGAATGCAATGAATATTTTCAGTTTCATTTAAATGCATAGTTTTATTTTCAGCCTGATGGCTCATTGTTTTTTACAACCCTCAACAAAACCAACCTGTCTTATGCCTTGAGCATTGTTGCTGCAGAAAGACTTCTAAAAATAGTACCTGTAGGAACCCATGATTGGAGTAAATTTATAGATCCATTAGATTTGCAAGACTTGTTAGATAAATGTAAGTATAAAAAGGAGAAATAAAGTTGCAACTAGTTGTGATCAGATATTAAACAGGTAAATACAGGGGTAACTATTGTACTGGTACACATATTTTATATTAATACATGCAGATGCTAAAACCCAAGTAATTTGTTAATAGTATGATGTTAATGTTAATATGCAAAACAAATGTTTAAACTGGCCAGGAAAAAATAATCTTTTTAAATATGTTTGAGTAATGCAGCTCTTTTTGTCACAATTTTGTTTTGGGAACAGGCGATACATTTGGTGAGGCAAAATTGTATGTCCTATATTTCAGATGATTGCAGCACTCGCCAGGTCCATGGTATGTTTTACAACCTTCTCACAAACAGATGGGATTGGATTAGAGATACCAGCATTAATTACATGCTTCATGCAGTAAAGCGGACTCCTGACAGCTGAGGCTCCAACCTGTTCCAGGATAGCTATCCAGAGCTAGGAGACCTGAATATTTTATGGCAAAATGCATACTTCCTCAGGAACATTATAATAAACATATGCTTTTGATAGAACTATTTGTCACCAAAGGGGAAAATCATGAATAAAGATTGCAGTCTATTTTCATAGACTATCCATAAATATGCAGCCTAAAATGTTGGAAAAATTTAGGGAAAAAAAGCTTGTCATCTTTCCTGATTAACATTGTCAGTCTGCCAAAAGTTCTTTAGCTGCCTCATCCTCTCCAAATATCAACCATCTTAACCTCTCCTTAAGACAGTTGAAATGTAAATAGGCATATGATAATGCCTTTAATATATTTGTACAGACTTTGTTAATTTTAATTTCAAGCAATTTTCCAATTAACGTTGTATATATACGGTTATATTGTAGGAAACTTTTGCATCAGGCATTTGGGTTATGAATGTTTTTTTGCTTCTGTTGACCTGTTTTTGAATAAAAGTAGCCAAAGGCAAGATGAACACAGTTATGTCGACATATCAGAGCCTGATGGTTAGTAACTGCAATAGCATAGTTTTCCATAAACTTTCAAAAACTTTCTTTTGTGTTTTTTAAATCAAAGTCAAGTAATTCAATCAGGAAATCACATTTAAACAGAATTTACAATATTAAATTTAGACCAATGCCACTTGGTTCAGAATAAACTCTGTAGGTTTATAGTAAAATCAATTGAAGAGTCAAAATGCTTGCCGTATTTGAAAATCTACCAGTTTTTTTGTATTTTTCAATATCAATATTATGTAATTTTATAGTTACTGAAGCACCTGTTTCGCCATCTAACTTTCCTTTCCTGGATTTTTTTGCCAAATCAAATACTCCTCAAGAAAAAAAGGCAATTTTTTCCTACACACGAATCATAACTGGACCCATCCCTGCACTTGGAATTAATGCTTTATACCATTTTAGATATTTAATTCAAAACGACTAGCCTGTACTTTCCAGAAAGAAATGCCGATATTGCGTACTTTTATGTGAGATCATTTTAAGGCCGTAGCTTTGCAGGAAATGTCGCTGGACGTGGAAAATATGACCTTGGGACGTTTTCAAAAGCGTATATATGCAGGGGCGGATCCAGGATAATTTGAAGGAGTCCACGGATGCGAAGCCCCCCCCCCCCCTCCCCCCCCCCCTCCAATTGGAGTTTGGTTCGGGGCCCGATGAAGGGTCCCGAAAAATTTTGGTATTTTAGAGGGTGAGCGGTGCCATTTGGTACGATTTAGAACTATGATTCAACTAGTCAAAATTCTAATTTCAAGAAGGGACCAGAAATCGAAGGGGGGTGGGGGGGTCAGGACCCCGACCTCCCCTCTAAATCCGCCACTGTACCCCTGACATGATAGGTGATTTACCGACTTTGATTTTTACGAATTCACTGGGTACTTAGTTAAATAGTCTTTGGAGTTTAAATGAAATATTGAGGTCGAAAATTGTACACACTGTTCCAATCACCAATGATTGCCCATGCACGGGTATTATCTTGTCCAGGTTGCTATCCGGCATTTCATGTTTCCCATGTAACAACAAAAATATTTTACTTTGAACTTCTAGGGAGGTTTTTTAGTTGGCAATCTGGTGTGACAGGTATGGAAGTCCGCTACATGTAGTAACCGTAGCCCGTTCCACAACACTTTGTACGGTTGTTATTTGTCCCATACACATACTCTGATACTTCGAGCAAACCCTAACCTACAAGAATCACTTTTGGGACCTGGGACTTTCCTGTCACACTGGTTCAAATGTGAAAATCAGACAATCATATTATCAATCTCGTAACAAAACGATGGAAGCCCGACAAAAATTTCAGAAAGTTGCATTTATTCAAACCGCAGAGTGTTAATATAAAAAGCTGAGTATATCAAATTTCGAGTAAGCAATATCTTAGGTCTGCCCAAGGGCTGAATCAACTAATCGCATCACGTGGTCATTTCTTGGATCTTAGCAGTGGTTGAAACTGAAAAGAAAAAAATATGTTAAGCATTCTTTATATAAAATCCCAGCTTTTGAGGAGTGGTTAACCCGTAAAAATCTGGATGCAGGTACTTCTTTGTTGAGATGTATTTACGTTTTTAAAACAAACCGCATGTATTGCCTTATTCATTTATTTATTGTTATAAGAAATATTACACAAAGGATACCTTTGAAATTAATGAACGGGAGCATAAGAGCGCTGGGCGTTGACGCAGGCTTTGATCCCGTCATCCCAAGTGCTTCCCTTTGGACAGCTAAACTTGAAAGATTTGCAGCATGTGCATGCCTGTCCGTATTGGAAGTCGCAGCCGCACTGGATGAACCCGTTCTTGTCGTATGGGTCTGCGAACAGGCCGGATGGGTTGTTTTTGCATTTGTATGGGTTGCAGAATGCTGGATTGAAAGAAAAATACATTGATCTTTATTTACAAGATGTAGGAGCAAGACGAGGTAACTTGTAGTGAAAGTTTGTTCATTTGAAGGGTGTCATAGAGAAAATTAGCATTTTGGGGTATGATTTTAGATTCAAAAGTGAATTTGTTGGATCGATTGGTTTTACATGCCCAGTCTTTTGTCATGATCAGATCGTTATTGTACGGAGTGCCTCGATCGTCTTCGTTTTTTTTTTTTTTTTTCACAAACTGAAAAAAGCAACACTCCTATTTCGAAATAGAATTTCGGTAATTTGAAAACACTTAAGTTTTTAAGACAAAGAAACATCCTAAACTCTTCCGATCTGATCACGGAATGTTCGAGCTACGTCACAACAGAAAACCCCACTAACTTTATGAAATGCGGATTAAGCATGGTCCCATTTATCTTCATTTATGAAAACCCTAGAACGAAACGTAATCCAGTTTAACGCTCAACATTTTTGTTAACTTATATATATAACAGAATTTATTTCTTAAAAGACGTCATGACGTTATAGTGAAAGTAAAGAAAATACTCACAGTCCTTGTAAGATCCGTGGCCACACCTGTCCTTGTCTCCGAGCGCACCATCATTGCAGAGATCTCCCTTGCAGAAGTACCACAAAGACTGGTACATTTTGGAGCCCTGGTACTGACACTGGACTTTTGGATCAACGTCAATTGGCAGGTTTTCCCGGTTAGCACAGCCTCTGTAGACCACTAGATTAAAAGAAAAGGATTACTTAGTTATGTTCTCTTTCCTGAGTGTGATAGTTGAAAGTAGGATATAAGTAAGTGATTAATCTTCATTTCGATTATTGCGTCTGACGATCAGTCGAAGTTTTCAATTTTCATATTTCATATCAATTCATCCCGTGGGCTATTGCATTTGATCTTCTAAGCTTTTTATTCTTTTTTTTTCATGTTTGTTTCCTTTCCCAACTCCCTGGCCAGATGTAACCAGAACTGTGGACCATGAGGCGGCACATGGTTGGGTATACACTGTATTATGTTCAGGAACCCCCACCACCTATTCCTACTTGGTTGTACCTATATTCGCCTATCGTTTAGCGAGGGGACACCGGGTGTTATGTATCTCGGGAATTTTCGTATCTAATATTTCGGACGCAAATTTGAAACCGCAACCGCCTCTATCTCTTGTGAGCGTTTTCCTACTTAACCATTCCGGTTCCTTCATTTTTTTTTCATATTTTTAAGTAATTTTTCTACTACAAAATGTAGGCAGAGGCTATTCGATTAAAAAACGGCGAACTGATGATGATTGTATTTTTGAAGACACAATGCTTAACTGTCGAAACACCCATTTCTTTGCCTAAGCAAGAACGAGCTAAACGCAAAGAATATCGATCTTGCAAATAACGTTTTTAGAATTTATAACAGTTTCAGTTGTCATTTTCCATATTAGAGTTTTCTGGAAACTGTAAAAATTAACTATTAAAAAAGACAAATACGTTATATTCTATGTTGATATTACTTACAGCCGTTGGGGTCCTTGCGAATGAAGCAGTAACCAGAGTCGCAGTTCCATCGGTCTAGTTGTTCTCCGTCACTTGGTCTGGTAAGGGCACACAGCTCGGTTCCGGCCGCCACCTTGGCCCATCCATAATTATTCTTAGAGTAGCCCGATGGCGCATAATTGCAGTCGTAACATCGTGTCCCTAATTTGTTACAAAATATAGTGAAACATTTTGACAGATGATATGAATTAATATGATCTAATCCTATTTATGTAGCCAGGTGATGCAAGTAATTATCACTGGATAAAAGTGTCCAACACATTATACTTCTACATACACGTTACGAGTAGGCAAATGCTAAGGAAAATTTCAGTTGGTTCAATTGGTATTACTTGCTTCAAGTTTGAAAATCAGAATAATATTTTTACTTACCATAACCGCTCGGATGATCAGCAAACGCTGCCGCAACAAGGCAAAAGAAGACAACTGCGTACATGATGCTGTAGAATGAGATCGTCAGGCGCAAGTGGAATTGATGCAGTTGCAGCTGGCTGGTGCTTTTATACCCGGTTCACCGTTGAGGTGTGCCCCGACTTACAACAAGGTATGCTCGGTACATTCCATGCTGGACCAGATGGGATGACAGCTGGCAAGGCGGGTCACGAGGCCAGAACGCTTGTTGTCGACAGCACACCAAAAGCCACTAAAGATTCGCTCATTAATATCGCATAAATTCCTATCCGAACTCTTGTTATTAGCAATAAATGTTTTAGGAAGGTGATTCACTGCACAGAACTGCAAAGTTGAGCCAGTAAAATAGCCATCATATTTTTTTAAATGACTGACTCTAAGATAGGCCCTATTTCGACATCGTAAAAAAGTTGGGATATATTGCTTGCTAATTATATTATTTTCTTTTGCTATTGTAATTAGTTGATAGTAATATTAAAATCTAATGACAAGTTTTTAATTTTTATTTGTATTGTTTTTGTCTGTTACCTCGGTTTTTTCTCATTGCCGTGGGTTTATTAGAGAATGATAATTATTCGGAATTGGCGACTCCGCAGCAGTTACTAAAAATTTGAAAACGCCCTTCCGAAATGTAAACATAACTGAAAGCATTTGGCCACACAACTGTTGTTCCGAGGTTACAAAGCTAATAAAGACATTTATATATATTACCATATCTAATTGATAACTGCTGTTGTCTTGGCGTCATTTGCGTTACATATTATGCGTAAAATGCGTGCGGCGTTATAAAAATGCTTGGTCACGTTTTTCCAGCATGACAGATAGATAAGAGAGGATGTTAGTAATAAAGAAGTGACAACAAATAGGAACTAAGAACATATGTAGTAAGTTTATATGGAAATGGTCTTTACCCTCGGACTGATACAGATTTTTTTTATTGATGATATCATCAAATGTTACCAATAACCCTAACGAATTAAGACCATCAAATAGCAGATGTCACTGAAAAAAGCAGTCAGATTATTTGTATTCAATACCTACATTCATATCAACTGCGTGCTGAGGTCAACCCATAAAAGTCTGTCTGCCAAAACGCTCCTTCTAGTTATATTACTATCACCGTTTCCGCTTACTCCTGTTCCGCAGTTTGGAGTTCACTTTATTACCTGACAAAATACTTTCACATTCATTCATTACACGTTATTATCTATTTTTTTCTGGCAATAAAAAAGTAACCCTTTTTCCTTGCACCTGGATTAATCGACCTCCTGTTATTGGAAGTATTTTTGAAAATGGATTTAATTTAGATGTCTTTTTTGTTTTGGGGCCTAGAGTATATATTTGGATTTTCCACTCTTATTTTTAGCTTTGGCTCCTAGACTAACATGTTTTCAAAACAACTAACTTCAAATGATGCAGAACTTTAAAAAAAGGGGTGTTGATTTCAAATTTAAATGATAGGCCTAGGCCTACATGTATTGTTTGAATCTGTTGGGTGTTTTAGACTACATCTATGTGGACTTGTAGGGACCTTTTTGTTTTTGATATATGTACAAATTTAGGTGACATGTAGGCCCATGAGACCGGGTGATTTATATATTCACATATCACGTGAATAAATAAATGCTATTATACAAGAAAGCTGCCTCTGAATCGCTCGACGGCTTTCCACAGTAACTAGAGTGCAATCTCGCAAGACGTTCTTCACAGCGCGCGCGCTGCCGTGTGCGCGACGACGTTTTCTGACGATGTCGACGAGACGCAACAGCACAATAAACAGAGAGAGTCCGATAACGTGGAATGGAGTCGGAGAATCATGAATCATAACATAGATCTGTGGTCAATAACATTCTTGATATATGGTGTATTTAAAATGAGTTCAGGTAATTTTTGCTGTATTAGAGCGTTTTTTTTTTTCACTAAGAAATACGAAAGAGAGAGAGAACCATCTTAACTGTTCAATGCAACTACTTTGAAAACCATTAATGATATGAAAAGCTTATAAGCATCTTTTAGCCTATCTACAAGAGATTGCGACTCTCATGCGTAATATCCTTTATATTTCACAATGTTTGTTTGTATAACCAGCGTTACAAAATTCTTTTATTGCAGAGTGTTTTCAAACCTAACCTAACCTTGTCTAGCCATCATGATAGTAGGCATATTTACGACCTGGAATGTCAGTATCTTAAAGCGTCCGGAGGATATCTTCAAACGCCGCCTTGATAACAATCCAACCTACCCGTTTGAAGAAGTTGGCCCTGGGATCTTCCAGCGTGCAAGGAGCAAGGTGCCCACATTTTGGCTGGGTCTCCTGGGAATTGTTTTGACTGTTTTACTGGCATGTACTATGTACATGAACGCGCCAATAGATCAGTTTATAGTCTTACATGTGATCGGTTTGATAGGATCTTTAGCAATCACATTTCACTATCGTGAAGAGAGAACGCTAATTTTGAAACCCAACGACAAAATGTATGAATTTTTTAATAAAGAAAAGCTTGTGTATCGAGGACATTATCACAATGCTTATATACGCCTGAAAGGGCAAAGTGGTGGAACAGGTGTTTTATACCTGCAAGTAGTCATAGGTGGTTTTCAAATCGAAGAAGAATCTTTGACGTCTAACTGTACAAATGTAGAAAAATTACGAAAGCTGGCTAGGCGCTTGGCCGCCCGGTTGGATCTTAACTATTTTGACTATACTGACAAATCTAGACACCACATTCTTCGACATCGGTGCCCATACGCTTCGACTGAATCTGAAATATTGGTATAGGGCTTTCGTTCTCGCCAAAATGAAGTGCTGCGCAAGAAGGGGGAATGGTACGATTGCTGGGGGTACACGAGCATGTCTTTGGCTAACAGCAGTTCACAAAGTTAACGAATTGTCAATTTTTTTTATCCCGGTAATTCTACAACAGTATATTCCTTTGTGTTTTCTATTTGTCTAAACCCTAGCCTTTGAGCATTATACCAACAGCAATCCATTAACGAATGATCGCTTTCTCATACAGGTAATTTCATAAAGAGACACACAGAGAGCGTTAGACCTTTATACAGCAAAAATTTACATCGTAAATTTCATCGTTATTCTCTTAGTCATTAATATATAGGGTCTATCATATCTAAACCGTTTACAGGATTACGACCTACTGTATGAGCTCGTTTTAGAGTCCCTCTCATAACGGAAATAGAGACAGGCGTGTTTCACTTGTGACACTGACAGTGAAAATAGAAATTTAGAGATCGAAAAAATGTTCGTAGATCGGTTTCTCAACGGATTTGGAGAGTGTATACCTTGTTCATGATTTTTTTGCGTTCATGCTAGTGCGTATTGTATGCCTATGTACTTAATCTCTGCACTGGGATGGTTTTAACGCAATCGAAACCACACGATATGTTTTCATGTGATATTGGTATAAAGAATACATCGGTTTTTGAATTATTGTGAAATGATTTTGATTAATAATAAGAAAAAGGAAAATCGTTGGATGTGAAATAAAAAAACAAATTAAAATGTCAAATTTTTCGCTTTTTTCAGAAGTGAAACCAGACGAAAGACGTACTGAAAGGCAATAACTTACCCCTTTCTTATATCTGAGAGTGAACATTCCTGGTCGCTTATTTATAAACTACACGTATATTTAGTTTAAAATGTTGCTTTTTTTCACGGCATTTATTTATTCATTTTTGTAGTAAACATCTAATTTACCATGCCTTGAATGCCGGGAGATTTTCCCTCTACTTATTCTTACTCTTGTTTTTACATTTTGTTTCTGCTGTAGATTCAGTATACAGTTAGGCCTATAGATGTTATCGTCTATTGTGACCAAAGTTTCATTTGACTTAACATCTTTGTTGATGGAGGGTATGTGTTTTTTTCTGTTGAGGATACGCCTGTAACAGACCGAGGAAGAAAAAGACAGAGGATGTATTTCCAGGAGATAAAGAAGCAATTTAAAGATTAAAGTATCCATTGCGTTCATTAGTAGATAAAATACATATTTTTAGGTGCGATCCATAATAGAAACACAATTTTTTAGATATTTATTCGACCCTCTTCTTAAACATGAATATAATTGCGAGTCTTACATTTTGCTCAACAACCGCAATATAAACAATTACTCCCTCACCGGGTTAGTCCTCTTGCAACCATAATCGTCAAGTTCTTCTGCCTGTCGCTTGGCATTGTAACCCTCCTCCCCTGTATACGAAATTTCGTTACTCAGTTTGTGAATATGTTGGATGGGGAAATGTCCCGTGCTTTAATAGCCAAAAAGACATCCATTATAGTTTTAAGAGATATTGTTTTTCTACTTCCTAGTATTGTCTATGTCGCTTTAAAGTTTTGAATCAATAGCTCTTACACCATACCTGTTGACCTGTTGGGATAAATTATAATTCATATGAAGTCCAAAACTGAATGACTGGTTTCACATAAGACAGTGGATAGTTTTTAAGAAATTGATAGCTGATTTAAGTTCTGCTCCTGAAATATTGTTTAGAAACCATCTTCCTTCTCAGCCGATGCGCTTGTTGCAAACTCCTTTTTCTATTTTCATTTAAATTTTATCACAAAACACAAATATTAGTCTTAGCAATTTACTTATGACAATTTAGGCATGAACAATTCTATTTGTTGAGGTTTTTGGGAATTTTGTATTGTTGATATAAAGCGGCAAAATTAACCCTTTTGTAAATCAGAAAACGTTTCAAGCCTCTCTTATTAAAAATACTTTCATTTTCATTTTCATGGGATGTTGACAGTAAATACGACCAGCAGCACTTACAGACCGGGATGCTGAGTCTTTGCCAAAGAAATCGTGTATCATGTCGTAATATCAGTGATTACGGTCCCAGATATTTGATAACAACAAAACACCAACAACAACATTTAAACCGCAAATACCATTTTTTTGTATTTTATTAAAATACGTCAAGAGAGCCGCTTGCTCGGCGAGTTGTAAGTCGGCCTGCTACAATTCTCAGTGAAAATACATTAAAACAAAAAAATAAAAAAAAAACATTGAAACAAAATGGAAATTTGCGCTGTGGCAGGTGAGGGGTATTAAATTTAATCTCTGACTCGCATATTTTGCACTTTTATACTCTGAAACTGTTGATTTTCTAAAACTAAGTGGCTCAATCTATTAACTAATAGTAGCTAATTGTTTCCATCTCATTTTTTATTTTTTATTCAAGAATGAGCTGCACAGTGAAGTAACATTGCTTATGTAAATAACCACGTATTGCCTAATATCGCATTTAGATCCTTGTAATTTTCTTGAGTGTTAGTGGAGTATAACATTCTGAAATAACACCCTCACTTTAAACACATTTACAGAAGCTCACACGATAAATACAAACTTCAAATAACAAATGACAAGCCAAAATCATAACTCAAAGTATGCAACATTATACAGCAAGCAATATGCGAACGAGTATTTACGATCAGGCCACACAAAACTGTTGAAAAAGTTAACGGGCACAACGGACCCTAATTTGGGGGGAAATCAGAATTCTTTTTGCCCTTTAGTTTTCAAATGGAAAAGCCATTAATTGGTTTGGTGAGTGGGAGAAACATACAACTGAACAAAGAAAATTAAGCTACTATGCTTCTTTAAAATCGCATGTATCAAACACAATAATAGATTTTGTCTACCGACGTGTTGTCTACCAGTTTCTATGCTACCTTATCAATTTTGTCTAGCCTTATTGGTAGGCCTGTATCTTTTACGCCACATTAAAAAAACATACACTGATAACTACAAGGTCAATCTAGGCTTACTTTGCTTATTTTCAACAATAGGAAGCCAGACCAAATAAATTAACAGGCAGTCGGCTTTGTGCCATATTTGATATGTAGCCTGCTCTTGTTCGTTTATCCCCGGGTCAACCGGAGTATGATCACAGATGATGTAAGCAGTTTGCTCCCAAAGCGTGACACACTCAGCGAGGTCTTGTCTTCACGCAGCGACGCTGATTTCACAGCATTACATTTGCACTAGTGTTCTTGCCTTGTTTTTAAAAATCGTATTCAGTTTTGCATTGTTGTGCAGACTATATGTCCCTGATGTTGATGGTGGCTGAGGCGAGAGTTTGAATGTACAGTTCTATTGGTGTTTTGATGACTCGGCCTCTTTTTCTAATCCTACTGGCAGTGTGGCGCTACTGTCTTTTTCTTCTTCTTTTTTAATATTTTTAACTGGTTCAAAATGTCCTTGGAGATCGGATGTATGCTATTTTACGTCTGCCATACTTGATACACTTCCCCCACCAAGACTTTTTCTTGCACACACGCTCTCTCTTGAAAATGAAGCATTTCATTTGTATAACATTGAAGTACATTCTTCCAACCATATCGGCAATGTTGTTTCTGCTGTTTTTTAAACAATTTCTGAATCTGAAAATAAAATCATAATGTATGACTTAAAAATGAGTCAGCTTGAATCTAATGTTTTGAATATATAACCTAATGTTAAAACTTCTTAGTAGGAGGAATCTGCAGCTTGTAAGACCAATTGATAAACGATAGAGGCTGCCTTTGTCTTTCTCAATTGTTTTTACACGAAATATCAAGAATTGTTCAAATGCGTTCAACCAAAAATACGTATTACCCTCGCTGTGCTTTGTACTCTTGATTTTATGTGAAATCCCCGGGACAAAATCATTAACATTCATGACATTCTCATGCATTATTCATGTGCTGTAAAAAGTATACGCGAACTTGAACAATCATCCTTTTTAGATATCTAATAATTTATTACCTTGCTTACATTTCAATGCGCATGTTAAGAAATATGCATGTACGGCATTATATCAAACGGAGGCCCAGTGAAAGTGGAACACAATCGTATACTATGCCATATAATCTCTATATAGGAATATTAACTTCTGGTTGTGAGGTTCAATGGTTTTTTAGGCGCGTGGAACAGCTCACTTGGTCCGACCTGTTTAAGGTTGACTTGTAGATATTATATGTTAAAGTGTAACATGATACTCATAATGCTTCACTTTGTAAGACTATAAATATAGCGGTTTATCTAAATTATATACCTGCATAAGGGTCACAAGAGATAAGCTGAGAGGGTGTCGCTCTAACCGTAGGCTAAATTTTAAGAGAGTGCTTTTAAATATGTCGTCAAAATTTAGACAATCTGGGATTGATAGGCTTTTTTTAGGTGGATAACTTTAAAACACCCGTAAAAGACAACATCGCGATCAATACTTTCTTTCTTTCTTTCTTTCTTTTGCCTACATAAGTTGACCTCATACTTCGGACAATTTCTTAACCAGACTTTGACGTCCATACCAGTACACGCAGTCAAATGATAAAGTATGATAAAATATCATTTGAATCAGCACGAGAGGCTATGCTTAAAACCTCATAAAGGTTTTTAATCAGCGCACAATAAAAAAAAAATAATAATTGCTTCCCATTTGATAAACCGAGAGGTACAGTGACTTTATATATTCAACATTGTTTTGCGGACAGCAACTAAAATTTGTCTGCTTTACATTTTGGACGACCTAACACTTGATGCTGAATGCGGTTACAAACTACAATACAAAATTACTATGCCGTAAGTTTCAAAATATTTTGACAATTCTAAATCTGACGAAAACCTTTGTGTCTCGAATATACATTAACACAAAACATCCGGAAAACTTTGCTCTTATTCATTCCACAGCAAAACCCGTCACACGCTAACAATTGACCAATATTGTGGATAAGGGTAGGTTTTGAGGTCACTTTGGCATTGAGGAAATACGCAATCTTCTGCAGGTCATCTTAGGGCTCTATAGTTTTAGGTGTGCTGACGTGCCCAGCCTTTTCAAAGCTAGTAGGAAATTTGGACGTTTTTTCAATTATTAGTTCTAACCAACCTATCTGCACGGGTGACTCATATAGCTTGTAACTTAAATCGTCTTTACTATGTTACTCCCTCAGCCTATTTCCTCGTCCAGTACCCTGGACTTAATTTTTTCAGTTTTTCATGTTTTGTTGATACTTTAAGTACACGGCAAACACCTATGCAATATAATATGTAACGCCAAGTGAAGTGATTTCAATGTTGTCGCAACGGTACAGACTGTTACAATAGAATAAAGTAAAATGTACAATACACTCCTCTCATGATACCGTGCGTACCTGCACTCAAATGTCAACAAGGCCTTTTATATTTTGTTCTATTGAACAATGTTTATTGAAAGTCTGTCTAAGTGGGAGGCAGGGACTTTTTAATAAAACATCTTGGAGGATTTGGCAAGGTTCCCTGATTTAACTAGTGTCCCGTTATATGGATTTTCCCCGCGATTGTTACCGACTGGCCGGATCCAGCGGAGGTGAAAATTTTGGCCTAAGGCCTGCTGGCTTACGTCCAGACCCCTCTAACCCGAGTCGCGTTAGCTGGTGTATTCTTTTATAAGACTCACGTAGTATATGTCTGGGTTTTTTTTCAAAGAAAACCTTTCATTCTAATTTTGAAGTTACTATATTTTACCTTTTAAATTTGTTTGAAGAACTGAACAACTGTGATGATTTTTATTTCATTAATTTTTGTGATATTTTTTCTGGAAATGTTTAATCATAGATAAAGGTCTTCCCATTTTATGTCTTAACTTAAACTTGATAAAATCATGAAATCAAAGCCCTTACGCGAGTACCGTCTACTGCAAGCACGATAGGCCGGAGGCAGTACAAAGTCATTTCCTTAGTCATTAACATCAGCCAGGGGCAAGTAAGCACTGTTAATGTTTTTTATGGACCTACAAATTGTGGGAATAGATCAAGAGCACGGAAGAGCTACAACAAAGTAGGATTGTGTGAATGGGAAAAACATATTGCCGGCCGGCATATCAAGAGAGAGATAGAGAATGAGAGAGCCGATACTTACATTTCATCACAATCACAATGACTAACTGTATGGAATCTGTAGTTAAATAGACCCCACCTCCTACGAAAGCTGGTGATGGTGTATTTACAGTGGTCATGTTTTCTGCAGCACTTGTCAGTATCACGACTTTCTCCCAGATCGTGAAAGTCATCGGCTGTATTTCCCTTGCCACACCACTTCGTACCTGGGTACAAGAGACTTCTTTTACTTCGACGTTGACTGTCAGTGCGTTCAGTATAATATTGAGACTCATCCATGTCGTCACCTCGTTGTTTGTGAAAGGCTTGACACTGTTTTCTTAGGCGATGAAAGTTGATCAGGTCTTTAACTTGAGATTCTAGGTGATGCCTATCCCTGATGGATTCTCTGGACACGTTGGTTTGACCATGTTGACCACTAAAGTTATCCAAGAAACGTTTGATGTCATTCTTTTCTTTCGAAATATCACAGTCTTTTATGTTTGTTTTACTGTCATAGAGAAGTTGAAGTACTTCTTTTCCGTTGAAGATTTGTCTGTAAAACAGTCCGCGTTCCTCTATATTTGGAATAGTCGTTTCGGCCGCTAACACGCCGTTGAAAGTAACTCGAATAAGGTTCTCTGAACCTGATTTACTTCTCAACACGTAGTTTTCCGTCTGGTGTCTGGCTGTTTGACTTGTCTCACCCGCCGCAGGTATGATGAAATAAATCATTAACACAAAAAACAAATTAGGGACGGTCATAATGGCTGACTGATCTGTTCGTGGGCAGGGCTGGCTTATCTGCCACGGATTGGTCGAACGGTCGAATGCGTCTGCTTGTCTTGAAAGACTCGGCTTTTATAAGAGGCTGTGTGAGAAAACAGCCCGCATTGCCACCTGGGATTGATGTCAATTGTTCCCCTTGAACAAACGTAACCGCAAGAAATATTGAGCAGACGGAAAATGACCTCTTGCGGTATGTTTTAAATAATCTATGTCGTATATCGATTATTCCGTTATTCTCAGTCGCAGTAGCTTATAGACCCCCTTTGACGTCACTCGTGTGAAATTACAATGAATTTGTTGTAAATATTGATGCTTGAAACACTCTGACGAAGGATTATTGTAAAAATACACAATAAGCATGTCAAACATTTAAAAAAGTCAAATGTTTTACCTTATGTTAGAGGACAGTAGTCCCAATATCTTTATACATGTTTTGCTTAATCATACGCTACCTTTGAACTAAATTTCCTCCACAACTTCCGAAAGAAAAAAGAAGAAAGGGAAAAGGAAGGAAGGAAGAAAGAATATAACATTTGTTCCTAAAAAAAAAAAAAGAAAAAAAAAGATAAAATGAGCCGTCACAGTAATATTTGTTATAGAACTATTGATTTAAGTAAGCCTCTCATTAAGGATAAACCTGCCCTCTCTACCTTCCTGGGCGTTTATACTGTCATACTTAACTTAACAGAGTTGCATTTTGGAATTTTGGCTGCAGCTGAGGGCTGTTCCTACACATTGTTCGCTCAACAAATATTCAAATTAAACATGAAACTTACACAAGAGGGGCGTGGTCTCTTCTTAAAGGCAAAAAGGCAAAGAGAAAAGCAAAGAGAAAAGATCATTTTATCGTAAACAAAGGTAAATGAAACTGGATTATAAAAAAATGACGGTCCCTAAAAAAGTAAGTAGTTTCAAATTGCTGCATTTCCTCCACCTAAATAAGTATGGGAACATCAATATAACAACTCCGTAAGTTGTTCCTAGGATCCTTGTATACAGGGTTCTAGGTTGTTCAAAAGTATTTTATCAAAATTCAAAAGAAAATAGTGCAAAGTAAGAACCATGTCCTTCAGATAAGCGTGTGTTTTCCTCCAGCTACGAATGAGTGATAACATTTCTTTTGCTGCTGATTAATACGGGTAAACAAATACTCCGGTCCTTCGAATTATTTTAATTATTTTGACATATACTTGCACATTTTGTTCTTGTCTACGTTGGTCTGTTTGTGAGCACACAGCATTTCAGTGTTAATATTATGGTGGATATGTAAATCTACATTGCATTGGATTTTATGAAGGGACGGGTGCCTGAGGGGGGGGGGGGGGGCTGGTGGATGTACATTTATCAAGAAAGGCTCACTCAAATAGTATTTAATGACATGAGTCCGTTGGCTCTTCTGAGGGCGGGTGATTGGGAGACGGGTAAGACGCCAAAATGTTTCGAGTAGGCCCTACTGGTAACATATTTTACATGAGCAAACAACAATTGCAAGTTAAAAGCGAGCTATTTCATGTGAACAACGAGAACAGGTTACACAAGTTTTAAAAAGAAATGCAATTATCGCTGCAGTGCACACACTTCTGTTTAACCTTAATGTTCTTTGATGTAGCATTGTGTTTCTGCTCACTTTACCTTTTACGAAGCAAGATGCTGCACGTGCACGTGCGAATGTGCGTACGAGGATCAGACGCATATCAGACACCCAGTCGAACACACAGACACACTCTTAAACATTTTTTCATTAAAATGACCTAAGGCACGTAGGAGTGATATTTTGTTATTTGTGAAATAGGCTACAGAGTAGAAAACTTTCAACAAGGCTTTAATTTGTACTAAACTTAAATTCATCTTATATTTCAAGCAATGAGCAGACATAGGACAATATCTTTATGGCATGACCCCAATGTTTTGACTTTTTTGTTGCAAAGGTTACGCCAATCAGAAAGAAGAAGTACGTTTTTTAACGTGATGCATGCAAAGTTTTGCTCATAGAATTGTACAGAACGTGAAGATTATTTATTTAACGAAAAAAAAAGCAATCTCATTTAATGCAATATTTGCTGTGTTATGTGATATATTCAAAAAGAGTGCAACTTACGGTTAGCTGGTTGGTTTTTGATTACCCTCTAGTGGGGCGACAGATTGATTTTTCACAAGATATTCACAGATATGTCTTTAGACAAATAGACGTTCATGGATTCTCTGGCTTTTGGAAATTTTGCCTATAATATCTGCCACCCTGGTAGAGGGTAGTTTTTTTATAATGCTAAGCAGGGTACATTTTTCATGGTAACCCCTAATGCAATGCGTAAAATGATACAGAAATAAAGCCATAAGCAAATGTTTTTTATTCAACTTCTACAAGGATTTTTACGAATTTATCCCACACATTCTCAACGAGGTACTGATCTAGGGATTTCGCTGGCCTCCTCTTGCATTGGCTGTACGTGGAGTAGCATGCTGAAACATAGCTGGGTGGTCACCGTCCATAAAGACATTCACGACAGAATTCCTTTCCATTTCTTAGATGTATTGCTCTGCATAAAGGCTCCCGTTGACCACTACTAGTTTGGCTACAGCATGGCAGCAGATACACTCCATACAATCGGTACCATGACGGATATTGATATGTCCGTCCTGTTGACCAGAGGCAGAAAACTTGGAAGATATTTCTTACCAGCTGTTCTACAAATCCTTCCACATCCGTTACTTCAGACAACGCTGAACCTGCTTTCATCTGAGAACAGTAACATTGTTGCTGGGTCGCGTCCATCCCAGAATTCTGGTACACCATCTGACTCGATGTAGACGGTTCCTGATGGTGATCACTGGTGTCTTAACAGCAATCCTGCCAAAATAAGAGCGATTGTGCAGACGTCTTCTGGCGGTAGACTCAGAAGACATGATTTGCCTTATTCTGGTGAAATGATGCAGTCAAGTGCCTTGATGTCATGAAACATTTTCTATGCATATTTCTACGCATATTAAAAATATAATTGATGTTGGGATTGTTCAGTGATCAAACTAGGTAGGGCAATGTTTTACTGCTCACATCCCCAATTTACATGATGATCGGTTACCTAGTTGTTACAAGGTTACCCTGCTTGCAGCGTACATAAATGCTGTGGGGTGACACTTTTTTTTGTTAGGGGAGTATATAAATCCCGCCATTTAAGTTGTCCAAACATGTAATGTCAGACAAAATACCGCAGTGGGGCATATTACTTTGTTTAACCTTCCTCAGCCTTTCCTCATTGGGGTATATTAGATGGGGGATAATAGAAAATTAGAATAGGATCCCAAATGTAAGAATATGGGTTTTGAGTACGAGGCTATGTGCCAGGATAGACCAACTCTGTACCAGTTCCGGGGGCGAGGGGAGGGGAAGCAGGTGTAAAAGCAAACCTTGGCTGTTGTCAAAATGCAAAAGTTTTTGGTTAAAGTTTTCTGGTAAGCGTAAAAATAACACACAAAAAGAGTGCATGAAGACTTCTTCAGATATGTGATATTATTTATCAAATAAATGATTCAACAAGTGCCACAAACTGTTTTTTAAGCTTCGCAGTCTGTCAGCTGTTTTGTGTTTCTTTTGATTTTTATTAATCGTTCTTTCAAGAAAACAACTGGGTTAGACCAGCTCTGCACCAGGTTAGATCAACTCTGAACGTATCTCAATAATCAAAACACAGCAGGTGTTAGGATTTATTGTAAAAGCAGACTTTGACCAATGCCACAACGCTTGTAAAAAAAAAAAAAAAGAAAGAAAGAAAGAATAAAAGGACGTTAATGGTTTAAGGAGATTTTTTAATCGCAAATACGGAAAGATGACACAAAACCATATTTTCTGATGAGTATAATGATAAAAAAAAAAGTGTAAGTATAGTGAGATAAGATTAGAGTAAGATAAGATATCGATTACATGAAGACTTCCTCAGATATTTGGTATCGTTTATCAAATAAATGGTATAACAAGTGCGTCATGCCCTTTTTAACCTATGCAATCTGTCAGCTGTTTGGCGTTTCTTTTGACCTTATAAATAGTATTTTTAATAAAACTTCTTGGAAGGTCACCCTATTTTGCCGTCTTGCGAATAATGTTAAACACCTTTTTAAAGTCATATTTTTGCTGCATTGACGTCATTTGTTTTAGAACCTGTTGTCCATAGCATTGCCATCTGTTAGTTTTATTTTATGATCAGTGTTTTCAAAACATCTAATAAAAATAAGTAAACGTATTTATCTCTTCACAGATCCAAATTATTAAGACATCGATGTCGGTATTTTTAGCATACAGCAACAGGAACACTCTTTGACAAATTTTTAGCATATATACATTCCTTCCTGCGTTCATAGAAGTGGATGGCTTTATCTCAAGTTGGACATTTAGGGAAAACGATTTCACTCGAAAAACCTCTGAAAAGAACAACCAACAAATCCCTCAGTTGAGGAAAGGAAACCTAAGCTCAGTTCAGGGGCGTGAAGTAATCAAAAATTCTTTACACATTACTTGACCTGAAATGGTAATTTTCTTCACATTATTTCCGCACTTATCACTTAAACTGCTTGCTTCCTTTATTATATGGCACCGGCGCTGATATAGACTACAGCTGTATCGGTTTAAACATATTTCTTGAATGTCATATATCACACAGCGACATTATAGCGGTGCTAGCACGCAGCGTTCACAGCAGGAAACTTCATTTACCAACGACAAATAGACATACATAAACGAACATTCGATGAGCCTAGGTCAGATCGGTTATCAACAAGGCTATGGAAAAGCATTGGATAGTGCTAAGTGAATGTTATCCGATCTATCCCCACGGACTCATTTAGACGCCGTGCATTTGTTACCTTAGAATAGCGTTAGATATCTTTGAATGCCTCATTCAAAGCGTAATAAGAAGTTTAAAAACTGAATTAGTAGATTTGAATGGTTAGTACATCAGCGTTGTCGTCTGATCAGGATTTTTATATATTGCATCAAAATAACAGAAAGGCGATGAGTGTGTTATAAGCTCCTTTAGTGCGTGCTTATAAATGAAAGATAAATTTCTTTGCCAATCGGACTTGATATTAAACACTTTCTCTTTTTAAAAATGTAATTAAGACTTACATCTACAGTATATTTTTCTTGTGCTTTAAAAAAACTTCTGCTGACTGTAACAGATGTTCAAAGAAACATCATTGTGGTTGTTGAGACAAGAAAAACATACAAAAATCTATTAAAATGCCATGATGCATACACAGTATTCTTGATGTGCAGGAGTCCAGCAGGTGCAGGTTCAATCTGAATATCCAGAAGATAAAATATCCTTAGCCAAGAACTGTCATTTTACGTTATGATGCCGACGATATAGGCCTATCTTCTTGGCAAATTCTTCTTAAAATGTATCTTGGGTTTTATAATATAAAGAGTCAATGTAAAAAATATATTGCAACCCAAGTAGAAAATAAATTTTTCTTTTTTTAATATCCCAACTCTTCATAGTTCACGTGAAAAAAAAAAGCGAAATGGTCTGGGGAGGAGGTGAACTGTCCTTGGTTATCGTATACGACAGTAGTGTAAGTTTTTCGAAAGAAAAGAATAGTGTACCTATTGTGATACTTCGTTGTAATCATGTGCAGAAAAACATATGGCATCTAAATCAGTTTCCACCGGAGTTTTGCAGTCGTAGTCATTAGCATCAAAAATTGTCTCATATCTAAAATATTCATTAGCAAAATCGCTGTCACTATCTGCTGCCAGTACAACTGAACTGGTTTCCAGTGTTTCTGCAATAAACTGGTGGCTAGACTCGTTCAATAACACCTCCTCCCAGGATATTTCTGGCACGGTCATGTCATCGAACAGAGCGCAGAAATTCAATGGCACGTAGCCTAAGGTTCCTCTTACCGTTCGAACGAAAGCCCACCCTCTGATGTGACAGTATATATCAACGTAGTCGCCAGCTTCAGCATAAAGTTCTGTGGGCTCGACTGGGCAAAAATTATAGATGACCACAGCAGCATGACCTACTGGTCTCAATAAGGTAGACTTGGACATAGAAATCCAGCGGAAATGATCTTATTCGAATAAAAACCAATTCTCTTTACTTGTGCTCGTAACCTTTTGGTCCTAAAATGTATTTTTCAGAACTTAAGTGCACCTTCTTTAAACAAGACACGCAAATTATAGACCCATATTGTTTAAAAGGTGCATATCAAGAAGTTTCGCGTGTTTTTCTTAATTTACGACCACTCTTCCTTAAGCTTGACAGTAATGGGATTTAATTGGGAAATACATGCACCTTTATGAGGATTCCCGAGAGCTATTTTTTCTACGTGAGAATTATTGCTTATTCATAAAAAATCTTGTTATTTATTCACTTAATGTATATATGAAGAAAGTTATGAGACAAATGAACGCTCATCATGTTTTAGTCATTCGTATATGGTATTCATTTTCATTTGGTTTGTTGTTGTTGTTTACAAAATAGGTAGGCCTAAGGCTCTTTTACTATAGACCATTTGTCATGGTTTCAGTCAAATATTTTAATACATTGCAAATGGTATGGTGCTACACTGGACGACGATCCGTGGAGATAACACTTACTCGGGAGACGATTCGTAGTAGGTGTTTATTTAAAATCTTTTGGAGTTTTGCTCACGCGATACATCGCATTACGTGGATAAATGATCTTTAAAACTCCTTATTTACATAACTATCTTCCAATTTTTTTTATATTTTGGTGCTAAATCATTGAAGTAAATCATTAGGTGGGCACGTTTTACGAAGGATATGCACCATTTAAGCTATTCTGTTAGTATACCGCATCTGCTTTAAGCGTTTTAACCCTCACATCACCAATTTAAACAAACAGAGCACGTTGTGTTTTTCCTCCTGTCTGTTTAAAACCTTTACTTAGTTTTCCTCGTAATATCTAAATATTTATCATTCATGATATTTTGTAGGCCTACCACTAAATGTATATCCTTTAGCGCATTAATCGAAGCACGGTTGGTTGTCATTATTGCCTACTCATAGGATGGTCATAAACTAGGAACATTTTCATTTTTTGTCAACTTGCTCGGTAATATCTTAGTATTTTTCTTTATATTTCCGGGTGTCACTTGAGTAAAAGGAGTAGGCCTAAGCCGTTAGTTGAAAATGCAAGAGTTTGTATTCACTAATTCTCAATGTATAGGTCCATTTAAGATTTTTTTTAATTTTGTTCAAATATAACTAGCGTTTGTCCAAGAAGAACTTTTCAGTTAACCCAAGCATCGGTCTATCAACTGTAAACACCGAAAAAATAGTAACTAAATTTATCTGTCATGGAATAAAAAACATACTATATGTTAAATCTTCGTTACTGTCGCTCGCAACACCAACACTCGATCTCGTGCATTTTTACTAGCGTATAATAATAATAATATAGGCTACTGTAGGCCTAATTTGCAACTTGTCGAGAAGCGAGTATGATGTCTAACGTCTCACAAAGTGTTGAGAATCAGTAAAATAAACGTGCATTTCGTAATACCCGGCCTTTAACGCAGTCTAATTTTTGTTAGAATTGAAAACGTGCAAATATTATCGAAAAGGGTTGATATTTTAAAAACTCACGTTACCGTTACTCAAACCTTTGTTACTGAATTCGAAAACCGTTCACTGGGTCTACTAGCATGGTATGAATCGGGAAGTGTTTGCATGTTGTAAGCCTACATAAAAAGTTAGATTTATCAAGGAGTTAGGACTGTTGTAGCCTAACTCCTTGGATTTATTTGTTTCTGTCACTAGAGTTTTAAAAAAAGTAGAATTGGCGAATGCATCTTTGACTTCATTTTTAATTTTCCCTCTGTTTTTTCTAATGGTGTTATATATCATTTAAAATTCGGTTGTAAATTTAGAATCGCTGATTGTGACTACGTGTTTAAGGTTAACTCTTGGACAAATAATTCACTTTTATTCGGTCAAGGTTAACATTTAACGTTACCATATTCACCATGTAATCTTTTCTTTTCAGCTGGCACTCTAAGCTTATATGCTCTAAGAGTCACTCATAAACAAGCACTATGGTTAGGATGCTATGTTTATTGAATCGGTGACAGCACGAATTTCGTCACTTTTTGCTTGCTCTCTTCCTGGTTTAAGCGCCACCTTTCTCTTAAAATTTGTGTTGTCACGTGACCATCAAAGATACCAAAATAGTGCCGAGGAACAAGTGGCTAGTTTTTGTAAGTAAGTATTATATGGTATTGAAAGTCTTTTGGAGAACATTTCTATCTCTTTCCATACATTAATAGAAACGATGTTTATAACGTGGCAATATGCAGTAATTTTACGTTATGGCTTTTAGGGTGCGAGTTGTCTGCTCATAACCTCACTTCAGTAACTAATAACATCATTGTCGCTAATGTCAGATCATTCTACTAGATCTACTACTAGTTTAGTACAATAGTTACTGCATGACACATCTCAGTGCTACTACAACTGGTAGTCAATAATTGCATCTCGTAGTTGAAGCACAGTTGAAGCCCAGGTTCGTCTATTTGGTATTAGTTGTAATACTGAGTACACCTTACACCCAGTAAGTACTGCACCAATCTTTTTTAACTGAAAAAGGAAACTCTAAGCCTATATCAATAGTATTGTTAATGAAAAAATAAGGATAACATTACAGGATCCATTTGGGACAAAATGTTTTTTTTCTATTGATGTTCAGCAGTGGTTTGCTGTATGAACAATATTAGGTAAGCATCATACATTATATTTTTATGTTTTTGATTATATACATACATGTATATGTAGGTACAGCTTGTACATATAGCCATTTGTTGATTTTGCAATGACATCTGAAGAGTGGCATAAACTCATTAATTTTATGCACTTGATGTTTCATGGGCAGTACCCATGTTGGACACTTTCTTTTAAATTCTTATATATTAAAAATAGATGCAGCAGGGCACAAAATTAAGTCCTTTAAAATTCACCAAACAACTTCACTTTACTACCAATTTCAAACTTAAAAGATACCCCCAACCAAAATAAATGATTAAAAAAAATGAATGAATAAAGAAATGATTAGTATAAAAATACCTATTTATCTGTGTCATGTAAGTGGATCCATGTGGTCCACTATCATGCATTGCACTAATTAATTTCCAGTCAAACACCACAGTCTGATTTGAAGAACTGATTTAAATAATTTAAATTAATATTAACTACTATTACATATATCTGATATTTAGAGTTAGAAAGTTGCACCTCTATGATATTTTCTCTAACATTCAGAGGGATATAAATCTTGTAAAATTCTGAAATGGTTGCATTGACTCTTACGATCTCATGACTAAAGACATATTCTTGAAAAGATGACAGAAGTAATCCTTACATTGGACCTTTACCCATGTCATATTTATTGGCGCAATTAATGTTAAATTGAAAAGATTAAAATATAGGCATACACTGTACACCTTCCACTCATTTCTCAGTAAGCTGCAGTCACATAAGTAGGATATTAGTCGCATCCTAGTGCCAGCTTCATTTTGCTTGAAAGTGAGGATATTAAGATCCAAATATGCTTTGCATATAATATCACTTTTTATCCAATTAGTTCAGTTGGCAGCAACATCCTCTCAGGTGCTGATGATAATGAGTGATGAAAGGTATTGTTAAATTCTTTAGATAAATGGTAATTGGTTGACAAATAAAAACTAAAAAACTACAGAGAGAATGCTAAAGGTATAAACCTTTGCATAAATACTCACATTTATCACATGCTCTCACAAAACAAAACTTCGTTTTGATGGGAAATAAGAAAATTTAACTTCTGCTCTATAAATCTGTGGAAAGTCTGCTACACCTTTGCTCTTTTTATTTTGATTAATGGTTACGTTGATGCAGAAAAATAGAGAACATTTTTTTTGTTCCTGCCAGGGGTTAAGTAGGCCAATGACTGAACAGTATCACAGGTGTGAAAGGTTTCCAGTTGATGCTTGACTATGTGAACTGTGCAAATTTTCAAAATATTTCATGATGAATTACTCATCAAAGTATGACTTTTTGAGCTTTACACAGACACAGACCTCTTCAGGCTATTATTTGTATAGAAGCACCAGGGCAACGTTATTTCAAATTACACTTGTAAATGGATTATTTCTAATCAAGCTTGATTATATGCATGTTGTTGCTGTGTTTATTGACATTTGGTGATCAATACTTAGAGAAAGGGGGTCAGTGTCAGGCTGCAGTTAGTGCTATTGCTATCCAGTAGGTAATCTTTGGTGAGAATCTAGGGATAAGCTGCCCTGGATGCTAATGATAATAATAATAATAATATTAATGATAATAACATCATGATTGTTGTCATGCAATATATAATATTTAACCAATTTTTATAGCACTGTTTTGTTTATGTGATATTTATGATTAAATAATTATACCTTATTAGAAACAAAAAAGTTAAAAGCAGTCTTGATCCTGTACTCCGTTAAAATGATGTAATAGGCCCCTCCACAGTATTTTGCCCTCTGTAGTATATTTTTCCTTCATTATATTTGATAAAATCTTTTCATATCTCAAGAAAAAGATGAAGGAAACCAGTATTTGCAACTGACCTTAACTTTTTGAAATAGTTTTGAGGGAAAGGAAATGCCATGTAAGGGAAACTACTGTAGAATGACCCAGGAGATTAAGAAAAGGAGAGGTGGTTTTAACTTTGTACTGAATAATTGTTCAGCTTGTGGAACAGATATCAAATGGCCAGTTTGATCAATTTAAAAAAAGGAAAGAAAAGGTATGTGCTTATAATCAATAAAACTTGGAAAAGATCTTCTAAAGGTTTTGTAAACCTTACAGATTACTTTTCCTTTTAGATTGTTGTAATCTCTGATCTTTGATGATTGTGTTTGAGTGAAGATGCCTGATTCAGACTCTTTTCCATCTGATGCAAGGCGTAAAATGCTTTTCTCATGTTCTTTGCTGAAAGCATGAAAAGAGATCCAATTCAAGAATTGAAGGATCATTAGGTTTTATTTGCCTGATAATCTGCTGAAGATGTCTTTATAGGAACAGTATATGTCCACTTTATACAGAAAGTCTAAGATTCTTATTGATTGCCTGCAACTCACTGCTTGCCAACCGAGAACTCTGGTTGTCAGGCATTACCTGATTACTTTATTATAGAGCTGAAGTGAAAGCCTTTGAAAGGGGACTGATAAGAAAATTAAGCAAATGAACTTAATACTATTGATTTCTATTTTCTCATTTGAGACATAGTTAATAACTATTAGGTAAATGTATATCTCTGTCAGATTGTACACATGATGCCTTACTATGATATACTTTGAGGTATTACTTATTAAACTTTTTCTACTTAGTCCACAACATATAAGGTTTATTCTGGAAAAAGATCCTGTGTGTAATTGTGAATTAAGACTTCACATGAATTCTTGGTTAATAAATTATTCATGAAATAGTCCCTCCAGTTGAAGACATATCACCACTTCATCTGCCACTTGGTTGCCCGAAGTCCAAATACTAGTGGGTCATTGACGTTTTACTGTCCTCTCTTCAGGAAAATTGTAAAATGGATCCTTTGAAACAAATACGCTATGTAATTGATAATGACACTGCCCTATTTGTCATCTAAGACTGCTATTAAATGACATAATATTGTTTACTGATTAGTAAGTGTATCTTAATATAGTACATACAATGATTTAAAAAGTACTTTATGATCATTTGAGAACTAAGAAAAATTAACTTATAAAACATTACGATAGGTGCATGTTTTAAAAATTGCATATTTTCAATTTGTTATGATAACTGCTGAAACAGGTCATAAGGATGCAGTGCATGATTATAAGATATGATATTTGTATTCCAGTCTCAGTTTTCAGAATTAATATAATTTAAAATCTGCTAAGCCTTTATTCCATATTATTTACAGAAGAGAAAATCCTATGTGGATTATTTTTGAGATACTAAATACCATTCATTCTACTTTGTGTGGATTTAATATATATATATATTTTTTCTACAATGTGTGTTTCCATCCAAATGTCTGTATGTACACATTACTCTATTGATTGTAAGTGAAATGTTTGCTGAGTTTACAATTGCAAAGTCAGCTTACAGTCTATACATACTCTGGGACAGAATATTTCTGTTTTATGTGCTGAGTGTAACCAACTTATTTTTCAGTGCTTTATGTTATTTGAGAATAGTAGTCTAAAGTGCAGATGGATAGGTTACACCCAAGATGAACCCTTTCCACATAAATAAGCCAAATTAGTAATTGTTAAGGCAGACTACGTTGGTACTTAGAACTTTGATTATTGTTTCAGGGATTAAAACCATGGAGAAGACTAAATAGCACCAGTTGAAGTAAGAAAAACATGTAAATTATTGCTCCTGAAGGATGTTGCTGTAACTGCTGGTGCCACAACTATTGAGCCAATTATCAGCTGTATTAGGTGAGCCATTATTAGATTAAGACTTCTTGATGCATGTACAGGGTATAAGTGATGGGATACATTACCAGCATGTATTTCTTTGAATCATTTTACATAGTAAAAAAAGTATTTTGAGTCTTTGTTTTGGTCCATGGATTTAAGTATTCAACCAAATCACTTTTGGATGAACCAGTGGCAAATTTTTGAAAAGAGATAGTGCTTGTGGTATTACTTAAAGAAGAAAAGATTATCATTTACCTTTTTAAAAAAGATTGTAAACAATACATCTAGCCAAGCATTTATTTGATTTCACATTACAGTGTCCTGCACTCTGCTGATGGTCTGGAATGTGTTGGTGTATCATGGCTGTAAAAGTGGGATATTAATGTCTGTGTGATTATTCTGTTGTATCTACTGGATATAATTTTATATAGTCACAGTCTTCAATAACAGCTTTATGCTTAAGCAAGCTTCCTTTCCTGTTTCCATTTTTACAAATGAAAACATGTGGAACATGTTGAACTCAGGACCCATTTTATGGACGCCTTGGCAAATGGTTGTTGAGAAGAGTGCACCCCCCACCCCTCCCCAGCAACAGTCTTTCTTTTAAATTACATTACTATTGTGGTGACATTGTTTTTTTTTTTTCACAATGGAAGGTATGGCTGAATGCTGCTTTCGTAACCAGGTGGTTGTTATGGAATAATCTATGAAATTACCACAGAACACACATCAAGCTTGCTCTGGTTGAATTGGACCAGTATGGGATCAGGTAAGCCATGTACATTTTGGTTCATTTCTGTTTGATTTATAAATATTTTTAGGCCTAGTTTATTACCATGTTAAAGTTTTTGGGTTTCAGTCATATAAGTATTGCTAATAAGGCAAAATAACTCTTAGTTCATTCCTGCAGTTAAGTCTGTTGTTGTAGTACTCACTGTTGAAACAAAAGAAACTTATAGATCGGTGCTATATTGATTGCTCAAACATTTGTTAGAATAATTGAATATTTCTCATTCAAAAATTATAGATCTGAATTTAAATGTAAATAATGAAAGTGATAGTAGTGTTGGTGGCTGGCCTGTATAGGCCAATCATTGAACTCCCCATTTCTCTCTGGTTAGATTGGCACTGGTAATGAGCAAATGTATAGCAAGTTCCATCGTGGGACAACTTAGAAATGATTTTTTCAGATGCTTAGGATATTAATTTGATAACAAGACAATATAAGAGGTAGTGGGGGGGGGGGGGGGTTAAGCTGGTATAGTTTTGGACAGCTCACCATTATTGTGAAAGCTATATATTGTCACTGTGCAGAAAAAAGTGGTGGTGTAACATAAAAAACGTAACATGTTACAGGTAGTTGTTGCAGTTATCACCTTGGTACCAAACAAACAACTTGCTTTGACATACTGTTTTAGTTCTTACAATTTGTTCACCATGACTCACTACTGTTTCAGTAACACTTTCAGCACCACCACCACCAAGAATTACATTATATACATGTATGTTGTTAATATGACATATAGGCATTAGGAAAAGCACATTTAAATATTTTTCCCTTGCAAAGTGAAAACAAGATTAAATTAACAGATATGACCAGAAGAAATTAATAACTTGGTCAATGAGTGCAACTGCCCTATATTTATTTTAAATTTGTTTTATTCCATTTTAATGGAAAAAACATGGTATTGGTCAGTAAGTGGAGGGAAGACAGCATTCGCAACAGCGGATTAATAGATCTGCAGATCAAATATGGCTGACCCACTTGAATGCTTGTCAGTTAATCCCAACAGGGAATCTGTCCAGTGTCTATAAGGGGATTATTTGGCAAGCTTTTAAGTGGTCGCAGTAGATCTACAGACCAAAGTTATGATTGACCCTAGGAAAAACCTTAATGCTGGTTATGCTCAAAAACATGCACTCTATGAATTTGGCATTTCTTCCCCTCAAAAAAAAAAAAAAAAAAAAAAAAAACCACAATATACCCCTGAAATTTAACTGCTATAATCCTTAAACAATGTATAAACAAAAAAACAAAAATTAACTCTGTCTGCTGACCCAGTTTACAGAAAGTCTCCACTTGTTTATAACTTCTTAGTTTTGTCTTTCCTAATATATACCTAATCATTTTTAGAATTTTTCTTTCAGCTGTCAGTGTATCTTTTATCACAACAAGTAGCATACTTCTTTGAGCACCAGGTTGTATTTTTCGAAATGGGTTCTGAGAGGGCTTCTCAACAAGCATTGAACTTTGGCTTCATAAATGCTGGAAAGTGATAAAAAACAGATCTCCTTGATATTGACATATGTGTTGGGACAAAATAGAAGATATATTTGGATTTGAATGGAAAGTTTTGGAAAGTGCTAACTTTCCATGGCAACTGTCATCAATGCACAAAAAACTTCTTAACTGTATGAAAGTCATTTTTGTCCATAGTTTATAATAAAATTAAATTTGTGTTGTTGCATCTTGAAAAGGGGAGTTGTTATGTATATATAGTAGTAGTGTACATTGAAATGATATCTATTTTTGGAAATGAACAGAACTAATGCCAACTTTGTAAAAAAATGCACAGAACTTTCATTGAAAACTTTAATTTGAGAAAAGTAGCAAACAGCAAGTTTCTTGCAGCAGTGATAACAGTTCTCACTCTTGGCAATAGGTGGCAGTACAGACTGACTTTTTACTGAGAAAAAACTGTTATTTATGTTGCATGGGCTTCAAAGTACAACTTGATCTTCAGCCAGGAGCAGCAAATAGTGCCTTTTTTGGCCACTGTATGCTACTAGTAAAATTACTCTACAAATAGATGGATTTTTGCATTGATATTCACATTATGCTGAAGGCATTATTTGAAACACTTTATCCACTTCTGCCTTCATAATGCGCCTTACATTCGTGCTCTTCAGAACTATATTCATCTGGATTGTGTTAATGTTTCTTAAGCTACAGTCTTGTGAAACTAGTCAATAATTTCAGCTATGTCATGTTTCCGGGAAATCCCAGTGCTGGGGTATTGTAGGTTACTATTCAACTGAAAGGGTGTCACTGAAAAATCATTGCCTTTTAAATATTTGTCTGAGCTAGCTTGATATTTATGCATGTTTGCTGTGGAAATTTTGTGTTACGATGACATACATCTAGGGCATTAGCCAGGCAACCATCCAGCTGTCTTTTGGAACCCTTGTTTCATTTCTGGGCAGTTAATTGTTTAGGATTTCTTTTCTTGGAGCATAAAAAGCCTAGATCTAGTAAGAAAAAATTGTAGTCCCCCATGATTGCAAACCCCTTGTAAAACCTCCGTGTATGTTAAAAATTGAAATGAGAATTTAAAGGATTAGAGGTAAAACTTAAGTATGGTGTGCCTTTTGTAATATGTGACTTCCAATATATATTGAAGAAGTTCATACGACTTGATCTCATTTATGGGAGACATTATTTATTTAACTGCAATAATCTCCAGTTTCTTCAACACTATCCTTTTAGGTGAAAGGTTTATCATAATTAGCAAGGCAAGGAGAGAGGAAGTGCAGTAAATCTAAGCAAAGAATTCAATTATTCTCATACGCTTGGGAAATAGTCTGAGTAAACCAGCTATTGGATAAAAAGACAATTTCAGGAGACTCCAAGCTACATCTGTGTAACATAATATCTAGTACTGCTTCCAATATATGTTTTTATTGGGCTGTAATGACAGAATTGCCCTTATAGTTGACCACTACTGCCTTGGAAGACTGATCATGTCATTTTGAAATGAAACAATAGAAAATTTCTGCAGTGTCATCGACAATTTTGTATTTTTTTTCAGCCATTGCTCATTTTAGTTTTTAGGGCAATAATACACAACAAATATATTGTACATTTTTGAGGCCACTTTTCTTTTAATTAGCCAAACCAATGAGTGCATTTAGAACAAATATCGCCAGTATCGGACCAAATATGGCTGGCCCACTTAAAAGCAATGTCGACTAATCCCCTGATGCTCTTCCTGCCTCACATGTGCTATTGCTGCAGGGGCCTAGCAATTGAACCTTTAAGTTGAGATTTAATCCATCTTATGCCCCTATTTCACACAGACCACGAAGCCCACGAATGGCCAGGAATTGACAATTTTCACGAATCGTGGTTGAATCGTAATCAGCTCGTGAAGTTCTTAACAGATTCGTATATATTCGTAGTCAGTTCTTGCACTTCGTGACCAACAGGAATTGGTGGCAAAAACTTTGATGCCCCTATTTCACACAGACCACGAATCCCACGAATCGCCAAGAATTGAAAATTACAGGATTCTTTGGTTGAATCGTAATCAGTTCGTGAAGTTCTTAACAGATTCGTATATAATCGTAGTCAGTTCTTGCAATTCTTGATCAATCGGGAATTTGTGGCAAAAAATTTAAGCTGTTCAAAGTTTTGGCCACGAACTCCCGATTCCAAAAAATCGTCGTGAATTTCTGGACAATATTCGTGCAATTCCAGCCGAATCCCACGACTATTCGTAACACTATCGCACCTGTATCATAACTGAATCGTAGAGCGTGTCGAATTAGACCAGAAAATTGGCAAAATCTCACGATTCCAGCCGAATCCCACGAATATTCGTAACACTATTGTACCTGTATCGTAACTGAACTGTGAGCGTGTCGAATTAGACCAGAAAATTGGCAAAATCTCACGAATCCTGAAATTTCTCAATTCCTAGCGATTCGTGGGGTTCGTGGTCTGTGTGAAATAGGGGCCTTATGGCGCGTGTGGAGGCAGAGAGACCATCAGGAGATTGGGGGGGGTTGTTTTTTAGTCGGATCAGCCATATTTAGTCTATGGATCAGTTAGTCCGCAGATCATCTATTCTGAATGTGACCAATGGTAACATTCTTTCCTCTTAGTAAACATGGTAGGTGAGCAGGAGTAGTAATTTCATTAGATGGGATGTAACATGTCAAAATTTGAAAGATGTAAGACAGTGCAAGCCTGTAGCCATGGGGGGTTTGGGGGGGGGGAGGGAGAAAGAAACCCCCATTTTGCCAGGAAAATGCCCCCTCTGGGTAAAATTTTATGTAGGTACATGAAAGTTTCATTGTAAAAGGTCCACTTTTTCAGACTTTTGAAATTGTTGACTACAGGCTTGCAATGAACATGCCATGTACTGCCTTTTGAAAAGATTAATTAAAACATTTGTATTGTGAATTGTACAATGCTAGTTAAATTAATGCCATCTCATTCAATTCTGATTGTTTTCATTCTACTGCTAAAAGATAGATCTCCATTGCATGTTTTGTAATTTATGGATAATGATTTCCAGAACTTTCAAAGTCTGGCTGCCACTCAGTGAAATATGACGTACATACCTTGCTACATGCATTTATCATTTAATGAATACAATATATACAGACTATTTTGTACAGTCGAATTTTAATTATTTTTTATTAAAGTGCTCTTGCCAGTTTCACTATAACCTATGCAAAAAAAAACATCAAATGTTGAAAAAAAAATGATCCCAGTTATGCCCCATTCCCTACATTGATTTGGTCCAATCTGAAATTGTTTACATCATTGTTATGTATCCCAACTGTAAAGGAAATTTTATTGGAAAGCAATATTTAACTTCACACACTATGTAGAAAGTGCAGTGTGGTAGAACACATCCAATGCCACGTGCATGATTGTGATAGCATTCAGTGGGGAATACAGAGAGTGCTTATTATGTGGAATGATATAATGGATCATGTACTACAGGTAATTGTAGAGAGGCTGCACTGACATCACTGTGAGGCACGGGTGATGATTCATGAAATAATCCAAATGCATGTATAATGAGGGACCTGGATGAAAAGTCAAGTGGAACGGCACCTTTATCACATGCCCTCAGGTCACAAGGGGTTTGATAAGAATATTATATATATTCCCTAAGTATGTAGATATCCACCTAGCTTAAGTGCCCACCTTCTGTGGAGTTTGGCATACATTCCAAGTGCACTATAAAAGGGACTGTTGGATTTGGATGCTGGCTTATTTTATCTTATAATAATTCAGGTCCCTGAAAATGGAGGAGAGAGAAGAAAACTCAGGTATGACAGGAGCTGCTTGGAGATGTACTGAAGTTGTGGAGCTAACCATTTTTTCCTTTTTAGATGTTTTAAAACCTTTTATGAGTATCTCTGTGTTGGTGTGATGTCACTATTATATTAGTTCTACTGTAATTATTGGTGAAGTGATGCAGTGTTGTTCTAAACTACAGGTGTGTGTGTGGCAGAGTGGATTGCTGTCACTTTGGATTCCCTTCATGTCTGACTGACCTTGCTATTTTTTCATAACGTCACCTTCCTGGGTTGCATTACTCTGTGTAACAAAGAATGTAGCTTATTCCAACCATTAATACACATCATACAAACTTTCACATCTTAGACTAAGACTTTGTATTAAAGTCTTACTGTAGTGTATATTTTTGAACTTATTGCTACATTGTATTGATCTGTTCATAAGACTGATTTGCAAAGGAATGAATTTTGATTTGGTCTTGGTGCTGATATATACACAGTCCCATAAAAACGTTTTTATTTCCATCATGAACATTTGATTTGGTGACAAATTTGAAAAATCAAAATGCATATATATGTATATTATTTTGTAGTATGATTATTAATGTGTCTGTATACAATAACATGAAGCTATTTTTTTATAAGTTTTTTTCCTGTTTAGAATTTTCAAAATGTTCAAAGCCAGCATTGTTATTTTGTTATATTCTCTTGTAGTCTGGCTGGTTTAAAAGAAATTTTATTTCCTGCTTCTGTGTAATACTTATTTTTTGCATTTTCTTGCTCCTGTAATTTTCAGTTGTTCCTTTTCACATTTGTTATTTGTAAGCCTTTCTGTCTTATTGTATGTTTGGGGCTGGTGTGTCAAAGTGCTCAACTGTGAGTGAATATAAATAAATGAAAGGGCTTGGTAATGTACATGTAACATCCTCCCCACTCATGCATAAGTAAACATCTAGCTTCAGTATTGTGAAGAATGTATTACCAATGACACATCTGCAGAAAGACCAAACCCTCAGGAGTTCACAGGAACCAAGAACAAACTTTGAGTCAGTATAAATGGACTAAAAGAGCACATTTCCTCACTGCTTTTGTACATTTTGTTTGAGTATTTTTTTTGGTAATACATTCTAGCTGGTATGCATGTCCGTTCCTTGCTTTTAATATTAAAAAAAAAAAAAAACCTCTTGACCCACCTGTTACAGGTTTTGAAACCTGAAAGAAACTTAAGCAGGTTATGTTGCTTATTTTTTAAACTTGTAATATGCAATCTGCATGCTAGAATTTGTTAGCTTTGATGGCAAGTTGGAAATAATTTTTATTTTGTATGTGTGTATGTATGTGTGCATGTGTGGAAAGGCTACCAGCAAGTTGTTTGTTATTTTGTGGCAAGAAACAAGGAAATAATTAATAATGAAACCAAAAATGATCATTTGTCTTGGGATTTGAAGTTTTTATGCCACCTGACCTGATCGATTAACATGGATATGAATGAATTGCATGTGTCTGCTTGGCCTATTGCTTGGTATGGTTGAATCCTGAGGGAGACCTCTAAATTAGTTATGGTATTCCACTGCATTGATCAGACTGGTGCCTTTCTTGTAAACCTGTCAAGAGACTTTCTAAACATGACACTTTGGTGGTGGGCAGGTCTGAATATCAAACCACAAACCAAAGACCCCATTCACATCCAGTGGTGTATTGTATAGCTGCACTAAAAATATTATTAATTAGTGGGTATATTTGTTTTTTTTATTATTATTATTTGCATACTTAGATATAATGATTTGTGATCTGTGTTCAGCTTGTGGTGTATTTGGAGGGTAACAGGCATTCTTTAGGAGTTCTGTTTGTTTTATTTCTTGGTATTCTTAGATTTTTATCATTAATTTGCCAGGGAAATTTCAAGATGCAAAAGAGATACACAGACAGATGGCCAATTAGCAGCCACCATCAATATCACAGAGCTCACGCACAATACAGAGATTACCAAAATTCAGAACATTTGATGCTCTTACAATCTCTCTTCCTAGCAGTTATAATTTTATGCTCAGATAAGGATTGTTACTATCTTAAATATAAAACCATTTGTTGGATAAATGCTTAACATTTCTCATGAAAATCTTTTCTTTATATTAAGAACTTGCTTTTTTTGCACATAAATGATGTTAAAAGTCATTGTGCATATGGACCTTTGGCCTTTTAAGAGATATAATTGATCTTTTTACTAGCAGTAGTCTCTCTCTCTCTCTCTTTTCTACTATTTGTCAGCTTAATTTTAGCCTTTGCTTTTATTGATGTTCAGATTTTAACATGGATCATAAGACTTATAATGAAAAAAAACCCAACTAAGAAAACATCTTATGTAATATAATCAATAATATAGCAGGTAGTTGATATTTGATATGATTACATAGTTCTGGATGGCATGCAGTTTTGCTGTGCAGCCTGCAGTCTGCATTTTTTATCTGCATTGTACATCTGCTGCTTTGCCTGGTGTGATAATTGCCCCAAAACAAAAGATCCTCTGAGTTACCATGGAATGATACCAAAAGCTTATGGAAAAAACTAGTCACTCTTGTCACTTCAGAAGCAATTTGATGTTGTGCTTTTAATATCAGCATCATCAGATGTAACTGTATTGACTCTAAAACCTGTTTAATTACCTTTTTTGGTTAAACAGGTGTCTTTTTATATTGTATAGGTAGCACTCTTAGTTTTAAGCCAGTGACAGGGCCTGTACTTAAAACAAGCCTCTGTACACCAATTTTCTGTGTTTGTTTCAGTGTTCTGTTACTCAAGATGAAAAGATGTGAACAGTTGCAAACTATGTAATTCAACATGTTTTTCACATTTCTTTGTTGACCTAGTATTAACATTTTAACAAAAATTTACTGAGATCTATTTTAGTCCTTGGCAGCTACATGTAGTTAAACCAATGCCATTAAGTTTAAACTGAATACTTTTAGATGCATATTACCATACACAGAGGTAGTTATTAGACCCATCCTGTGCCATCCACAAATTATTATGTGGTGGCCATTTAATGTGTATGCAAAGTCAGCTGAGCTGTACATTAAAAAGTTATATGTGCACACCAAAAGGATGGCTGAACTATAGAAAATATGGGGCGGGAGGGGGGGGTGGGGGTAGGCGCCCTTACATGTTTCTCTTGAGAAAACATCTGAGAAAATCATTTAAGATGAACTGGAAGATTGCCATTTACCACTGAGATATTCATCTAGATTTACATAAACATAGTGTTTTTTTTTTCAATGATCGAGTTTTGCAAATTCAAAACCCATGAATACAGCTTAAGCTAAAGATACGACACTAATGCGTATGATGATTGCTTGTTGATTATCTTTATCTTCATGATAATCACTTATTTATTCAAATTGGAACTGTACTGTTGACATGAACACTGTTTACGGTTTTGATAGTCAGGGTTGATATAAAAAGATGACTCATAAAATATTTTCTAATTTCTAGATATATCAATTGTATTTCACATTTTTGATAGATGATAAGGGCCCATGACTTAATTTCTACTGTGTCAAAGTTTTAAAATGTTGTCTCATTGCATGTACAGCATGCAAGGAGGTCTGAACTTTCACAAATTGCCAGACAGTCAAAAACAGGTTTCTTCTCAGTCTGAAGTTCAGGCCAAGTGCCAGACAACAAGAAAACATTGCTTATCTATGAAGTCTAAACCCAGGAGACACTTATAACCATGTCACAGTGTAATTTGAAAAGTACCTCTTAGGATTAATTGATTATGGAAAACTTTGGCAAAAGAAGGCATATGGTAGTAACTAATATAATGATGGTTAATGATCAGCTGCACTGCACAGGACCAACTAACGATGTTTAAAAGACAAAAAAAAAAAAAAGGCTTTGTTGTGTGAACTTAAAGAAAGATGATTGTGTTTTGGCAGTGAACACAATGTGATGTTCTCAACTGACACAGTTGAAGGACAGCTTTCTCACCCAATGTTATTACACCCTGGTAATTATGCAAAGAGTACTAGTACTAGTTTCACTATTTGCTGTGCTATTTAAGATAAGTTATGGTTACAAAAAGTATTTTAGATTATGATAGAACAGGGCTTGATTTTATGGATTAATACTGATATTTCATTTCCAGAGAGTATGCTTTGGTGTTTATAGTACTTTTTCTTTAGGTGCATCCTATTCAAAGCAATATCAGGCTTTTTTTTCATACCAGTGACTTTTCTATAATTTGTCAACTATTGTTGATTGCATCTTTATTTTTGAACAGTGTGTCAACAACATCTGTTTTATTTTGTCTTTCAGGAGCCAGCAGCTGCTTGTGCTCTAATGCCACAATGGTGCAGCCACAGGGTGCACGACCCATGCACCAAAGAGCCCCGAAGATTGGAGACTTGCCCAGGTGAGCCTTAGTTAAATCTTTATGGAATTTTTATGGTCATTTATTGCACTGAGTGTATCATGCAACTGGAAGTAGATTTCACATGTAACCACCACCTATGCTTATTCATTCAGCAGTGCTTGTTGTACCAATGTTTTTATTAGTGTTTGAGCTAATTTTTTTAAGAATTAAAATTAAAGTGTTGATTACGATATTGAAATATTTTCAGTTCTCATGAATTACTGGTGAGCTAATTCCTGATATATGAATTGGACATTGCTGGAGTAGATGTAGACAAATGGGAATAGCATTGTGTGTAATGGATTGAAAATAAGGGTAATAGAAATTGCATATATGCACTATTAATGGTTTACCTTATCAAACTTAGAACCCAAGCATTTACAAGCAATGCAAGTTGATCAGACAGACCATAAACCTTAGATGAACTTGTGAAGCTGCAGGCCTGGCTAGCTTATAATCTGCCCCAGTAGTGCCATCATTCCATTCTGCTTTAGGCATTAGAGATGCATTACTTCATTTTGCAAATACTAGTAACGCAACTTTGTGATGTAACAAGTTAATGTTTTATGCACCTGGTTTTGAAAATATATGAGTTTGCTTACCTTATGTTTTTTGTTGAGCAGTTGTCTATTCCAGTCCATGTAGCCAAATTCTGCAGAAATCTGCCTACTCAAATACAACCTTTGATATCAGAAACGGAAACTGCTCTGTAATCTATATATTGGAAAAAGAAATGCATTTGATTATTTGAGGTTCATATTTTATTCAGAGTTAAAAGCATCGTGTGTTTATAAAGTCAGGCTTTTTGTTCTCAGGAAAACTGGTTATGATTTGTTCTAATGGATCCAATGACTTCCGCAGTAGCAAAACAAAATGAGCTTTGTTATCAGTGCAGTCAATTTGGGCAAGACTCGCTGCTGTTTTCTGTCACTGAGGGTCAATCAGGATTGCTAGTATTATTTTGTTCCTATTGTTTTTCAAATCAAGCTAAATAAATCAGAAAATGATAATGTGATAACAATGAGTAATGGGCTCTGTTGGAATATAGAGAACAGTCTTTACATTTTGCAAAATTCTGACAGGTTGATGCATATGTTGACTATAATAGTTTTGAAATTGTACAGTTTACTACCTTCCCCTGCTAGTACAATGTAGATAGATCTGAAAATATGCAAATAAATATCAGCAATTTATGTGTATGTGTGCATGTATGTGTGTTTGAGTATGTTTGGGGGGGGGGGGCAAATAGAAAGAAAATTCCCCATGGGTTATCATGCTATTATGGGAATCTGTCATCTGCACTTTAAAGAAGACACATTATTTGCTTGGCCAAGTATTGTCAAAGTAAAGAAAAAATCCTCAGGTAGTTTGGGGCTTAGTTTTGTTTCAAATGGTACATAATGACAAAAATTGAGTCTGCAACCAGTTACCTTGAATAATTAATCTCCTCAATTGTAAATCTCCAAATGGTGATGTTTCCACATACCAATAATGTGATTGATAGGCCTGTCTCTGTTTCTATTTTGTATGGGCTATTTGTTTTGTCAATCGATTGATCTCAGTGCACACTTCTTTAGTTGGCAGATTGCCGCTTTCCTGACCACTCAGGTGCCAGCTTATGAGAATCAATAACAAAAGGTGCTTGTAAAAAGCGGCACAGTTGATAGGCCAATTCTGCTGGGATAGACGTAGGGTAGAAAGTGTCCCAGATTGAACGTCCTCGAGTTTCATTGCTCGGGGACTGACGTGTTTAAATCATGAAGCAGCATTGCGGAAGGTTTGGTGGGTAAGTTCAGTGAGATATGCTGTGGATTAGATCTGACTCTCCGTTGTTTCATTGTGTGAGCTCTATCATTAGTAAAAAAGATTAACTTCAGCGTAAGTTAAACTGATTTAGAAATATACACCAGCAGAATGGTAGGCTATAGTCTGGTTTGTTCAGATGAGATATAGAATAAATTCATGTGTAACATCTACATGTACACCTGGTTATGGAATGAACCCCTTTTTTTTTTTTGATATAGTTGTGTAATTGTTTATTCAGATGAAAAAGTGTGCTATACTTTTGACAACAAGAAGACTGAAATATGTGCTTGCCAGCTAGGCATGTTAACTTGGGCATGGTAACTTGGGACCATCATATGATCTCATATGTGTGGAAAATTCTAGCCTGTTCTAAAAAGTAACATATATGAGTTTCTTTTAATCATGCATGAAATCCTTTATGGATGCTACTGCTAGATGTTTAAGAACAATATTTCTCTCTGTGCTCAATAGAAAGAATGAATCTGACATTTGTAATTGATAGTTGAAACTAAGTGTGCCAATGATTAAACTGATCCACCCTTCCTACACAATAACCAGGTGAATAGAACAATTCATGCAAGAAAAAGATATCCTGTTAGATCCTGTTAGTGGTTCTTGCCTAATACATCACTGGTAAGACTGGCAGCCTTCCATTTAACAGATTTAATAGGAGAAATTCTCAGTTTAGAGTTTGCATACTTAACACTGCTGGCCTTGGAGGATCATACAGTCACTTGGCTTATGTCACTGCTCAGTGGGATTTAGTTCCCTGCATGCTGTATGAGGGTATCAGATAGCATGCTACAGCTGACCAGCTGCACACACACACAGCTCATTGGGCCCCAACATACTGGACTGGACTGAGTATGGAGGAAAGAAGAGGTTAAGTGGCCCAGGGTTTTGCACACCAAAAACAGATTATTAGGCAAATAAAACCAAAACTGGCACATGTAAGTGATGACTGAATACCAATATGCAAAGTTGGATTTAGTTCTTATGTAACCATGGATTGGACCTGAAATACACTTGGTTGCATTATACAAGATGCATTGAGATATTTTCCTTCTTTATTTTTTTTAATGCTTCTGTTGTAAACATGCATAGAAGTAAATACATTCTGTAAGCATAAACACATGCATGTGAACTGAAATTTACATGCAAGAAACAAAGAGTTCATTACCATTGCTCTCTTGGTGTAGCCATGCATACAACAGAGATGCCAAGTGAAGTTCAATTCTGGAGGTTATCATAGCGAAGAGGGTTTTTAATGCTATTTTCATTGCAAGGGGACAGTGCATAATTATGTATACCACTCCTGATAACAGCATTGGTTGAATTTATAAATGAAATGATTTCATTCCTTGATTTTTGGATAGAAAATTCCTTGCAAGAATATTTTACAGTTTGGTGTCAGTAATTAATTTTTAAAAAATTGTCTCTTGTGTTGCTAACACTGGAATGACACCAACACAAATCAGCCAGCACTGAGAGCACTGGTTGGATGTATATATGTGGAATAATTCGGTCAGCTCAGGAGGCAATGTCATCTATTCATCTGAGGACTTCAATTTTTTTTTTTTTTTTTGAAGAAGAAGAAAAATACTTCTATCAGTCACTTTGCATTAATTCTAAGTGCCAGTCATATGTTGACAGGTGGGTTACACTGAGTAAGACTGTTTGCTCCTCCTGTAGTCCATGCTGAATAGGTGAGAACATGGCTGTAGGCCTTCAGGTTGTTTACTGGTTTAAGATTCCACGACATGTACAGAGAGGCCCATGTAGCTAAATGTAAAATGAGCAATTATCCCTATACTATTAGTTATCCCAATATTTTTGGTCAGCTATTTTTGGTAAAAGGCAAGTGATGCTTTTCTCACTGTGGAAGATTTATGGCTAAATTAATTTTACATTAGGTCTAAATTTTTGAAACAATTTTTTTTCTAAAATGCTATATTCATTTTTTTGTGCATACATCAATCAAGAAATGTTATCTTGGATACAAATCTTGTGATCCAGAAAGTTGGACGTGAATTCATGAGATGGGGTTTGGAAGGAGGGGGAGGGGGAGGGGGTGTTGAGACTTAAAACCAGGAAACTGCCATCTAGAATACTTGGCAGGTATGAAGGTATGGATACTCCTTACTAACCAAACTCACATATGTGCACACACATACACACACACACACACACACACACACACACACACAGCCTGCTTCATGATGAAATCAGTTCACATCTGCATTATGCAATTTGTTCATCAGCTATATTTGCTTGATGTGGGCTTTTGCTTCTTTTTGAATAAAAATAAGTTTATTTTTATATTGTGAGGATTTTGCAGCCCACTTATATTCAAAATTGAAACTAATGTAGTTTAGCACTTCCAGGCAGCTTTGATGGTTTGTTCATTCAAGCATATGAAGATTTGCAGGATTTCCATTATGGAAAGTGATGGGTTGTTTGGGTTATTTTATTCCTAGACAAAACCTCATATATTTTGACAGGGTTTTTAGAGCTGTAAATTCATACAGATCTCTGAGGTAGTACTTCTACTATTCAAGTATGTAAAAAAAGTAACCCTCTATAACTCCTGTGCTGGAAATCGATTCCCATTATCCTCACCATTAATGGGTGAGTACAGCAGTTATCACAACATAAAAACTTGATGAGGAAGGATATTTGAGCCTCCCTGATGGTGCATTCCTTCCCCCCTTCAGTTTCACTCGATGATAACTTTCCAGTAAAACCAGTATATCCAAATCCCAGATAATTCTGTTGCTAAGTTGTTAGTATATATACTGACTGGTATTACAGGCATCTAACAAAGAAAACATCTAGTCAAGATTAGAAGTGATTTCGGGATGATGTTCAAGTAAAGTAGTTGTCACGTTATTTTCCCATTGTAAGGCTTACTCCTGTCTAGGTACATACATTGTTAGGAATGGGTAGATAACATCTGGAAGGTTTGACTCGATCAGGCAAACGCAAGAAATCAATGAGTAGAAATTCCATGGAGACCAAGTAAATGAAATTTGCCTTCAGGAATTGGTTATGAGTAACATTATCTTTGAAATAGGGAGTATTCATAATTGAAGAAAAGCTGCGTGCTTTTGTCACTGAAGGCATGTGATGTGCTGTGATGATCGAGACAAAGTAGATACCTGTTGCTTCTAAAGTCAGAGCACCTGACGTGAGCTTAATACTTGGTGACTGGTAATAGCAATGACATTTACTTTGTTCATCTCCATCAAAACCACGCTCTTACATGATGTGCTGCTTGAACACAGCTGATTAAACAGCCTTTATAAACAAAACTGCTGTTTGTGACTTAAAGCCACAGATTAATGATTGCAGTCGCTGAATTAATGACTTAAAATGCACCAGGAAGTGACTCCACATACAAATGAGATTATTTCATAATCTTTATTAATATGCAAAAATATGTAGATGTAGTAGATTACAGGAATGAATGGAATCAGTTTGATTAATTTTAATGCTTTTTTATTAATTTTTTTTAAAAACGATAATGTTAATTTTGTTAATAATGTTAATAGAAGGGTTGATAGAAACATTTGTTGAATGAATTACTAGTACGAACATATGTTGAGAAAAAGAACCTGTATGTAAACAGTGATAGACCCATGCAGAAACCCGACAAATTGTTTACAGTTCATAATGCGATGCTCATAGCCAGTATTTTTCCAAGACTCAGACTATGAAATTGCAGTTTAAGTTATTAATTCAGCAGGCAATGGCAATCACTAATCTTTTCTAAGTCACAAATAAATTGTTTATGAGGCCTGTTAAAGCCCCCCCCCCCCCCAAGAAAATGAAATCGAAGCTAGGAAAAAAATCAAAAAGTATGAAAGGTGTAGTTTTATCTTTTGTAAGATAAAGGGCCAAAGGGTAAAAATTATATTAACATTTCCAAGGATGCCTGTTCCCACTTGCTTTACATCATTTTCAAGGAATATTGCACCTGAATCAATTATCACCAGAGACTACTTTCAATGTGATTGGCACTGGCAAAGGAATCATCTTATTGCAGATTTCATGCAGGAGGATTGACATGCAATATATTGTCAAGGTGTATTAGAGGAACATAGAGCACATCACTCCATCTACTGTGCTGCAGTGACTTGTTTTAATTTTGATAACTTGCCTTGCTGTATTTGATTTAATATGACATGCTCAAAGAGTTTTTTGCATGTGTTTTGCAAATGGTGGGGTACGAGTGAAGGGGAAATTCCACCCATTAGGGCCACTATAGTCACTCTCAGCTACAGGTGAGTATAAGTTATGCTGAAAAGAAATCTTGTGCTAGGTAAAACAGGTGTTGTCAGTTACCCATATGCCTCATACACTGTAAGAATTTCTATTAAGATACAGGCGTAGACATCTCAGAAAAATATTATTTCTCATTATAATCTCTACATATCTTACCATTTTTATCAGCTTGGTAATATAAGAAGAACTAGTGTTATTTTTCCCTGCTGAGTAGCCAGTTCCTTTCAGAGAATTTATTAGAAATCTCAATAGGTTGCCTGAGAGGCCCTTGCTATGATTCAAGTTAGCTCTTTACATCTTACAAAATTTAAAATGGCAGTGTTTTTATGTAATAAGCATAATCAAAAAATACTTATTTGAAAAAATTATATGACATTTCCTCTGCCATGGAGGTATCAGATGTTATTCAGCTGACTGTTTTGACTATCACAGTCTATATTGATGTTAAACATGCTGTTTACTCGTATTGATCTCGACTAAGTAACATCATCATCAGCAGTATTTTTCCCTTTTCAGGAATCGTGTTGACAATCGTTAAATCTTTTGGGTGTCACACAGCATTTTCAGTAGAAATATACATTCGTTTTGATTTTGTTTGTAAAGAAACACAACTAAAAAATATAAAAATAACACGTAGTGTTATATTTGATTATTTTTACCATTTAAGAAACATAGTGTGGAGGTTGATAATGCTATTTTAATCCATACTATATGCTCAGCTCCATAACAAAATAATTTACAAAGTGCCAACTATGGTGAAATGGTATTAGGTCTGCCCACATGTGTTTTGATAAATCCTAACTTGCTGGGAAAGGGTTATTGTAATGTAATTAATGAAAGGTGACTGAAACATTTATTTAGGTAAATGTTGACGAAGGAGAATTGTCAAAGACTGTCTATCAAATTAATGATTGTTATGTTTACAGTGATCATTTCCCCTTCTTTATTTGCTGTTCATTCTGCAAAGATTTCTCAAATAATATTCTAATCTCAATGTGACAGATTAACATATCATCAAGTGTAGAATAACATATCAAGGAAACCAAGGATCAGCTAACAGCATACCTGTAGTAATATAGTTATCTAAAATCCATGTATCTACTTAACAGGCATGATAGAATATCCTTAATGCGATGCTCTTTGCTTTATATCATTTTCACCATTGGAGAGTAAAGAATCAAGTACTAGTACACAGAAGTTATTTCTCATATGAGTAATGTCAATTTGTTGATGACATGAGTGTTTAGTACTTTCTGGTTTGTCTTAATATACTCATATTTGCAATTTTTAGGGGGTAAGTTATATGGATATTTACTTATCATTTTGCTCTGAAAGTTCAGAAATGGAAAACCGCCAATTTATCAAGCTCCACTTTGAACAGTGGGCAAAATATTGAACAGCACAAAACCATTCTCTGGCTTATTGTATAAAAATGCCTTTTCTAGTCATTTTATAAATCTTATTTTGATTTATACCCACCCTCTCATTTTCTGATAATCTTTGTCCATTTGTAGCATAAAAACAATCCGCACCACAATCTGATTTATATATCAAGACTGTATGGGTTTTTAGTGCTACAGTATTTATTTTGGTTTAATAGCCACTCTGACTTCCCTTTCCCCACCCAGATTGCCAACACCATCTGATAAACCTTGATATAACCATATATACCAATTGTAATGATCATCTCTGGGTTGTTTTTTGTTTTAATACAAATATTTTTTGGGTGTTGATTGAAAGTGAAGAAAAAAGGCTGAAAGAAAAAAGGTTTAAGTTAAGAAAAATTGAGTCAACTAGTTATTTTAGAATTCTGCTGGAATGTTTCAAGCTAGTATCCTTTACTCATGTAACACAAAACTGGATTTATTTACCTTTTTTTCTTTTTTCAAAAAAGCCAAACCCTTAAACACAATGACCTAGTATTGAATAGCACTACAGGTATATATACCAGATGCACACATACCTGAGAAGTGATTAATTACAGTATGTACCTATACTGGGGAGACATTGTGTACACACTGGAGTGTCATATGATTTACAAAGACACGGTCACTTAAACCTCTCAGCTGTATCACTGTGTATTTTTAGTACAAATCCCCATTGTCCCACTTCATGAAGAGAAAGAACTGGGGTTGTCACAGGGTAGACTGGGGTGAACTCTCAGGGTGGTTACTGGTTGAAGGATTTACCTTAAGCCAAGAACACTGTTCTAGGAAGAGATTCTTTAAAATGTATGTATGTACTACATGTAGTACTTGTAATGTTACTGATTTAAGGGATTGTGGCTGACAGTATACAAGGTGCAGTAAGTTTCTATTGAATGTTGAAGGAAACCATTTATGGGCTATAAGTCAGGTGGATTGGGATGGAAATATTGTATTTGAATATTTATGTTTTTATGATAGTAAAGTGTTACAGCAATATACTATTTATGAGAGATATTTATTATAAAAATTGTTGTTTTTCATTTGATGTTGAAATGCTCAGATACAGTGATAAGTAACAGTATTACTTTGGGAATAGAAGTCATGATGATTATTGTAGGGAATGAAAGTGGTGATGTGGTACAGAGGTTTTGATTATGAAATTATTGATTTTAAGACAATAGCAGTGGAAACTAAAACAACTGTTTACTAAGTTACCATTTCAAGTATTGATGGGCATTGAATGTCTCGGAAGGTTTTTTCACCCTGGTGCCTGCTGAAAAATGTATTGTGTCACTGTTCAGCAGAATGACAAGTATAGCTGAACAGAACAACTGCTACAGGTAAGGTAGTGAAATTAAGAATAATGCACTCTAAAGCAGGCACCGGAAGATGGGTCTCAGTGGATTTAGGGAAAAAACATGTTTACTCCATCATTGGTAAGAATGATAGATTTAAATGAACTAAGATTAATCCTTCACTGTCATTTTCCTATCTGTTTGTCTTAGTGCTCATCTCTTTTGAATTTCTCTTTGACTGTTATTTTTTTTAGTATAATGGATTGTTGCTTTTTCTTGGGGTTGACTAAGCCCAGTGTACCAGCTCTTTCCTCATTCAGACAAACAATACACAATGGTGATTGAGTGGGATTGGCCTGTTTTCTAAGTAAGATAGTATTGAGACCTCTAAGCTGTCAGTGCAAGCAGATGCTATCTTGTCTTTACTTTGGATTGCTACTAGCTATAAACAACTTTTATAAGATGCATTAATGGGGGTGGAGATGACTTGTGAGTCACTTCTCAGTGCATAAAAAACAATAACCAAACTATTGGCTACCAGATATATCTATTATGCTGTTGACCCAGGATGGTTTTCTTTTTTTTCCTTTTCCCAATATGAATGCCACCAGTGAAACATCTTGGAGAAGGATTTGTTCATATATTTTATCTGCTTTTTGTTATCTTCCTAGGAACACCACCATAGATCACAGCCAGGAGGACATAGAAGGGGTGACAGCAGTGGACAGCTGTCAGAAGTCACCAGAGGACAACATGCCCTGTGCAGACACACATCAACCTTTGCCTGTAACAAATAATCATACAACAGGGAGGCGGGCCTTGAATAAAAGGACTTCCAACTTGACCAATGACTCAGGGCGAAGTTCCACCATGATAGAGAATGAAGAGAATCATGAGTCAAATGAAGAAAGTAGGAACAATATCCGCAATAACAGTATTACTATCATCGACCCAGCAGGGCTTCTTAGAGTCCCAACACCTGTAGATAATGTATCAACATCACAAGTTGATGCTCACTTACGGACTTCTTCATCTTATTATAACACCATGAGTCCAACTCCTAGCCAGGGCTCGGACCTTAGCACGCACAGTACTCCTAACTTGAGACCAACCCCCAGGGTCACTTACAGTCTTTCAGCTGACAGTGGAACCCGGCTGTCTGCACCGAATTCAAAGAGACAAATTTATCCTAAGCTGCCATACTCTCCCTACAGCTCACCCTGTGCCTCGCCCAGGCTGAGGCGGACACCCACACGGGAGTCCAGGAGTGTATCCATATCAGACGTGGATGGATTTGTTCAACTCAATCAATATATGCTCAAGGATGAAATTGGAAAGGTAGGAATACAAAATGGAATGGATGTATTATTATTTCAGGTTCTTGTAGAAGAAGAAAATGTTATTTCACTTTCCTTGTATCTCAAACAGGATATTTCAATTGTGAAGATCATTCACATGTCTCTTTTTTTTCTTAGTCTTATACACTGGGTTTTAATTACAGCTGAACAGTATAAAAAAGCTACCAAATCTAGCTCTCTTTTCGTATAATATGTCTATATGATTAATTTGCTGCATTATGACAAGATTAGGTACACTTTGATTAGTTAACACTACACGACCTTGCAGTTTTAGCCATCATGATGAAATATGGATGAAGGGTTAGGTTTCTTCAGACCTACAATAATCTTTAAAAAAGGACCATATTTACAACTGAGTTAGAATAATCACAGCAGAAAATATCTCTTTAAGTCTGCCAAATGAATTCACTATTGCAGTATCTTTACCCAGATAATATGTCATTCAAGTGTCAGATTATCAGATATCCAAAAAGAGCCTTAGGTGAAAATGGATTTTTGTCAGTGGTAATATTGACCATTTCTTTATTAAATTCCATACATTTAAGCACTTACTGCACTTCATTTGATGATAGCTGACATTCATAGGATTTATAGTACACTTGTTGAACTGGCCTTTTTGTGAACAAATACTTGAAGGGTCTGTTTGACTATAGTAACTTAGGATAGTAGCAGACGTACTGTCTGAAAATCCATTTTTATCTAAAAAATGCTTTTCATAACAGCAAATCAAATTAATGTTCATATTGTCTCTCTCTCCTGTCCCCTGTTTCTCTGGGTGACATTTTGACATTCAGCAGATTTATTGGTAGTTTCCATGCAATACACCATACTAAGCAAAGAACAATGTGGTCTATAGTACATGGACAGTTTGACAGATATGTTCCTGTCCAGCAAATCATGCACTTGTAAGACTGGGCTGACAAGATACATTGTAATCTTGTTGTAACCACAGCAACAGCTGCTGCTAACTACCATGAGGCAAGGTTGACTGAGCCAGTCTGATCACTAAGGTGATGCTGGATTATCTGTTTCTTCAGATATGACTTAGTAGTAGCTTAAATCTATGATTTAGTCATAGCTTATGTGATATCATCAGAACGATGATGAATTAATTTTTTTTCATTACCAAAATACATATTACCTGTTTGAAAAAAGGATGTTAATCTATTGATTCTCATGAAACCACAATAACCTTTATTGATTTTGCTCAAAAGATACTTGAAAATGAAGCACTTGTTCTGTTTTCACTCCCCAAACATTACTGACATATATGACTATGATAAGAATGATTATTCGCATATTAAAAAAACTTATTAAACTTAGTAAGAACGCCATAAGATTTATTTGATTAAAAATAACAGGTTTAACATCATATAGATCTTTTTAAATAGTGTAGATGAGTACCTGTACTAATAGTCATAATTATACCAACTGGTACCAATCTAGCATGCACTGTTGAGTTCAGAAATATTGTTGGGCTATGCCAAGACAACCTCTTTTATAACTGTGAAAAAAAATGGTGAAACAACAAAGAAGTCTTAATAAGATAGTGTGCAGAAACTGATGGTGTGTTTGTATCCTTAACCATGCTTGAGGCAAAAGTCTAATACTACTCAGGATTTAATCATCATAGTCCCAGCTGATTATATGTACAGATTTTCTGTTCAACTGGCTGAGGATAAGGTTGGATTGGCAGACAAATTGGTCAGATAACAATGCATTGGATGAGTTTCCATGACTCTGGCCTCCAGAGGAAGGATATTGGCATTTTCTTTAGGTGATGTTTTGACACACTTTCGTCATTGTCTGTGTTCAAGCCAAAAAGAATATCTTATGGTTAATAATGGAAAGATTTTTTGTTATGAAAAGAAAAATAGAAATTATATGAATTTCCTAAAGAATGTAGATGAACAGGAAAGCTTTATTACAGCCCATAGATAGGAATTTGAAAACAGTTTTTCAGTAGCTCTGTATGAGCTACTTTAAAAAGATGTCACTATTTCCCAATAAAATAAAAAGCAACTAGCCAAACCATCAGATCTACATAATAGCCAAGACCATCGAAGCATGTGTACTTTTAATCCTATGTTTTTGTGCTGATAGTGACCCCAAGAGGCTATGCAGTGTGATGTAGCACTAAGAAACTGCCTACTTTTTTTGTAAAAGAGGATTGATGGTGTGCATTTGATGAATAGAAGCTGTTGCTATGTGGCCAGAGATTATTGCACAGAAGGAAGTGAAAACTCGACAAGAAGCAAATATTAAAATAGCACATGGTATTGGTTATTTTTTCTTTAGGGAAAAGTGCATCTCTTTTTTTATTATAAGTAATAAAATAAAATTTAAAAACATCTCATTTTTTACTTTAATTGTCATATAGGTTGATTGTGATTACAATTCTTTAAATATTCCCACACAGTAATTTTAACCTGAGATCTAAGCTATTCTTTTTGATGCATACTGTAAATAAATAAATAAATGGGCCCAAGGTTGATGCAAGTAACATTTACTTATTTTTCTTAAATATGAAAGAAATATCACATTGGTAAAATTTTGAAGCATTATCAAAGGCACCATGAGCTACATGCAGATGCCAAAAATTGCATCTACTTGGTAAATAAGGTGGTAGAAGCAGATGTTGCTTATAAAACATTTGTTTTTTCTTTGAACATGACTCAGTTTTTCTACTATTTAGAAAGACAGTATATCACCTCAAATTGAAAAAACCAGTCACTTATCTTTACAGGGATCCTATGGTATTGTGAAGCTGGCTTATGATGAGACAAGTGACACACACTATGTAAGTATCAAAGCATTGTGTTTGCTGCTTTGATGTTTATAGTTATTTTAGCCTTGATTGTAAATTAGGAGTTATAGCAGGAAGAAAAGTACACTACTAGTAAGAGAACTAGGAACACCAACTATGTCCCCAATGTAAGAAATATTCAAATTGTATCACCCAACAGTAATAATTTGATCATTTCATCAGCACATCTCATGCTTTCAAGAGTTGTATTCATATTGTAAACAAAATGGTCTGATAATACAGGGGACACATCGGGCCCAGTGCAATTTCTTGTTATTACTAGACCATTCCATGACCAAAAGGTGCAAAATCAGTAAGGAGCGAGTTGAAATGAATGAAAATAGAGAGTATTTCTACAATGTTAGTTACATGTGCTTCATGACCTCTCTTTGTTTTGCCCAACTCTTGTTGGTTGTTTTAATGATATTGATGAAATTCTTACTCATTTGACAGCCTGTCACTTATGTATGGTTTCCAAGAGCAGAAAGATTAGACATGTCTCAAGCTTTCAAAGAAGTGGCTTAAGAATAACCCTTATATACAGAGTTCATCAGAATATTTTTGTTTTTCTCATTGGCAAAGTTTACAGAAGTTTGAATGTCATTTGCTTCATTCTTACCAGCTTAGTGCTTGATGATATTTATAGTTATGAGACAATGATACCACCTCTAGATGATTTACAATTTCTAAGGAAGTGTCAGGTTTTAAGAATATACTAACAGAAGTTGCATTAAAAAGACTTTAGAATCTAAATGCAATATTAGCATTTATTAGCAGGTTATTAGAGAATCTTGAAGTCCTGGGTTGGTCCCTAAAGAGTACTGTATTTTTCCTTTTCAGGCCATGAAGATGATTTCCAAGAAGAAACTAATCAAGAAAGCTGGCTTTTTTAGTAAGCATTGAAATGGAAGGCTTAAAGAATTGAGTCAAGAAAAAGAAAGATGTAGTGTGTTGCCTCATAGGGCTGGAAACTTAGTAGTTCATAATGTATCAGTATAACAATTTGACGTAATGCTTGTAATGTGAGAGACTTGTCTTTGTCAGTAAGTTACATTTCTCCCAAAGCTTTATCTGGAATAAGATGAATAAAACATTTTTGTGGTATCCTTCTGTTTTTTAACTAGGCTTCTTGTTTGGTCTTTTTTCTGAGATAATGTTACACTGTGAGAGTTGTCGGGTATTGGGAACAAAAGAAAATGAAAATATTTTTTTTCTGATTATGTTAGCAAAAATTGAATTTTCAAAGTGTAAAATAAGAGGTGTATATACATGTTAAGAAATAATGAACAGTAATGAAGAAAAAATACTAAAAGCCTATTGCAATTTGAAAGGGGAGATGGAAAATATTGAAAGAGAGGTAATTTTGTAATGAAAAATATCACATCAGCAATTCTTGGTATTAATATTATGCTTTTTTTAATAGGAAAGCCTCCCAAGAAAGAAGGTCGTCCAGAAATAAGGCATGATCCTTTGGAGAAACTGTACAGGGAGATTGCCATCTTGAAGAAGTTGGACCACCCTAATATTGTGAAGCTGGTAGAAGTGCTGGATGATCCTGCAGAGGACAACTTGTATATGGGTATGATTGAGCTGTAATACTATGCCAGATTTTCAGATACTTGCAAATTATTTTTATCTTGTATTATAAATTAAAGTACACCTTATAGCTGCAGGAACAGAAGTTCCATTCTATTTTTCTCATGCCCAATTTTACAAGATATTTATATTAAGAAAATTTGTTATTGATATCCATGTACTCCAAAATGGTAAAAAATTACCAAGATATTAATGTGAAGTAAAGGCTTGAATATTGGGGGTAGTGGGTCGGCATGAATTTTAAACCTGGTAATGTCTGTATATTTGATGTAAAAAACACAGTAAATACCCATTCAACATGTGTACTAGTAGACCTGTTGAAACACAATTAACTGGGTCATTTTGCTGTAGGATAATAGATAGCAGACCTTTCCATACAATTAGTAAAGATTAATTGGCTCAACAGTGGTCTGGTCAGTTGCATAATTAGATCCCTGGAAACATTGTGCTTAGTGGCTAGATGTCTCTGGAACATACTAAGTAATGTTCAGTATTGATTATATTGTTTCACTGTTGGGTTCTTTTCAATGAAGATTCAAATATTTATGATTTCTTATTTTTGTTTTCAGCATTTGAGCTTGTGGATGGAGGGTAAGTTTATTTTTAGGTAGATACTAATCTTTATTTTGGAGCAATATTTTCAACTGTGCTATCCAGTATAATGACCATAAAGTGTTCCTAGTAGTTTCTTTTACAGGTTAAATACTTGAGGCTTGTTAAAAGACAAGCAATCAGATATTATTATTTACAAACTAATTGGATGCACAATTGTGACTTGAATAATGTCTTTGGTTAACAAGACATACGGCAAGTGATTAAAAAATTGAAAAAATAAGCATATGTTTTGATATCCAGTTTGACTTATTCTTTTTATTTTAGAGAGGTGTTATCCTTACCCACAGAGAACCCTCTGAGTGAAGAGCTGACCAGATCCTACTTTAGAGACATGGTACTGGGAGTAGAATACTGTAAGTGACAAGTCAATTATTGTAACAATTGATTATCCTATTTCACTTTTAGGCATCCTTTTACATTAGGATAAATTGCATTAATCAATACACTTCAAAGTTAATCCTACTCGTAAAAGGAATAATTTGGCATCATTGCTGTATCAGGGGAACCATCAATAGGGATATGTCAAATGTGGTATCTTTTACCCTTTTGCTAATTCAGGATTTGGCAGTTTAACCTGTCATCAACAGATATCTTAGAACAGACTTTCCCTGGTTGGATGGTTGTTAAATACATAATGTGTCCCACTTTAGGGGACATGAGTCAATCAGTGGTTTTAAAAAACTTGCACTTTCCAGATATGTTGAAAAGCACTTCTGATAGTATTTGTAGGTTAAGGGCAACTATTTTTTTCAAATTTTGGTGAATAGATTTGATAGAAAAATGTCAGCTTTGTAATGTTCCTTATTATTATTACATATTATGATGTATATTATAATAACTATATCTTTGTCTTTAACATGTTTCATTTGTTTTATGAAATGCTTGAACTGCACTCTTTGTTGGAAATTAAGTGGTATACAAATACATATTGGTATCAAGATTTATTTAAAGCAATCACCTGAAAACCATTTGTTAAAAAGCTACAACATTGCAAGGAAAAATATTCAATTGTAATATTTTATTTTCAAGTACATTTCCAGAAGATTATTCACCGAGATATCAAACCAAGTAACTTACTACTTACTGACGACGGTCATGTCAAGGTACAGTACAAAATAAAAATAAATTATTAACAAAACATGATTTTGTATACTTTTGTTCAGAGCATATAGTTGGTGAACTGCTACATGTAGCCCATAAAGCTGTTAGCATTACTTTCTTTTCAAACCAGAAAAAGTATCTTGACCCACTTCCATCCCTTTAATTAAGTAAAAACGGTTGGTGGTAAGCGTGGGTCAGAATACTGTTGGATTTTTCCCTGTTATAATATCCTGAAGACCCCAGGTGTTCAGTCATATAGAAAACATAATTAATGTGTCTGTTGAGCTCTGTAGTGTTATGTAAGGTAGCACCATCCCCACAGAGAACAAGCGAACATTGACATATTAGTGAGCATCATGTGGAAGGTCTGAAGCATAAGTATACAGAGAAAAATCAATTCTCTGATTGCTGTACATTTTCTACTCAAGCCTCTATTTATTGAGGGCAAGCATCCAGGTTGTCTTTTGTTACAATCATGATGATAGCTTAATTAAATAAAAGTGGTATGCTGGATATTGCTTTGGCTGTTTGATTGAATTGTGTTCTCTTTTTAAGACAATTTGATTTGGTATCTCACACTGTATTAGCGAGGGAGTAAAAGTGTGATGGTAAAGATGCCAGAAGACTGACAATTAAGATTATTCAATTTCATCAGTTGTTATGATTTTGATTTTATAAAATGTTCTAAATATTTGATTTATGCCATGTGATGTTTTTATATATTTGATTAACTAATGCAAGGATGATACTATTTTAAATCAGTTTCACGCTGTCATACTTTGGCTGTTAAAGTGATTACAATACATGGAAAAGTGGTTCCTTGAATTAAGTTGCCTTTTTCTTTAGAGTCGCACTTGAACTACCTAATCTAGTTTGACATTGATATTATAATATTGACCGCTATTCTTCCTGGCCCATCTTTGCAGATAGCAGACTTTGGTGTGAGTAACACATTTGAGGGTAAAGATGCCTGGCTGACCAATACAGCAGGGACACCTGCTTTCATGGCACCAGAATCATTACGAGGTAGGGTGTTTGTACATCTGTTTTTAATTTTGTCACTTTATCTGCAATTTGGTTATCTTGCAGTTGGCAATTTATGTTCAGTATTGGCAAAACAGTGCAGGGTGATATTTGATCTGCTCAGGAAAGAAAGGAAAGAAAAAATGCTGGTTTAATTCTCAACCAAAAAGTTGTCAGGTGAATTATAAAAGTATGGTAAAAAATGAAATTTACTATAATTAATATTTGCTATTTGATTTAAATGAATTATTATGGTCAACAACCTGTCGTCTTTTTTCTTTTAGATGCAAAAGAAAAATACAGTGGAAAGGTAAGTATCTCATTATCAGTTTGTACTGTGACACAAAAGTCACACCTAGATACATGTTCCTATGTTTAGTAAGCTCCAACACTATGGTTTTTGTGCTCTTTGTATATCTCACATGATCTGGGAGGAAGGATCTTAAATAAAGTCCCAGTATTATTTCTGTAGATATCACAGCTTGCAGTGTGGTTTTATGATAGCAGACATGCAGTGCTTCCTTGTCTAAACAGTGTGTTATCATGTCTCTATTATTGGCAGTGCATGTGTTCAATGCAATGTGTGTGTTCAGTGTTCTGCAGAAAAATAATAAAAGGTGTCAGTCAGCCACACAGCTCTCTGATAATGAATGAAATATTTCCTTTGCATTATATTGTTGTTTCATAAAAAGTAGAAAACTTATTGTGACGTACAGTAAATAGGGTTTCAAACTGATCCTAACAAGATTATATTGGATGCCATCCTTTGTACATTTTCATCATTTTCATAATTTGTGCCTGCTTTTAATATCACGCAGGAAGAAAGTTGTGGTTTTCTTTAGTTTACACTGGAGCTTGCATTCTCTCCTGTATCATAATAATTTGACAAAGACATTCATGTGCATTTCCTTTCTCTCTAGGCACTTGATGTTTGGGCCATGGGCATCACACTATACAGTTTTGTGTATGGCCATGTAAGTATAAATGCATTAATACGTAGTGTGAATTTTTAGAATCATTGTGGAATGGCTTTCATCATATCAATAAATGAAATAAAAAAAAAAACATCACTATATTAATTCAAAATATAGGATTGAAAGTTTTACTTTTATAATATTTTAAAACCCTTAAAAGTATCTATCCTTGTACTGAATAATCTTTTTAGTGCCCATTCCAAGATGAATATGTCCTGGGTCTTCATAAGAAGATTTTGACAGATCCAGTAATATTTCCAGAAAGGTGAGTGTGAGTTCAGGGATATAAAATCATTTTTTGGACACAAGATAAGGATAAGGCAAGTAAAAAAAGGATGGAATTGGCAAGGAAGTGTTAACCCACTAGGGGGCTGACAGTTTCTGTGGATTGAAGTTTGAGGTTAAGGCAGGAAAATTCTGATAAGTTGTTTGAAGTAGAACTATTGATGTATTATTTTGTTTATTATTTGATTGATGTTAACACCTATTTCAAGGCTATTCCCACGCTCGGCTGTCACCTTGATTGGATAGTAAACGATTGTCGTAAAATCGCTAAATGATATTAAAACCGGGTGCAAAAACTTGAAAACCACCTAGAACAACCTTGGACTACCACATTAATCCAATACAATGCAAATATAAACTATAACAAGTGGTTAAAGCCTTCAAACCGAATGTCGTAAAGTCCCCATAAACATCAGAGGTGGAATTTGGATATATGGTTTGATTGTGCGTATGCCATGCACGGAATTTACAAACGAGCGACGGGATGATGTTGCCTGCAGTATTTGCGGTAAGCGTGCCAAGTTTTAGGCCTCCGATGCCCGGCAGTATTTTATTTCGATTATTATGTTCAAAATTGTTAATTCTTGTTTCACAAGCTTACTCTGTTTTATTGTCTCTATGGAGGTATATGGGGACTTTACGACATTCGGTTTGAAGGCTTTAACCACTTGTTATAGTTTATTTTTGCATTGTATTGGATTAATGTGGCAGTCTAAGGTTGTCCTAGGTGGTTTTCAAGTTTATGCACCCGGTTTTAATATCATTTAGCGATTTTACGACAATCGTTTACTATCCAATCAAGGTGACAGCCGAGCGTGGCTATTCCTAATATTTGAAATAGATTAAAGAGAACATGCCATTTATCTTGCATCAAGATTTTTACATTGCTAACTTTTGTGCACAGTGTGCTCCTCAAGTATGGAATAATAAAATGCTAATTGTTTGATTTCAGTCCTGCTGTGAGTGAAGACCTCAAGGACCTCATTTCAAAGATGCTGCAGAAAGATCCAGATCAGAGAATAACTTTGCCAGAAATTAAGGTACAAGACAATANTGCAGGAAGAAAGTTGTGGTTTTCTTTAGTTTACACTGGAGCTTGCATTCTCTCCTGTATCATAATAATTTGACAAAGACATTCATGTGCATTTCCTTTCTCTCTAGGCACTTGATGTTTGGGCCATGGGCATCACACTATACAGTTTTGTGTATGGCCATGTAAGTATAAATGCATTAATAAGTAGTGTGAATTTTTAGAATCATTGTGGAATGGCTTTCATCATATCAATAAATGAAATAAAAAAAAAAACATCACTATATTAATTCAAAATATAGGATTGAAAGTTTTACTTTTATAATATTTTAAAACCCTTAAAAGTATCTATCCTTGTACTGAATAATCTTTTTAGTGCCCATTCCAAGATGAATATGTCCTGGGTCTTCATAAGAAGATTTTGACAGATCCAGTAATATTTCCAGAAAGGTGAGTGTGGGTTCAGGGATATAAAATCATTTTTTGGACACAAGATAAGGATAAGGCAAGTAAAAAAAGGATGGAATTGGCAAGGAAGTGTTAACCCATTAGGGGGCTGACAGTTTCTGTGGATTGAAGTTTGAGGTTAAGGCAGGAAAATTCTGATAAGTTGTTTGAAGTAGAACTATTGATGTATTATTTTGTTTATTTATTATTTGATTGATGTTAACACCCATTTCAAGGCTATTCCTAATATTTTAAATAGATTAAAGAGAACATGCCATTTATCTTGCATCAAGATTTTTACATTGCTAACTGTTGTGTACAGTGTGCTCCTCAGGTATGAAATAATAAAATGCTAATTGTTTGATTTCAGTCCTGCTGTGAGTGAAGACCTCAAGGACCTCATTTCAAAGATGCTGCAGAAAGATCCAGATCAGAGAATAACTTTGCCAGAAATTAAGGTACAAGACAATTGTGTAATAAGTTTTGTCACATTTCTTTTGTAATTTACATTCATTTCATGATTTTGTGACTATGAAAACCCAATTAAAAATACAGTTGTGTGCCATTTATTATGCTCATAAGTCTCAAAGTGAATCAAAAGATGAAAAAACTGAAAATGCGAGGTGTGAAAGTCAGGATGTCATCACAATTACAACAAAATTCCAGGTACATCCCTGGGTGACGGAACACGGCCAAGTGGTTCTCCCAAACACGGAGGAGAACTGTATCCTGATCACAGTAACTGATGAGGAGGTCGCTGAGGTTGTGAAACATGTGCCAAAGTTAGATACACTGGTAAGAATGCTTACTTGTAACAGAGCTTAAAAATATGATTGCAATAGCAATGAGATGGTTTGCTGGTGTATTGCCCAGCCACAGCATTTTACATATTAGCTTAAGAAATTATACATTGTCTATAGGTTGTGATATTTTTATGTCAGAATAGGGAGTTATCCAAGCCAGATATATTGGTTTTCTTTCTCTTCAGATTCTTGTAAAGAGCATATTAAAGCAGAAGTCTTTCAAAAATCCATTTAACAAGGATGGGAAGGAAGACTTTCAACAAGAGTACCATAAGAACGGAAGATCTAACTCGGCCCCTGGGGAAATAGACGGGGATGTGGCAAGGTAAAAATCATAAAAAAATGAACCATATTGCTTTGCATCTAAACTAAACTATAAAGCTTACAGAGTTAGAGTTGGCTTATCTATAAACTTAAGGTACATTTCTTTCAGTTATAATGTATAGATCTTTGAAGTTCTTTACTTGACTGGTAAATTGATAATTGTGCTTGCTTTTTATTCAGTTGTCCACTACTTAATGTAATCTGAAATTTTGCTCAAATTAAAAAAAAAAAAAAATTGAAGTTCGACTCTGTTATGATTCTAGGAGGGCTGTTACAGAATCTCATTTAGCTGATGTTGCAGAACATAAAGCTGAAAAATCATGACAAGAGTGTGTACCCAGAGTGCAACCTTCAGTCAAGGTCACAGATTGCCTGAAAGTATTTGCTATGCAGTAGAATTTACCAGTTATTCAGAATCCAACATTTACACTTGCATTAGGAACAGATTGTGCCAGAGGACTGTGTTATGGAAGTAGATCTTAAATTATAGGTTTTAGACTCTCCAGGAAAACTTGCGAGCTAGAGGTTAAGAGAAAAAGAAAAGTCGATTTCTTGTATAGAAAAAATCTTAAAGATATGTATTTTATGAACTTGACGAGGACTATCCAGTTATGGATGTCTATGCATTCCCCTCATAATTCAGTGGATTTTTTTTCACTTCATGGTTGTAAACAGTAATGGGATCAGGTTGGATTCTTCTCAACTGTGAAATTTGCTATTTTCAAGAGGTGTCCAAAGACTTTCATTTTTATTAACTATTTTGATTGTCTTAAAGTATCCCGTTGTTGTCCATTGACTAGTCTTATCTGTTATTGGTGCAAAGTATTCAGTTTAATATATTTTAAATGTTAGAATGGCATTTTTCATTACAGGTGATACAAATTACTCAAGTCTTGTGCATTTATCAATATGCAGACATATCTTACATCATTTAAATATTAAACATTTAGCCAGGTGGATGTTGCCCTTTATCTATAGATAGCCATTTCCTTGTCTTGAACAGAACAGTTATATATTTACATACATCACTTAGCTTGTTTTTAATATTTTAATGTAGCTGCTAACAGTTATAACATTCGTAAAAATATTTCTGTTATGCAAGTTTCCGAGGTAAAAACATTTTTGAAAATTGCTAATGAATGACAATTTGCATAGGAATTTTAATTTTTTCTTGACCTCATTTTTAATAACATAAATATATCTTAACATTTAAGGTTCTGCTAAAATACTGACATAAATACAGGATGAAGTTCAGATATTGTTTTATTGCTAATGGATGTGATGTTATTGTATTCAGTGTCAATATCAGAAATTTTCAAATATTTCATACATTGTCAAAGGTGTTGGTGTCTATTTTGTACAGAATTTGCAAGGATAATGTCTTTACCCATCAATTTTTCTCCTCAGATTTTTATATTTTTGCATATGAAGTCATTTATATATAAATAAAACATATCTGTAGATCTTAAAGCAGTGAACTTACTTTTTGTGACAATAAATCTTCCTTGATATATCAACTTTTTCCGTGTCGCTGTGAATAAAAAAAATCTTCAAATGACTCAAGAACTGAGAAATGAACTGAGGTTGAAGTGGTACAAAATGCAGTGTTGTTATAAAGCTGATATGTCAAGTTGGTTATCATGTTTTAAAAAATTATGAAACAAACAGCAAATATGATGAAATATGATAAATTTTAACATTTAGCCTTCACACAATAATTCCCTGCTGGTAGATGGCATAAATCGTGATTGAAAAATAGTTTCAGTATATACTACAATGAATAAACATGTTTAAAATATAATCATTTCTGTGTGGAATACTGCTGAAATGAAATATAATAATACTAAGTGGTGGATGCCAAATATAAATCATAACCAAAAATTAGTTACGGTATATACTACAGTGTACAGATACCTTAATATATAAATTACTATTGCCTAGGTGGAATACTGCTGAACATTTTAACTTGCTTGGCAGTCATGAAATACACCTGTAATATAACTTTGCTTTTATGACAATTTCATACATTAGTACTAAAAATCTAACAAAAGTGGTACAATTAAAAGAGGTAGAAACTGGGGATTTCTAAAGCAGAATAATGTAAGTTAACAAGGTGGCATCTTGGTTTTCATAACAGTCCTGGTATTTTAAAGTTCTGGCTGAAAGCAATCTATCACAAGTCACAAGTCATAATCTGTTTGTACTGCAGCCTTGCTGTTACTGCCCTGCTGCTGCTGAATGTGGTGGTGGATGACAAATATAAATCATGATCAAAAATTAGTTTCAGTATATACTACGATGATCAGAAACCTTAAAACTAAACTCACCGCTGCACTGGTAATACTGTTGAAACAAAAAATATGTCTAGCAGTCAAAATACACCATATTTTATATTTTTGCTTCTACATGTATAGTAGTCTCATTCACTATTACCAAAAATCTAACAAAAGTGGTATAGCATATTAACAGGTAGAGACAGGATTTCCAAAACAGAACACTGAAAGTCAACACGGTGGTATCTTGGTTTTTATAACAGTTCCGGTATTTTACAGTTTTGGCTGGTAGCCCTCCATCACAAGTTCATAATCTGTCTGCACTGCAGCCTTGCTGTATCTGCCCTGTTGCTGCTGACAAACCACTGGCACCATATCCCTGGCACACCATCTGAAGAAATGTGTGCCGCATTGGAGTTTTGAAATGTAAATAAGGCAGTCTGTGCATACAACAATTAAAACTCATGTACTTAACTGCTTTGGCTTAATCATATTGGTCATTTTTCAAGGCAATAATTCAAGAAAGACCGACTTTAAGTCACTACTTTTACCTACCTCTGGGCTGTAGCTATATCAAGTGGGGATGCCTCAGTCCACATTGCATGCTCCACCAATAAAGCTCCTACAAAGATACATTACCACTGTCATACATTCTTATAAAAGATTACAGTGAAATATTATTCATTACATTACCGTTTAGCTTTAATCTTCCTATGTAATCTTATACAAATAACAAAATCAATCACCTATGTATGTTTTTGCCAAACTGAAAGCAAAGTCCCTTGCAGCTACATCTATGCTATCAGTGCTATTCTTGGCAAATTTGAGGATCTCATCTGCTGCTTTCTGTATGTTTTCACAACATTGAGACAGTTCTTCTCTTTTTGATGCTGCAGACACTTTGTCCTGTACAGCATCATAGAAAGCTTTAAGTACACGCCCCTCAGTCTTCATTATGGCACGAAGTACATCCAGGGACAGGATGTTGGTGGTCCCTTCCCATATGGGCATAATCTGGATTTGAAAGAAAAAATATTGTAAATATTTTACAACAAGTGTGTGTTGAATACATAGTAACATTAAATATCATGGAATTTCAAATTATGACATAGTAAAAAATCTACGTACCTGTGCATCCCTCAAAATTGCAGGAATTCCCGTATCTTCGATAATACCTTGTCCTCCAAAACTTTCTAAACCCTCTGATATAACTCCTATGGACTGTAAAGAAAACAAAATTGTAGAAGAAGCTGTCCCAAACTGTCTTTAGGTTAAGAAGATACATTAAAAAGGAGGCCCACTGAAGCCTGTTTCATACTTAATGCTGCAAATTCTTCAAAATTGCACCATTTCTTTAAAAAAAATCTTTGTCAGAGTTTATACCACCACTTCACTTCTTATTATCCAAAATTTACCAAAGTATATCATGTAGGCCTAGTTGTTAAAGGGATAATAACTCTTCGTTTCGTCCAAATAATGAATTTTCCTGGAGTAAACAACAATTTTCCCATACTCACCAATGGTTAATGAATCCATTTTTACATTCAAAGTTAGTACCCGTTTTTTTTCTAAAAAGTTTGGTTTTTTGTTAAAATCTCTTAAGAGATTTTAACAGAGTATAGCCATCAATGGAGGTTACGTGGTCTAAAGACAAGCTCAGATATCAGAATAATAGCTATAACTGCCGTTTTTGAGGTAAAACAGAATATGTTATATTTCCATGAGTTATTCACAATGTTTATATTGTGAAATATAGATCTCATACGAAGAGTTATTATCCCTTTAAAATGCATCAATGATTTTCTCAAGAAAAAATATAAAAAAATAATTATATATTACTATATAAAAATAATAAATAAATAAATAAATAAATAAATAAATAAATAAATAAATAAATAGGTGATGAAAAAAAATAGTAATAATTAACCCCCTCTTTTATTTACTAAAGTGCTCTAACCTGTTTAGATATATAAAGTTTCACAACTGGGGTCAACAGTCTCAGTAGCAACAAGTCAGTTTCACTGGCAATGTTACAGTCATCAAGGCCAAGTAATCTACCAACTTCCAAAACCAATATCTCAGCTCCTCTGGTTTCAACCTGAACAAATTGAAAAATGAAGACATAAATCAGAGCCCATGAATACCTTGATATTGCTACGGATACATGTTTATAACACGCATGCATTTAAAGTGTATATGTCCACAATATCTCTTGCCTCATTCTGTCCAGGAGATCAAATTCCCTAAAATATGCTCCCAACTTCTAAATAAATATTCAATGTAAAACAATTCACTTCTTTGGACTAGTCCTAGACATAGTTTCCAGAAAGACACTCTCACCTCCATGTGTGCCAGCGTTTGCATGTGAAGTGGGTAATCACATATTCTCTTCCCAAAGGCCTCCCTCCTGGTGCAGTAGTCTCTGGCCAGGTGGAGCACTCTCCTCATACAGCCCAGTGACATCATGGCCGTGTGGATCCGGGAGACAGTCAACATGGAGGCTATAGCAGGTACTCCACGACCTTCCTCTGATACCTGTAACGTTATGAAATAGGGAATGTCACACCAACTAAACTTCCCTGCAATATGATTGAATAAACAGAAAACTATGTTGAGTTGTTTGCAGAGTCGCTCCTAGGTCACAATTTCACCTACTGAAATAAATTAGTACCTGCCATATCATAAAAATTAACTACTTTATTAATGTACATCTGCCATGTTACCTTCTGTGCTACTGTTCCATCAAGTAAGAGCTCAGCTGTAGGCAACTGTTTGGTGCCCATCTTGTTTTTCAATTTCTGAACTTGAATATTGTTTAAACAGCCATCTTCTTGGACCACTTTTAGGTAGAATAGTGACAAACCTTTGCTGCCCTGTAAAGAAAACATTTTGAATGGACATATATACAGACCACAGTATCTATATATCATACATACATATCATGTGATCTTCTTGACACAAATTCTAATCTAATTATATAATTTTTAATTCATAATGAAAAGAAGAAAAGGGTTTTATTAAATGGCATTTGATATACCTTACCGCTACTGACTTCCCATCAACATCCAAAGTTCTTGCCAATGTAAACGCAATGTCTGAATCTGTTGCTGATGAAAACCATTTATATCCATACAATTTGTAGGTGCCATCACTTTGAGCTTGAGCCAATGTCTCTGTACCATGCCCTTTTACAAGTTATATGTTGTGTTATTTTTCAATAAACGTATAAGTAAATCCAAATATCTTTCACATAATAATTTTACATCTGACATACAGGATTTTCTTGCCAATGTTCTCAATCTCAATGCCTATTTCTAAACTAAACATCAAAACTATGATGTTAATTATCCTAGAATGTTAAATTTGCATTATTATAGGACTGTAAATGTGTAAAAACATACCAACATCAGACCCCCCTCTTCTTTCAGTCATCCACTGCCCAGACGTCCAGAACTTACTGGGCTCTCTGCTGATTAATCTGCTATATGCTGTTTGTAAGGAGTTCCTATGGACATCAGGTAAATTCTATAACAAAGTGAAAATCTTTCAACACATATTTTAAGAATTCTAAGTATTCAAAGTATATGCGTCACCTGTGTAGTTAGAAATAGTTTATAAAGCATGCAGTTTGAAAAACAAAAGAACTATTATACTCAACCACCCCTGGGACAGTCCAACCACCAGGGATCCTAGGTTCCTGTAACTATTGATTTCTTAATATTAATCATATTACACAGTAATTATTTTTTCATGTAAAATTCATTAATAATAAACCTGTGAAAAATATTTAATTCACAGAAAGAGAAAACCAAACTGCCAACCACCCCAAGGGACCCTACCCCCATGGATACCTCTGCCTGAGTCTTGACTATTGATAATGAACATCATGCAAGGCTATAAGAAAATAATTATTTATATGAAAAAAAAAATTATTTACAGGGTCAACCCCATCCACGGTCACACTTATTCCCATGTATATCCCTGATGATAGGTCTACCAATTCCCAAAGTTAGAAGTTCCTCACTTCAATGGTCAAGTAGGATGACAAAAATAGTGTAAATTATAAATGTAGCAGAAATTACAAATGTATGGAGGGCCAGATACATGGATGGGCAGGATAACATGATCCCAACCTTTGTCACAAAAGTGCAGAAAAAACACTCAGAAACCAAAGTTGTACACCAGGCACTAAGCAGCCCCTGTGTCACCATTACAGTTGTAGTTGACACAAAAACTACAAATCAAACATAAATGATGCAACACCAATATCCAAAGCAAGTGTTCAAAGTCAAATGTAACAACTATAACAATTTCAAGCATTTTTTAAAGATTATTTTTATCAAAATGCTTGCTGTAGAGAAGCCAACAGCAGCCTACAATTCAAAGATTGATAGCACTGACCATGCACAAGGTAAAAAAAATATACCTCAATGACTTTAGCTGCTCCATCTGTCATTGCTAGTGGACATCCATACAGACCTGAGGATGCTTGAAACAAGGACATTTTGGCAATTTGATACAACCGACTGAAACAAAGACCTTTTCAAATAAAGCAAATTGTCGTCATACACAAAATCAATGAAAAGTTGATCAGACATTTTTTTTCACATTTCACTTCAAGAATTACTAAAAGTGACATAATCATGTATATTCCATTTACCTGAATTGTTCATATTGTCTTTCATATGCAATGGCAATCACACCCTCCTCTGCCGAAATATCATGCATCTTCTTCCAAGCATGACAAGTGTGTAATCTGTCCACACGGTTTCCCCAGGCATCATACTGCTCTAAAGTGGGAGGGTTGCGATCACATTCCAGATGCAGTTCATAGATGTCTGTGGCTACTCTGTGTCCAAATTTCTCAAGGTCAGAACTGATTTCTGTAAAAAACTATAAAGAGCAAACAATGCATGGTTATTTCCCATAACATAAATGCCAGAAACAACCTTTAACACATTCTTTTCATCAAAATACTGATTCTCATCTCTCTCTCTGTTAGCATGAAATTCATGCATGGCACTCCTACTTACAATTTTGATATCTAAGCTGTGCTAATGCATAACAGCAAAGGCTTCAAAAAGTATAAAATGAAGACCAGATTCCAAACCAACTGCAGTGCTGGAGCTCTCAAATTTCTATCTTACCTCTCTCTGGTTTCATTCATGCATAAGCACAGCACAGATATCAAAATCGTCAACAGGAGTGTTAACGCATGAATTTCGTACTATCTGTGTGTGTGCTTTTCTTCTCTGTCATTTTGTGTCAAACACTTTGAACATTGGTCTAAAAAATAAATAATAAAAACAAGTGTGTATACTGTGGAACAAACAAACCTTATGTGGAATGACACGCCTCAAATATCCTTTTAACAATGGATCTTCTGTAAACGTGTTACCCAGCTTTGGATGTGGCTGAAAAAAGTCCCCAATCTTAGCTCTGGTAAACGGGATGTAGAGGTTTGTTCCTAAGTCACTTCCACAAGTTCCAACACTCCTTTCTGCAGCAGCCGCAACAGTGGTTTTGCGCCTCAAGCTGTTGCCACATTCTCTTAGAAAATACAAATTGTTTCTCGGGCATCGAAAAGTCAACATGGCAAATGTTTAAACACATATGTATAGTATCACAAACTGCAGATAAAAAACATCAGGCAGAGGCTAGCGTTCGTTTACCTTCGAGCACGGATACACGGACTCCCAGAACTTTTGACCCACTTATCCCAAGACGATGTACAGTCAAACTTTTGTAACAACAAACTCTGTCGTAAACCAACAGGCTATGAGAATTAGGGGTATTAAGGAGCAATTGTGGCCAAAATTCTCTAGGTTTTATAAAAATATTTTTATTGCATGGTTTTAAAATTATTTGGTTTTTGTACGAGGTAGCTTTGGGTAGGTCTTATATCATAATTTGGCCCATAGAAGCGCCATCTAGGGAGTAATTATATTATTTTTGGTCGCCATTGTATTTCTCCCGAAACGTGAAACAAGAAACACAGGTATGTGAGTATTTATTCATAAAATGGTATGAATTACAACCAAGCAGAACTGTTAAGAATTTACTTGAGCTTTTAAGCCTAAATGCCTGTATTGTGTCCTTTTTTTAACAATGTAAGCAGCATTGTAAATTTAAACACTCGTCAAGTTCACCAACTAAGTTTTACGTATTAACACAAAATCTGATTTCAACTGATACCAGGTGCACAGCTGCGTGGCTCCATGGCTTATTCAGTGCAATTCTGATATACATTGTCAACTAACAGTGCCAAAAACCATTGATGCTGTTGTATCTGTGTGATAAAGCTTTAAAACTTCATAGGTTTTGGTTTGCCATAATCAATCTCTCGCCCTCCCATTCCACGTTATTTTTTTCACTTATAATGGTGATAAGTCAACATATTATTATAACGTTCCAGCTCTGTTACTCTTCAGCATCAATACTCCCCTGCACCTTGCTACCCTGTATCATTATTTCCCGCAGGACATCTAAAACATGATTCTTAATTTTGAAACCTTACTGCCAAAACCAGGATCCATACGTAACAAAATTGTCATTTTGTCATACAAAAAGTGATGAAAGGGGGTAACAGTGTAAGGGAGTATTGATTTGATCTAGGAGAGTAACAATGCAAAGAGGTAATGAAGTGGTACAAATATCGTGATATTGCTAGCAGGAGTAACAGTATGAAGAAGTAACCATGTGGGGGAGTAACAAATCAAAGCAGTGAATTGTAAGAGATGACCCCTTTTGCAAAGGGCATGTATCACACTGTTGTCTTTTCTCCTAAACACTGAAAATCCAGTGATTTTTAACTGTAAAACTGTTGAGAAGAATTTTAATTGTTAAAGAATTATATTTTTGAATATCTGTTGGTCACTATTAGTATTGATTTTCAATACTGCATTTATTGGTTTTATCCAAATCCCAGCACCATTCTGTAACAATTATTACAAGGCATGTGGATTTGAGAATTATTGTAATGGTATCCTCTTAGTATTTATGCATGTTTAGCAATTATGTAAACTTAAATGGGAGTTCAGGAGCTAAGTCATTATGGGCATAATGGTAGATATTACTTTTTGAGTACTTATTAATAATTTTGTATAAGACTTTTTTTGAGATCATTAAGATCTGTGTATGATGTAATTACATTCAAATGTCCTGTGTAACAAAACATAAGACGTTAGCAAACTTAAAAAAAAAGTTGAATAAGTTGTTTTGTTAAGTAATAGCTCATGAAAGATAATGTTTGAAATCTGCTTTCTGCTATTAGGAGAAGAATAAGTAACCATGTCAGACTTCATGGACGATGAAGCCAGTGTTAGCAGTGGAAGTGAAGATGCCAGTGACGATGAACAGAAGAAGCCTGACAAAAAGAAGAAAAGCAAAAAACAAGCCATAAATTCTGATAGCGAAGACAGCGATGAAGAAGAAGAGGAGGAAGATGGTAAGTGGGTTTTTCAGTATAGATGTTAGCTTTTATTGTATTTTTTTTACCATAATGTTGATTTACTGATTATTATAACTTCCTAAAATTTTGCAACATCGCAGTGATTACCTCAGAGTTAAATAGAATGGCTCGTGAGTATTAAATTATTTTGTTTTGGTGTTTAAAATCACTCCTATTTTTATTTATTCTGTAAATCTCCAATTGTGTCTTTTTAGATGAGGCAGAGGATGGTATGTACAGTTATGTTTTAGCTGTTGTTGAATGTTAGACTAGACTAAAAGAGCCATTGAAACACAAATGGGAATGTTAACATAATTATTTATTGTATTAACAGTATATGTTATTTGTTAGAATTTATATACAAATTTTGCTTTCACTCATTAGATAAACGAAGAAAATTACCCCTCAGCACTAACCTCAAGAATTGTATTATTCTGCACTTGATATTAGGTGTTTTGCTCTCACTTACCAATTCTTCATTCAACAAAATTCTGTTGTATTGTTGGCTGAATACAAAGAATATTTTACATCTTTTTTTTTTTTATATATTTGGATAAAACTGAAATATCTTTTGTTCTCATTTTGTATTCAAGGCTCTATGAATTAGCTTTATATTCCTTATTCCTATAGCATGGATCAGTTGTGGCTAGCTGTTGGTGTCTTTTATAGAACCTTTATATCATGAATGCATTTTGTCGTTTGTTTTTGTTTACATTTTTATCAGATGATGATAAAATACGAGAAGAAATGAAGGATCTTATCAATGATGAGGAAGAGGAGGAGGAAGGACCTGCCAGTGAGGATGAGAAAAAGGAGGATTCAGATATTGATGACCAGTTGGAGGAGGATGATTATGACTTGATTGAGGAAAACTTGGGAATTAAAGTGCAAAGAAAAGTGAGTATGATCTGTATACTATTTATGTATTGAAAACAATGGAAATATGTGGTTGGTGTTATGCATTCTTTAATTATGCTGTATAGTGAATTTTTCAACAGACATAAAGTATTATCAAATTTGGAGTTGTTAACATTTTGATAAATCTTGTCTGCACAAGCTGTAGTATATTGAAATAAATATGTAACCCGTAATACCCTGGGCATGGTAGAACTTAGGGTTTCAATTAGTTATCATGTTTATGTGAAGTCAAATTTGCTTAAGCATGATATAAGCATGTTATTGTTCAGACATAGGAAGTGTGGTTTGTTTTGTTATTTTCAAATATGTTTTACATTGTATTTGTTGTAATTTTGTAATCTGGTAGATATTAGGGTAGCCTCAAAAGTAATTTGAACAAAAAGAGCTTACAGTTTAATGCCAGATGTGTATACAGTGCATTTTGGGAGGTTCATTTAGGATATGTAGGTAATAAAGAAAAACATGTTTTGACTTTTTGAGATTCAAAATATCAAGACACATACAATTTCATCCCCATTTTTCATCATTTTTCATCATTAGCGCAAGCACACCCGAATCAGAGTGCTGTCAGATGATGAAGACAGCGACAAAGATGATGAACCAGAGGCCAAGAAGGGCAAAGAGACAATAGCTAACCAGATTTTTGAGGGGGATGATGATGACTTACCTGATACTCAGATGGAGGAAACCTCACAACAGGAACCAGAAGAGAAGTTTGGGGAGTTAGAAGAATCTGAGGAAGAGTCAGGTAAAGTGTTTGTTGATACAGTTGACTAAGCAAAGATAGGTATTTAAGATGTCTAATTTTCTCACTTGTTTTGTCTTGGTAGATCATATTTAAGAACTTATTGATAATTAATTTGTTGTAATATTTGCAGATGTTGATGACTTCATTGTTGACGATGAAGGGCAGCCCATAAGTAAAACTAAAAAGAAAAAGCATATTATCCACACTGACAGGTAAGACAATTGTTTATTTTAAGGCCTGTAATCATTTTGAAGTATTTATCTGTCTTTTTAAGCATAAAGGAAAAAAATAATCAGACATTTTGAAATAATGGTTGTTTTTGTTTGTAGAGTGATAATGCCAGTACTGTATAACGACCTGACATATTTTATGTTCTAGTGCTCTCCAAGAGGCCCAGGATATCTTTGGTGTAGATTTTGACTTTGCAGATTTTGATCAATATGGTAGTGAATATGAAGAAGATGAACTTGAGGAAGAGGTTTGTTATTCTACTGTGTGTTCTCTAGTCGAATTAAAAAAATATTACAGCATTGCACTGTTTGAATTTTATATGTTATATTACAATATAACCTATGAAAATGTCTAAAAGATTTTGATGTTTCACATGTCAGGTGTGTTAATTAAATGTGTTACGACATTTCAGTACGAAGAAGAGATGGAAGGGGAAGAAGGTACTGTCAAACCGAAGAAAAAGACCTCCAAGAAAAGGGCCAAAAAGAGTATATTTGAGGTACAAAATAGTTTTGATATTTAGCTTTTTTAATCATGAATACACAAGTTTTATATTGATTTATCCTTTTATCTGGTATAGCAATTATTAACAGCAAGTCAGAAGGTTTTTACACAAATTTAAATCATATTTCAATTGTATCCTGAAATTGTATTTATTGGATTTTGTAATTGTGCAAATAATTGTTCTTCAATCTTTAATTGTGTATTTGACTCAGTTTTAACCTTCTCTGTCTTCTGTGGCAGGTATACGAGCCCAGTGAGCTGGAGAAAGCACATTTAACAGATGTGGACAATGAAATCAGGACCACAGATATGCCTGAGAGATTTCAAGTATGAATTAAATTATCATAATGACACATGCTATTAAGTAAACGAATGACTTGTGTTTGTTTCTTCATGCAGCGATATAGCTATTTTGAGATTCATAGTGGTTGCTATTTTAAAATGGGTTCAAAGTGGTTGGTGTGTGCACACATATGCCTTTAAGTTGCCTTTAAGTTTCAAGCTACCCATTTTTCGCCATCAATTAGGTTTTGTCTTAGAGCATATTATCAGTTTGGGTTATATTGAATATATTTGTGCTTTAGTTACGTGGCATCCCTGTCCTCCCCACAGAAGAGGGTGAGCTAGAAGAGGAAGCTGAGTGGATCTACAAACATGCTTTCTGCACACAACCTCTGTCCTCACAGGTAAATGAACAGCAGACACTAATTAACATTTTAAGCATGATTTTCAACTGGCCCCTTTTCTTTTAGAGATTCTTAGCTATTTTGAACTTTAGTACATTATGAATTTAGTTGTCAAACATTTCAACTAGTGATAGATATTGTCATTGACTTTTGCCTCTGTTTAGGATCAGGATGGTGGGGAAGGCCAGTCATACTACAACCGTAAAGGACCCAGCACTGTGGTCAAAATTAAAGAAGCTCTACACTTCATGAGGAATGACCAGCTTGAGGTGATACTGCACTCATGTATTGTGCTGTTTGTATGACATTTACTTTTTGGTTATAATTTTTTTCATCAAATATATGTCGAAATTAAGTTGATAAATGTGTCACAATTTAATGTTGTAAATTGTAATTTTTGTGTTTCTGTTGTAGGTTCCCTTCATTGCCTTCTACAGAAAAGAATATGTCAACCCAGAACTTAACATAAAAGACTTGTGGAAAGTATGGCAGTGGGATGAAAAGGTAGACTCAATAAAGATCTCTATGTCTTTAGAAATTTTAAGATTTTGAAGTATAAGATTGGAAGAGTGCAGACATTGCAAGTTCGACTGTCTTGATGTTGGCAAGAGTACTGGTTTGTATTCATTTACTGAAACTAGAAAGCTGTTCTATTTTCAGTGGACTCAGCTGAGGTCAAGAAAGAAGAATTTAGTCAGATTGTTTGAGAAAATGCAGCAGTATCAGTTTGAGCTGATTGACCCAGAGAAGCCTTTGCCTTCACACTTCAGGTCACTCACATCAGATGATATTGAAAGGTGGGTAAAACTTTGAAAGTTGTTTTCATCATTTTATAAGCTGAATGATTTTTTTCAAAATTTAACAAAGAGATTCAGGTAAAGTATAATCTCGTGTTTAAAGCTAAACCTGTATATTTGTTAAGTTCTTGTGTCCATTCATCATTTTAGGGCCAAAAACATTCAAAGTATGGAGGAATACAAGGATGTTTATCAACATTTCCTGCTGTACTATGGAGCAGACATTCCAAAGATGAAAAATGCAGAGAAAAAGAAAAAGAAAACTAAACCAGTAAAAGAGAAGGAACCAGAGAAGGATGTTGAAGTGGAGGGGGATGGAGAGAAGGAGGAGGGGGAGACGGAAGAGGGGGAGGAGGAAAAGAAAGCTAAAGAACCAGAAGAAGAGGAGGAAGAAGAAGAAGACAATACAGTTCACTTAAAACAGGCCACAAGAAAGACGGGGTATACATTATGCTGTGAAAATGGGCTAGGTAAGTATATGTTATTTATTCTGTTGCAGTGTTTTCAGATCTGTTATTTTTGAGTGAATTGAAGTGTTTTGTTTTCACAAAATAGAACTCCCTAATGAATTATGATTTAGCATGGTTTCATTTATATGTTATACTGTGCTATGCTTCAGCTGAGGTTGCTTGCAAATTTGGATTAACCCCAGAGCAGTTTGGTGAGAACTTGCGTGATAACTACCAGAGACATGAAGTGGAGCAGTACCCCTTGAAACCACTGGATGTGGCCAAAGATTTTATTGTAGGGTAAGTCTTGGGGAAGAAAATTCGGTCACTGTGCCTATGTTTAAATGCATATCATTTACAAAGAAAAAAAAAAATTCAGAAAAAGCTGTTTGTTCAATTAAATAAAATGGAGATGATATGCCTGTTAAATCGAAAGTTCTGTGTTTTTTTATGAGTTGGAGGCATATTTCACTTCTGTTGTAACACAGAGACAGTCCTGTTTACAATGATTAGAGATTTTTGTGTTTTCATTTAGTGTGTTTAATACAGAAGAAGATGTGTTGAAGGGAGCCAGACATGTGGTGGCCATGCAGATAGCTCATGACCCCCTGGTCAGAGAGGTGGTCAGGGAGACTTTCTTTGAGAGAGCCACCATTGATTGCAGACCCACTAAGAAAGGCATCAAGGTATGATTTACTTATTTTTTAAATTTTTTACAGAGAAAAAAAAAGCTAATGAAACTAAGCAGAACAGTTCCCAGAAACGATAAAAAGATACTGATAGATTTTTGTAATGGGTGAAGTTTTCCATGGTCAGTGTTTAGATAATGAAGAAATTTAATGATTGATGTAATCTGGGAGAATCCTTTTTTATTATGATATATACATCAGCAGATAATAGATGAATAAATGATTTTTTTCTGATCTAGATGATTGATGAAGCCCATCCATGTTACACTTGCAAGTACCTGAGACACAAACCAACATCTGATCTTCAGAATGAGCAGTTTCTCAAGATGGTCATGGTAAGTACAAAGACAACTGTTTTATGTTTAATTCATGATGTTAGAACCATGAACAATTTATTAATTTTTTTTTTATTTTAGTTAGCTGTGGTGATCAGTATAAAACAAATGAAGAAGTCTGGTTTTCGTGCATTCTACCTCTGAGACGAATGTGCCTTATGAATAGATTTTTTCTGAGTGGATCAAAACTCCCCATTAGGATAAACTCACAGCCTTTTCTTTTAAGTAGTGATTTTAATAGTGAAGTACCATAGGGTAAGTACTCATCTTTTCTCACTTCAGGCTGAAGAGGATCAGTTACTGACTATGGACATAGGACTCCATGACAAAGATGCCTACTTTGATGATATCAAACAGCTGTTTTATAGGGTAAGAAAAGTGTAGTAGGTTCATGCCTCGATTCAAGAAATTTGACTAAATGTTCCTATACAACCTAATTGATTATCATGTAAAAGTAACTGTAAATTTTTTTTTAAATTGGATGCACTTCAACAGATTCAGGTTTTGAAATGTTCAGAGAATTTGTTAGATTTGATGTTGGTAAGGTATCCAGGAGTGTCTTTATTTTTTTCACCCATGTGTGTTCCAGGATGAGTTCAGTTCACTAGTTCAGGAGTGGAACAACCAGCGCAGCTTGGCACTGGAGAGGGCACTGAAGGTGATTCTGTTCCCTCAGATGGCCAAGGAACTCAAGACTAAGCTCATACAAGAAGCAAAGGATGGTGTTGTTCAGGTACAAGGATGTTGATATACTATTTGAAAATTTACTCCTCAAGCTTAAACACTTTCCCCATGATAATAGTCTCATTTTTCATTTGTTACTCTAATGTAAAAAGTGTTATGGTAGAAAATTCAAAACTTTGAAATATTTGTAACTAAGGAACAGGAACTTCCTCAGATAGGTATGCAGGCTGGGCTAAAAAAGTTAAAATGGGACATATTGTTATACTGCTTTTCACTGTGGACCTAAATTATGTTCCCTAATACTCTTCATGACACTCTCACAGAGTTGTGCCCGCAAACTGTACAACTGGCTGAAGGTGGCCCCTTACCAGACAGACCAGCCCGACCTGGATGACGATGATGATGATTACTCCAAAGGACTGCGTGTACTGGGGATAGGCTTTGCTCCAGACAGGGAGACAGCAGCATTTGGAGCCCTAATTGATGGGGACGGGGAAGTCACTGAGTACATCAGGCTGCCACATTTGCTTAAGATGAAAGGAGGGTTTAGAGAAATGGACAGCAAACAGAAGGTGACTGGCAGCACAGTTATGATGAGAATCAGTATTAGTACCTAGGGTTGATGTGGAGATCTGTTTCAACTTTTCTTTTCTGATTGAACAGAATTTGTTTTTGTTCCATGAAAGATTGTGTGTTATGAAGCATGTCATCTCATATTGGGATGAACAAAAACTTATTGATTCATTTAATAGAATACTTTGGAAAATGCACATTCTAAATAAAACTATCATTCTTCCAGAGAGAAGATCTTGAAAAGTTAAAGGATTTTATTTCCACCAAGAAGCCTCATGTTATAGCTGTGGCTGCTGATTCATTGTAAGTAACATGGGATTTTGATAATTTTTTCTGATGGAACAGACTTAAGGTTGTTGGGGCTAGGTCAACTATTTTGAATCATATGCTCTTAATTCATTTGTATCTGAAACTCGCATCAAGTAAAAGGAAATAATGAAGTGTTCTTGTACATTTGGTGTCATCTCACTGCTTTCTAGACCTGCCAAGAATATCATAGAAGACTTACAGGAGCTGGTGACAGAGCTGGAACAGGAGCAGCAGATGGCACCCATCAATGTAGAACTGGTGGATAATGAGCTGGCTCTCATTTATGAGTGCTGCAATAAAGCTGAGGTGGGGATAGATGCTTAAATAATGATGATGGCTATCCACAGTTTATGGATTGATGAAGCTAATTAGTGAATGTATTTATAGATGAAGGTGTTTGCTTGATTTAGTTCCTTTGAGTAAAAACAACTAAGTGAACTAGTACTTTCTTGATATTGCATATTTTGAAGTGGGTTGGTTGAAGTTGGGGGGGGGTGGGGGGGGTGGACAGATCGGGGATTGTTAGTATATTATTTGGTTTTAAACTTTGTATTTCTTTCAGTCTGATTTCCGGGATTATCCTCCACTACTGAGGCAGGCCATCTCTGTGGCTAGGAGACTGCAGGACCCTCTCATAGAATTTGCACAGATGTTTAATACAGATGAGGACATCTTGTGTCTGAAATATCATCCTTTGCAGGTAAGAATATATGCTTAAAACATGACTGCAGACAAAACATGCAAATTTATAAAAAGAAACCAGTGATCAAAATTGAAAGACTGCAAGAAGACATATAAGCCTCAGTGATAAGCATAGTAAGTTTTGTCCATATATCATTCTATCTCCCCATCCCCCAGTTTTCTGAACGAAATGTGAATGGTCAATACTGATGGACATGACTCTGTTTCAGGACCAAGTGAGCAAAGATGATCTGCTGAATGCCCTGAACCTGGAGTTTGTGAACAGAGTGAATGAAGTGGGGGTGGATGTGAACAGAGCAGTGGCACACTCCCACACATCACATCTAGTACAGTTTGTTTGTGGCCTGGGGCCAAGAAAGGGGGCATATCTACTGAAGGTAAGACATAGGGCCTCTGTTCAGGTTCATGAAGAAAAAGAGGCAATTGTATCTATTAAGAATTAAGATAACAGCTGCTATGGCATTTTGAGCAAGATATAGTCTATGGTGAATTTACAGCATGGTAAAGGAAGCATCAGTTCACTTAACATATGTGTACAATTTTCAGCAACACTTTATAGGGATTGGAAAACAAACTGAATTTGGTTTTGAGAAGTTTTTCTCAATACATATTAAGGAAAGTTTAATGCAAATTAATTTTTTTCTTCAGATTTTGAAGCAGAACAATGCTCGTTTGGAGAACAGAACTCAGTTGGTCACCCTGTGCCACATGGGGCCCAAAGTGTTCATTAACTGTGCTGGGTTTATCAAAATAGACACTAACTCTCTTGGAGACAGCACTGATGCCTATGTGGAGGTCCTTGATGGCTCTCGTGTCCACCCAGAGACCTATGACTGGGCAAGGAAGATGGCTGTTGATGCCCTGGAGTATGATGACACAGCAGAGGATGCTAACCCTGCAGGTGCCCTGGAGGAGATCCTGGAGAGCCCTGAGAGGCTCAAAGACCTGGATCTGGATGCCTTTGCTGAGGAACTGGAGAGACAGGTCAGGACTGCAAGAATGAAAACTTATGTGATTTGGTTATACAAATTCATATGAAGGGAAATCAGTTACCGATCAGATATATGTGGGTTTTATGGAATAGATAGCAAAAAAGGATTGGTAAAGTATAATAGTTTAGATGAGAATTTTAAACAAACAATTAGAAAACTTGAATGAGAAAGAAGAAATAATTTTGGATGTGGTTCACTGAACACTACATTTACATCATGCTAAATATATATTGCAGAACTATGGTAACAAGCACATCACCCTGTATGACATCAGAGCTGAGCTGAATCACAGATACAAAGACCTGAGAACACCTTACAGACCACCTTCAGAGGAGGAACGGTTTAATATGCTCACTAAAGAAACCCCACAGACTTTCTACATTGGTAACATATTTTCATTCACTCTGTTTGTGTTACTGATATTTCTTTGTATTATGTTTTATTGGTTATTGTAATTTAATGAGAACTTTGAAAGCAAGAAATCTGCAAGGCAAGGATTTTTTTATCTATTAGAAATGGTGATATATCTCCATGATTACAATCCGTATTATCATGTCATACATTATTTTTCATATTAAATCATTCCAGGCAAGCTGATAATGTGCAGAGTTAATGGGTTTGCGTTCAGAAAGCCTCACGGGGATCAGTTAGACCAGGCTAACCCAGTAAGGAATGATGAGACTGGACTGTGGCAGTGCCCATTCTGTATGACAAATGATTTTCCAGAATTGAGTGAGGTAAGGATAAATCTTCATGTGCTATTATCTCTTTAATACTTGAAAATTTTGCTGTCCTGAATTAAATGTGTAGACCTAGAAGTATCAATTAAATGGGATAAGTGACTTCTATCAGTGTTTTGCAACATGCCATAGACCAAATTTTTAAAAACCATTCCTCTACATTTATCATTCAGTTAGCATGTGACAATGGATGGAGAATTATGATTTTGATTAAGTTTTTCTGTCATGTGTTACAGGTTTTTGATAAATAAATGTAACATGACATCCTGGACAGCCTGAACAGTGATATTAAGCTGAATAATTGGTTTCTAGGTTTGGAGTCACTTTGATGCGGGCAGCTGTCCAGGCACTGTGGTTGGGGTCAAGGTCAGGCTGGACAATGGCTGTAGAGGGTTCCTGCCCAACAGAAACATTAGTGATAAACATGTTACAAATCCTGAGGAAAGAGTCAAGGTATCACAAGCTGTATTAATATATGATTTGAAGATTTTAGTAATATGACACTGTGACTGGGGCATAGAAGGCTGGCTCCACAGTGTGTGATATGTCAGTGTGAGTGCTTTGATCTTGTATTTTACCCTTACGATCCCAAACTATGATAAGCCTGATTGAGGATTAACATATATATATATGTAAATTAAAGTTGATTTTAAAATTGAAATTCGAAAGAATGGGAGGACTAATAGCTATTGTATCTGTTATTAGAATGGGATGATCCTACACAGCCGTATCACTAAGATTAACATTGAGAGGTTTGAGGTGGAGGTCACCTGTAGGACATCAGACTTAGTGGACAAAGAGGGAACATGGAGGTAAGATACAGTACTTGGCAAATTTTAACTTTTTATATGCCAAATTAACTGAAATGTATGATAATTTTTCTTGTTTATAATATTATAAATGGAGCTTGATACCAAAAATGCTTATCTGTATTTGGATATTTTGAAGGCCTGCCAAGGACCGTTATTATGATATTGAGTTGGAAGAAGCAGATATGAAGAAAGAAGATGATAAGAAAAAGCTTCAGGCCAGGCAAAGTAAGTAGCTGGCATATATGTTTATTTTGGAATTTCTGCCTTCTCTGACATCCCTGAAAACATCTTCATTTTATGTATTTCAGAGACAAAAGTAATCAACTAAGCATGTGTTCATCATCTTAAGTCACTCTATCATCTTAATTTAGTTTGAAAAGAAGTGGAATAAATTTATGGTAGAAAATTTATAGTGGTGAGGAAGAGGGGAAAATACCAGGGTTGATCAAAAAGATATGAAATATTTTTGTAGACAGCAAATTGATAATTCTAAGGATAGAGGGGAATTTCCTAGTCTAGTGTACTTTTCTTTGATTGCAGCTTACATCAAAAGAGTCATAGTTCATCCATCGTTTCACAACATTGACTTTAGAACATGTGAGAAACTGATGGCTAACATGGACCAAGGAGAGGTCATCATAAGGCCAAGTAGTAAGGTACTGTATACAGTTAATGTAGTATCTGAATGACAGTTAATGTAGTATCTGAATGATAGATAGTAACTGTACTAAAACATTTTAGCATGTTCCTAAGTCCAACTTAAGTTTGATAGGAATAGCAAAAGTGTTATAGCTTTTAAGAAAATGACTTCATAAGGACCACAGAACATGTTTTTTCCCCTTAAATGTTTGGTTTTAAGATCTGGAATAGAAATATACAAGATGGGTGTCAAAATGAATGTAGCTAAATTGACTCATTTCCAGGGTGCAGACCACTTGACTGTGACGTGGAAAGTTACAGAAGGTGTTTACTCTCACATAGATGTCAAAGAAGATGGCAAAGAGAACGCTTTCAGTCTGGGACAGTCCTTACTCATAGGCAATGATGTAGGTTTATGAAATTTTGGGAATGTCCTTTACTACATTAAAAAAGTATAATCATAGTTTATTGAACATATTTACATTTCTTAGTTTTCTCAACCAAAATTCCTCCCAAATTATTAAACCAATTTTTAAAACTTTTTTGTCTTGTTTTCTTAGGAATTTGAAGATCTGGATGAAATTATAGCTCGACATATTCAACCCATGGCAGCTTTTGCTAGAGACATCATAAACTTCAAGTATTACAAAGAGGTTGAAGGTGGAAAGAGGGAAAATATTGAAAAGATTCTTATTGAGGAGAAGAAAAAGGGACCTTCAAAGTAAAGATTGTTTATTATTTTACAGATAATTTACAGATAAACAGCAAACTTAATTACCTTGATAACTTTGTTAAATTTGTATGGAAAGGTTTAATTTAAATAATTCTTAGCAATTGTGTGATAATTTTTGATTTGAATTGTATAGATGATATACAAAATTGGATGCCTAATTTTTAGGTGTCCAATTTGTTTTAGTTATTTGCTTGGAAAACACCAACTGATACTTTTTTTCTGTTTTCAAGGATCCCATACTACTTCAGTGTGGCCAAGGAATTACCTGGGAAGTTTATGCTATCCTACCTGCCTAGGACCAAACCTAAGCATGAGTTTGTCACTGTGACACCAGATGGCATGAGGTACAGGGGCCAGGTGTTCCATTCACTCAACTCTCTTATTAAATGGTTCAAAGAACACTTCAGGGATCCACCACCAGGTTAGTTGAGTTGGTCTGTTAGTATACCAGTCATGTCAATTGAATGTGCAGTAACAGTATTGAGCCGGGAGTGTTTTTACATATGTAATGTAGTTAAAAACTATATAATGTTTCTTGTTTGCCTCTTTGCTTCCCATTTCTTATATTGTCAGATATTATGTTTGTATTGCCTTAATTACCAGAAAAATATGAAATAGTTATTGAATTATTTTAGGCACTCCAGCATCTACGAGAACTCCACTTGGTCTGGCAGCTACACCAAGTATTAACCTGCATGGTATGTTATAAGAAATTGATATTTTTATAAATTCTCACTGCTGTCCAAATTACTTGGAATTGTGAAATTTTTAATAGTCTCAGTATAGATATGAGCAGTCATGTAAAAAACTTTTTGCCTTCTTGTAAATGTTTAAATTTTGATTGGATGTATTCATATATACTTTATCTTGAGCCAAACATATGCATATGCTTTATTATATCCAACTAATTCATTACATTTCTATTGCACAGGTGTGGATGCAGCCACCCTGAGGCAGGCGGCCGCAGGACTGCCCAGTAACATATACAGCACCCTGGCCCAGGTAGCAGGTGCCACCCCCAGGGCCACACCCCAGATAGGATCCACCCCACAGTCCTACCAGACTGCCAGGAACTTTGCAGGGGGATATAGTGGAGGCTATAACCTGGTGAGTTGGCTCTTTTCAGTCAAACAAGGAGACTTGCACTTCATGATGTGATAATTATTGAACTGAACATGTTCCTTGTAGTAAAAGAAAGTAGAAGATGTAATTTTATTTATTATTGTAGTAATCCCTTTCACAATGCTTTTATCAAGGTTTTACTTTGTTATGATGCATTTGCTAATTCTTTGATTTTACATGCAGTCCACATATCTGTACTGGTTTTTTCAGCAACCAACAGCTACTCCACTGTTGACACCCATGATGACTCCATCATACCACACAAGTCAGGGTCTGGGGACCACACCCCTATACCAGCCAACCCCTAGGACATCCAACTGGCCTGGGAATACCCCACGGCAACAGGCCAGTGCCACCACTCCCAGGGTCCACCCTGCTACCACACCCAGGCAGCAGCCAGGGTTAACCCCCAGGCAACAACCTGGCATCACCCCTCGCCAGCAACCAGGGTTAACACCCAGACAATCTGGCATGACACCCAGGCACTCACACTCACATACAAGTACCACACCCAGGCAATCTGGTGCCACGCCCACTAGAACCCATGGGTCATCATCTGGGTCCACCCCCAGTGGTAGGACACCCACTCACTCCAGTCGCTCTAGCAGCAAGGCTGCCACTGTGACTGACTGGGCCAAGGCAGCAGAGATGTGGGCTAAGAAACGTGCCAACCAGGGCTACAAGACACCCCAGTCTGATGTAGGTAGTACCACACCTGCTGGGGACTCTACACCACTTATTGATGAAAGGTGATCAGCTGCCAGGTATGAAACTGGGAGATATTTCAGCTGGCTTGCTGATTCCACAGGCATAATTAATGGAATAGGAGGTTTTATAAGACATGCATTAGAGGATTGGTGTCAAAGGCAGAGGATCAATATAATAGCATTAACTGGAGGAGCTCCCAAGGAGTGCTATTAGTTGAAACTAACTGTTAGATGTATTTCTTTTTTTCAAAGGAACAAAACAAAATCAAAGTTATGATTTATGGCTATTCAGTTGTTTCAAGAGAGCTATTTTGTATGCATTCAATGAACTTTTTTTGCATTTTTTTAAAAATATAAATACTTAAAAGTTGATGTGAATGCAGACTGCTATGTATTTTATGTAGAGTAAAAAAGAAAAGATAAAACATCCAATGATGATTTGATTCACATTTTGCTACATTTTTGTAGTTATGAAATAATTTTTTAAATATTTGTACAGTCAGTTTGATATTGAGGAATGATAATGTGGAAACTGCAGAAAACAAATGATGTAAAAATTGAGATGAGCTTTGCGAAAATACAAAAACTACAAAATGTCATCAGTCTCAAGGCTTTCCTCCAATAAGTGTGAAAAAGCTATTGTTATCATGACACTATTTGAAGAAAATGACAACTTTGAACTTCAAACCAAATATAGTTTCGGCATCTAGATATTAACTTGAATATCAATACCAAGATTTAATGCTAAATAAATACATTGGTAGATATTTATTTGATTTTCTAATGGATCAACCTGGGTCATCAGGACATAGTGTTTGCAATAGAGATGCATGCACAAATTCATTTAAAGAAGAGATCTTTTTCCCCCAAACAGTCATGGTTTATTATATGGGATGAGCCTTTGAACCATATGATTGCATATGCCACATGCATTTATACAGCAATATTTGATTTTGTAGAAACAATACATAAATCCATGAATACATAGGTGTATATATATTTCAAACATTTACATCAGAACAAAATGAATTCAATCAAATATCCATTTCATTATTCTTGTATATACATGGCATAGTATCCTCCATTGCACTGGATTAATTGTTTGCATTACAAATTTTGAAATAAGGAAATGTAATTTATAAACAATTAAATGCATGAATGGCTCTCGGATGTTAGTCCAAGATTAATAGTCCACCAGTGTGCAAAAACTAATATTTAAGAACTGCAAATCAAGTCAATTTATTGAGTTATAAGAATAAGTCAAATGCAATACCAATAAACTATTCATGCTTTAAAAAAATTACAATCAATCCAGATTGCATTATATGTAAATTTTCATCTCTTAAAAAGATAACAAAAAATTAAAAAGTTTGAAATGACCAGCAGAGATAATTGTTTTAAAGAAAAATAAAAAAATCTGGCCAATGAAATCTGAATCACATCCAGGGCTCATTAAATATACAGAGCCAATTATCACAGCTGGATACAGATGGAACTATTCCTAACTATTATGTCTTCATAACTATCCCTAGATGTACCTCTAAATCTACACTATTGCACTTTGATTACATACTTATAAGTATGGGTAGTGGGGCTAAGGAGAAGAAACTAAAGCATTCCAGACTTGTAGCAAATTAACCTTATGGCTTCTTTTGTTCTTTCCAATACAATATCCTTTTTTCTTGGTTATGATCATACACTATGTTAAAAGATACACATGTATAAATGAGTGGTAAAACAATTTCAAGCACTAGGATAACAGCTTCCAATGGAGAAAATATATAAACAATTTGAATTGGTTGTCGGCATTTTTCAAACTGGAGTAAGGGACAAAATAATCTTTTTGACAAAATACTGCATTATTTTACATTTGTTAAGTACAGACTGGAGTATAAATACTGTTTGACCTATTATGCAGCAATTCATGCTTCGGTGGACATCATAATCCAAATGATTTTATATCATTTCAATGCTGCTATTCCTTTTTGACAAAACTTGAATAGGATTCAGATTTCCCGTTTACCCTTTTGTTCTTACACATTTAAAAGCAAGTCTTTCATGTCTTTCTCCACTCAGTTTAATTCACTTGCTTAAAGCACTGGTTTTGGATTTGCAGGACCACTTCTGCATGCACAATAGTTCCACATCAACTCACACTTTCAAGAAGACAACATAGAAGAGCTGTTAGTAACCAAACATCCATAAGAAGATTGACAAGGAACATGCTTAAGTTGTCTCACAACACAGCCTTTCATTGAACAGTGCACATTTTCTTGAAATCTGATTCAAATTCTTCATCATCTTCTTCCACACAGGGTTCCTTTCCTCGGACGTCTGGCAGATAGCGGTTATAATCTAAATCCCTCCTTTCATAGAACAACATGTAAGCAGAGTCTGTGTCAATCTGGTCCTCAGTGATTTCCTAAAAATATTGTAGGAAATGGTGAACTTAAAATAAAAAAGAGCTATAACTTTACATTCAATAAAGACACCAATAACAACAACAACAAAAAAGAAAAAAAAAATGTGCTGAATACAAAAAGCATATGTAATAGGGTCAATAGAAACTTAGTGTTCACATTTTTACGAAGACATTCCTGGTACAACTTGCACACCCAACTTGATCAAATTATTAAATTTACATTGCAACTTTGAGCAATTATGCTACACAAGGAATGGCAGCCGTACTGAGCAACACACATACTGCATCTAAACCTTTTAGTTTTTCTTTACCTTACAGCTGCTATCATTATAACAGTACCACTTCTTGTTAGGGTTCTTGGCATACGACACATAATGACCACCTCCTAGGATACCAGAGTGACACTGAAACACAAACCAAATTTTTCAGTATAGCAACTCAGTATGCTGGAAATATTTTAGGCAGCCTGCTTTATCACAAGTTAAAAATTTATTCTTACCAATAATAATACTTGTACTTACTGACAAAGCATAGAGATCATATCTAGCTGTGGTGTAGTCCATGCTGGCCACAGAGGTCATCCTATGACGTCCACTGAAATTAGGATTGTATTCATCCAGGATGTCGTCAAGTTCCATAGCTGCTGTGGCTCCCTCTGTCTCTGGAAGGTTATCGTAAGTAGAATCACTGTGAGTCAGGCCTCCTCCATTACAGTTTGTGAATGGGTCATGACTGCCCTCTATAGGAGTGTCGCTGTATTGTTCATAGGAATCTGACAAATCTCCATTAAGCACAGGCCTTTCATCTCCAGTGGCCAGCCTGTTCTCATTCTCACAACCACATGTTGTATACACCTCCCCACACTGGCAGTCTGAGGGCTGAATGTGATTTGTCTGTTCATTATGATTGGCTTCCTGGACCTCCATGATCTTGGAAACTACCTCCTGCTTGGGAGTGCGAGGAGCCAGGTAACTCGATGGATCAAAATGTTTGATTGGAAATTTGACAATTTTGTGTGACTTTACCCAACGGTTGTTCAAAAACTGAAATCTCTTCAAATGAATGATCTGAAAATCGATAATTAATACATTATAAATTGCAGCTTATTGCTTGTGATAAAACCACTTAGGATTTTTAAGGCAAAATATACTATAATGCATGCAAATCTGAGGGAGTCATTGACTTCAATGTAATTTTAAATAAAGGACGACTGGTTAATTTTTCTGAATTGTTCTACTCTACAATTAGGGTAAATCTTCAACCTTACCAAAATTGGTGGCAACTTCCAAATATCCAGCTTCTTTGCTGCCAGTCTCAATTCTTTACACTTGGAACAATAATACAGCTCTTCTTCTCCCAGTTCTTCTTCTTTGGTGAATGCTCTCAGACAGGCATCTAAGTCAATTGGTTCAGTCTGAAGGCGTCTACTCTCTTCTACACTCTCATGGTCATTATACACCTACATATAGTATGGAATAATAATGATGAATTTGTGTTTTAACATATCAGAAAAATGTCAGTATTTAATTTTAAAGGCATGGCAGCTTTTCTCATTTTCATCTCTGTTTCCAGTTTCTTGCACAGCTACAACTATAAACTTTAATGAAAATAAGTTTCAAATTTTGCACTGTCATGGATTTCTGTGAAAACATCATCAGTTTGTTTGACTGCTAATGTTTAAGGCAGATTGATCATCCCTTGTTTTCTGCTGGTGTTCTAAAGCTACATAAACATACATTCAAATTATTAAAACAGATTTTCAGGTACTTTAACTTTATACAAGCAATTGAGAGAGAGAGAGGAGTTGGTCAGGAGTTCATGATGCCTACCCTCTCCTGTGAGGACTGGTATCTGAGGTGCAGTGCAGTGGGCTCCCAGTCTACAGCTATGTAACAGCTGCCATTGTTGAAGTCATCTGTTGTACACTCTAGCTTACATCCACGGCAGAATCTGAAACACATCAAAAATTGGTTCTTCAAGGTAAATTCTTGCCTTAGCTAGGTCAAAACTATATCACAAAGATTGAAAGTCTGCTTCAAAAAATAAACTGCACTGTAAAAATACATATTTAATATTCTTGTATCAACTGCTTAAAGACAGTAAATAAAAGGCCTGAATCTGTCCACAGTCCAACCACCAGGGTTTGTACACTCACCTGTACCAAGGGCACCAGGCACAGGTGAAGCCATCTTTCTGTACAGCCTTCAGCGTGAAGGGATACTCATAACCTAAGCTATCATCACAGTCTTGTGCATGGTTGGGATGTCCACTCTCCGAGGGTGGCAGTGGACTGACCAGTCTGGACACCTGGACCCACACACTCTGGTACAGGTCCTGGTGGGTGGTGTCTTGGTTGCATGGAATGATCAGAGGGGTGCCAAATAAACTGGGGCGTGTCTTCTGAGACGACAGGAAGTATACATCCATGCGGATCTGGAAAATAATATAGATTTTCTAGGTTTGTTTCAGAAAGTGCAATTTCAAGTTTCACATAATTTATGGCATTTAATGGAAAATACTGAGGTAATAATGAGGGAAATATTTTATTGTTTTTACTTCAAAAAGCATAGGAAAAAAATATAGTAAACTTCACATGAACCTCCAATGCACATGCTCACCATTTTTCTATGCACTGCCACTAGGAATCCACTGATCTCAGGGTCAGATCCTAATGACCCATTGTTATTGGTGGCAATACTGCTACCAATGCTACAGTTACTGGCATTACGACTGTGACCTGGTTGAGTAGTGGTGTTCACTGCAGGAGTATCTAAAATTGATAATGCGAAAAAGTAACAAAAACAATACAGCTTGCCTGTTACAACTGATATAAATAATTCAAGATTAAGCTATTAGGAAAACCGATGTGATTAATTCCTGGAGTAATGTTTTGATTTATAAAAATAACTAAATACATAGAAATTTATTAAAAGACTATNCGTTTACCCTTTTGTTCTTACACATTTAAAAGCAAGTTTTTCATGTCTTTCTCCACTCAGTTTAATTCACTTGCTTAAAGCACTGGTTTTGGATTTGCAGGACCACTTCTGCATGCACAATAGTTCCACATCAACTCACACTTTCAAGAAGACAACACAGAAGAGCTGTTAGTGACCAAACATCCATAAGAAGATTGACAAGGAACATGCTTAAGTTGTCTCACAACACATCCTTTCATTGAACAGTGCACATTTTCTTGAAATCTGATTCAAATTCTTCATCATCTTCTTCCACACAAGGTTCCTTTCCTCGGACGTCTGGCAGATAGCGGTTATAATCTAAATCCCTCCTTTCATAGAACAACATGTAAGCAGAGTCTGTGTCAATCTGGTCCTCAGTGATTTCCTAAAAATATTGTAGGAAATGGTGAACTTAAAATAAAAAAGAGCTATAACTTTACATTCAATAAAGACACCAATAACAACAACAACAACAAAGAAAAAAATGTGCTGAATACAAAAAGCATATGTAATAGGGTCAATAGAAACTTAGTGTTCACATTTTTACGAAGACATTCCTGGTACAACTTGCACACCCAACTTGATCAAATTATTCAATTTACATTGCAACTTTGAGCGATTATGCTACACAAGGAATGGCAGCCGTACTGAGCAACACACATACTGCATCTAAACCTTTTAGTTTTTCTTTACCTTACAGCTGCTATCATTATAACAGTACCACTTCTTGTTAGGGTTCTTGGCATATGACACATAATGACCACCTCCTAGGATACCAGAGTGACACTGAAACACAAACCAAATTTTTCAGTATAGCAACTCAGTATGCTGGAAATATTTTAGGCAGCCTGCTTTATCACATGTTAAAAATTTATTCTTACCAATAATAATACTTGTACTTACTGACAAAGCATAGAGATCATATCTAGCTGTGGTGTAGTCCATGCTGGCCACAGAGGTCATCCTATGACGTCCACTGAAATTAGGATTGTATTCATCCAGGATGTCGTCAAGTTCCATAGCTGCTGTGGCTCCCTCTGTCTCTGGAAGGTTATCGTATGTAGAACCACTGTGAGTCAGGCCTCCTCCATTACAGTTTGTGAATGGGTCATGACTGCCCTCTATAGGAGTGTTGCTGTATTGTTCATAGGAATCTGACAAATCTCCATTAAGCACAGGCCTTTCATCTCCAGTGGCCAGCCTGTTCTCATTCTCACAACCACATGTTGTATACACCTCCCCACACTGGCAGTCTGAGGGCTGAATGTGATTTGTCTGTTCATTATGATTGGCTTCCTGGACCTCCATGATCTTGGAAACTACCTCCTGCTTGGGAGTGCGAGGAGCCAGGTAACTCGATGGATCAAAATGTTTGATTGGAAATTTGACAATTTTGTGTGACTTTACCCAACGGTTGTTCAAAAACTGAAATCTCTTCAAATGAATGATCTGAAAATCAATAATTAATACATTATAAATTGCAGCTTAATGCTTGTGATAAAACCACTTAGGATTTTTAAGGCAAAATATACTATAATGCATGCAAATCTGAGGGAGTCATTGACTTCAATGTAATTTCTGAATTGTTCTACTCTACAATTAGGGTAAAACTTCAACCTTACCAAAATTGGTGGCAACTTCCAAATATCCAGCTTCTTTGCTGCCAGTCTCAATTCTTTACACTTGGAACAATAATACAGCTCTTCTTCTCCCAGTTCTTCTTCTTTGGTGAATGCTCTCAGACAGGCATCTAAGTCAATTGGTTCAGTCTGAAGGCGTCTACTCTCTTCTACACTCTCATGGTCATTATACACCTACATATAGTATGGAATAATAATGATGAATTCGTGTTTTAACATATCAGAAAAATGTCAGTATTTAATTTTAAAGGCATGGCAGCTTTTCTCATTCTCATCTCTGTTTCCAGTTTCTTGCACAGCTACAACTATAAACTTTAATGAAAATAAGTTTCAAATTTTGCACTGTCATGGATTTCTGTGAAAACATCATCAGTTTGTTTGACTGCTAATGTTTAAGGCAGATTGATCATCCCTTGTTTTCTGCTGGTATTCTAAAGCTACATAAACATACATTCAAATTATTAAAACAGATTTTCAGGTACTTTAACTTTATACAAGCAATTGAGAGAGAGGAGTTGGTCAGGAGTTCATGATGCCTACCCTCTCCTGTGAGGACTGGTATCTGAGGTGCAGTGCAGTGGGCTCCCAGTCTACAGCTATGTAACAGCTGCCATTGTTGAAGTCATCTGTTGTACACTCTAGCTTACATCCACGGCAGAATCTGAAACACATCAAAAATTGGTTCTTCAAGGTAAATTCTTGCCTTAGCTAGGTCAAAACTATATCACAAAGATTGAAAGTCTGCTTCAAAAAATAAACTGCACTGTAAAAATACATATTTAATATTCTTGTATCAACTGCTTAAAGACAGTAAATAAAAGGCCTGAATCTGTCCACAATCCAACCACCAGGGTTTGTACACTAACCTGTACCAAGGGCACCAGGCACAGGTGAAGCCATCTTTCTGTACAGCCTTAAGTGTGAAGGGATACTCATAACCTAAGCTATCATCACAGTCTTGTGCATGGTTGGGATGTCCACTCTCCGAGGGTGGCAGTGGACTGACCATTCTGGATACCTGGACCCACACACTCTGGTACAGGTCCTGGTGGGTGGTGTCTTGGTTGCATGGAATGATCAGAGGGGTGCCAAATAAACTGGGGCGTGTCTTCTGAGACGACAGGAAGTATACATCCATGCGGATCTGGAAAATAATGTAGATTTTCTAGGTTTGTTTCAGAAAGTGCAATTTCAAGTTTCACATAATTTATGGCATTTAATGGAAAATACTGAGGTAATAATGAGGGAAATATTTTATTGTTTTTACTTCAAAAAGCATAGGAAAAAAATATAGTAAACTTCACATGAACCTCCAATGCACATGCTCACCATTTTTCTATGCACTGCCACTAGGAATCCACTGATCTCAGGGTCAGATCCTAATGACCCATTGTTATTGGTGGCAATACTGCTACCAATGCTACAGTTACTGGCATTACGACTGTGACCTGGTTGAGTAGTGGTGTTCACTGCAGGAGTATCTAAAATTGATAATGCGAAAAAGTAACAAAAACAATACAGCTTGCCTGTTACAACTGATATAAATAATTCAAGATTAAGCTATTAGGAAAACCGATGTGATCAATTCCTGGAGTAATGTTTTAATTTTTAAAAATAAATAAATACATAGAAATTTATTAAAAGACTATCTTTTTTTTTTTTTTTTTTTTTAGTACCTGTTCCATTCACTGTAATCTGTGGCGCTTCTCTTAACATGTCCCCCATGCCATTTTCAGACTCTTTAATTACTTCATTTTTACCCTGGCCTCCATATTCTACAAAATTAGAATGAAAAAACACTGCTGAAAGATTTGGACAATTGAAAATAAAATATGTTACCGACTCTCCCCTCCCCCCCCAAATAAATACAACAGACGTCACATCAAGAAAGTTCATACATAAACTACATCAAAGCTAGTCATAACTGAAAACATCACTGGTGAAAAATACTTGAATTTGCCAAAAGTATGTAAGAGGTATTCTCAATATAATGTTATATCTCAGTCCACACCCACCCTTAGTTGTCTCATTGTTGTTGACAGAGGTAGTCATCCTCTGTATGTCCCTGAGGGCCATGTGTTCCTTAGCTAGCACTTTCTCCTCCATGGCAGACATAGGGGGGATCTCTGGCACAGGAGGCAGCTCATATGCATACAGGGCACCACTAAGGGCACTGCGGATCTTCTGGCTGTCGTGGGGAAAACTCTAAAAATGATTTTCAAAAAAACATTTTCTTTATTTTGCCTGTGATAGAGATGGAAAACCTGCTAAATCTACCTGGGAATAACACAGCACCTGTTAGGGCCGAACAACTTTCAATACCAGTTTAATACCATAGGTATTAGTATAAAATCCCTTGATATGCTGAAATTGGACTTGGTAACAAACTTGTCAAGTATAGAATTATAGTGCTTATGCAGAGAGAAACATCCTAAGTCTGATTTCATTTATATGTTAATTATTAGTTATAAATATCTAACTTTGATATAATGCATCATATAAATGTAAATGTCTGTGGGTCACACTACCTGACAAAACACATGCAAGAATTTTATATGCTAATCTTTCCAGAAAATCAGATGATACCTCTGTATGTAAATCATATTTCAAAACAAACACCAATAACTGCCTTTCAATAACACAGTCAGTTTAATAATAATAATAATTATATATAAAACTAAAAATGCAACTCAGTTTAGTTGTACATTGCTTTCCTTACTTCCCACAAGTACCAAGATCATAATGATGGTCTTCTCTAGCTCATCAAGTGGCATTTGCTAAGCTCTTAAATCTATCAGAATTAGAATATTGAATAATCTCAGTGCCTGGATCTCAATCTTGGAAAATCTGGCCTGGAAAATAATTCTTGAAGATAGACCAGATCATATACTTATCCACCTTGTTCAATTTGGCACATCCCTCGAGTATCATTGAAAATGTTATTTGTTGGTATATACAGAACATCACCAGGAAATAAATTTTATGTGATAATTTATACTGAAACATGTAAAGCAATACCTACTTACAGAAGCAATTTATATGATACTGACTGAAGCTCTTTGATGATATTGCTTCTAAGCTCTCAAATTCACCAACCAGAAGATTCAGGATAATAAAAAAATCAAAACATCTTGGCAGAAGTAACTTTGTACACCAATGTTACCATTCAGTGCTTCAAATCCAAAATTGTCAGAAAAATTTTTAAAAATGTTTTGACTGCTTTAATGCATGTAAAAAGCATAATTCTTAATGAAAATCTAAAATATTAGAGACATTTGTTTTTCCATCTACTTAAACCATATTTTGACCAAATAATAAGAGTATCAAGGTTGGAAATATACAACTTCCTGTTCGAACAAGCTAGGAAGAAAGAGAGAGAGAAAAATAATGAATAATACTCCACCCTACCCGATTCAAAACATCAACGAGCCAAGGTATTCAAGGCACCAAAACAAGTGGTCTCCTGATTCTGTTCCTTGCCAGGTAAATATTTTTGAGGAAACTCGGATTTCCCTCCATGTAACTCAGTTCTCTCATCTTTAAAGCCACTGAGTAAAAGCCAAGTGGTGACGTGGAGTGGAGATAAGGCAGAAGTGGTGTTGATTTGCTTAATTGTTTTTGCGTATTCATACCACACACATGACATCAGTGATAAGTGAACCATCAGACTTATATACAATACTTCAAACAGTGCAGACTACATTTCAGGTCAGCTTTGACGGTAGACTGGACAACTGAGAGGGGACTGACTTATTAATTCATTAATCTAGGTAAACACTTCCTATGGACGTGTTATTTCTTAACAATACAGTGGACTGAAAACTTTGGATATATAAGTATTCAGATGGTATATTGCTTTCAGATCTGAATATACTTTAATCTTCACAACAGCAATTGCCAAGAATTGCAGCTGTAAAATATTTTACTACCTTTTACTGCTCTTTTAAAATTTGATATACCCACTAGAAAGGTCAAACTGCACCATAAAAGGACCTTAAAAAGCTAGAACTGTGGACGGAGGAACCACAAAAGCAGTTGAAATCAAAGCATATAGACGTACATGTAGGACTACAGCAAAAGGAAACTGGATGCTACATCATACTTTTTTGTGGAAAAAAAAGGAACACAGTTAATTATTCTGTGTTGATAACTTACAGCAATATATCTACTAAAATCTTCAGGGAACAGCTGTATCCAACAAAACATTAACATTTCATGATAGAAAATGGAAGACGTCTCAAAACGTGCTTGACACATGAAGTAAGAAGAGGACCATTCAGCTTGAAGGTTTTCTCAAACATCAAATTTTATTTTTCAGTCACTCCAAATCATCATTAGTCATGTATTTCTATCAATCTGGTAGGATCAACTTTATCATGGACAGAACAAACTTTTCTGGCTTCTCAACTGGAGCAATGAACAAAACGCCTATTGACTACCCTGACTATGAGATAGACTATGGACAATTTTTTGAAGATATTGACCAATTCTGGGCTCAACAAAGAGCTGCCAATGATCCATCCCGGATAGCCATCACAGTATTCCTGGTCATATTCTTCATACTAGGAACTCTTAGCAACCCCCTGGCCGCAGTAGTTTTTCTGAAACGGATGCCAGGGACCACAACCAACTATTTTGTCTCAGCTCTGGCCATCATAGACTTCATAGTATGTCTGCTGGGGATTCCAGGGGTACTGATGAATGAGATCTGGTACTATGGTCTCAAGCAGGACTTTCTCTGCAAGCTGTGGGAGCTGCTCAAGTCCTCAGTCATTGTAACGTCAACCTTCATCCTTGTGGCCATTGCTTTTGACCGCTTCTTCCTGATATGCCTGGCACCTAAGAACATCCTCTCTAAGCGTCTTGCTGTCATCATCATTGTGGCCTCAGTGATAGCAGGGCTGGGGACAGCAACTGTGCCTATGCTTAGCACCACTGTGTACACTGAAGATCGCCGTTACAACTGGGCAGTATGTGTTATCAGCTATGCTACAGTCTCACAGGAGACATTGCTTAGATATAGAGACACCTTAACACTGCTCTATGCCTTGATGATAATCCCTATCATCACACTGTATGGGCTGATCTTTGCCAAGGTCCACAAGCAGACACACAAGTGGTGGAAGAAGTACCAGTCTCCTGTAACCCCCATGGACCCCAGGGGGAGAAGCCAAAAACGTGGGGGACTTCAGGAAAACAGACTTGATACCAGCTCAGACTCTAGAACAGAGCAGGTGGCTGTAGACATGGAGACTTCCACAGTACAATATATTACAAATCCTGTCAATGTCCCCACTGCTTGCTCTAAGCCTCCAGTAACATATACAGAATCAGACTCCGAGTGCTACAAAATCAGTCCCCTTGATGTGCCTTCACTATCTGTAACTTCTGGAACATCAGCTGCTTCAAGTTCAAGAGTAGAGCTGAGTGTGACTGGAACTAATAACTCCACCCATAGCCTCCATAGTGGAGAGGCTTCCTCACCAAATCTAACGCCACTTCAAACAGACAGTGCAGCCCTGTGTCCAGCCACTCCCAGCCCGCAGCTGTCCTCTAGAGGATTGCAAATCAACAGCACCTTCAAGAAAATCATGCAGAAGTCGCCATTCCACAGACCTCTCAGCAGGAACTCTGAACAGAGGCGTATGTTCAGTAAGCCAGAGGTGAGGACAGCCCAGATCATGGCCATTGTGACTATTGTCTACATCGTCTCCTATTTGCCTGTCTTCTTGTATAGTTATGGTGTGATTTCACAGGAAAACGGGGTACAAAAGTTCTTCACTTATATGTATTTTTTCAACAATGTAGCAAACACTTTCATTTATGCTGGATTGAACAAAAAGTTTCGAGCTGAACTGGTTAAGATGCTAAAATGCAGATCTAATCGAAATCAATGGTAGTTAGTGCTGAACTTTCATAGAAAACATGAAAAAGTACCGTTACAGAATCAAATGAAATGTCTTATTTAAAGATGCTTAAAGGTGTCCAGTTCGATCATCTGTCAAAAAGTGAAAACTATCTACTTAATATCCACTTTAACTAAAATAATTCATTTTGCGTTTTTTTATGGGCATGCACATTGACTAAGACGTTAATTAAATGTTTATTTCTATGTGTAATGATATAAGGCTAAGGTAAGCAAGCTTTATTTATTTTATTTTTTTGTAAATGTTAACTTTTTACATTTTATATTTCCATTTTACCAAAATTCTCTGATAAGTGAGCATATTCGTTTTAACTTAAATTGTCATAGACAAACAAAACTGTACCTTTCTACTGCAGATTCTACATTACAATGGACATAAAAAGACTTGTCTGAAAATTTATGGATGTGATTCTTACAATTAAATAGCTTATTGAACACTAAAATGGCTTTATGAGTCACTGCAAGCAGTTGATTATTTTGAGTGATTTGAACATATGGAATTGTTGACACACCTTATCTGTCTTCCATCAAGTATTATTACACTGCTTTAAGTTACAGCAGCAATTGACTTATGATAGAGAAGGCAGACACTTAAATTACCCATTTTTGCTGTTTCCATTAAGGACATGGATAAAGCCATCACCTCTTCCTGTCATGAAGGACTTGAGAATATGTAAGTGTGGTATCAACAAGTGCAGCATGATACGAACGTGATAGAAGCATGACCAAATTCTCAGATGTTAATACACAAACTCTAACTAGCTGTCATCTCATAGCTATGCATAATGTTGCAAAAAAGTATTACCTGTTCAGGCAAGTTTACCTGCTTGACAGCTTTAAATAATTCACTGCATAAATAGTATTTTTTCATACCTTTTATATGCTAAAATTTCAAACAGCAACCCCCAAAAAGAAATCATTCAAAAAAATCCAGTGTGTCTACCTTGACTACTGCCCCAATCAGTTCCACTAAAAGTAGCTGCTGCTGTGGAATGCCAGACAGTTCACTCAGCTGTTTCTTCAGAAGCCTGTATTTCTCATCCATATTCAGTCGCACACCATACTTCACTGGGACTGAACCATCCCTGCATATTACTAGGAAATTCAAAATAACATATCACAAATAAGTAACTCCTGTACCTGTAATGCATATATATACTTACAAATATAAAATCATAAGTTTGAATTCTCAATGATATCATATACCTCAGGCATGTTATTGGGGGAAATAAAACATATAAATAAATAATACACCTGATACCCTGTATGTAACCAACAACCAGTGCTTAAGATCAAATTAGATGAGGTTGCTAAGTCTGTATATCATATAGATCCACTCACCAATGATCTCCAAGTGTATACAGCTCTCCATGGGCAGAGGCAGAGAGAGATAGGTGAAGGGATCAAAGCGCACACTGATGTGTCCACACGCCATGCAACGGACTTGAGACTTGAGCTGTCCATGGAAGAGATCAACTACGATGGACTTGTTGCGCACAAGATGGTTCTCCCATGCCTGGGAAATAAAATGTAGATTTGAAAACACATTTCATTTAAAGTATGCTATATCAAACCATGGTTGATCACAACTGGTTTTTCAATTTACTTCAATAGAAAAAGTCAAATCTCAACATCAAGTTAAAAATCAATTCAATATCTTTCTCAAACAGTACTTACTTCTCTAGCAACTACTTCATCTGGTCGACCATCACTATCCTTCAACTCTACATAAGGTTTATTGTGGACTCTTTAAAAAAGATGAGAAAAAATAATATACTGCAAACCATGAGAAACTGTGCATTCATACATTCATCTTTGATCAATAAACAAACACTTGTAATTACCACATTTAAGACTCAAAATATAATTCTATATACACAACAATATTTATGTGTTCATTTTTTTTTTTTTTTGACAATCTGTTCATTTTTTTTTTACAATTTCATCAACCTGTTTTATTTAATATTTTTTCAACAGTACTAAAGAAAAATCAACTAAGACCAGACCTGTTTAAATCTTCATGCAGACCATCCAGTAGAAAAGCAAGAAGTTCCTGTGCATCATGCTGTTGGAAACCATTGAAACGTGGTGCATATTTCCCAATGGTCCACTGAAACCAAGGAGAATTGCAATCATTGAACACCCTGTGTATAGGCAATGTTAGTTATAAAACAATAAAAAAAACAACATTATTTTAATGACTGAGTGCCTAAACTATAATTCTTTTCTAGAGGGTCAACATATGATATTAGAGAATAATATGCATTTTCAATACTACAAACTACACACATTATTTTTTTCTAGGTACAATTTTTAATTTTACCATTACAAAGAGGTGATGCACTATTTACAAATAAAAGAGTAGGCAGAATTTACTTACCCTAAGTTTTAGGGGTGCAATGGTTTTGGAAGTGCCGGTCCACAGGTTTTTCACCAAGTCCCCATATCTCTGTGCTATGTGGCCCTTCATGCCCAATGGGTTGTCTCTGAAAAAACAACAAATAATGTATTTACACAGCGAAACAACATTTGAAATGTAATAGAAATTGAAATGTAACCAGCTAATTACTAGGTAATAACCATTCATTTTACATTTATGGGGTAAATCCCCCTACAGAATTAAAATATATATAAACTTCTTTAAAAACATCTCTTGGCCATTATAAATACTTCATCTGTTTTTTTCTCATAAAAAAGTTTTTTAAAGTTTTCTTTATGCCAAAATTATCTTTTTTTAGTTCAAGATTTTAATCTGATAATATGAAGCTGTGTGGCTAACAGAAACTTCATCCTAGAAACACTGACCTATTGAGTTCATACAGATGTTTCCCATATCTGAAGTACTCTGTGAGGGCCCTGGTGTTGCTGACACACTGGACTGCTGAGTTCATGAAACATGTGTTTCCCAGGTTGTTCAGCCCAGTGGCGCCCTGGGTGGTGGGGGCTGAAAACAAAGAAATAAGAAATGCTGGCATATCATCAAACCAAAATAAAGCAGGTTGCTTGTGACAAGGTTTGAAATACAAATTCAACCTTTTACATAAAAAAATCTGTTCAGCCTCTGAATCACATTTTTGATAATTCATTATAAATTATGAATATAAATTATAAATTTCAATGTTTAAGAGAAACAACAATGAGTTTTTTTTCCATTTTTTTGGTTTAGCACTGCTGCTATTTACAAGCTACCATGTTTGACATACAACAAATAATATGTCTGAAACTGCTGCCTTTCTGTGTCATGTCAAAAGCAAATTTTACATAATGTATTCACTAATTCATAAATCACAAACCTTGTTGTTTCTTATCCCCTGGTGTCTTGTTTTTCACCAAAGAAGACATTTCTTCTGGCCAAGTTAAATCCTTGTTTCTCACTGAAATTGAAACAATAAAGCTTCAGTATTTTCTGAGGAAACCTAGGAGTATCCTGAAGCCAACAGACTGTCATTTGTTACCATCAAATGAACTAACATGCTACTGTTCTAATTAAACACAACTTATATGAAGGAGCACAAGACAGCCTTCAATCATTCATCCCACTCTATCAAATCAAATGACACACTGCAGCAATCTTACACCTCCAATATAACATACTTCCAGCAATCTCATACATCTTATATAACATATCTTCCGTAATCTCACACCTCCAATATCACAATTTTCAGTAATTCATACCTCCAATATATCATTTTTCCAGCAATCTCATACAATCCAAAATAACATATAACTCACATACCTTCAATCAGTATCTGCTGCTGTTCCTCTATGTTCAACTCCTCCATGGTCATCTCATCATCTTCCAGTAGAACCATATTTTGCTGAAATAATTTTAATGTGAAGCGCATAATCAGTGTACTAACACTTACATAAAAATAACATGTACAGTACAGTCTATACCAAGAGTTACTTCAATGAGTGCTGGGTTCATTAACCACAAACCAATGCACATTTTTTCGCTTAAGGCTCAACATATTATAGTTGGGTCAAAGAGAACGAAAAATGTTTTACTGTTTCTGACAAATGCATTATTCATTTATTTAAAAAATACACAGCAATTTGGCTGAAGAAAATTCATCCAAGAGTGGATTGCAATCAACTTAAATTAACAGCAAATTTCCCAAAGACTTTGTGCAAAAAATGTGTCTATAACAATCAGCCCTTTACCTCATCCTTATATTTCCAAAGCCTCATGTCCTCCCTCCCTATCCTGAGCCTTGAGCAGAGGTAGTCACTGACTTGCTTCAGGGTGTGCTTTCTACTAAAGCAGGCAGTATAGGCCAGATATCTTCTGGGAGTGGCTGGTGGACCCAAGCCTGCCACATCTGAATACACATATATAAAGATATATCCTCTCTCACAAATATATACATCACCTGGTTCATATTCTTTCAGTTTTAGTTTTCTGGTAAATTATTTTGCTCATGAATGTCATATCACAATACAGATCAATTACTCAGCAGTTAACCTGGGTTGTACAGATGAACAGATGTTGCAATGTTTAAGAGAGGGGTCTCCTCTTCATTATTTGTGCCTCGAAAAATCAGTGTTTTGGGAAAAAAGAATCATAAATTATAGGTTATCCAGACTGCTAATCAAATACTGTTACATTTTAATGCATATAAAGCAGACACATCATCAAGGGCTCCTCTCTTAAATTTATCTCACAAATAATTTGCCTCATTTCTCTACAGACTAGGACTTACTGAGTGCCATCCCTCCCAGTCCAGTCATCATGCCAGTGAAGGTGGTGGTGGTGTTGGGTCTTTGTGCTGGGATCTGGTGCCGTAATAACTTGGTGGTAATAGGGTACAATTCTAAGTCAGGTTGAAGGTTGGGACCCATTGATATCACCTGCAGGGTACAATTGATGCAAGACTGATAAATGCCAGAAAAATGGTTTCATTTTGACAGTAACACCAAGGTATCAAGTTTAAAAGCACTAAATCACTTACTCTACCTAAGCCTCATGCCAACATACAGCAACCAACAGATATATTATTTGAAAAAACAAACAGAAACATTCTCATATCAGGGACAAGGTTCTGTCTATATTATTGTGACATAATATTTTCACACTTTAATTCTCTCTACTCACAGTTCTAGGTAAAGCCGGCGACCCCCCATACCAGGAACACAATGCTTTCCACACTGGCTCTGGTAACAATTCATAATCTCGTCCCCGAACCAATGGGACATTCTTTTTCAGTCTTCCACCTTCATTTGTAAGTGTAGCAACCTAGAAAATTAATCAAACATACCACTGACAATTATATGCAGTCCAAGTAAAATGAACAAAATAAAAATGTGAAAGAAAGATCTAATTTAACACTGTTCTGGTACTAAAGACCTTTACTTGACTATTAAGACCTGCATCTACTTACCTTGTAAGTATTTGGTATAATAAGTGGTGAGTTATCAATCTGTCCTGGTCTTGGTGGAACTCCACTGTACTTCCTCCCCAGGTGTGGGGAAGCACTGGGGCTGGGAGTGGCAGACAACTCCCTGGGGTTTAGGATCACGCCACTATTCCCATTGCGAGGTAATGAGTTGCTCCTGCCAGGCACACCGTTAGCTTTAGGTGATAGTTCTGTTTTATAGTGTGTGACCACCACATCAGAGTTATCCTCCCAGGCATAACTTCCAGTGTTAAAACTGGGATTCAATGAGTTCTTTTTCTGTTTTCTTGGTAATGTGGCACTTCTGCGATTACTGCTAGGTGATGGGGAGTTAGGGTAACTGTTGGACTGGTAATGATTTGTCACTGCATTATTTTTTAGCTGGTGCTGAAAAGATTGGAAATGTATTTAATGTTTAATCAAAATCAGTAAGTTTCATGCTGACATTAAGGACTTTAAAAGAATATCTGAATATAGCAAGGATTGTGCACATCTCCACATATCTCAATGATTGTTAACACATTATTAAGTTGCTAGTGACGCAGACAAATTCCCATGATGGTTTCAAATACTCAACCAGTATCTCTACACTGAAATGGTTGATATCTAAATAATTATTACACAACTTGATACAATATAGTGTCTGTGTGGCCTCTGTTTTACACTCTTTCAGTATCAGTATACCTGTCCTTTGCTGGGATAACTGACATAGTCTCTCCACTCCCCCCACCACTGCATGGCCACCAGGTACCATGTACTGTGGAGCTGAAGACCATGGCGGCTTTCACGCTCAACCCAACCACTGAAACAGACAGAGAAGTCTTATCATAACACACTAGAAGGAATAGAATCCATTAACCTTCTTTTTTCTTTTTTTTTTTTTTTTTTTGCAATTATAAAATTATCAAGATTTTTTACCTCTTTTTGTTTTCTTTTTCAAGTTAGAAAATTTGGCAGACAAGCAACCTCTGAAATTTTTGCTAATAAATGCAATTTACAAATTCAACAAACATGTTAGAAAAACAATCTAAAATGGTAAGTCCCATTATACTTCTGTGATTGCAAGGATTGTTTGTTGACAGATATAAATATCCACCATATCCCTTACCCCAAAATGCAGACAGCAATATAACTTACAGAATAACTTTCTCCTCCTCCTCAGGAGTAGCAGGCTTCAATCCTAGGACTACATGGCTTACCTACATATATAAAACAACCTCATTTAGTGCCGGAAAAATGCTTATTCTAGGTTTTTTTTAGGTAAACATCACAAACATACTCCTTAAAAAGACATATTTCAAAAAAAAATTTCTGAACTGACCTGGAAGAGTAAATCTAGGAAATCCTGAGGCAGAGGATGGCTTGATGACCACAATAAATACTCATCCAGACTGAGGTGATCCCCCTAAAATAAAAGACCACCATATTAACATGCCTTAATAGTTACAACCTGAAATCTACTACTTGACAATTCTTGGAGATATATTATATTACATTAGTATAAAGGTATAAGGAAAACTGTTCCTCATTAATGATAATTTTTTAAATGGTCCTGGGGATAGCAGAATTTTTTTAATCAGGTAAACAAGGTGAAGACAACAGATAATTACCACAACACTAACCTTATTTGTAGAAAACTTCTGTAAAATGCCTTCAACTAACGTTTTTGGTTCAACATCCCTGAACTTGTCTTGCATCTTAAAAAAAATTAATAAAATTACATGTGTTTGAAATCTTAATCAAGTTTTGAAACAAATAGTTAGTTTTTTGGATACATTACATACATTAGGTAATTTGCATAGTTTCAGTCTTCTCGGTCAAAAGTTCAGTATCCTTGTTTAATCAATAGTAACAAAATAAAAACTTGGTATCGTTGAGGTTTACTGACCACTGTAGATCAATAATTTACTAGTAACATGCCTATAACCTATACTTAGCAGAGAAAATCAAGACTAAACGGGGCATTTCACAAACCACCTTAGAGGTGACTTTTCTCAAAGCATAAAATAAAATATCAACGTGACACAAACAATAGATGGTCAAATTAAGGTGTATATAGTGAGTAAAATGCAGAATAACTTTTTTAAAGGTAGTCAATGTTGTCTATTTTTCTGACACCCTCACCCAGTCTGCCTGTGTCCTGTTGTCCTTCCTAATATCCAGTAATGCAGCTATCATAGTGATTAAGTCTTCCTTGGATAACAGTCCATCACAGTTGGTGTCAAATATTTTGAAGCAAACTATGAAAATAAAGTAAGCAGTGGTGTCAAATATTTTGAAGCAAGCTGTAAAAGTTCATCATGCAACAGTGTTAAATATTTGGTAACTTTACTGTCACAACATTTACTGTCACAACAAGGTTGTGGTAAAGGTTATAATAATCTCTAAGACAACATACTACTTGAAGTAGACAACACTATTTCAGGTAAGATAATGTGTCAAAAATACTTAATCAGACGTTTAAAAAACTGTCGTACAAAAAATTGAAAGTAAATGTTCCTTAGATTCTGCTGTTACTGAAAGTGTACCCCCCCCCCAAAAAAAAGCCACTGCATCTTATTCTAGCACCTTGTTATATCTGAGTAAGTTTGTTTCATCATTATACCACAACATATCTTTAAGGCTTATTTTCATTCTAAATTGATAAAATTCTTTAAAATATCTTATATAGCCAACTCACACTTCAGTCTTTCCACCAGTGGCCCCCTGCAGCAAGCAGAAATACCACATGCTATTTCCTTGAAGTCTATGTGGTTGTCACGATTTTCATCAAACGCATTGAAGACACCTGGAAATGTGGCAAGCTCACAGTTTTTATTCACAGCATCCATTTGTTTCAGTTTTCTATATCATGATTTCAGCTTTATTCTCACATTACCCTGCTTAATATGTCTGAGAATGAAATAATTTTTTGCCATTTTAAATGTTTTTTTCAGATTAACCAACCTTCAAAATGATAAAACCAAACACTGGGTATATGATTCCAAACATTTGGACACTTCCCATAAAACTCATCCTTAAGTTTAAGATCCAATATTTTTACCTTCACACAGACTTTCTGGAATAGGGGGGCAGACCATAGGTTTAAAGGTTTCCAAATCAAATCGCCCTGTCTTCGACTGTCCCTTGAGGACCCAGTAGCGCTTTTCAAGTTCTAAAATATCTGCTTCCTCCACTGAAACATACACATAGTGCTGTTAGAAGTTTTTACAGATTTAATAAATTATATTTATAAATAATTTTTAAATCTGTTTTTGTGGTTAAGTTCTACGGTGCTGAGTTACAGAACAGTTACACATCTACTAACTGTGTCACACATTAAGACCAATACTTACAGTGTGTAACCCCTGCTAATGTCTGATAGAATGTGGGAGTTTCACTGTCATTGGACAGGGTCACAGAGCATGGTTCTTTGAGCAGCCACTTGGTGAGTGTTGTAGAATCTGGGTGATTTAGTAGCCACTCTCGGAAATGATCAAAGTTGACTTTATCACTCTGTAAAGACAAATCATATAACAAGTTATAAATTGATCAGTGTGTATTTATATCATACTCATTCTTTCTCATGATAAAAAAGTGCATATCCATGCAAATACACGTCCATATATTAATGCTTTTTCATTCACAACAAACATTAATAACTTGAGATCAATATTTTGCCCCCAGCCTACATCTTTACAAGCAAATATACATTTCCTGACATAAAAATCCATACCTCCAGAAATAGTTGTGACAGGGACTGTGGCACCATGCCCTCTGTGGCCAGGACCATCTTGTCCATGTGCTCCTTCTGGACACTGCTCAGGTTTTCATTGGCATACAAACCAAAGATGACTGGAATGAAGTAACACAGAGAATCATCGTTAAACTGAACAGGAATTTTCTACTTTAAAAAGTATCAAGACCAGACATGACCTTATCTTATTTTGCTCTTTAAAAATCCTTCAAAAAAGCTAACTGATTTTTAAAAATTAATCATAACTTGGCCCAATGAATTTTAATAACTACAAAACTCAATCTGGCCAATTTTTTCACACAAATATATTCTTTCTTGGTAATCGAACATTTGATTCTATCATTAGTACAGAAAGACAATGTGACTAAGCTTAGTGTTATAAAACAAGCCAGCTTTATCAGAAATTAGCCCACACTCAACGGAAATGACTACAGGAATGACAGACCTGAGTATGTTCATATAGATCTATAAATTTTATTGATTGTTAGATTAATGAGTTTTCCTAAATATATGATGTGCTGTGTGGAGGTTGTTTAAGGAATTAGTCTACAAGAGTAATACTTTCATATAGTATCTATTGAAGCAAACAAAATGAAGACAATTTGTAACAGGAAAACCAAAAAATTTAAACAATAAAACTAAAATTAATAACTTCCCTTAAAAAGACATTTTTGCACCCTTTTTCACAGAATAAGCTTGCCATAATGTAGTTGTGACTCGTCTAATTCTTCTGCAAAGATGTAACCAAAGTGCCTTTTTTGCTCTTCATAAAAATCAATTTGTCCTAAGCTGCCTAAGTGGAATTCATTTTCCAAGTGCAGAACCAGGAAATTGCAGTTTTGAGTTTTTAAGAAAACATGCAATGTTTCTGGAGGTTCTTATAAAAGAACTCTCTTGCTGAGTTTTGGAAATGGGAAAATTACTCCAAAATTCCCGTTTGGCCTATTAACCCTAAAATACTATATGTTTGCATCATTTTTTTTTCTGAAATTGGCTTCAGTAATTAATTAATTAATGTCTCCAGTAGAGGATTCCACAAAACAATTCAGATCTTTACAGTTTCAACTGTGGTAGAAAAGCATGAAATTTAGTTAGGTTAGAAATCACATTAAAAATGAGGCAAAAGCAATGTTACAGACAATTATTTAGGAGTTAGAAAGGAATATCTAAGATTGCAAAAATACTGCTCCAAAAGGCTCATTTAGAACATGAGATATAATAATTTTTCACACATTTTTATGTTGCAAAGGAATGCTTTATTGTATTATTTTATTATAATTCCTTTTTAAAAATCCCCGATCAAATGGAAGGCAAGATATTCCTAGTCCTGTAACTTAGATCCAACTTCTGAAAATAATACTAAATGTTATGAACAGAATAAGACTAGCTCACTGCACATTCAAAGACCAATGTTTTTTTCCTTGCAATATAGCTCAATAGTCTAGTGCAGCCACGTATAGGTTTCCAATGCCTACAGAATACATTTAATTGGGAGATTGTAGACTACACACACTTGCAGACAGTCACAATTATGTCTATCTCAGATATTATGTTCTTATAACTCTCCAGAATGCAGAAATCAATCTGCTTCAATTAAAACCATACTTAGAAGCATCATTTTGTCTTGTTCAATCAATATTTATTCACATGGAAGGCTTAGCTTCTGTGCCCTTCTCATGTCCTTGCTGGAGAGTGGGATAACTATAGCAAGCCCCATCCAATGCCACTCGCAACAGACCACATTTCAGAGAACACAGCTAAAAGATTGATTTTTTTCTAAATGGAGCATGTTTGCTCCTTCCTTTCCTTGAATTTGTCAGGTTTGGTCAACTTGCCAAGCTATGATGACGTCCATTCCAGGATAAACATTTATTTGATGAGCAATGTGAATAAGCAATGAAAATGCATCAGCTCTTGACTTGCTTTGTTTAACAATGCGGACTGAACAATATCTGTAAGGCATTGATTTACTGAAATTTAAAAACAAAACTTTTCATTCTGTCTATAAAAACATTTGTTAGCAAGCTGGACATGCCAAATCAATGTGCCACCAGGAAAGGACTTCAAACAACAGAGTTACTACCACTCCAATATTCCAGTGTCTACCATTGTGCCCTCATTACAGAACGAAACTACAGGTGTTGTAGTATCCCCTACCTGAGAAGTGCAGTCATTCCCCCTCCCCCCCCCCACACACACACATACACACATCCAATCCCAACCCTTCACTCCCAGAAATGTTCTTGTAAGTCCCAAAGAACCCTTACAGAAAGAGCAAAAATGTGGATTAAAATATTATGTGGAATGTGCAATAAGGTGTCTATAATCATATTGAAAAGACAAGATCTATAGTGGACAAGACCACAAAATACCAAAATTCATTAAACAGAGACATTAAATCAGCACTGAACAAACCTGAAGAAACAATAGAACATAAGGTTCCAGAAAGTCAATCACTGAATAAAATACTGAACCAAGAAAACAATACCAGAAAGACCCGTAGGCCACACGGAAAAATCAAAAGAGCAAGTCTAAACAGAATTATGTTTCTTCTTACATTGCCATTGCTATATTCTTTATGTAAATTTCCAGATTTATTTTTTTCAGCTATAACTGGCCCAAGAGGAGTGGTTTAGCCCTCAGGGGCTCATTCATCTTGTCACTTTACCTCCCCTATATAGCTAGCTACATGATTGTAAAGTGGTCATAAAGTTTATGTGGCCTTAAATTCTGAAGTGCAGGGGGTTTCCTGTGGTAAACCTAAATTCTCAATAAATCTTCTATAAATAGTTGACTTACATTTAATTTTCTCCTCCTGTCTGCCTCTCGTTAATAAAACAAGGCCACAAGTCAAGTCTTTGTATGTAAGTCCTTTAATAGTCCCACCAAAAGCTGTGTAGATATGCTGAAAGATAGAGGTACATAAATCAAATATATTATTATCATCATGATATTCACTTTATGAATTCTTTTCGGTATTAATTTGCCCAAAACTCTGTATTCTTAAAACACATCTCATGTCAACATCTCACATCAACTTTTCAATTCATTTATGAAATATCAAAAATAAATCCTGATAAAACAGAAAAACCCAAACAACAAAAATGTAGTAAAAATGCCAATTTTTATTTATTTTCTTTTCTTTTTCTTTTTTGAGGTGAGAATGTTTATTTCAATTTTCTTCAACAGAAATGTCCATAGCTAGAGTAGCATATTTCATGTGAATGTAAGTATAAGTTTACAAAAATGCTCCAGTATTTAATCATGAAAAACATAAATTTCAACTATGTGACATTTCACAAATGAACATCATTTTATATTGGTCCACTACAACCCCTTTTTATTCGAGTTTTTATCAATGGGATCAAAGAAGGCACCTACTCAGCTTTTAAAAAGCTCTTGTTAAATTTTTTTAAGATTAAATTTTTCAATAAAGTAAATGCTTCATACATCCCATCCAATATATAGTAATTGTAAATAAAAACTAACTCAAATTACAATCTAGTATCCCGTACCTCAGCAAGCCTTTGTGGGACTCCTTCACCAAGAACTTCTCTGATGAAGACATTTTTTGGCATATGACCAGTCAAAGTAGAAGACCTCTTGAATGCATCTTTTAGCCTCTTCAGTTCTGCATCAGTCACTGGATATTTATAAAATAGAAACATTTCATCATTAAATGTATTCAGAATAAGGTTTAAGGGCAATGAAACAACATAAATCTCATGTTACAACTTCATTTGCACTACACAATATAGACGGTTTTAAAAAATCTACTACACTGTATTATAGAAATAAATAATGTGATCAGCCAAAGTTGATTTATCAAATGTCTAAATTTCTAAGACCAATAACAGCATAAATGATATACTGGTGACCTTCAACCAGTCTATGAACTTTGTTGAACTGAGTTGATACTCAAACATAAGTTATTTATATAATTACTAGTAAGTACCTTGAATTGCTTCTATGCTGGAATAAACTGAAGGTTTATGATTGAGTCAGTTGGTTTATCAAAAAGATACACAGGTGGTCACTAAAAAATCTGCTCATGGGAAAGTCACATTATTCAATGCTATCCCATGTAGAAGTACCATTTGAAAGGGGGATGTGTTGATATTTTGTTAGCAAGTACTGCCTAAAAGAAAATACACCTGATAAATGCACCTGAGAACTGAAACAGCACCAATGATTAAAATTATGTCAATGGCAATGAACTATGTCTTAATTAAAGGTTTAAATGTAATTTGCATGCAGAGGCTGATCCAAAAAATAATGTAGTCATGTACAAAGACCCATTTTTTACACTTCATTGTGGAAATGCTCTTCTCAGGATTGAAAGCACATGTTTTTGCAACCCACTGAATGAACAGAAATTGCACTCACTGCTGTTTAAATAGAAAAAAAAATTAACTGACTTTTAAATTCACAACAATCTTGTGGAATGTTGCAATGACTGTAGAAAACAATTTGATACTACAGTATATAAATGAACCCAAAAAAATATATTTGTCAAATGAACTGTTGTAAGTGCACAAAATGCACTGGAAACATAGTATTATACAGTAGAGTAAATTGAAAATAAGTAAAGTATCTTTTCATTTCTTTCATTAAATTTTTTATTTTTATTTTTATGTGTGTTGGGATTAACTTACATTTGGAGCTGGTGTGTCATATTATTTGCTGAGTTTTATAGTTAGACGTGCCCTTTATCTGTAGTTCTGAATCACATTTTGAAAGCAAAACTATTTCACTATTTGCACTTGCATTTCTCAAGTCCTACTGTTAATCTAGTCAATTAAGAGGCAAGAGTATGTTTGACGGATAAAATATATACTGTATCTCACATAAAAAAGCCCTATAATTAAATTGGACACTATCTTTCTTCCTGTGACCTTTTAGACTTATTTCAAATGTATCGGAAATGCATGAAGAAACAGCTACGAACCATACATTTCATTTCGTAATAGCTAACCATTTACCGTTTTTCGATGATAAAAATATTAAACTGACTCTGATTCTACATCGGACCGAAGAAGGCGGAACACAACACAGAAATCAAATATTGCGAAACAGGTGTCACCTACCGCGCTTAACAGCATCCTCATAGGACAAGAAACACGGTTTTGAGTCTTTAGCTCCCATATCCCATAGCAAAGTCGGCTAAAAGTTCATCCGTACAAAGTTTTCTAAATAATACGTCGACTTCTCTGGCAAACATCGAAACTAACTAGGCCATGACCCGCCATATTTAATCATGTGACCTATATATCTCCAATATTGCGCCAGAGAGCCAAAACATCAACAAGTGTCTGGGAGCTCAACTACCACAATGTATGCTGTTTTGCGGCTGGGAATGCACTAGCATTGGTACGACTACTTTCTATCTCATATGCACCCTGGTGTAGGGTGCATATGCACCCTGGTGTAGGGGTTCTACACTGCACTTTTTGCCTCGAACAATAAACGAAGCCTGTGGAATGCCACCTTTTCCTAATATGGAGTGATTTCAATGGACTAGCAGGGCCGGATCCAGAATTATTTGAAGGGGGGGGGGGGGGGTGCGATTTTTAGGTATGACAGGCATCGAATACGGAGCCGACCCTCGGCCCCCTTGTGGTGAAGTTCGGGGCCCGCTGAAGGGCTCCAAAATATTTTGGTGTTTTGGTGGGCAAACGATGCCATTTGGAACAGTTAAGACCTATAAAGCAGCTAGTCACAATTCGTATTCCCAGAGGGGAATATTAGTGTGATTATTTTTTTCAGAAACCCAAGGGGGGGGGGGGGTCAGGACCCCCCTGACAACCCTTCTAAATCCGCATTTGGACTAGGGGTAAAAGGAGCGGTGCTGCATTACACCCACCCTGAGTATCAGAAGACACCGAGCACATCCTCCATTCTTTACGTATTCCTCTTCCGTTTCCACTCTAGTAGTAGATACGTAGCCTATAGATGTGTTTCCACTGTCCACTGAATTCAAGGTCCTCTTGCCCCTTTTCGGCATAAAATCCACACTTTCACCGTAGTGGTGGGGGAGGGGGTTCAGCGGAAGCATATAGGCCTACTATGTACATGTACTATAGGCCTATATATATATGATATAGGGACGATCAAACGGAGGGAACCTAGTGCCAGTAGGGCCTAGAGTGGGTTTAATTCATTCATGTAGGCTACAGTAGGCGATTTTTTATGCAGATTTAATTGCAACGCAGTTTGTTACTGTATAAATATTTTGACTGTTATTATTTCCTGTTAAGTTTTTGTCTTTTGCTGTTTCTTTTTCCCTCAACAAATGGCAGTTGCAATAGATGTGTAGGCCTACATGTATGCACCTGTTCCAGTGTAAACGTTGTGTTCCTTTATATTATAATTTATGACTTTATAGATAAGCACAGACAATTTTTTTTATGAATAAAAGGTTTCTTTATGAAGTTATGATGTTTCAACCTTTTTCTTACCTAAACATTTAAAAAATATCTTTTAAAAGCTGTATTTCATGACAAATATTACATCCTATAGCATGTAAGCCAATAAGGGCCTATGCTGAATCGAAAAGGTACCGGTTTGCTGAAAGGCGTAATTTTTTTTACATGGCAGTTGTGGTCTAGCTATCTCATCAGGTCTCAAGCCATCAATTTTAGAAGGCCTTTTACCGACAAAGTAGACAATTTCGCTTTCTTAGAGACCGAACTTGAGAAAAGACACCTGGATCAAATTTCAATTTAGAGCGTACATGTAGGCTACCTATTCCGGTCATAAGTGAAGTCTTTTCGAGCCCTCCAAGCCCCCTCTGAGTACGGGCTAATATGCTTACGACCTGTTCAAACCTAAGGCTTCGAAAAGATAGTGGGAGAAGGTATTAAATTTGTCAGTATCTTCAAAAAAAGAAGACTGTGATTGGTTTTTGAAGGGGTTCACAAGGGTTCGTGCCCCCTCTCCCCTCCTTCGATCTTTTATCTTAACTGATACTGGAAGCGTTTTCTACACTTTCAAGTTTTCCCTGCCGTCACCCCACCACCTAATTTTGCAAGCAAACAAAGGGTTGCACCGCAATCTGTAAGATATACGTCTATATTTAACCAACTGGATTTTTCTTATATTTTTCATACCTTCCCATTTATCAAGACTTAAATAGCTTCCGTCTGTTTTAAAACAAAAGATCTTTGACTAATAAATTATACTTTTCAAATATAAAGTTATCACCTGTGCAACAAAGAGATAACAAATACGAGATTGATTATACAAAAAAATGAAATACTGCTAAAAGAACGACAGCAGTCACATTCCAATGACAAGTTCCTTTAAATTTCCATTAAGCTCCCATAAATCTATACTATTGGAATTGTCGAGCCTTTTAATAGATGCGCGTGTAGGGTATCGTTCACAAACCTGTCAGGCAAGTTTCCCATAAGGTGAACGCATATATGCTAATTCGTGAACTGTAAGCACGCTGTTAGCATTGTTGGAGTTGTGCTAGTAGTAGGCCTAAGCCCCTTTCAGGAGTTAAGGAAGAGGTGCTACTGGATACACGGTAGCACTGTCAGTCACAGTGACAGAGACATTGACAAAAATGGAAATCTGCAATTAAATGTATTTGTGAAATATCTGGAGGGTTAAAGAAGATTTGTCATATCTTGAACAGATGACCTTCTAAAGGTTTGAATACAGGTGAGTAGATCAACACATCGCGGGCACTGTTATTATAGTAGGAGTTTTACCTGCGTAATGTGACACCAGTAAAAACGGGTCGAGACAAACAACAAAAGGTCACGCATATAGTGTGCAGCCATATCCTATATTATATTCAACAACTTCAATCATTTTCTCCCTTAAATTCTCTGGACTGTTCATGACTGTCTTATGTTATAGCTTTGTTGTCATGTTACATGACCATTCACCATTCCATCGCCATCCCTGCCCCAAAACGCCACACCCCTCACTCCCACCCTGTAAGCCTTGTCTATCTGGTGTTATACTGTATGTTGTTTGGATATTGCTTATGAGCGTGTGCTGACTAGCATCTTTACCTAGTAGCATATTTCTCAGACTGTAGCATAAGTGGATTCCTTCAAAGGAGGCGATGGAGCCAAGGGGCATAGAAACTGGATGTTGTGTTAGATAGTGAAGTTACCAGTAGTTGACGTAGGTCAAACCCCAGTATACAATGCATAGGCCTAGCAGGTCTCAGGAAAAGGGGTGGTGTTTTCCACCTGCGCCCTTTTTGAACAGTTAGTTTCAATAAAAGAGAGATTGTTTGCGAAACAATGTAGTTTGAGACAAACAGGCTGTCAGACCTGAGATTTGAAAACAGCAGACGGACCAATACGTTATCTATAAGTATAATAATACGTGTCTGCCAAATGCTTAAAAAGGGACTGCAGGCTACTGTTTATGGACATCGACCAGAACAGACAGCATGTTCAGTTTCAATGTTCAATAGCAGAAGGCATTTTTTCTGTTAAAATAGACGAGAGACAAGTACCAGTACATTACGTGACAAGGGCAACATGTCATATTCTTATTCAATACCAAGACCCGCTCAGGTGGAACACTAGCGGCAGTGTTTGGGTATGATTCACCATACACTTAATAGGTTTCAAGAAAACTATGAATTCGAAATAAATTATTGTCAGGCTATTTACTGTTAATCTATACAGAAACTGGACACACGAGATGGCCAAGGAGAGAGTGGAAAGCTGAGATGAGGAAATCCCACACGCGCCACTAAAACATTAACCTTACCATACCAAAAAGCGGACTGAAATCTTTTGATTTAACCTTATATATATTTATTATAAATAATGTCATATGTTAAATTGATGTATTTTACAAGGTTCATTCCCGTATAAAGCTGCACACGGAAAGCCTACGTGATGAACACAATGACATTTTTACATATCCTTAAATTGAATATTCTCTCTTTGAAACCCCTTGCGTAAACACAACGAAGTTATTTACTTAAGTGCTAAATTTAGAAAAAGGCGTCACGTTGGGTGCGTCTAAGAATTACTTTTGTAAACTGTGCCTCGCCCTTTTGAAATGTAACCGCATCTGTCTCATTTTATGTGTTTCTCCACTCTTTCAAGTTGGTCAGTTATTTGTTTATTATCATTAATCCCCCCTTTTTTAGCAAAACGAATGAAATTGGATTAATAGAATCGTTGACATTTTATGTGCACAGGAATGTGACAGGAGCGTCAAAATGTTGTCGTCGGTGTGTTAGACAGCTCACTTCATAAGCACCACAGTGTCCTTCACAACCCAATCGGTTTTCAGTCTTGTTCACATTAATCACTACTAAGTTGCCGGTTTCAGCACACTAATTTTTATATATGTATGTCTTCAAAGCACATTTCAGTTCTATCAAAATAAACCTCATAAACAGGTTAGTAATAAAGTCGCGGTATACAAACATGATGATGACTCTGCTGCTATGGTCAAGTACATGTACATGCACTTGCGATTTCAGTTGAAAATGAATGAACTCTATCTAGCTGTGGTGATACTGTGTCTTCCTCCGTGCCATGGCCAATCCACGATAGTCCAAGAAACGTGTAATGACGGAGGGCGGAGGGCTGACGTTCAAACAGCAGGTGCCCGTGCTCTGCTTCACGGGATGACGGACTTCCACCGCCCTGGGTCTGGCACGGCAGGCTGCGGTGGCATATCAACAGGTAATCTACACAGCCGCCAATATATAATTCCCTGATATCTTACTTACTTATCGAATTGATCGGAGACTTTATTCATAGGAGACCAACTACAGAATTACAAAAAAGGAAACTGTTTAGTAGAAGCTGGTCAATATACGTATTCTTAAATATTTCTAAAAATATTTTTATTAAAAAATAATCGACACCGTCTGTTACACTGACACGCTATTAAATAACAAGACTTTATTTCAAAGAGGTAAAAAGGGATATGCTTTTTCTATAAATGAAAATTGCTAACAGTTAGAATATAGTTTCTCAAATTATCGCTCAATATAACAGTTAGAATACAGTTTCTCAAATTATCTCTCAATCTACAATAGGAAGTATGCAGTCATTTGAAGCCATGCGATGGGCTTTGAGTCTCATCAACCAAGATTTGGATTTATATGTACCAGGCATTAAAATAGGTAAAGTACATGCACTTGGTGAACAAAAAGCATGCAAATATGATAGATAACTCGCTTTGATATCAAAATATTTTTAATCAATATCTATATAAAATGTTAATTCGAGAAAACACATCAACTAATCGTTTATTGTTTTTTACATATACATTTCCCCTGTACATATATGATAGATGTATAGGCCTACACTGAACATGTTAGTCCTATATCAAAACAGCTGTCGCGGAAATATATATACTGTACCGACTATAAAGATGGGCGTACAGTCTTGGGTGTGACATAATGAAGAAAAATGGATGTTTTACTGCAATAACAAATTCATGAATTCCCCATAAATTCCTATTAACATGTAATTTTAGGGTTATCCATGTATGACACATGTCAAATGCAGGAGCTGGCAATTGATGGGGTGACAGAGAGTTTTCCGCAGACGATATCCCAACAGCGTTACTGTCAAACATCAAACGACACGATCACATTAGGTGAGAACAGCTGTTGTTGCTTAGTAATTTTGGGATAATATAAAATAAAAGAAAAAAGTATTGTCCACTTGAAAAAACAGATAACGTAAACATCTAGGTTTAATGCCACTCACGCATGCCACGCCCCCGCTCCCACGCAGCTTCACATATTTTCCCCTCAAATTAACTTATACGAAAAATAACTTAGATATTGTGAATACAACTTTAAGAAAAATTATTTCACGACCATTTCATGTCTAATATTCAGGTGTACTTGGACCTCGCAATAGTGCCGAAGCTGTTCCAGTTGCAACTTTTCTGAAACAAATTCCAGTGCCTCAGGTCTCTTTTGGGGCTAGTGGTGCTATGCTAAGCGACAGATTTCGCTTTCCATACTTCCTCAGGTCCACTGCATCCGTCAACAAAGTGGTTGAGGTAATTATTCATTTAATAATTTTTTTGCACTCACAATGGTGGCTTTTAATCTCTTAGAAAACCAACCATTTCTGCTGGACAGTACTTTCTTATGCATTCTTACATGTCTTTTAGGTGGCGGTACAAGTTTTAAAACGCCTGCAGTGGGACTACGTAGTTCTTGTTCATTCCAAGGACAGCGATGGGAATAGTGGTATGGAGACAATTAAAGACCATGCGAATCAGAACAAGATATGCATCACTGCCGTACTTTCAGTAGACGCGTCCTCGAACTCCTCGGAGCTACAGTCAGTGTTATCCAGTGCCCTTTCCACAGGAGCAACAGGTGTGGTGTACGTTGGAGATGCTGAGGCAGTTAAAAAACTTTTTCAGGAAGGGGGAAGTGGAAGAGTTAGTGACAGCGGGCAGTTACAATGGCTTGTCGTAGGAGGCGCCGGCCTAGCACTGAAGGGTCTTCAATCTTTAACTTACGCCCGGGGTGCCATTGTAGTAAAGCCAGGCGGTCCTATCGTTACAGAGTTTGAGGATCACTGGGTTGCCATTAACCCAGAAAATCCATCAAGTGAAAATCCTTTTTATAAAGACTGGTATATGACTGTTAACCAGTGCAAACTGCCAGGAGTGACCAACGCGCCATTTGGAAATTTGCCCACTTGCAACATTCCCTCCCAACAGACAAGAAGATCAGAGTTTGAACAAGACGCCCAAGTCCTTTCCGCCATACACGCCATCTTTACGTATGCTAAAGCCTTGAAAAACGCACAGCGTGCAAAATGCGGGGCCGGTGCCAACGGTGTTTGTGAACAACTGCGCCAAATGTTGGCAAATGAATTCTTCGAAAACTACCTGAAGAAGACGAACTTTACCTACAGTTCAGAGGAGAAAATCCCGTCCCTCACTACTGGTATACAGAGAGTACGCTATAATGACCATGGCGATATTATTGATGTTGACATTGACATTTTCAATTACAATAACAGAATTGGTAACTTTCAAAGTCAGCAGGTAAGACTTTTTCTAAAGCACTATATCTGGTATAGTGCTATGAAAAAAGTCAGCAGATTAGACTTTTTTCAAAACACTATACCAGGCATGTTTTAAAAAAAGACAACAGTTCAGATTAACGAATATCAAGTTGGTTCTTTAAAGAACTCAAAAATAGTTCTGAGAAAATACAAAACTGGACAGCGAACGTAACATGATATTATGCTGCCTTTTTATTTGAGCAATTACACTACCCTATTTTCATAATAATTGATAATTTTATTATCGTTATTGTGATTATGATGATAATAATTAATATTGCTTTAGGTGGGGCAGTTTAAAGATGGATCCCTTCAACTTCGCACAAACGAAATACGCATGTATGGAGCGACAAGGAACTCTATGCTTTCGTCTGTCCCCACATCAAGATGCTCCGGTGGCACCTGCTTGAACTGTGTTATTACCCAGAAGACACCAGAATATATGCACATAGCAGGGGACATACTGATAGGCCTGGTTACTTCTGTACACTCGAAAGGGTCTCTTGGCTCCGTTTGTGGTGCTTTAAACACAGAAGTTGTTCAGAATATAGAAGCATTTAGATATGCACTTCGGCAAGTGGCATCTCGAAATATTCTGAGCGGTGTCACTCTCGGGGGACTCGTCCTTGACGATTGTATGAACCCAAACGTGGCCATCTCATTGGTGACAAACATGGAAAGTGGACTCGTTACTTTAAACGACAGCTCTGGTCATGCCATTGATCCCAAAGTTGTTGACCTTTATTCTGGGGCCTTGTTCGACAACATTTCTCTACCCCTGGCTAGAGTTCTTACCGATTTGCGGAAACCATTGATAGGATATGCCGATTCAATTGTTGAACTTTCTGACAAGTCAGAGTTTCCTTACTTTGCCAGAACCATCCCCGCAGATGATAAAATGGCAAAAGCCATAATCCGTATTTTGAAAATAATGAATTGGTCGTATGTGCAAACACTGCAAGGTGCTGACAGTTATGGGAGATCGGGGATGTCTGAATTAAAGAAACTTGCTAACGCTGAAGGAATATGTATCGCTGGATCATATGAATTCGGTACAGACGGCAGTGCGCAGCAAATAGTGGCAAAACTCAGACAAAAAGTTGATGCAAGTGTTTTGATAGTATTTGCTAGCGCATCCGACGCAAGGGATCTTTTTAGCGCTATATCAGCACTTAACCATATTGGTGACTTTGTGATAATTGGCACCGAATTTTGGACAAATAACAATAGTATGATATCTGGTTCGGAAGCCGCTGCCATAGGGTCACTGTCAGTAGATCTGAAACGCTATAACTTACCTGTGTTTTCTAGCTACCTCCAGCAACTCGACGTGACCAGGTACACTGCAAACCCTTGGTTTAGAAGCTGGTTCCAAGAATCTTTTAACTGCAGTCTTGATCCCAGTTACTCTGGTAGGCCACAGTGTTCTAATCCTAGCACCACGCCCATAACTTCTGCCGACCAATTTAAGTTCGGTGTCTGGGATTTCAGCATTATGAATGCAGTCCATTCAATTGCGCGTGGGCTGCACGAGACACTGAAACATTTCTGCGGCGACTCCTACAGCTACGTGTGCTCGGGATTCAGAAATAGCAACGAGAAGTCAAACATTCTTATACAAAAGATTAAGGAAGCAACATTTACTGACGAAAGTAGCAGACAATTTGAATTTATGGATGGAGAAGGAAATATGGACTATATTGTGTACAATTATCAAGGGACAGTGAATGGGTTCCAGCAGGTAATATCTTAATTTGTTTTCTAAATGTTCTTTACTTATAATGATACGTAATAGTTTCGCATGTTAAAAAAGATAAAGATAAAAAACTGCATGATATGTGCAATTTTAAACTTCTGCGAATGAATAGTCACATTTGTTCTAAATCACAGCCTAGCACGCGATATGTTTTAAGGATATTCAAAATAACCGCGTTGGTGTTAATTTAATTGATTATGTTCGCAAGTGTACCAACTCACAGGTAATGAAGGCCCTTTATTTGCAGGTCGGAGAATACATGGTAAACACGGATATTCTACAGTTGTCAGTCGATGCTGTCATGCTTCCCAGTGGTGCACCTAACTTCACCTCACAATGCACTAACGAATGCTCAGAATGTCAGAGTTTATACCAATACCAGCAATTCTTGTATGAGCCAGGTGACATTGTTATAGGTGGCGTTGCAGGTGTTCATATGCCTGGGACCACACCTTTTTCGTGCGGCAGCATTAAAACTGGCGAGGATCCAATGGATATACAAGTCGCTGAAGCAATAGCTTATGCCATAAAAGAAGTTAACTCCAAAAGAGCTCCCGCGAGATTGAGTGGAGCCACACTCGGGTTACTTTTCTTTGACAGTTGTAACAGCGCAGTTAGGGAGACGAACTTAATTTCAAGTGTGCACTCTGGAGCTCTTAGTCTGAGTAAGGCTGGGAACAAAGTGGATCCAGGTGTAATTCATGCTTGGATTACCAGCGGTAGTGAGGCATCAATGGATACCCAAGGTACTTTAGGTTCTTTGGGCGTGGTGCAAGTTTCACCGTTTGCGACGTCGACAGAGACTAAGAATAGTATGAAATATCCAACACTTTATCGGACAATTCCTGCAGACGATCGCCAGGCTGGTGCTATGGCTAAGCTGGCGGAATATTTTGGATGGACATCTGTCCAAATTGTTTCTGATGCTACTGCGTACGCCAAAGCAGCAGTGAATGCCTTTAAAAGAGCTGCAGAGGTTTCCGGTATCTGTGTCTATGCGACCCATGAAATAGGCCCCCAAAATGGCGCCGAACAAATAGTTCAGAGTCTTCTCCTTGCTACCAGAGCTCGGGTAGTGATCGTGTTCCTGGGCAATCCTTCAAAGTATATGAAGGATTTATTATCGGCGAAAGCTGCTCAGACGAACGATAACAATGAGTTGGTGTTTATTGGAGGCGATACTTGGGGAACATCCATTGATGTTATACAGGGAGTTGAGGCAATTACAGATGGGTCAATGACTATCCAAGTTGATTCTTCTTCAATAAACGGATTTGACAACTATCTTCAGACCAAAACACCGAGTTTATCGAACAGTTCGAACCCATGGTGGGATGAATATTACCAAGCGCTTGCAAAATGTGACCTTCCAAATAATTTCAAGTACGGAGTGTCATGCGCAATTCCGTATAACTCTATAACAAATCTTGTCCAGTATGAACAGAACAAGTACACAGTTCACATAACGAATGCTGTATTTTCAATCGTTCAAGCCGTGGAGTCAGTACTTTTAGAAAAATGTGGTCAAGCTTACGTAGGAGTTTGCGAAGCATTTAAGATAGATCCAAATGTAAATGAAAAGATTGTTGCAAAAATGGCGCAAACGTCGTTCAGAGACTTGAGTCAGCAAATATTTTCCTTTCAAGAAAGAGAAGGTACCAAGGGATACAAGGTCTACCGTTACACAAACAGATATTATAGAGAGGTAAGTATATACTTGTCATAACTATGTCTCTGTCACAATTAGGCATAATCACATTGAAGTGATTTGTTCTGAAATTGAATATGGCTCAACAAAGTTACAAAGTACTTACATTGAACATGAGAGAAGTCTTTAAGTATTTATATTTCGTTTGCTTGACTTTATCAAAATACGCTGTATTTCAGATTGGATCGTACGACGTAAGCAGAGATGTTATATCTATTACGGACAACACTGTAAAGACCTATTACCAGACCGTACAGGCTGCATGTGTAGGTGAATGCCAGAGAACTTGCCTTGGAGTAACGGCAGAACAGGAGCAGTTCTCGTTTATTGATGGTGATATACTGCTTGGAGGTATGTTCAACCTGAATAAATGATTTTAACATTGAAGTCACCATCGTGTGTTTATAATATGTTGAAAACTGGTTCAATAATGATGTTATATTTTTATTTAAGGTATTTTTGACGTCACCAAAAAGGGAACAACTCCTTTCAGTTGTGGCGACATAAATGACAAGTACGGTTTCCAACTTCTCGAGGCGTTTAATTATGCGATTGAAACTGTAAACAAAAAAGAAGGACTATTTCTAAATAAGCTAAATGGTGTCACTCTGGGTGGAATCGGCTTAGACGCATGCGAAAGTGCCAACAGAGCTAGCACTCTTATTGCAAACATACACAGTTCTAGCCTTAAGCTGCAAGGACCGAACAACAAAGTTATCAGCCCAAATATTATTGACACGTACATTGGAGGTTTGGCAAGTGATAGCACAAGACGTATGGCGGACATTTTGACTGTGTTTGGAATCCCTCAGATAACATATGGGGCGAGCACTATAGACTTATCGAACACAATAGCCTATCCCTATCTTTTGCGAACGGTTCCCGCAGACGACAAACAAGTACGGGCAATTGTTGCTATATTGAAACGCTATGGGTTCCAATATATCCAGATCGTCAGTTCGCGTGGCGAGTATGGTGAACCGATGGCTGCCGAATTGATTAAAATTGCCCCTGAGCACAAAATCTGTGTAGCCCAGCACCTCTATTTAGAGAGAACTCTGACCAATACGGTAGACGTTGCTGCAGCAGATGTTACTATTAAACTTCTCAGAAGAAATGCTACTGTAGTTGTGACAATGCTTGATAGGCCCGTTTTGCAATTCTTTTTGTCTGCAATTAAAACAAACGCAGAGGCAGCGGGGAATTTTTTCTTCATTGCTACTAATACAATGGGCCGAGATATCGATATCATAACAGGCGTAGAATCTGAGGTTTTACGCTCTCTCTCTATTGGCATTGAAACAGCCGATGTACAGAACTTCGATCGGTATTTATACGACAAAACCCCAAGCAATTACCAACGTAACCCATGGTTCAACGCGTACTACCAAAAGATCTTCAACTGCAATCTACCCGGAGAGACCGGTTATCCAAATGAATGTCTTGATACCAGCCAGCCCATCCCTCTGTCTAAGTCGTACAAACAAGATCAGTACATTCTGTACGTCATTAATGCTGTATATGCGGCAGCTTTTGGGATCCATAATGCTCTTGTGCAGCTTTGTGGGCAACGTTACAGCGGAGCTTGTGAAGATTTTACAACGGCTGGACAAAAAAGAGTTGAGATTCTGAAGGGAATTAAACAGGCGTCCTTTACAGATGATGCCAACCAACCATTTGCTTTTACACAGAATGGCGACAGCAACAGAGGTTATTCGATTTTCCAGTTAATGGACCTCAACGGAGTCTACGACTTCCAAAACGTAAGTTATTTCATCACCAATTTTCAGGTATATTATAGTATTTCATAGGAAAATTTAAACTGTCGAGATCTGCTGTTGTTGGCGGACCTTGTTTTAACATTATTTGTTGCAGTTTGTTAACTACAGTCTTTCTAATTAGTGAATTGGCGAAAATTTAAGTATTGAAGACTACACAGATATCGAAGCTGACAAGACAAGCTTTAATGTAAACTTGTATATTTTTTCAGATTGGGAGTTACAATGATACCCACTCTCTGAAGATTCGATCTGATATTACAGTCTCCTGGCAGTCTTCTTGTGGCACTAACGGATGCAGTGAATGTCCATTACTCGGCAACCAGCAAAGTCGATTCATGCAGACAAACACGAAGACTTATGACTTAAACTTACTAGCTGTCTTTCATCTACATGACATGGGTACAACTCCCTATACTTGTGGCCCTATGCAGGTCGAATCCGGCTTCCAGAACATGCTTGCATTTTTTTACGCAATAGAGCAGATTAATAAAGACAACAATAAATTGTCTACAAACATTCAATTTGGCGGACTGGCACTGGACACGTGCAATAATTTCGTTCGTGCCCGTGCTGATCTGTACAGTTTAATGAGTGGTCAAGGTATCTGTAATGTCGTACAAGGGCAGGACGTTATGAATCCTGCGACTGTTGTAGCAGCCATAACCACCGGCACCTCAGAAACACGGGCGGTTCATGATATCTTCGACCCCCTTAGAATTACCTATATTTCGCAAAGTGCTACAGCCGATGCTCTTAGCGATATAAATGTTTTTAAGTATTTCCTGAGAACTGTGCCGCCCGATAGGCTTCAGGCTAAAGCTATGGTGGAGGTCTTGCAGAAACAAGGGTGGAATTATGTGGTTGCCGTTCATACTGACAGTGAATATGGAACCGGAGGAGTAGATGCCTTCATACGCGAGGCTGGAAATAACAGCATATGCGTTACACAAAGACACAGGCTGAAACAGGACGCAACAGACCAGGACGCTAGAGAGACGGTGAAAGAAATCGGAGAAGCAATCGGTGTCAATGTCATTGTGGTCTTTGCAAATCCATCCCATATTGCTCTTCTTCTCAAAGCAGCCAACGACCTGGGGGAGAATTACCGTAGTAGATTTATTTGGATAGGTAGCGACACGTGGGCAGACAGCATGAGTATCATACAAGGGTTTGAGGCCATAGCAGAAGGAGCAATAACTTTTCGTATAAGATCACAAACGGTGGATGCATTCAAAATGTATATGGCACAACTTCATCCTGGAAATACCAAAGGTATCCCTGAGGACTGGTTCAATGAGTTTTGGCAGCACACGTTCTCGTGTAGAAATTCTTCTGCTGCATCAGTTCAGCCACAGTACACTAGACTTTGCAGTGGGCAGGAAAGACTGGTAGCTGCAAATATCGCACAACATCCTTACGTGCTCCACACGATCATAGCTACTTACATGATTGCTCAGGGAATGTCCACCATTAAAGATTGTGGCACCTCACAAGATGTGTCGATATGCCTGGCCCAGCAACAGGACAGATATGGTGCCATATTCAACGCTATTAGTACGGCCCAGTGGAACGTTCTTGGGCAATCCAATTTCACATTTAGGTTTACTGAAAGGCATGGTGATATTGGCTACCAGGTCCTTAATGTTAAGAAAAACGAGGAGCAACAGGGCTACCTGTATCAGGAGGTTAGTATGATCAATTTATTCCTGCTACGTTTGTGTGAAATAAAAAATCCCTTTTAGAGGATGAAATATTGTTTCAAAAATTGTTTTAAATTGTTTTTGTTTAGACAAAATTAATATTTCAATTTTCACTTCTCGCTTTATTAGCAAATCATTTGTAATGAACAGCGCCATGAAATAAGTAGCAACTCAGTAACTCATTTCACCATTTCAGCTCGGCACCTGGAAAGGCGTATTCCAAGGCGACTTGACTAAATACGTCGGCCCCGGCTCTGGCATAACAACCTCTATCTGTCCTCCTAACGTTAAATGTAGCTGTCTCACCGGGCCTAGTGGTGAAGGCGGTGACACCTCCACTGTTGATCCAACATTCCAGCCCCAGTACCAGCCACCACCGGGCATCGAGGACAGATTCCTGAGCGTGAAGGAAGGCTACTGGGGCTTGATCATCGCTATATTAAGTGGTCTGGGGGCACTTGTCACCCTTATGTTGCTGTTCTACTTGCTGTGCTTTTATCCTGTTAAATCTGGAACGTCAGTTCTTGGCTACTACTTACTGTTAGGAATACTTGGTGTGTACGTTCATAATTTTGCCTACATATTCTATCCAACGGATGTTGTCTGCGGTATCAGGCGGTTTTGCCTAGGCTTGACATACGCTGTTTGCTTTTCTGTGCTTCTTCTTAAAGTTCTCAATACATGGAGAATCGGTGAAGACGACAGCCTCACAAAATACAAGCGCTTATCCAGTCCTCTTAGCTTCTTCCTGATAGCCGTTGCGTTGACTTTGATTCAAGTAATTATTGGAACAGAGTGGCTTATATTGGTTCCGCCGAAGTCGAATTATAAAATATACGAAGGGCAGCAGTACCCACGCTGTGAACCAACAGACTTCTACGACGAGGCTCTGATCATGTCCTGCATATACGTCATGGTGCTAATCGTATTCACCGCTATATTTGGAGGAATCACGTGGGATAATGGAATAAATCATTACGAGTCCCGATGGGTACTTACGACGGCTTTGATAACAATTGGCATCTGGCTTATATGGATTCTTGTGACAATCTTTTCACCTTGGCATATTCGGGACCCCGCCATAGCTATTGTTAATATCATAAATGCAACTGCGATACTGTTATGCATTTACATTCGTAAACTCTACCTATTGACAAAATACAAAAAAGAAGTACACCTAGAGAAGAAACAATTGAAAGAAACAGCAAGCATTAGAGGTAAGTTTTACTCTTTGTCATTCATGAGTAATAACTGTAAACAAAGGTTTTTGTTATAATGCCAAATTTGGCTTACATGCAAGGAAAATCCTTCATGAATCTTTCGTATGAAATTTTGAATTACTAATACATTGTCATCAAGAATGATTTTTTGGTTTGATATAGGAATGTGGAATTGTTTCTTGTTCGTAATCTTTCAAGGTAATATTTCTGAGCATTTTTTCTCTTTGTTACAGATCCTGGCATTTACTCTCAAGTGTACCACAACCGAGCGTATGATAACGCTGAACGTTTGCCACACGAACAACCTCCCCCTGGATACGCGTCCTCTAGTATCCACTCAAGATCACTGAGATAGTAAGAAATATTTTGGATAAATGTTGCTATAACTTTCTTGGTCCGTAAAATTATTTTTAAGAACGCGTTTGCAAAAAACTTAAAAATAATATATGGTTGAGCAATTTCGTGAATGACTTATACGAGGTAACATAGGGTAACTTGTAGCATTACCACAGAAAGCGTGTCCACACTGTTTTATATCTGGGGATGCTGATCAGGTTACTGTTTATTTGTATGACTCTTATTTATTCAAATGTGTAAAAGGTGTATATTTAAATATTTCTCCCAATGAAAAAATCAGATTTATACTCGTTTTTTTTACAGAATGTTACCTGCACCCTTTCCTCACGAAACCAAATGACACTCAGAGAAATTATGAGATCTTGTGTTTTTACACCTATGGCACATCCATCGAAAATGTTTAAGAAGTTAAAAGTGTACTTTATATATATATATAGTAGATGATAATCGTAATGTGATATTAATACACATATTTACCACGTGTTTCTTAAATAATTTTGAAGAAAAAAGAAAAAAAACTTAAAATATAGAAATGTGCAACTGAATGTCAAAACGTCTGTGAAATTCGCTGGTGTGTGTTTGTTGGCGGGGTATAGTACAAGGAATGACTGTTAGTACAAGTATTGACTGTTAATTCTATATTATGTAGAGTCATCTTACTGACCACTGAGTGGGTATCAAGCTTTAAAAGCAATTCAAACGGTGCCATTATTTGTCTGGAATATTAAATATGCTATTTTAGTAGCTTTTCTAACCATTTAGTATCAAGTATTGTTAAACATTATCTAAACATATGTATGTATGTCTAAACTGATTTTATGTATCGGAAATTTTGTTTGGCAAATCTGTATTATGTAACCGTGGACGTTTATATACAGCCAGAATACTAAAAAGTCAGCAATAAGTTAGCAAAGCTGTTGCACAGAAAAATATTTTAATCAACACACCATTCAATACATATGCCTGTTGAAATTATCTAAGCGTGTTTATGGCATAGTGGCGATACATTGCTCTGACAATGTACCATATATGTAATAGCATATTAGCAGTATCTTTGAACAATATAGTGCCCATGAAAATTTCGTTTTATCGTTTAACAACGGTAATAAAAACTTACGTATCAGGCGTCTGTTTTAACACATTTACTGCTGTACTTATAACTTCTTACTTTTTCCTCCCGTTTTCGCTCGTTTTCGACAATTAATGCTAAATAGGGTATTTTACGGGACACATTTTACAACTTTGGCATTGAATAGTAATGGAATGGGGACATGGCCTGATTAGTTATACATAACATCTAACATCAATCAAATGGCATAAACTACCTTTGCATGGCCCCTGGTTAGACACACAATCAATGTATGCCGTCCTTAAGGTGCCGAACATATACATATATATGTGTGTGTTAAATTACAAATGCTGGTAGTACCTTGCAGTATAATATTTTTAAAAACAATGATATATTTTAAATTATATAAAACAGGACATGTTAATTATCCACAGCAAAACCGATAACTACTTCGTTAAAAAGCTGCTGAGGGAGAAAAAATATTCAAATATCATTTTGGCAGGTTTCCACGCTTTTTGAGAACTAAAGCCTGGCGAATAAGACCAAAAGCTCTAATTCTATTTGTCTTTTGGCCCTGTTGGCCCTGATAAAAGTCGATCGCCTTGGCTGAGCTCCCTTGATTGTCCTCGGGGTCAGAGTAAGCGCCCCTATGCATTAATTCATCAACCACGTCACCCATGGTTCGCCTGCGACCCAGGGCATTGGAAGAATCTTGGAGGTCTTGTTGACGGCGAATGGCGTCTGCCTTTGTGGCCCATAGCTTCGCTGGACCTCCAAGCTGGCGTTTGTACTCTTTAGGAGCGCTTTCCTCTGCTTGTAGGGGCTCTGGCGAGTTAAGCTGTGACTCGCTCTCGATTTTGGCCATCTCTTCACAAAAACGTATCTCTGTAGAATCTCGCCTTTTATCTTGCTGCACATCCCTTTCTTTCATCTCTTTTCTCGCCTGAGCTAACCGTTTCTGTTCGTTTATGTACTTCAGTGTGTTCCTGACTTTCTTCCACTGAGACCGTGCGCTAGCTGCAAGTTTGGCAGATTCTCTCTCATCACGGCGGTGGTTGGACAGGAAGAGCTCGAACCGCTTTTCCAGCTGTAAATAAAAGAAATTTATTTTCAGATAGTTGCTTAGTCCTTACAGATACCACCATTTTGATTACTCTACAGCAATTTAAATCAGACACTGAACACTTGAATATAAACCCACTTTGTATCGATTGAAGGGACACTTAATAAAAAATAAAAAAACACCAAATTTAATAATCTTCTAAATATATTTTCAATCAAATTCAACGAATACTCAGTAAATAAAATTAAAATATACCTCTGGAACAAAAAAGTTTTGATTCAATAAGTTGCGCTTTAACACAAAAATGTGGCCTAAGATACTACTGCTCTTCTGTTGGGCGCATTGCTATCAACCCAATATATAGGATATTTCGTCACTATACTTACCAGTTGTGAAAGCAGCGTAACTTTCTTCATTCTCAACTCGAACTGTTTAAAGTTATTCTCTCGTTGTATTTTCACTTCCGGGTCCTCTTCTTTTTGAGATGCTTCAGAACTGATGCTGCTGCAGCTCATTTCAATTTCCTGCATTGTAATTTTAGACGTTCCAGGCTTAAGTTGTGGTGTTGCTATGTCAATGCCGCTGTCCGAATCTAGTAAATGAAAATATATTGTACTACTAGTAAACCGAAAGCATCACGACGAAAATTCTCTCCAAACTGTTTTTCACAATATTTCAGTCAGCAATTAATTTTTCAAAGGTGAACTCGAAAATAAGGAAACAATCTAAATGTTGTTTTAAAAATCCATTTACTTTGAATCGTGAAACATAAACTTATCTTTTTCATAAAATAAAGACGTATATATACCTTGAGTAGCTGGAATTTTCTTGTCATCTTTGTCCTTTTTATCCTTGTTTATCCCTGCAATCGACTTCCATATTGACATCACTCGATTCACCAGGTGATCATTCATCTCATAGTCAAAACCATCAATTGACTTACTGTTTTTCACCGCATCCAAAGTGTCACACACAACGCTTATAAAGCAGTTCAGCATAATGAAATTTGACAGCAGATTATACGATAAAAAGGCCAGCTGCAGGAATATGGTATTTTCTTCGATGACATCCTCGTAGACCATTAGCCCGAGCATCACTCCAAAGAGTGAATAGAAACTGTACAGGAAGTCCCGGAATGATTCAAATGATCTACCACACACAATGTAGAACGCCATACAATAAGCGCCTACAATGATGACAAAGAACAGGCCGTAGACCGAGAGTGTGTTTTTCAGACTGCCGAGGGAACTTCTAAGCATGGCCAGATGCCAGTTGAAGGAGAGAGGACGAAACATCTGCATCCACGCTATGAACAGCAGCACGCCCATAGTAATGGCAAACCCGTCGTCAACCAGTGCAACGTCGTCAAAACTTACAAATGCACCTAAATTGAGAAGATGAATATATACAGTATATATAAAGTAGTCCAATATATCATTTTTTTTTCAACTGTAGAATTTAGAGATAATCAGTGCCTTGATAATGTGCATATTTCAGCATTTTTTCATCAAATTCATTCGCTACTTGAGATGGAGATATTCATTCTTAAGTCATTATCCTACCTGGGTTATTCTTAACGTCTTCCACTGCCTGAATGATGTAAGCAATCCGTACTCCATACAGCACCATGCCGATGTAGCCTAAAAGGACCATAGCCAAGTCTGCGACGTTCCACAAACTATGAAAGTAGGTACACTTCTGTCGCACCATCTGCCGTACTTGCACGACCGTCAAGTATATCAGTAATGCTGCCCACACTAACTGTACCAGGAGCAGGACAAAGTCCATGGCGTCAACATAGGGGTACGGTCTGAAACTGATTTCAGCGGTTGTCGCATAGATACCACCTGTCGCTGGGAACTCGAAGATGATCTTAATCTGGCTGAAGACGTTGGTATTTGCATTATTGATGGTATATTCCACAAACACTGCTCTGGTGTACCGATCTATCCAGTTCTGGGACTTCAGTACATCCACCATGGTGCTGGCGCTTCTGCCCGCGTGGAATTCCACCACATATCCCCCTGGTTTGTACGTCTGAAAATGGCCGCTGTGAGAATGTTCGTGCATCACTGCGCCGTGGTATGTGAACGCAGTGGTGGTGTTGTCATATGGAGATACCAGAGAGGGGAGCTCCCAAGCTAAAAGGAGAGAAAACCAATGAAATAGATTTTTTGTTAAATTAAAGAAATAAGTGTATAATTAATTGCATCTAATATAGATCAAATGCATACTAGACACGACTGCTAAATTATTTTCAAAATTTGACGAAGAAAAAAGCTACACCAATTAAGTGAAATAGCTTGGGGTATTGTTCAGACTATCTAGTGGTGAAAAATAAAGAAGAAAATAAAAACGAAAGAAAAAGAAAGAGTTTGCAAACCTGGATTGAAATTTCGGCTTTCCTCATCATTATCATTGTATGATACCTCGGCAGAATCGAATAAGCCCTTCATGAGCCGTGGCAATGTTCCAGCGTCTAAAATCAAAAACAAAAGATTGCAATCCGCATGTATTCACACTTAGAAACCTGTTGTCAATCGTTTCAAATTGTTCTTTTAATTTCTCATTAATTATCGTGCAATGAGCTTCGTTCCACGTCTTTATCAAGCAACACATATGATTTTACTTGAAGTACCTTGTCTGACTCTAGCTTGGCGCAGACGTACGGGCCCCATCCTCAAGCCGTCCATATCACTAATAAACTGCTGATCGTAGGAGGCAAGGGCATTGCCATTGTAGTCCGCCGATGGAAAAGCAGCAGGCAGAACCACCACTTTAATGTAGTCGTATACACTTTCCATTGAGACAGTCTAAGTGGTAGACAAAAATATTGTTATTGCACTTTAGATAACGCAGATAAGCTTAACATATATGTACATGAAGCTATAGAATACATTTAAAATGATTAATAAATTGAAATGTAGCTTACATATTTTCCACTGACGGAAATCTGTCCCTTCAGAGCGGAGTTCTGCAAGAAGAAGTTGGAGTCTCTGTTGGCAGAACAAATCCAAATGAGGAGTGCCAGGTTCAGTATGTATATCACGGTCTCCCGTACCTTGGCCGACAGCTGTTTGTCTCGTTCGTTTTCTAGCTTTCGTCTCTCCACATCCTCGTCTTCTTCCTCGAAGTCGGGCTCAGAATTAGGTATAACAAGACCATCGGGAAAACGTACTGTAAATAAGAAACAACCATATTTTTTGCAATAGATTGATATGATATATTATTCCATTCAAAGACAAAAAGCTTACATCCCTATACGGTACTAATCCTACGAATACATTACATCATGTGATCAAGTTTCCCCGATGTTAACAGAAGGTTTGTCAAACACTTAAACCTACCGTCCTGTGGAATTTTTTCTGGTGGTGCAACAAGAGAATCTAGGTCATCTTCCGACTCCTCGCCATCCATGTTTGGTATTCTCAAGATGCAGGAGAAGACAAAGGCCAGGAGGAGCAACTGGAATAAACCAAATCGTACCTTATACGACGTTGATCCACATTTGCGCGGGAAAACAACACGGTTAATTTGAATACAAAATGCATACTGAGTATCATTTTCATGTATCAAAATGTTCACTACAACATACCTTGATTGGCTGAACCACAAAGACAGATTCCAAGAAGGCAAACAGCATTGTTGCCAGCCATTCCAACGATTTCTCCCTTCCCCAGTCAAGACTGTACAAAAGTGTGAAGAATCCACCAGTAAATGTCATAATGAATAACAAAATGTAGCCAAAAACAATGGACCACCATGGTAGCTCGATTTTTCGTTTCTTTTTCTTCTTGACATTTTCATCATCTTCGACGTCTTCAGCGACCTCAATTTCTACTTGTGATTTTTGGGAGATAATGTCTACTTTGTTGCTCGGAAGATGTTCTTGAAGTATCTTTTCCATTATCACCCCTTTTCTTTGGCGCGGTTTAGCTCGGCGGAAAATCTCCATTACTATCACTGTGGGAGGGACTACTATGCATGCTCCCATGAAACCAACAAACACCTGCTGGTACGTTATCTTGATGAATCCCAAATCGATTCCGGAGTTACTGGCGCTGGGGTTGTTCTCGTCCGTTTTAAACCACATTGCGTTAGTGATCATAAACAGGAACAGCACAGCTAAACAGCAGGACAATCTCTGGACGCGGCTAAAGCGACTGCGTGTTGGACGCTTAAAAACTGACAGCCAGATATGGTCGTCGAAAGCGTTTTTACGCGTGTGGTCATTAAACAGTGATTTGAAATCTTTCATGTCGCTTTCTTGTAGACCTTTAAGAAGGCGGTCTGTTCTACATTCCCCTCGGTCTTCTGCGATCCAGTTAGCGCACGCAAAGAAATATCTGTGCCAAGAAAATGAAAAAAAAAATTAACATAAAATCTATGATTATAGAAAAATACGGTTAAGTGCCAAAAATTGAGGTAGCACAACAACAATAGATTTTTATAACATTAACTCCCAGACTATAAATTCCCACAAACACAGAACTTTTTATGTGATCTCATCTCTCACCTCTTTTTCTTTAAGACGTCAAAAATGATCACTTTGGACAAGTACCACGCCGGATTCTTGCCAGAGTTATCATGCCATATCTGAATATGCTTCAGTCGACCAAGGTCTTTGTCGGTCTTCAGCAAAAAGTTAGATATGCTGCCTCTATCGAAGTTCTGAAGTGAAGAATTGGTGCAAACGTTTATCACTTTTAACTATGTTAAATATCTGAGCCAAACCTCCGTCATTACATACACAAGTATGCGCGCCGTAATGTGATATCTATTTTTTCGCACTTTTAAAAGCATTTTATATCATCCTATAGAGCTTACATTATTGGTAAAACTTTATAAGTAAATGCAGCATTAATTTCACAGAAAATTCAGTTGTTTACCTTCCTGCATCCGTCCATGACCACTCTGGGTTTAGTTTTACCTCGAGAGCCATACAAAACCACGAAGACATTGGCAGTGGTGCCAGCGTGCCTTCTCATTCCAGTGAAGACGCTCACACGATAGCAAAACGTGTCTGAGGACCTGTTATCAATGAGTGGATAGTAATCCCACTAAAAATGACATTTTATCGGTTAATTTAGATTATTTTAAAACTATATATGTACATGTAGAATCAAAGCTGTACCATATCGGTACGTGTCATCCTGTATTAAACATAATCAAGACAACACCATCAAACAAATTACCTCGCGTATTTATTCCCAATAAATACACTAGCTTAATTCATTAAAACCTCGTTGCTGCGAGTGTAGTTACGTTGTCGTAACGTTAAATAACGAAAGTTGAATAGAGAGGCAAAATTTTAAAAAGGTAAGCAAAATTCTTTCACTTAATTTTCCTGATCATTTTAATTTATCTATTTTTAGCATTTTCATTGTATTCACATGTGTCTACTAGTGGACTTACCGACTGTCTGTCATAAAGGTCTGCTCTCCTGGCCCATATGACCAACAGCAAGTAGAGGCAGACGATGCTGCACAGGATGATAAGAACAATAGGGTTGTCCGCCAACAGGGTGTCAAAGTTGGCAAACACCCTATCAAAGTCAATTTTGTTTGGAGGGATAAACAGGCCCGCACAGAATGATCCGAAGAAATTGCTCTTAAAAACAACCTTGTCTTTAGAGGAATTTGGATCAACCTAGAATGTGAAAGTAGTATCTTAACATTATTAACCCCGTATGTTGAAATTATTCTAATCGTAGAAGAGAATCTTAACTGATGCACATTATTATATCATTGTTAAACTTGCCTTTACCAGAAGTATTAAAGGGGTCTGTTTAAGCTATGCCATCAGTTTATATTTACATCAGGAAAATCAAGTATTTTTGTAAAGGTTCAGGTGACAACTCAACTTTACTTTACCTCTAAATTAGACGATGTCTTCCAAGAACTGGTGGCGTCATCCCAGACTCGTGCTTCCATGGAGACAGACTCCAGAGAATAACTGTCGTTACTGCCCACAGCAAGAAGCCTCCTACTTGAGGTTGAGCCGCCTGACGTTGTATCTAGGAAAGACATTTAATTTATCAAAGTCAGTGCTGAGGCAGATTTGGAGAGCGATTTCAAAAGATAGATCAGAAATGGACTAAGTTAAAATTTATTACATTTCGGTGGTGATCCATGATGGTTATATTATTATTATTATAAAATATTTATAAATGAAAGCCATGATAAGGTAAATCAATATTGTAAAAAATATAAACCCTACAGAAGAATATTTTAAAAGTAATTTTGTGAAATGAGTATTAAAGATAACACAATTAAAGTGAAAATTTACCTTATCGATAAGTGCTTTACTTCCACAAAAACTTACCTTCAATTTTCGTAATAAGAACGTAGAATTTTCCCGTAGTAGTTAGCTCTCTAGCAGGAATGAAGATGGAAAATACATTGTTTCTGAAAAATTCATTCACGTTCCAAGTTTTCCGAGATACTGTGATGTTGTCCCTCACTTCAAAATAAAAATCATTATCAGAATCTGTCGGATAGGCGTCCATCTTCCCAAGGTATTTATACAAAGCAGTTGGACTGGGTTTTCCAATATCAATTTTGAGGGCTGCGTGAGTAGAAGTAATGTCGTAGACATGGTAGGCGACTGTCTCAGCAGTGACGTTACTCGTGTCAATATCATCAGCCTGAATGGCGGCACCGACATTTGAGGTGTCGAGCTCTGCTTCCATGTCAGAGTCCAAAGAGAGGGAGGAGCCGTCTGCCAGGGACATGTCAATGGCGGTGACTGGAGAGTTCACGTGTTCTGAACCGTTGCCAAATGTGTAGGGGTTCCGTTTGAAGGTAAGGACCTGCACAAAGCATATAAATAATATGATTAGGACTAAAAGAACTGACATTTTCCCATGTTGTTTACATCTTTAATTTTAGATACGTTTTATAAAATTGCTGATTCGCCTCCTTAACTGACAGTTTTTAAACCAATTAAAAATCATTCCGTTTATTCAGACACAATTCAGAAGAAGTCCTAAACAAACAGACTAACCTTCATATTTACGCTCTGTCCACCAGCCGAAGTAATAGGAGGCAATTTCAATGATACATCCCGCGTCTTAATAGCAGAGGTCTCCGCCTTGGGAGTGAACTTTTGCACGGCCATAGTGACTGTCGGCGAGGAAATCTCCACAGGGGTGGCAGTCTCGTTCATCTTGGTGAAGAGGTTAGTTGCCACTTTACTGAACAGTGCCTCTGTCTTTTTGGCGACGTCCTTGGCCTGTAAAAATAAGCGTCCGATGCCGCTTCTAATACATTCTATTCAGACATAAATAAGTGCTACAGCAATTGTTCTGTATTTCAACCAAAACATCGTTGCAAAAAAAAAAAAAGTCCTACTCATGTCACCTGCAAATGAGAATTTTTACGAATAGCCCTTTGAAAAGTTTTACCAACATGAGTCATCAAAGTAGCTTTAACGATTAGCTTACCAGTTGTTTTTCTGCCTCTGTCATTTGGTTAGCCGCCTGTTTGGTTGGTGCGGTAACGGCACTTGTTGCAGGCGCTGCAGCAGCAATGATATTTCCCACTGCCGCCGCTATGTCTGGAATAGATAATTGTTAAACAGAGACCAGTTTAATCGTAGTAAGTTTTCGTTATCCGTTATCCTTATCTAAATATAGGAAATATATACGCATGTTTCTTCTATACATCTTATGTGCTTAACTTTTTGAAGGCATGTTGTACATAGAGTATCAAGGATATCAAATACATTTTGAAAAAAAAATTGAATAGTGACTTACTTCCCGAGACGCTGACCAATTCTTCCACGCTGGCGGCCGAGCTACTGGTCAGCTGGTCCACTAACATATCGGACGCGGCCATTGTATTGACCTTAAAGGAAAATAACTGTTTTAGCGGTTTACCCCCAGTTGGATTGTCTGCCTTTTATATTTCTCCTTCAGTAGCGTGAACTAATATTCAGTCTGTCACCATTTTACTGTCTTTTTGACACAGTACAACATTATAAGACATTTCCCTTTAGAAATAAACTATATATATATATATATATATATATATATATATATATATATATATATACTAAGCAAATCTATCTATCGCTTTAGTGAAAGCTACCGGGTAACATGTACATGTAGCAGCTTTCATGATGTTTTCTTTGTTAACAAATAACGACATATGGACTATAATGAACATAATTAGGAAATAAATGATATATAAAAAGTCAAAGACCTTACCATTGCGTCATTATCCAACTCTCCGGGGGTCTGAGTAACATCGCTTAGTACTCCAGCAAGGTTTTGAATATCACCAATAGATCCGGAGAAGTTGGCAGAAGTAATGGAGAGAACGGCGTTCACCACTTGCTTCCGCGCCTTTATTGTAACCAAAAATGAAATCATATAAAGATAAAATAATTATAATAATAAAAAGACAAATGTTAAAAATCTAATAACTTTTAAGTAGCCCATTGCTGACCTATCCTGAAAATTTCACCAAAGTCCATACATACATATAATTTTTTAAGTTAGGCTGGTGACGGACGAACAGACACAGCTGAAAACAACTTCCTCGGAGGAGGTGAAAAAAATAGGGGAATATCATCAAGAATATGGGGATCACTCATTCTTCTATTCAACAATAGTTATGACATGTAATAAGATAATTATAATTATAAAATGTTTAATCGACTATTACTCACCTGAATATTAGCGGCCCTGGCTTCGGCCTTCGTTGTATTGGCGCCTGTCGCGTTCTTATTCTACAATAAAAATTTGCAGAATAGGAAAGTTTAAGTAGGTCAGTTATGCATCAATTTCATTACTAACGATGTGCATTTTAGGATTTTAAAATTAACAACACAATTGAATATTGATGAAAGACAATGTTTCACTTTGTTTTCAATTTCGGCAAATATAAAAGGAGTCGTGTAACACTGACTCTTTCTTCATACGGAATGTTCTTTGTCTAATATAACAAAAATAGGTAGTTATATAGGCACATCTGCGTTAACTGGTCAACTGATATTTTTCTATCTGTGCAAAACGGGATGAAATACACTGATCAAGTACAGCTAAACTTACCGAACTCATGAAGTTTAGCGTGGTTACAAGATTGTTCATGACGGCCACGGCTTCGTCTGTGGTCAGATTTCCAGACGCTATGTCATTCAAACTATCAAGTCCATCGCTTATAGACACCATAGTCGTAGTCTCTAAAATAGATAATCGAATTTTATTATTTCCATGCGTTATAGCGCTGTATCTTCGAAGTCGAGTCTCGAATCCCGCTGGTGGAAGCAGTGACTTAATTAGGTTGGGGACAGCAATGTTTCAACTGTGTTGAAGCAAGCGTTACTATTGGTTGGTGGTTTCTAAAACTTTTTCACAAGTTTCCGAGGAATGAGTATATGATATATCAACCTCGGCAATATTGTTCAGTGTAGTATAATTGTTCCATTTCAATACTGTACGTTTCTAACCGAAAATTGAGGTTATCTTTCGCTGGTTATTGCATGATCTATACCTAGGATATGGCCGTTCAACTACTGCTATATTATACAGGCTGTGCTCATGTCACTTACTTACCTGGGAGATCAGTGGTTCCTAAATTATTTGTATCTTCCGCTTCTGTAGTCGTTTCTGAAATTAAATAAAATGGAACAAATCTCGAGGCTGTTTTCAATTTTTTACCCTCCTTACTTGATCTTTTAAAAAACATTCCTTGTGTGTAGGTATTTCAAGCAAACAGGTAAAATCAATAGTAGGAACGTACCCCCAGAAAGTTTTTCTGTCGTCGTCTCTGTTTTCTCAGATGTGGTTTCTGTTTTCTCAGATGTGATTTCTGCAACAGATAAAAAAATCAGTTTCCCTACATCGTCCATGCCTCATTAGTATTGTGCTAAATCAATCAAGGAAAACAGTTCATTTTAAAATCAACACATGGATACATATATACACTACATGGATACCTATATACACTACATGGGCAAGAAAAGCATTGCTTGTAGATTGAACACAGATCGTTATTGGTGTTACTGAAAGACGATTTGAAATATACCTTTTTCTTCTTCTGTGGTAGTAGGTGGTCTGGGGGTAGTAGTAGTTGTTGTGGAGGTGGTGGTGGTGGTGGAAGTGGTAGTGGACGGGTTGTTTACAACTGTAGTCACGTTCCCATTGATGACGTATGTGATAAAACAATGTAACATAAAGCTATTTTCTTCAATCGTGGCATCCTCCGCAGTGAAATTGTCTGGCAAAACCAAAGTTATGTTGGACATTCCTAAAAAAGTCGTTGAAAATATCACCGAGCTGTTGGTTTCAATGTTAATGACGGAGTGTGAAATAGAGTTTGACTGAAACGTAACCTGCCCAGATGATACGATGTTTAGTGTTACATTGTACAATGATCCCGAGTCCAAGACGATGTCCTCCGTGGCTATAAGATTAATAACAGTAGGCAACTCAATGTAGCTGTTGTGGTGCAGAACTGCTTGCTGAAGGATTATAAGTCCACCACTCCACATTTCAACCAAGGAATTTACAATTTTGAAGTTATGAGCGTATATCGCGGAGGCAGACTGAAAAGATGCATTGCTTCTCTCAATTTTGAAGTATCCCACAAGAGCCAAATCTCCCGAGTAGCCTGGGCCGGTGGGTGCCGTGAAGTTTGCTGTTTCCCTGTCTAACGATGGGCGTATGGTTAAGCTTGCTCCAGCACCAGTTTTTCCTCCTATACGTTGAATATATAATTGATATTGATTAATATGACGGGATACAATCTTCGAATTGTTTACATGAAAAAATGGCTCTGATAAACCAGCTTTACTGGAATCATCCTGGGATGTTTACTGGAATGTAACTTAAAATCTAGGAGCATTTTCGTTAAAAAAAAACAATCTTTAATAATCTACTTGTCAATAAAATGTACGTCTGCAAGTCAGTGGCAGGTCTACAGTCTTCGTCTTGCAAAATTACAGTTTGTTATTATCTAATGCAAACATATCAGCATGTAAGATAAAGTATGACGAACACACTGTTGTCAACTGACCTTTACATGAAGGGATGTCACAAAAGCCCCATCCTGTCCCATTAATAGTGTAACACCAGGGTCCTTCGGGAGCGTTGTTTGGATTACGGCAGAAGTTCTGTGTCTGCCATAGGGTGGTATCTGGGAACATATCAGGATCTACAAACTGGTGCGAGTTTGGCGTCTGTTCATCCCACCGCTGACATGGAAGTCCTTCTCTGGTGTGGTTGATTGGACCCCGGTACTCGCTGCCATCCATATTTGGGCTGCAATCCACTCCAATGGGTACTAGATGAGTTATTTAAATATATAAGATATCATTTTATTTGAAATATTGATGGCAGTTCTTAACAATGCCAGAACTAATTCTGTGATATGATAAAAATTTTCGAGAATAATATGTCAATTTTTTTCATATATTTAAAGCTTCCAAAAACGGACCTGAAATTCACGAAAAGAACAGTCCAAGCTGCTACTTTGATCATGATCATGGTAAACAAACAATAAAACAAAAATCAAACCCATGGCTTGAGGTTGTATAGGGATAAAGCAAATTACTCCTTCAATATCACTGGCACAAATCTGGGGAAACTATTGGCGACACAAGTGTCTCGTCTGTCTCAACCTAGCTACTTTACGACCATGACTAAAAATCCATACGCCTGTTACTTACCTTCTTCTCGAATGCATGTAAAATAGTGGGAGGAGTTACAATTCTCCAGGGTAGCATTGTACCCATTGCTTTCTGCGACTACAAAGCAACCGACTCTATCAAGGGCAGAGACATCCACACCGTAAATAAGCCCATTGACATTACTCGATGTATCTGATGGAACGATGTCATAGGTACCATTCACTGAGACAACTGAAAGATATTTGAAAAATTATCAACATACAAAATTATGCTTTAATAACATTTTTCAGTTACGCTGTGGATCTTAACAGCAATTGCCCATGATGTTGTGCACACCAGAGTAGGGTTAATTTTACTACACAATTACTAGTGACATTATTTTGATTTAACGTTTTGCAGGCTACAACACGTACACTGGTTATTTCAAATACCTTTACCACAAAGATCTACATCTATTGTAAGAGATTTGCAGTACGACGAAACACGGAAAATGATTCTCACTCGATTTCCATCCCGCCCACAGTGTCATATTTCCGTAAAAGTTTCTGAAGTATGTCCTTAGCCACTTTTGTTCTGTCTTGCTCAATGACAACAGAGAGGCGTAATTGTACAAACACGTGTTCACAGCGTCCTCATACGGCAGCTGCTGTTTGTAGGTGTCGTAACACAATCCATTATGGCATGTCGTGAAGGTCATCTGCTCTCCACCGTCAACTGTAATGGACACGTTTCTTTTTGAATGTGGAAAAGATTAAGGGGCGATTTTATAGTTTAAGCCTCTTTTTTCTGTTTTTAAACAGGCTTCTAGTAAGGCTTTGTCAAACTTTTAAACCATAGATATGTTGAAGTCTGGTTGTACTGGCTTAACATCTAAACAAGAAATTAGACAGCAAAACATCAGCAATAATTGTCCTTCTCTGATATTGACTGAAATATTAAAATGTACATGTATGTCATAAAAAGAGTAAACTATAATTATCTTCATACCTGCCTGGATGTAAATTAATAAAAATAAGAGGGAAAAGTAATACCAGCATTATAATATATAAAATAACTTATAACCATAATAAGATTAACATTTCATATATCAAATTTACACATTTATATTCTAGGTACGGGGAAAACCATTCTTAAGCAATATTTGTTTATTTCCCAGTTTGGAGCTTAAACCCGGTTTTCGGGAAAAAAAACTTACAACGTGTTAACCCAAATTAACTGAGGGCATATTTTGTGACTTAACCAGAGGCTCTGATATCTCCCGGCATCTTTATCGGCGCTTTTGGAGATAACGTTTTGATATTGTCAATCTACTTTTGCACTAGCTTACCCCAATATACACAGGTATAGTTTAGATCTTGCTCACAACTTTCCACGTTGAAGTTTCCATTCCTGAAAACAACACAGCCCTCCTCATTGAAGGTCACGAACGTCATAACATCATCATCCACCTTTACGCCCCAATTATCATAGTATAAGCTCAGGTTGTGAAACTCGTCGTAAGCTGAAATAATAAGAGAACACCATACAGCAACAAAATCATGGGATTTAAAAATAAAACAAAGGAGTCACTACAATGGTATTTTAATCAATGTATGTTATCTCTCGTGGCAATGATTTCAATTTACATGCGGTATGGTACATGTATACCCGTGCATGCTTAAAGATGTTCAATGACCCTAGAAAGAAGTAAGAAAAGTTAATAACAGCTGTACCTTACAAAGTTGATATCATCATATTCTCTATACTTACATGCCACCAGTCCAGTCCACATTCCGTCCCAGTCATTGCGTTCCATGGCAGAGCTCCACATTCCACGGAACTGCTCTCCAAACGCGGTCCCCATCTCCCAGCCAAACTCTGAGCACACCCGCCGAGCGTGGTCGTACTGCAGAGCCGAGGGACTGCTGCTGAAGCACTGGTTGACATCAAAGATGCAGAAGTCGTCTCTGGGATACGGGTGACCATACATATCTGAAAAAGGGTTGCACACTAATATATGTAATTGTAGCCCCCAATATAATAACGGCAGAGGACACATAAAACATTCACACCAAAGATTTTAAAAAACTCAACGACCTTATTTAAATCCAAAATGTCTGCTACAAATTTTTAAAATGATAACATACGATGTTAGTTTTTAAATGTATTAAAATACAGCATAGTTCTTATGAATCGAATTCAAAATGATCCTTTTATTATGATTTAGCACATAACGGTCTTTGAACTGCAACCTACCCCAGTCACTGCATACAAAAGGCAGACGTTCCTCACAATTTGCATATTCAAGTGCATAACCTGCAGTGCGATTGATAAAAGGGCAGCCAGCGACTGTGCTGTTTATTGAAGTATCGTTCCCTCCGAGCACTGCAAAGATTTTAAAGAGTTTTAGAATTATATATTGACAGTCACTTAAAGCGCATCAGAAAACATTCTTGTACTTTTTTTTACCGAGAATCGATTCCAACCATATGAACGAGTACAAATGCACTTGTTTGGTCATAAGAGAGTGGGCTGACCACTCGGATGTTTAAAATTTCCGCTTCATTGATTTTGTGATCAGCTGTTACAAAATGATGTGTTTTTCCTGTCTCGTGATTGGTGTGAATTAATCAGGTTCAAAAGGCCTACAAAAGGTAATTAATTAAGCCTATTTAAGGTTGTCACCAAATCCAGTATGACACATGACAAAAAAGTTCAGTGATGCCACGTCTGACACTGGACGGGCGACTACGGGCCGCTGGAGGCTGGGCGGAACCAAAGAGATTTGATCATGTGACCTTGCACTTTAATGATCTTTTCTGACCTTTATTTCACCTTGTGTGACTGAATAATGGATCATATTTCACACGAAAACTGTTATTTTCTAAATGTGCCAAAGGAACTTAAAATATTAATGATAAATACTGTAAATCATGCGTTTTCATTGACTGTCAGTATAGTAAAAAAAAACATGTCCCGTAGCTACCGTTTTGTTTGAAAGTTCTTTATGACAATGTACATTTTGTTTCTTAAGTGGCTTTCGAGTCTTTCAAGTAAAATATGTTAATATACGGAAAAGAGAAATATAAATTTTACATATCAAAAGTTAACAATAGAGTACAGGGTTTGAAAATATTGCAATACTTGTTGCAGAAAAACTCCTATTTTAAGGTGATGTCAGAGTTCAGCACTAAAGATTTTGTGTAGGCCTAATTACTCACATTCTGCCGTAGCCTCAGAGACCCATAAAGACGACAACGTGTGGGAACCCACTGCCACATCTATAGCTCGCTCAACGGCTGGACTATTTAGGTCCCACAATCTGAATTCACCCCATTTGTTATTACAGTTTTCTTTTGCCCTGTCATATGTGAGTGGATGGATTCCGATAGAATAACATCGTCTGGTCTCGTCCACACAGAAATTGGTGTCAATTGGCCGAATAGTAGTGGTCTCTGTGAAAGCAATAACATTTAGTAAAAAAGGTATGTTTTTTATAATTAACCAATTATAAATGTGAAAGCAATTGACCCCAATTTAAAGTGGCGAAAATTTCTTGTATTCTTATGTATTTTTTGTACCAGCATGTCAATACAAAGTTATATGAAAAGCATACAGAATTTCTTTACAGGGGTCACCTTTTCCAAGACAATTCACTTGATTAATCATATATAACTTTTACTAAAAAAAATACTCACGGACAGTTTCATTTTGCTGCACGGCGTTGTTGCCACCGATATTCAACGTGAATTCGCACAGCGGTGGTAACTCAGCAGTGCAGTTCACATTGTCAGATATAGTGGTGTTGTCGTCACGTGTTTCCACGTAGTAACAGGCGAGTTGAGACGTAGTACTGTCGTTCGTTGGAGGACCTTCGGTCTCTAGGGCAGCTGCAATAATACGGTCCATGTACACTTTTTAAAACATGAATAAATTTATTTGTTTAAGACTTTAAAATTTGAAAAGAATAAAGATGAACTTACACCCTGTACGTAAACAACATAAAGAATAGGCTATACATGACCTCGAACGTAGGGTAATTTGCACCAAGCACGAAATTATCACTCTTTCAAAATAAAACCAATAATTGTTTTGATTAGAATTAAAAAAGGTACTCTTAGAGGTCATTCAGAATGAGAAGAGCCGAGTGCTAGCTAGGCCACGGCTTAAATATGGCGGACCTACATAAAAGGAAGACCGCTTAATCCTGTAATGGTCTCTCCGTCTCTCACACGCCTCCCCACGCGTCGTCCCTGCAGGGGCCCAGTAATTAAATCCCGACTCAATTCAACCGGTCGAGGGACCACGCGCGGGGAGGCGTGAGAGAGGCGGAGAGACCATTATAAGATTTTAAGCGGGCTTTCTCTCATGTAGTTCCGCCTTATTTAGGTCGTGGCCTATGTAGCACTCGGCTCTTCTCACTCTGAATTGCCTCTTAAAAGTGTAAGCTTACATGGCTTGGGACACAGATATCGGATCTCGTAGTCTCTACAACCAGAACCAGATTGATCAGAGTTTTTACAGACAAGACCCTCGGTTGGTGTACATCTGTGAGAGAGCACGTTTGGTGGTGATCCACTTGTTGTAGTAAAGATGGCGCCACTGCGTTTGACGCGGCACTGTGCTGAAATAGGGGAACCACTGGGGCAGACGGGTCCCAGTTCCTGTAATAATTTTTTCAAAGCAAAAGTGCACCTTGGACATACGTTTGTAGACTCGCTTTTTATCACAACGAACTAAGGGGAAGAATAAGACAAAATATGTGTTCACTTCAATTAGTAATATTTTGGGAGAAATCAGGTTAAAATTTACATGATCCTCTAAGAAATTTAAGAGATCCTCTAAGAAATTGATAAGGTATTTATCACAAACTCTCAATGGAGTTCAATATTTACATTTTGACCAGACAGAGTTTCCACGTCTCCGCTGCCGGATGGATTGTCTCTGTCAAACCACGCAGACCAACTTAAGGCTGGAATTCAAAAGAAACAGCGATATAATAATACGATTCGGTCCATTTGTTTGGAACAATCTTTTTGCATTCATTGTATTTCAAAGAAAATATAGAATTCATCCAAAAGATGACAGGCTATCACAGGCGTATTTTATTCAAGCACAATACCTACCTGGCAAAGAAAGTTTTGAAAATAACTTTCTGAAAGAATGCAGTTTTGCCGTGTTTCGCGCAAAACATGTAAATGAGCCCTGTCACCATATCGTCCAGCTAATCATGTCAGTAACTGAATTGCAGATACATGTACTATTCAGGGGCGGATTCAGGATTATTTGAAGGGGGGGGGGGGGGTCCGCGGATGCGAAGCCGACCCTCCCTCCCTCCCCACCCCCAACTTTGCAAATTGGTATTTTAGAGGGCGAACGGTGATATTTAGTACGGTTTAGAGCTACGATTCAGCTAGTCAAAATTCTAATTTCAAGAGGCAACCATAAATCTAAGGGTGGGATCAGGACCCCCCCCCCCCGCCGCCTGACCACGTCTCTATATATCTACCAGTGTTATCAATAGTTAAAATTTTACCAAATTATCAAACTACTAAAATTATGACCCACGCCAAAAGACGTAACGAAGAGTTTTTTCAATTTCCAAAAAGTATATGGTGGTATTTATTGAGGTATTTGAAATAAACATTCTAGATATTTTTTAGACATTAGACATTATACTAGCTTCCTGACAAGCTGCAGATTTTCTACTTTGGTAAAAATAAAATGGATCGATTGGAGAGTGTGAGAATGTGAGATGAGATTTTGTCCGTTTTATGTTTTTTTGTGTTAGAACACATAAATCTAGTAATAATCATTTTTATATTTTAAGTTGCTAGTCTGATGTTAATTGAGTTCCACTTGGACAAACAAGTCTTCCCTTCGTTTACTTTTAATACAATAAAAATGTTATACGGACCTAGTAAAAATGAGTGTATACCATTTTATTTTGGAAGGAGAAAAGGTGGAATGGGGTTATCTAAGAAGCCAATGCGACCCGTGACCTACTCTAAATCCGCCACTGACTAAAAAGTCCGAACCGTGCTATTTCTTGTCCCAGCACTACAAAGATTGCAATTGCCTTACCATAAAAGCGGCTGAACCAGGATTATTGAAGGGGGGCCCGCGGATGCAAATAAAGATAAAGATAATAAAGATACATATATCGTTATTTTCTCACCAGTTTTGGGTATGATATATCTTGGCGGTTAAAGTAAAATGAACAACATTTCCAGCCGAATTGAAATTATTGTTTTCTTACTCTATAAAATCTTTCGCGCGTTGCGTGTCTTTAATTCCACTGTTACTTCATTAACGTTTCATTTCTCATACACGCGAAACGCTGCTGTAGACAACCACCTACTATAGACAACTACCTACTACATTCGTCTTCTAATGGCTTGACCCAGTGCCATGTCCGGTCATGGAGATCATTTATACACAACCTCGATTTGGTTTAAAGCTTAATGTTAATAACTTCTTGTTTTTTATAACTCATATGGCTAATTTTAGAGGTATTTTTAATTAGTGCTCTATAGAAATCAAACATACTAGTAGATTATAAGCCAAAATTACCTGAACTTTCTACCCAAGCCATAGTTTCACCGTTGTAGGCGATGAGTGTGCTTATGTTCTTAACAAGTTGGTATTCCTGCAATACGGCCATTGTGGCCCCATGGACGCTGCATAACCCAGACGCCTGGTCGTAACTTAAGTTGTAGGGAAGCAATCCATAACATTTACCAATATCATCATAGCATACTGCTCTACCATTTTCCAGGAGAGTTGGCAAGAGATACATCACATCGCCTCCATTTATTCCAGTAGGACCATTACCCGAATCAACATGTCCAGAGCTCCCGTTAAAGTCTCCACCGGGATAAAACCCAGAACTGTCGTTCCCCACAAAGGTTCCATTCATGATTCCAGATTCTCCGTTATAGTCTGCACCGGGATAAAACCCAGAACTGTCGTTCCTCGCAAAGGTTCCATTCATGATTCCAGATTCTCCATTATAGTCTCCACCGGGATAAAACCCGGAACTGTCATTCCCCGCAAGGGTTCCATTCATGATTCCAGATTCTCCGTTATAGTCCCCCCCGGGATAAAACCCAGAACTGTCATTCCCTGCAAAGGTTCCATTCATGATTCCAGATTCTCCGTTATAGTCCCCACCGGGATAAAACCCCGAACTGTCATTCCCCGCAAAGGTTCCATTCATGATTCCAGATTCTCCGTTATAGTCCCCACCGGGATAAAACCCAGAACTGTCATTCCCCGCAAAGGTGCCGTTCATCATTCCAGATTCTCCGTTATAGTCCCCAGGATAAAACCCAGAACTTCCGTTGCCCGCCAAGGAGCCATTCATGATCACGGAATCTCCATAATCGTTCCCGGCGAAGGGGCCGTTTTCAAATCCCAGACTTCCGTCATCAATAGGACGTGCATCTAAATCAAGACAAATTTATAGCCTTTAGCGAAATAAAAAAGCGCAAAAATGTGTCGCTCTGTGTCTAGTTGATGTCTTGCAAAAACGCTATTCTAAAATTCATAGTTTAAGGAATAAGACTGCTATTAAGGCGTTTCTTAATCACAAAATTACTAAACTTTAAATCAACAACACCTTTTCGAAAGTTCTATTATCTTTAAGCGAGTGATGAAAAAAAGAAATATCGTACCAGACATTTCACATAGAAAAGGATTATTTTCATTGCAATTTGTAATGTCCCAGGTATAGTTACTATCGGCGCGCAAAAGTCCGCATCCCGTCCGATTTATTACGTGTATGAAATTGGTGTAATTTCCCAATGGAAAGTTACGTCCGGCCCATTTAAAACGGAGGCCTGAAAATGGATTGGTTGGTATTTAATTATAAGTAACCAAAATAATAATGTATAAATATACGCAGATTTCATGCTTCACAAAAATTTTTCATTTTTACAATGCTTTGCAAGTAAGCTCTTACTTATCCTGAACTAAATAAGTCTGTATACATTTATCCCATTTACTAACTTATTAATCAAATGCTCTCTACCATTTGAGTTATATGCCTTAAAAGCGGTCCAAACACGTGTGCTGTTATGAAAGGCCAAAAGTGTCTGGATGCCCATCTGTGTAAATCTATTTGGAATATGGGCTAGATTTCCGCCTCCATCAGTACAATTTTTCTTAGCAAGGTTCCAGGTGGTCGCATCACTGTGGTAGTCAATGCACATCCACTCATGTGTTTCATTTTTGGCTTTACACCACTTGTGCATAGTCTGGGTCGTGTTATTGTTGGCTGAAATAAAAAGGACTTGATGAGATTTAGTAAACGAATGATTACAAAGTCTTGCATTAAAGGGATAATAACTCTTCGTTTCGACCAAAAAATGAATTTTCCTGGAGTAAACAACAATTTTCCCATACTTACCAATGGTTAATTAATCCATTTTACATTCAAAGTTAGTCCCTGGTTTTCTTCTAAAAAGTTTTTTTTTTTTTGTTAAAATCTCTTAAGAGATTTTAACAGAGTATAGCCATCAATGGAGGTCACGTGGTCTAAAGACAAGCTCAGATATCAGAATAATAGCTATAACTGCCGTTTTTGTGGTAAAACAGAATATATTATATTTCTATGAGTTGTTCACAATGTTTTTATTGTGAAATATAGATCTCATACGAAGAGTTACTATAACTTTAAATTCAGATGCTTTTTAATATGTCACTGATTATCACTATACAGTATAATTGTTGGGTGTGTACCTAAATAATGTGCGTTTTGAGACTGGATAAATATCATTACAATGGTCTCGGATGTTGTGTTTGTTAAGAACATACAGAGTAGGAAGCACTTCACGAGACAAGACAACCGGTCTACCAAAAGATGAACATGGATAACGATTGTCATAGACGGCACAATATGCAAGTATAGACAAGTCATTCTCCAACAGATTTTCTATATCTTCATATTAATATTACAGTCTGCTGAGCACATTTCTTCAAGACAAAGAATGTGTGAGCAATGACAGAATGGTATAAGTTATAACAGACTTTAACAGAAAAACACAGGATGTAAAGACACAAAAATGTTACCAAAAGGACACCACTAATAAGTCAACATACACAGAACACCATGGCAGATTATAAAAGGATATGCTATGACACAGATATAAGGATACTATGACACATACCAACACAGACTAGACGCCATGTCGTGGCAGACTGACAGCTTTTACATATTACTAGTGCGACAGGACAGCACAGCCTTACAGTAACAGGGATATCTAGCTATTCAACATCCATGCAGATTACAGAGCATAGCCTTTTAGAGTTATACATGTAGGACTATCTAACTACCAAACAATTATTCAGATTAATGGTCGCAGTTTATCAACATGTCGACACTCCAACAGACAAGACGACAATGATACACCTTCAATTCTGCAAAATGGAATATCACAGTAGTCCCATGTATAATGATCAGTGGAATTAAGATAACACCAAGGACCCCCAGTGTCATGATCAGGATTCCTGCAGTAGTTCTCTGCAGCAGAGAGCGAGGCGTCTGGAAAGTCGTCAGCGCTAAGATAGTGACTGTTAGGAGTTTGACTGTCCCATCGCTGACACGTAAACAGCTCACGACTGAGAGATCTTGTTCCTTGATAGTCCAATCCCATGTGCGACGTTTTACAATCATTTCCTAAAATGAAGATGCACATCGAACGGTGTAAAATACATGTATATGATTTCCCTTTTCTTTAGTTTTCACTTTTAAAAACGATCGTATGTTTACTTTAAATTGCGGAGAATAGATGCTCTGCATTTTAAACGGAGTTTCCATTACAATGGTAAAATGCTGTAATACCTGCTGTCTCTCATTCAATCTGATAATTGTTTAAAACTCTACGGTGTCCTTATATTTTTTGGAATAATGTGATAACCCTTAACTGAAATACGTACGCAAGATATCTATTAGTTGACTAAACATAACGCAAATATGATCAAATTCATTATCGTTTTTTTTACTAAAGGCCAGGCAAATGATTAAAGGTAAATGCATGAATAAACATTTTACCTAAAAAACTGTTATAATGTAATATCTTTTAACTGATCTGCGTTTCTTGACTAAACACAGTGCATGTGTATAATTTAAGCTTTGAGAAACTTGTTTTCATATGTACAGCCCAATAGGCAGAGGCGGGAAAGCAACATAAGTGAAGCAAATCACACACTGGTCACATTGGTTTTTAGCAGCAAAGTAATGAAAATCTTAAGAAATGACAGTCAACGCTCATTTAAATAGGTCTACAATCTCGCTAACGTTTCTCATTTGTACATGTTACTCAGAAGTCATTCGACGCAAACGACGTTTTAACGGTGATAAAAAGTAGGGTTTTGTAAAAAAGACAAAACACACACGCACACACTTGCTTGCGCTTTTATATGCAGTACCTACCGTGCCAGTAAGTATCTCCGCATATTGGGATCGCGCAACTTTCCCAAGAGTCGTCTGCTCTGTCGTCATCGATAAAGCACCACGGTCCTCCTGTGTCGTTGTCTGGATTACGACAGAAGTTCCAAGCGTCCTCAAGGGTAGCGTCTGGGAAGTTACTGACAACAAATGAATGTCTGTTTGGCGTCTGAGAGGTCCAATTCTGACACCGGAAACCCCCGCGAGTCACATTCATATGTCCTACATAGTCCCATCCCAACACTGTGTTTTTGCAGAAGGTACCTAGACAAGATATTATAAACTATGCAAGAATAAAGAATTTGCCAGAACCCACCGTTTTTTCTAACGACCAAACAAATAAATGTACGTTAATGAGCATTTTGCATTTTAACTAAAAGAAGTCACGATTTTAGCTATTCATTCCGTTATCCCTATCTGCTAAAAACTGCTAAAATTTTTGCTTTGATTTAAACAACATCACTGCACCACAACCAACAACAAAAGTCAACCCAAGCGGCGAGTAAAACGAAAAAAAAAACATCCAGTATTAAAATTACATTTACCAAGGCCCTCAATATTTCGTTTAGATAGGCCTACAAGAAAGCCGTACGTACCTCTGGAATGGCACGCTGTTTGGGTAAAAAGCATACCAAACTGAAACAAAAGAAAATACCGTCCATATTCACTTTGCTATAAAAAAATCGTTCTATTTCATTAATTCAGAAACTTTTTGCTGGCGAAATATGATTATGTGATAATTGACTCAAAAAACTATTCTTTTTTCTAAAGATGGATTACTCTTCGTTGTTCTATACTTACCAAGAGTAATACTGCCCACGAGTACTGCATCATACAGGCATTGCTAAAAATGATGTATAAAAAGATAATAAGAATAGTAATTTGATAATGAAAATGGAATTTAATATTTTTAAAAGCCAAAAGAACATATAATTTAAAAAAATATTAATGAATGGTCTTGTTTTTCTAAAATGAAAATGTAATAAGGTTAGACATGATTGAAAAGTTGGTAAACACGAGCGTCACTGCTTCCAATGTTGAGAAAATAAGATTTTTCATACCTATTTTTAAATGAAAAAAAAAAATGCATTGATATTGGTTTTTAAGAAAAAGAAATACACAACTGGGCCCAGAAAAAACGTCAATGTCGTTAATTACTCTAAAATTGCCCACACTGTAGATTTGACACACTCTTAGTTACCTACTAGAAAAGTTATGTTTGTTAAACATCATAAAGTCTAATTAAAAAATACGTCTACCGACCCTGTTTATTGAGAGTCACCGCTCATTAACATCAGGTGATTTTAAGCACATTTTTATTAGAAAAGAAACGTCGCGGTGATTCAAAGCTACTGATCTAAGCAATTACTTTGATGAGGCCTATTCCATCGATAATATGCCCGAGACATAGGCGTGCTAATACATACATGTAACCGAGACGGGCAGGGAATTTATCAAACGGGAGAACGGCCACAACATAATGTTTCTTTTATTATGTTATTATGCGTATCAATTTTATACTGCAGATGCAAGAAGGGTGCTATCAAAAGCTGTGTTATGATTTCATTAGCGAGTATATTACGGTGACTCGCTTTTCAATTCAACTTCAGCGAATTCGCATCTAAGCGATTAAATCAGCAAAATGGTTGTCAACATCTATTACCTCACCGCAGTAAACAAATGCATTCAAATTAGTAAGCAACACAGAAATATATTTGTAATGAGAAACTGAATCCTAATTGCATATAATGTTACAAATCTATGATGCAAAATACCGCACCCACTGTCCAAGAAGTATGTTTGTAAGTTTTGAAAAATTAGGAAACTGTGCATCAGGACCAACATTGATAAAAAATCTGAATACCTCTTTCAGATTAAAAGACGAGTAAATGCCTTGTCGGTGTATTATTATAATGCGGTGGTCTATACAGTGTGCTATTGATCCGGCCTATATGTACCATGTACTTCTCGTGATAATTTGCACAGGTTTATATACCAGTGAAAAGTGGGATTACTGAAGCCCATTGTCAGCATTGCCTATACTCAAGCCACATACATGTATGTTGAGAAAGTCATAATTCAGCCTGAATGAAGATCGTTTTAGACATTTTAAATCATTTTAATTTTTAGAATCAGAAAATATAAAATCGAAATTGATAACAGGGGAAGAAAACTAAAATACTACAATTTTAATGCACGATCTTTTTAATTTCTTCACATTTCTTCTTTAAAAATCATGATGTTCAATTAGTTATCTTTCACGAATCACCGCTCAAAAGAGAACAAAGCACCATTGTCTTTTGCGAGAAATGAACAACATGCGTGCGGTGACGGTTCCTATTTCAGCCCGCACAGAAAAACAATTCTCCATTTCATAGGATTATAAAAAACATCACACCCACTGTCGCATGTGTACTTGATAATATCTGAAAAACCATTCGGTATAAATATAAATAAATAAAAGAAATTTTATCTGATTACATTGCATAGTTTGTCCTTTGGCACTGCAACGTTTTGGCTAAATAGCCACCCAAAATGACCATGGCCTAAAACACCATGTCAAAATTTCTTGTAGTTTTTTTTTTTCTTTGGTTGGTGGACTTCTTTCTGACTGTAACAGCCTCCACTTAGACGGTAATACCATGTATAATCAGAAATTAATTGAGTCAAAAAATTCAATGTTAAGAGTCAACACAATGTGGTTGTTTTAAATGTACCTATATTTCATATACATTATTTGTCACATTTTAATGATTTTTTTGCAAATTAAACTTTGTTTAGCCAGTGTAGAAAAAATGCACGTATTCTTGTAACTGTCTTTTATTTAACAAGGATCATCGTACTTTCTTCCAGGGTATTCTGAAGTAATTTCTTCACATTATTGGTTTAATATCAGTCCTCTACCATATTAGTTGCCATTTTATAGGAAAATCTATCTCTAACCATTCCCATCTTTCTAATTTTCGAGGTACACTTCAAATTTTGCGGGATTCTTATATTATTTGAAAACACTTCCCCTCTTTACGTATTCGACAGCATTATAGTCTTAGCGGTCTTTCTGTGTGTCTTAGGATTTGCACTTTTCCGATTTATCTACACTGGTAAGCCTAGGTGTAATCGGTGATGTGATGTGCAAATGTCTATTCATTGCACTTTTTTGTCTTTCATAATGAAAGTTTTAAGCCGCCGCTGTGTTTCTATTTTTTCTGTGGCAGGTACATATACAAATTGATCAGGAAAGTAATAAAATTATGAGATATCCGAATAAAAAGTACTGGATAAGGATCTTAGTTTTAAATGTAATTAGTCAAAGGTTGATTTGATTAATGGACGTAGGACATAACATCATTTTGATTTCGAGTCATTTTAACAGCCTAAAATAACATTTTCGAGGCAAAACAATTTCCTCAAACATAAAAAAACAAGCAATTTAACTGTCCATGTTCTATTTCTCCCATCTTTTATTTGAATCTAAGATCCGCAAAATGTACAGTTATATAATTTGATATGATACACAAAATAGATAATAATATAATTTGAATGGAAGTAAGACTACCGCTGCTGTGAACCATTATCACGTATATATATGCATAAAACCCACAACAAGCTATAAAGACAAGCAATACAATTCTTACCGAAAATTCTCCTTTTCCTTGGCACGAAACTTTTCACTGTTCTGCCCTATCAAAAGTTGATAAAAAATGTATCCAAATAACATGAAATTCACAGTATACGTCCTCAGAAGTAGTTTTGCAGCTGGTGACTGTTTTTGACGATTTTATTCTACGAGTCTCCTATTAAGATTACGTAATAGCTTGTTTGCATATTCATTTCAATGATGTCAGGACCCACGTACTGCAGTAGTATTGCAATAGAATTTCTGCCTGATTGAAATCAAAGAACGAGCGGTTGTTGGCCTGGGCTATAGAAACCCTTATACTGAAGAAAAGCACGGCTAGAGGCCGAGAGAGTCATGAACGTGGCGTAACACGCGATAGACCTTTCCAAACTTAGTATGATTAACTCGCTCATTGAAAAGAAATTGGTATTTGAGAATTTTATTTAATACTAAAATGTTATTTTTCTCATTATTGCACGGCGCGATTTCCGCTGTAGGACTTCCATATACCCACATTAATAGTAAATATGCACTAGACGTAAACATACCAATACTTATTGTTTTTACACATGTATATAGCCCATGCAAGCGTTATTTCCCTGATACAATATGTTTCTCCTGAGGCAAACTGACACGACCTTGCTGCTTTGATGGACCTTTTTTGCGCAGTTTTCCTTAGTTCGAGCCGCGGTGCAAGTTTCATAGGTGAAAGACTTCTCCGCAATTCCTGGCAATTTCTTTTTCCATCTCTTTCATTCTTTTTCTTTCTTCTTGGCTTGTCTTCTTGGTTTCAGTCATGACGTCCTTGAGGCTTTTCCAACTACTGTATTTGTACACCTATTTTTCATCTCCGGCTTCGTTTATTGTCTTTGTTGCATTTTTCTGATTTTTATATGCCACCTGACATTTAAACACCTAAAAAATTTTGGGGACATAGAAGTTAAACTGCATTACATATTGGAACAATTATATGAATAAAGTATTTCAACTAACAACGATAGTTACCTATTCTGAGCTTATAGGTCAGACGCTAACTGTCTTGTTTTTTACATGTAGAACGGTTTAGCTGGCTCTACTGTATCTTGTCAATGTTCACAAGCATTTAAAGGTGATTGCACAGAAGAAATAAATGACATGCATAAGGAAGTGAAAATTGATAAAACAATATCTAGGTAAAATATAGTTATCCCACATCATAAAGGAACTGCCCTTTCACTTGCAGTCATCACAATTATGTAAACACTACCCTAAGCTTTGGTTCTCAAAATCTTAATCAGCCCTATATTTTATCATTATCAACATTTTGCTCGGTCCGTGAGATCCACCGTATAAATCTTAGAAAATTGTGCACCACATTTATTCATGTTTCGATATTTTTCTTCCCAATATCAAAATGTTTTTGAACTCGTGACTCTTTCTGGGCGTTGCTCAGTGAACCAGTGAACCGTTTACATAACGCGAGGTACACAACTGTAAACTAACACCAACAGGGTGCGTAACCTTGTTTACAGAATGTTGCATGTTACTTCTGCTTCCTTACCTGTCCGTATCGTACCCCTCAAATCCTATTGTACCGTGAAAATCCTATTGAACTCCGAGTTCGCATAAACAACCACTGCGTAGTCAGGGTCAGCAAGTCAACTTTTGCGTCTTTCTGACATATCACTAGGGCGTTAAGCTTTTATAAATCTACGATATATATCCCTGGAGGTTTCTCTTTAGTTAAGTCACGCTCCATTATTATCTTTCATGATGTTAACTTATTATTCATTAAAGACTTTGCTACAATCTAGCCTTGGATTACGCCTGGATTAACCTTTGCGCAATAAGCAAGTCACAATTTTAAAAGTTTGCATCTGTCTGCTGAATTTTTGGAATCAGTTCCCAGTGGATGGCCGGTACGCCATTACATTGAAAAGGTTAACAACGCTGGTGAAATTACTAACGGGCAACATATTCAAAACGGAAAATGCGCACCAGTCGTTTACGAAGACAGAAATAAAATGAGGCCTACTTTAAATGGTCAAGCGAACCTGTCTCCCCCGAAAATTAAACCCATTGATAATTTGATCTTTTATTGATTAAAAGATAAAAATAGATAGATGTTCGCCATACTGTTTAACGATTGAAATTTGACCTACTTGATGTCTGAACCGACTTGATTTTCCGACAGTGGTTTTCAGACTTTAATCATCTTGACCTTTACATGTACAGTACATCCATCGTCAGGTATAAATGCTCTGCAGTTTCCGCACAGTTGATTCTCAAATTATGTCATAAAAGCAAGACCGCATTTTTATTCAGCTCAAATATATCTCCCTCAAGAAAAATAGCTACTTCAAACTTCCTTCATTCAATGGCATATATGGATTACATAACCGGACATTGAAATGACAATTATGACCAATGCTTCAGTACCCTGCATGGAATTTAGTAAGAATCTTACTAGAGCTTAAAGCAGGCTTTGGGAGGGATAAGAGGTCGGATTACAAGCGGTTGCGAGCATTCTACCATTGCTGTTATTAACATTGGTAGCACCTTGTTTGAAACGGAGGGTTGAGCCACCACTAAGCTCGAATTCGAGAAATAAATAATTCATCACAGATCACAATGACTTCCATCTAACATGAATAGTAACTTTGCACGCTAGCTGTTTATTGAATACACGTTCAATAAAAAAGATAAATAAGGTCACAATCAAGTTTTGACAAAATAATATGAATGTATGCAAAAGATTAAGTATCTTTTCTTTTCGGAAAAAAGTTTCCAGGGGAAAAGGCTCACTCTGACATGCATCCATTAATGCCAAATGCACAAAATTGTACCACTATTTTTCAAAGTTTTCCGTCACGGGTGAGTGGAGAAAACATACTTTCTTCATCACGCAGGTACCTAATTTTGTATCTGTATATTGATATCGGCTGGATTATGAAAACTTCACATACATGCCCACTGGCGGATCCAGATATTTGCTGGGGGGGGGGGGGTATACAAGGATGAAAAGGGGGTGAAATGTGTGTCTCCCCCTTCTTCAATCCACCACTCACGCCCATCTTATATACTGTAGGTTGGATAAAAACGCGCAGTATTTCTAATTTCATTTTCCCAAGAACTATCCATCAAATTTTAGAAATTCACCCAATATGATATTGCAACATCTTAATCTTTTCAATACAAAACATGGCAGATTAATTTACAGTATTTGATGCCGTCTTCAGAATGGTGGCCTGTTTCCAGTCTGCAAAACGAAAGTCAACGAACATCGACGTATTACTGAGATTATTTCACAAATTCTTGGAAACTTCCTAACAACACAGTAAATCAAATTAACATTTCAATCTGCAACATAAGACAGATAAACTTCGAGCATATAAAGAATACAAAAGAATCAGTAAGACATGTCTAGTCTTAAAAAAGGAAGTTGAATATTTCGTGAGATAACAATCACAACATCTAATTTAATTACTTAGTCTGACCTTGTAGAGCCATGCGAACATCAGTTAATGACACTTATCAACTGGATTTAATGGCATTGAGGCAAGGATGCGCAGGTCCCGAACATTCTAATATCGGTACACCATAATTAAAGTTAACTGAACTTGTGGGCAACATCTTGCTTACATGTCTTTGTTAACTCTTGAGCCCATTATACATGTAATTGCCAGGCGCCAAGATTAGCTTTTTCGACATTCAGATAAAACAAAACGAAAAAAATAGAAGCAACTGTAAAACAGCATATAACAGTGAATAATCAGTTAATAAAAAGTTCCAATGGACAAGTAACATAAAATGGATGCCTGTTTGACAAGCTGGTTTCAAGAATACATTTATACATAGGCTAAGGCTAGGACTACAAAGTTAAATTTACCCTACGTAGATATGTGTAGTAATATCTTGTAGTGGTGTACCGGTACGGCATATCTTGGCAGGGATGCAAGTATAACATAGTAGAACTATCGCACCTCACGGACTCTTTCTTTCAGATTACTGATCACAGAAAAATCCAAATACTTTCTACATTGCGTATCCGTCTCTTATAAAACAGATGATAAGAGTCATTCTGGCTCATTTATTGAGATTTGCTTTTTTTTTACGGTTTCAATTCTAGTAAATATATTTTGAAACATTTAATAGAAACAATTACAACGTTAAACTACAAAAAGTTCGCAGCTGTTTCAGGAAGAGGCAATTATAAACAATTATCCGAGCAACAACAGGTTCTCCGGTCATTTCTTAGGTCCAGTCAGGCTGAATACAACTAGAGTATCCTTATAGGTGCTTGGTTGAAATATTTTTCAAAAGACAGGGTTATCCTGTAATATTAATTTCGTAATTATAAGATTGCATTCACTTTTACATTTATCATTAATTCATGAAAGAAAGATTTATCAGAGATGTAGGTACTAAATTTTTATGGTAGATAGAAAATACTGTCATAATGTCTAAGGTTGGGGATTCTCTGTAATGTAACAAAATGGCTAGTTTTTTTTTCAGAGCTCGCAGTCCTTGTGGTAGATAGATACTTTCCACACTGCACTAACTCTATGTTTGACGTTGATGAAAATTCAACTAGTAGGTTACATTGTTGAAAACTATTGGTGGACAGTAATCTTGGTCTTGACTGAGTAGAGTGTGAAAGCTGACATGTTGGTTTTGGTTGAGGATTGTCATTGTACATGTATAGTGTCCTCTTTCGGAGTGCAGGTGATTGTTGCTGGTGCTTCTGTGGCAAGTTGACACGTGATGAAGCAGATCTGATAGGAAATAGATTGCTGACTGTTTTGTTCATATTATTTTTTCTTTTTGTAACTGGAACGTCTGTAAAATAAACATACATGAAATGAGTATGATCGGCATGAAGTATACTTACAACGATAAAAAATAAAAACAAAACGCCTCATAAACTTGGCAGTTCATATTTCTTGCTCGCATAAACAGCAGACATATCGAGTTTCATCCGTAACCAGTGTCACATTTGGTCAAAGTGATTAACTTACCCATTTGACAGTTGTTATTGCTGATCTGTTTCTTACTGTCAATGCTTGCCTTCTTCACCACCAGACGAAGTTTGTCCTTAGACTTTTCCATAATTTTTCTAGCTCCATTAACTAATGATTCTGTCGCAGTTTTGTTGATCTAACATTAAAGAAAATAGCTTTGAAAATGCAAAAGCACTCGCGCACAGTGTAAACGTGGAGCATATGTTATCTTTATAGATATGGTCTTTTATGACTTACAAAAACTCTAAATTTGGCAACTTTTACAGCTTTCGTATACACCTACCCTGATAACTGTCTTCCCTTCTTTATTTCCACAATCACGTGCTACCGATCTGTTACAAATTGTTTCCTTGATGTAGAATCTGCTGCCCAGAACAATATTATAATCTGAAATGAAAATATATAATTACGTCATTGTAGCCACTAGTCATGGGCGGATCCTGGGGAAATTATTCATATTTGCTTTATCAAGAAGAAAAAATAATTGCACTGAGATCCCACACAATCTTAAACATAACAATAATTCAGGAATGCAGGTCGATAGGGGGGGGGGCACTCCACAGATGCATTAGCGCACACACGGGAGTTTAATCTAGAAAAAAAATAGACAACTTGTTGGTTGTTTCAACTTACATTCCCTTTCGTTCTTCTCGTTAATAGCCACACTGGCCTGCGCATGTTCTTCAGCATCACTAAGCACGACTAACCTGCGGATGACCTACAACAACGAAATGCTGATTACTACTAATATAAACAATTGCTTTAAATTATCAGCTACCAGTCGTTATCTTATTATAAATATAAAGAACTAACTGACCATGTCCATCGTGTTCCCACAATTTTCGAGAGCTCCGATGGCTGAAGAGTGGTCAATGTGGTCAAAGGAAGACCCATTCACACTTATCACACGGTCATTTATTCTAGAAAAAAGAATGGGGAAAATTTTAATTAACCATGCAGGAATCTCTGTTGAGAAATCTCCTATAACAGCAAATTAACCCTTTAACAGGTAAAAATACCCGCAACTGTAATGGATCCCCTTCCAAAAAATTAAAAATATTACGAATAACAACAGGCCGAGTGGACAATGGAATGTTAATGAATATCGGGCAATATTTATCGAAAATTAAAAATGAAAGTCTAGCAACTAGCCTCTCTGATGAAACTTACTGTAGTTTTCCGTTTGCTGGACCAGTCTTCAGTACGTCCGAAATCAATATCGAATTATCTCCATTCTGTGGACTGTCAATACCACCACTCACTGCTATACCGAATCCTAACACAGGGACCTACACACGGGCAAATATCAAATATAATATACAGGTATATTACTTCACATGTATATATGAACGTGATGTTAGTTCTCATTTTACATTTATTCACTCTTATGCATGCACCTGACAAACTTTTACAACATAAACAAGCGGCTATTCCAACTTAACAACGTAATTAATCTACATAATTACATATGATGGGTAAAGTAATTGACGAAGTTAATTTTTTTTCACACGGTAGATAACAATCTGAACAACTTCATGTTCGTTCCTGAACTTGTAGACTATACAAATGGCTGTTAATTATCTCATCATCGAAATTTTAATAACAGGTACATTAAATCAAGGCAAAGAGACCCACGGCCCCCTTAAATGCATCTCTACATCGCATGAATATAATGTGATTAGGAAATGTAGGCTACAAAAATGGACTTTTCAAATGTGAAAAAAAAACAGCTTTGCCTACCTTTGATAACTGCACCTTATGAATCTCCCAGCCAGCTTCCTCGATCTAGAATAGGATAATACTTTGATAACAACAACAAAAAAGTAAATATCATAATTGAAATCTTGTTGTTCGAGTATGCCTAATAGAATTCTGTCATGAAACACAGTCAGTCAACTTTAAGAGCTATAGTCCCAACATTATCAAACTTACAGGATATATACAGCGGTATTGGTACCTGTAAAACATGGGACTATATGGAGTTCCATGCTGTAAAGTGTACAAAGTGTATCACGATGTGGCCTTACGCAAAAAATCAAGTTTAAAATGAAACTTAAGTTCGAAATACACCCGACACTACTGCAACACTCTATTTGCTTAAAACTGTCGTACCTGACTGCCACGATTTTGTGAATCTGAAATAACGTTACACAGCTTAAGCCTCATCTTGACTGCAGAACTGAGGATGGGGTCTTCACTGCTGCTATGAGTGAACTGTACGCATATCTATGGATGAAAATGGCATGTGCCCTGTAAATTTTTACCACAGTTGCTTATATACATTACATGGAGGGTCCCTAAGTTACCGTATAAGCCAATCAGAGAGCTCATTATTAGAAGCCAGTGATTATCTTCTGAGCGCATCACTTCGTAGGAGGGTCTCTTTTGTATCCAAAGATCTGGATGGTTATTACCTGGCTTATTAGGTCAGGTAATTGAGCTGTTCCTAGTTCTGGGGCGCGTGCCCCTCTAGCTCGAGGCAGATGCTTGATGAGCAATATCCAGGTAACAACATTCCATTATTATGGAGGAGCAACGATTACGAGAAGCCTGTAGATAACTGTAGCATATTACTGGGAGGATCTTTTTTTAACCTGTGGCCAGAGGGCACTACATTCGCTTTCCAACTTAAAACCTGAGATACACTCTGGTAAACCCAAAAAACGCCAATAAGGGAAATTTGTTGTGTTATGTGGACTCGCAGTTGCGTGTTAATCATATGTAATTTGAAGCGTATCTTCAAAAATATCTCTTAAACATATATTTAAGTTTACAGATTTGATCGCAATATTTTAAGATGCTGGACAGTTTTAAACGATCACAGATTATCATCTAAGCTTTGCTGGCTTTTCTGACTTTAACCAATAGGAACACCCCTTCTTGGTAGCTCATTTTTCACATTTTCCTTTCACATCAGCAAATAGCATATGATGAAAACTCGGGGAAACAGAATTGAACTTGGTACCTCTGAATATTTTTATCGTCGGCTATTGTTATAATAATGCTATTACATGTCAAATTGACGATTTTCATCTTATGAAAAGATGCGCCTGGGGTGGGGCACATTCGCACACTTGGTTAAATATTTTGAAATCGAAAGCTCACTTCTGATACTTATACCACAAATAGGGTATATAAATGAACTTTATTCTGAAAAAAATCTAGAAGCCTGAAGGCAATGCCGGTAGTTTATTCTCCATCTCAATTTTTATAAAAACGGGGCGGACTAAGCTCGCCTTCCCCTATATTTTTAATGGTCTATTGCTGAATTTAATTATTGAACTGATGTCATAAATACACTGAAGAGGTTATCAAAAGTTACAGAAAAGTGATTAAAATAAGTTTTCATTGATTACTTGGAAAAAAATCGATGAAATATGTTTTTGAAAAATATTCCTTAATGTCTCCTCATTAATTTAAGCGAAAGTATACAGTAAAGTAAAGGACAAACACAAATATGGTGTTCGAAATTTGGCCCGTGACGGCCTCTTTTATTGAAAGACCCCTCTAGTAAAAGAATAGTGCAAAGTTATTATATAGTATTAGATAGATAAATTATAATTACTTAATCGCCAAACTTCCCTTATTAAATTTAAACCTAGTTTGTAAGCTAATGATCCAGTATAGTGGTACCCGAACACGTACAGAACATGTACATAGACAGGTTCTTGACGTAACTTTAGGACACATGACACTTATTTGATGAGCCCGTGTCTGTATAGCTCTTATTCATAATAATTTTAAAACAGAAGCATATTCAGTATATGCACTAAGGGTTTGAATTCATCATTTTTGTTATATTCTCAGGACGCTACCGTTTTTATACACCATTTTTTCTATCATAAATTCCCACGTCGTCACAGAATCGTTCTGTCTGAACTGAGGAATAAAGCCGTTAAGCCCAATAAAAAACAATGTAATCAGAATGTGATAAAAATATATACGAACAAAAATTTTACCGAAAGAGGGCCTTTGGGATATAGGTGCAATATTAGAACAACTTACGTTCTGCTAACCTAGATTAGATTTTCAACAGCACAAATTTCACACAGCTGTATAATTCAAGTAAAATAGCTTTACACCCGATTGAACAGGGTCTAACCAGCTGATAATTTTTAAACTTAAAGACCAATAAGAAGTAGAGTGAGAGTTTAAAGGAAAAAATCGATCAACGACTAATGGATCTTTGGAGCACGGACAACCTTATTAAGGTAAATGCACCTTAATTACAGATCACAGATATGGTCAAATAGGGAAAATATTATTTAATATAAAGAGCACTGAATCTCCAAATTATGAATTAGAAAAATAATTGTTTGTAAACTGTAAAGAAAAGGCTAAAACACTTCCAGGTCCCAGACGCCGATGGAAATGAATTCACCTTGATTGAGTTTGCTGGCCGAAACTGGCCAGTGTTTCCAGGATTATCAAAGCGAATGGGAGAAGACTTGGCCCAGTTCAAAGCTAGACCTGACGATATATGGATTATCAATTGGCCTAAATCAGGTAGACAAAACATGGTGGAGATATATAGCTTTAGAGGGTCATTTCCCAAAGATTGAACATTAGGGTCACGTCATTGACGCACACATTTGTATAATATTTGCATTACTGTTTTACATCATTTCTAATTGATGTTGATTTCTTTACATATTAGAGAGCACAGACAGTTAAGTATAATTAAAACGCAGAAAATAATAGAGCAAGTTAGATCCATGTAAAAACTAGAAAAGCATTCAGAGAACGCAGACAGAGAACCAAGACAACTCAGTAATAATTCTCATTAATGATTATTGGATACGTTAATAAATAAAATTATTAACTCACCATCCATAACATTTATAGTTAGGTTGATAGCGAACGAAAAGACAAACATTCAAACGGAGGTGAAAACCCAACTTCCTTGGAGGAGGTCATCGTCGAAAATGCTTGCGTCACTGACGGGAGGCAGATGGTCAGCTTTTGTGGAATGACCCCAGGGAGGTTTCGTAAACTAATTTTTGTAAACGGAATTGATCACGTGATGAATGTTCTTCGCCGCATTACGAACATGTAAGTTAGTGTTATCAGTGTATTGGTATGTACTTTTAGCACCAACTGACCTACGTGCTACATATATTAGTATATCAGATAGTCTAGACATAAACCATATCTAATATAATACAGGTACATCCAACACGGTGTTTAAACAGATGTGAGAAATAGATGCCTAAACAAGCGGGTGGTTGTCATTGTTCGGTTTTGTAAAAGATGAATGAAGTACAAGGGTTCCTTGTTGTTTTCTTATTACATTAAATATACATACATATATGGGTTTTTGTTTACGTGTATGTAACTGTTTGTAATATGTCAGTTTAAACATTGACCGTTTTATTAAGTACTTTAGAAAATTCTAGGAACACACTGGTGTTGGGAGATATGTTGTATGCTAGCCACTGGGAAGGCTGAGCTGTTACACCAATCCAAATTAACTGCTATGTACCCTGAGGCTGTTGGAAATTCTGCAGTGGAACCTTTGCCATCACCACGGGTATTGAACACCCACGTCACCCCTGATTTATTTCCAAAAGCTGCACTGGAGAATTCCAAGCTGATCTTTACAGTTAGACATCCCAAGGATGTAGCCGTGTCTTATTTCTACCATTTAAAAGGGATAAAGTTTTATCAGTATGAAACAGGAGCATGGGCTGGATATTTTCCTGTCTTTTTAGAGGGGCGAGGTAAGCTATTTAATAATGATCCTGCTTTGTTTGTCTTCTTTTCATACACCGTAAATACATGTTAAAATTAGCAAAAATGTTCATAAGCTTCGTAGTTTAATTATGTATGATAATATATAATTAAGCACAAGCTGGAATGTTTTCATAGTGTTAGCTTACGGCCAAATATCTAAAATTATACGCAGCCTGCTTTTTGAATAGTGAATATTTAAAACACAAATTGGTATATTGCAAATTTTGAAATATTTAGATGAATACGGAGATTGGATAAACCATACAGAGTCATTGTCTGTTCAGGTGGACAAATCTAACGCTCTTGTTCTCAAGTTTGAGGACTTGAAAAAGGTTCGTTTCTGTTCTTTTCCGCATATTACCGTATTGTACAAGTGGAATTTTTAAACCACATTTGGCATAATTTTTCAGAATTTCAGGATTTTTCGTACATATAATACCGCTAGTAGTTTCCATTTCTTATAATCTCTCCCTTGTCCACACTTTATATTTCCCCGGGTTTCAGGACTTAAATAAAGAAGTTCACCGCATTGCCGAGTTTCTTGAAAGTACAGGCACAGATGAATTTTACGACGAGGTTACTCGGCTTTGTTCTTTTGACATTATGAAGGAAAGAAAGACCGCTGACCTGGAACTATGGAGACCAGAGGCATCGGGTTTCTTCAGGAAAGGTAAGTTGCGAAATATCCTCAGTTTTACATTATGTTCACTTTAAAACAGACATGTATCAATTTTTGTATCGAAATTACACAACTTCAGCTCTTATTATGCCTGTACGGAGCTTCTTTTGACTTTCTTAATGTTTTGTGTTGCCGTCCTCTTACACAACCAACCTAAGAACTATGCCAATATACAGCCTTGGGTTGAATTAGCTTCTAAAGGCCCCCGCATTAGTCAGATCACTGTAAGGCCACACTTTTTTATTTTTATGGATGACATCCTCTGGGTACCCCAAAATNGCCCGTTCTCTTTATGACTTTTATTGTAGTGTAATTTATAAGTAATTCTAGAGATGAATTTGACGGCAAAGCGGCCACATTTCCACGTGGCGATAATACGCATGCGCAGAAAGCTCATTTCCTGGCAAATTCAATAACGACCGTTTGCGACAACCGACTTTGGGGGCTGGGGGGGATTTTTTTTTTCGGAGAACGGGCGAAAATCGGTGCGCGCGCAGGATGTCATCCATAAAAATAAAAAAGTGTGGCTTAAAATATATCTTTATACATTAATATCGACATTTCTTTTCTATTTATGAGTAAACGGCCGTAATTCACTAGACTGCCATTCTATTATTTTTCTGTTTTCTGAAATACGAATGATTTTTTTTCCTGTGGAGATTGGAAACATCACTTTACTGTTGCAAAAAATGAAGAGTTCAACAGATGCTACGAGAAAAGGCTCAAGGACACTACTTACGCCAAGAACATTGGATACGAGTTTCTGTAATAAAAGAAATGTTACCATTTTATGATGAAAATGACTTTCATACTTTATCATCAATATTATCAAGGGTGATGTGCTTTATGACATTATTCAAATAGCGTGAGGCACAGATGAGATGTGAACCTCATAATAACGGCGTTTAAGGAAAAATTTCTGTCTTTCAGAGCATCTTCATCATTCAGTGAACGAGGCTATCTGACAGATGGCGAAATGTTGGAAGAAAGTTCAGTATTTAGCCGTTTATTGAATAAAAGAATTCCTTGTTTTCATTTATTACTAAAAAGTTGGAAAAAATTGAAGAAATATGATTCCATATTTAATGTCAACCGTGTACATAAAGTAGTGAATCGTGGGGTTCGGGGCCCCCTTAAGAGATATATTTTAGAGATACGGTGTAGAACTATGATTCAGCTAGTCAAAATTCTAATTTCAAGAGGGAAACAGTGGTGTGGTTTTTTTCAGAAATCGAAGTGGGGGTCAGGACCCCCCTGACACCCCCTCCCCCTAAATCCACCACTGCAGAGATACCCGTACGCATACAGTGCTAAAGCAACGTTAATGTACATGCGTGTCCCGCTTACTGGTAAATATTACCCTCTGCAAGGGACACAGATTGATTCTTCACTAAATATTCACAGATATGGAGCCTTAACGCAGAGCCAATCATCCAAGTCCTGGGAAGGAACTTAAGCAATTCTGTCGAGAATATCTTAGGGGGCCATGACCACCCATTTATTTTTCAGAATGATAATTGCTACTCAACGTAAAGACAATGCAACAGAAGGCGGGGTTTTTTTTCAGTTCACAGCACACAGTGTGACAGTGTAAATTTGGGACACAACACATGAAACGATTCTGTTAAATCTCTGTGTCTTATTGACATTTCGACTTCTTGCTATTGCGATGATGAAGACCTAACCGCAAGTGCGTCGATTGTTTCAGTTGAGTCTGCGATGTGTCACATCTGCACTGTTCACATCACGACGCAATGTGTCTTTGAAAACTTCGAAGATTCATTTCAAATCACCTTTTAGATCTTAAAAAAGTAAATAAGTTATAATACTGGTGCATCTATGAAGATCTACTGTAAAGATGCAATATGTTATCCAAGCATTCGGTCCCTAGGCCTTCTTCGGAGATTTTGAAAAAATAGTATTAAAAAAACATGCTCCTAGGATGCGTGACGCATCACCGACGGATTAGTTAGGGTAACACTGCTGAGGAACGACCGGTTTTTGGATGCAGTCATTCTCTTCTCTAATTTGTCCATCTTTTCATCGTTTGCATTATGGACCTTTCTTTTATTGGCATACAACGATGTCCGCAGCTGTCATGTGAACTTGTTGTCACCGTCCAAACCCAATGTGTTTTGCTCCTAGCGTCCTCATTGGACGTGACGAATCCCTCAAATGTAGCAAGTTTAATTTAAAGACTCATATGACTTTATGACGTATGTTTACTGTAGAAGCCCAGGGTTTTAGTTCTTAAAGGTCACTTTGTTGTAATAAATTTTAGGACAGTATCGTTTTATACAACGAGCATTCTTTAATAATCAAGTTTTCAGCTAACGTGATCAGTGTCGTCACATAATTCTTTCTGTCTGAACTGAATAATATTTACACGTACCACAGCCGTTAAGCCCAATAATAAAACAAAGTAATTGGAATTGTGATAAGATAAAACGTGCTACTTGTTTAGTATCTGCTTGCTTTATTTTCACTGTTACTTGAGGGTGTTTTTAGCGACATCTTTTTGAACCGATATTTTGAATAAACGCGTAGGTTCAATATCCAAACAACTGAAATGTTTAACCTTGGAAGTACAAAAGGTTTAGAACTGGGTTATATCTCCATGCTTCTACTAACCTAGAAAATCTACAGCACAAAGTTCACTAAACTGTGGAATTCAAGTAAACAGCTGAAGTGCTGAATTGAACAGGAGTTTATAAACTGAAGATTTTTACTGGTATCTTATTAACCAATTGTTGATATATTAAATTAAAGTGGAGTGGAAACCATAACCAACATTAGTTCAACGGCAAATGGATTTACCTGCAGATCGTTGGAGCAAGGACAACCTCATCAAGGTAAACGCACTTTAATTACAACTTATATACATGTATTTGATCAAGTAGAGATAACGCAAAAGACTATTGAACCTCCGAATTTTTTTAGCATTAATGTAAAGAAACATCTAACAACATTTCCAGGTCCCAGACGCCGACAGCAATGAATTCACCTTGATTGAGTATGCTGGTCGAAACTGGCCAGTGTTTCCAGGGTTATCACAGCGACTGGAAGAAGACTTGGCCCAGTTCAAAGCTAGACCTGACGATACGTGGATTATTAATTGGCCCAAATCAGGTATCCAAAACATCATAAAGATCTCAATAAGGAAAGCGTTTCACACAAGAAAGTGAACATTTGAGTCATGTCAGTGACGCACACGTTTTTTTTCAATATGTATCTAATTGATGTATATCACTAAGTAAAATTCGGGTACTTTGGTATTATCAACACAGATAAAATAATGGGGCAAGTTACCAGTAGATTTATGCAAAAATTACCCAATATGCATGCGGCACTGACGAGACACAAATGCTCACCTTTTGTGGAAAGACCCCCATAGAGGATGAAGTTTCGCAAACTGTATGTACATGTACTCAGGAACAACTGCCCTACCAGTACACGTTACACGTATAGGTCAGGTACATGTAGTAGAGACATGATAGGAATATATAATATAATGACGGTGTTCACGTACAGGTGTGAAGAAGAGTTGCATAAACAGGCGGGTAGTTATCATTATACAGTGGTGTAAAAGAAAAAAAGGGTACATGTGATATCTTAACATACAGTTCGTGCAGCAGTGATACAGCATTGATTACATAAGGCAGTAAATAAAAGCTTTATTTTCTCTCAAAGCAACATTGAAATCCCAAAATATATCAAACCCCATACTGACTATGAGGCTTTTTGATAAAATGATAAAGCCAATTCTAACATATGGTTGCGAGGCATGGTCTGAGGAACTATTTAAGTAAAAGAAAATGTCACTCAATTTCATCAATAAATTACCATTTGAACAAATTCATCTTAAAGCATGCAAATGGGCATTAGGTGTGAAAAAAATCTACAAATAATAGTGCAGAATTAGGTAGATACCCCATATTCTGTGATGTTGTTAAACTAACACAAAATTTTGCAAAAAGACTGGACAAATTACCGGACACGAGAATTGTTAAACAGGTATACAATCAACAGAAAAATGATAAAATACCCGGCTGGTCCTCAGCCACAAAAAACAATGCTTGAAACTTGGAAACTTACTATAACCATTTCGGGAACATGCCACAAACATTTCACGGCTATCCTGATTTGGATCAAGAAATATTAAAGAAAGTTGAATGTCTCTTCTGGGAAGAATTACATACTGACAAATTCAGTAAATTAAGAACCTATAAAGCCCTAAAAACTCGTACAATGGCGAACAATACCTGCAACTCGACATTCCAGCCCATTACAAAATAGCAATATCAAAACTCAGGCTTAGTGACCACAATTTACAAATTGAAAGGGGGAGACATAAATCTCCTAAAACACCAATGGAAGAAAGATTTTGTCCACACTGCAAAAATGTTATCGAAGACGAAAAGCACTTTTTCCTGATCTGCACTCAGCATCAACGTCAGCGTAAAAAAATCTTTGATTCCCTGTCACGATTCTCCGGTCTATCAGGCACTGATGATGATGATAGCAAAATAATACAAATTCTCAATCCACAGTGTCGTGCAAGTGCATCAGCAGTGGCCAAGTTTATACAGTCAGTTATGCCTAAGTAGCAAATACATATTGTACAAAATACTATATCCAGTATTTTAAGATTGTGTCTTACTATTGTGACATACATGTATATGTATGAAGTAGTTAGCTTATATGTATTTTGGTATTTGAATGATATAAAGTAGTTATACTTATTTAAGCTCATGTGCACAATTTATGTAAGATTGTAGTTTAGAGAGCTTGTAAAATGTAACTGTAGACATTTTATTGCTCAATAAATTATTATCATTATTATAAAAAGAGATACCCCAAGTAGTAAAGCTACAAGGAAGTTGAAAGGATATAGTCCAGCAAAAAAAAGTAATATAAATTGCTCAAGTAGGAGACAAAATAACAACCTTGAACAGAGTAAAGTATAAAAAGGGCCCTGTCGGTTTTCTTATTATATAGTTGAATATTTATATAGGTAGGTTTGTTCTGACTTGTACGTGTCTGTATGTAATATGTTAATTTGAAAATTGATCATTACAGTAAGTTCTTTATCAAATTCTAGGAACACACTGGTGTTGGGAGATATGCAGTATGCTAGTCAGTGGTAAAGCCGAGTTGTTACAACAATCCAAGTTAACTGCTATGTACCCTGAAGCCGTGGGAAACGCTGAAATAGAGCCCATGCCATCACCGCGGGTATTAAACACCCACGTCACCCCTGATTACTTCCCAAAAGAAGCTCTAGAGAATTCCAAACTGATCTTTACAGTAAGACATCCCAAGGATGTGGCCGTGTCTTATTTCTACCATTTAAAAGGGATAAAGTTTTATCAGTATGAAACAGGAGCATGGGCTGGATATTTTCCTGTCTTCTTAGAGGGAAGAGGTAGGCTATGTTGTAATGATCGAACCCTCTTTGTTTGTGTACATTTCATACATGTATACAGTAAATGCATTCCAGTATGAATAGAAAATATTTATTAGTACAACACAAATTGGCATACTGCAAAGTTTTGTAAAATGTCACTACTGCCACCTATGTTATCCTTCAGTACGTAATAACATGTATTTGAGAATACAGCACAAGGTCCTTTGAAATCTTTCAATAATGTATTTTTTGTTAAATACATGTAGCAGGCATGAGCGCTGCCGCGGCCTGCTGCATGAGAATGACTGTGACATGGTAATGTAAAGAATGAAAAGACTAAAATTCCTTTAAGACACCTCTTTTACTGTTTAGAACGTTACGTTGGAATATTTTTTCTGGGAATTAATCCATGCAAGACCAAAAATAGAAACTCTTCATCAAAGTTGGAAAATAGTTCACTGTATTATTGCTAACATTAATATTTAGGTGAAAACGGAGACTGGATAAACCATACAGAGTCATGGTTGTCTGTTCTGGATGACAATTCCAACGCTCTTGTTCTCAAGTTTGAAGACTTGAAAAAGGTTCGTTTTCTATAGTTTCTGCGTTTTGTCTTATTGTAGAGGTATAATCTATTTTAATAGTTATATGAGATCCGTAATACATCTATTAGGGGTAAAGTACCTTTAGCAGTTTCGTCTTATCATTTTTTCTTTACTCACATGTTACATTTCCCCTGAATTTCAGGACTTGAGAAAAGAAGTTCAACGCATCGCCGAGTTTCTTGAAGTTTCGGGCACAGATGAATTTTATGACGAGGTTGCTCGGCTTTGTTCCTTTGACAGTATGAAGGAAGGAAAAACGCCAGGTCCAGATATATGGAGACAGGAGGCATCGGGTTTCTTCAGGAAAGGTAAGTTTTCTTCCCTTTTACATAATATTCACTTATAAATTTCATTTATCAAAATTACTCAATTTCAGTTCGAATAAGTCTGCCTTTTTCTTTTTGATAGTGCTTAAATTGCATGTTGCCGTTCTCTTACAGAACTGACATTTGAATCATGCCAATACGAAGCGCATTCAGAACAGCGGACCAACAGATCCGCAGATCAAATGTGGCGACCCATATAAAAGCTTAATTCCCAATTAGACACTAAATAGATTCCCCGCGGGGATTTCGCAACATACAGTGAAGGGCATCGGCCATATTTGATCCGTGGATCTGTAAGTCCGCTGTTCTGAAGGCGCTCATACATACCTGTACTGAATTGGCTTCAAAAGGTCCCCAGATTTGTAAAATCACTGTTAATAGATATTCAGGAATTAATATCGACATTTCTTGAGGGGCAAGTTAATTCACGTATTCTCTGTATTTTCTGTTTACTGAAACATTAAAATTTATTTTTCTGTTACAGGTATAACTGAAGATTGGAAACATCACTTTACTGTTGCACAAAACGAAGAGTTCAACAGACGCTACCGCGAAACGCTCAAAGACACCATTCATACCAAGAAAATAGGATACGAGTTTTTGTAATAAAACACATAAGTGACGATATGAGGCGGACAATAATGATTCCCCTATTTTATCATCATAGATCTTGAGAGTGTAATACATGATAGCCTGTGTATAAAACACGATGCTTAAGCTTCAGTCGGTATTACAGGGACATTAAGTACGTGAGGAGGTGTCTTATTGCTAGTGAAATCCCTGTCCTATATTGTCACACCGTCAGGTTCTATCACGAAACATGAGTTTCGCGAATCATTCGATGACACAGCATTCTTAGTCTAGAAACCTAGGATCTTAACTCTTAACATAATTTTGATAAAGCAACTTTCGGGACGGTACCGTTTTCTGCTCTGAACATTTTGTAATAATAACATTTTGTAATTTGTCAACATCATTTGTGGACTAAACGATATTTATTTATGGCCACTATCCAATTCTCGAGAACTAATTGAACAGTAACAGTAGCAAACCATAATCCAATTATTTGATCATTGACTCAATACCTGATCCCCAGGGCTACTGACCTAAGTTGCAATCAGCACAAAGTTCATAAAAAATCGTATTCATCGCGTGACGCAGCAGTTTTAATTTTGATATAAATGCAGGCTTGTAGATTTTGTTATTCAAAGATAATAGTGAGCTTACGGGAGTGGAAATACCTGTAAAAACATATATTTGTCCAGCGGATGATGAATCTTGGGAGCAAAGACAACATTGTCAAGGTAAATTCGCTAAATTTTTCAGGAAGCAAGAAACACAGATGAGTAATACCTCAAAATAACGACTTTTAAGAAAACATTGTTCTTAGAAGTGTCAACCAACATTTTAGGTTCCAGACGGTGAAGGCAGTGAAATCACCTTGCTTGAGTATGGGGGGCTGCATTGGCCCGTATTCCCCGGATTATCACAGCGACTGGAGGAAGACCTGGTTCGGTTCAAAGCTAGACCTGACGATACGTGGATTATCAATTGGCCTAGATCAGGTAGTGGAAACAAAGAAAATATGTATTATTTCTCTGGCCATTGCTTGATTAAATGAGAAAGAGGATTCTTAGGCTGGCATGACATTACAAAGGTTCTCGATATATTTTAACACAAGCTTGTGCTAAGTATATAAATCAAACTGATGCAGGGCGTCGATGATGTAGTGTTTATATACATGTAGTGTTGTGAACGGCCTTCTTACTGTACTAGTAGTCTAGTACGTGAGTGAAGTGTCTTTGAAGCGTTTTGGTGTCTTGTGTGTGGTTGGTCAAGAACAAGGTAGTTTGTGTAATAATCAGTCTAGTGAAGTAATCAGTTTGACTATAACAAAAATTAAACGATAACGTTTGTGTATTATTTTTGTATTTAGTCTCATATTTGGAAAATTGCAATAAAATATATTAATCCAGAATTATAGGGTAGTGTTTGATATACATAGATTGCACTAACAAAGAGAATATAAAAAAACACCCACGGATATGTTCTAGGGTAAAATACATGTTTTTGATTGTTTTTTATGATGGTTTTTTTTTGGCCAGTTGTACGCCTATGTTCGTACGTGAATGCTACTGTACATGTAACTCTGTGGAAATACCACTATTTTTATCTTNCCCCCCCCCTCCACAGGCGACACCTTGCGGAGCAAGCGTGCGTAATCCAGAGTGCAACTGAAAATAACCTTGTCGCGCGACCTTATTATTTGATCATTGACTCAATACCTGATCCCCAGGGCTACTGACCTAAGTTGCAATCTGCACAAAGTTCATAAAAAATCGTATTCATCGCGTGACGCAGCAGTCTTAATTTTGATATAAATGCAGGCTTGTAGATTTTGTTATTCAAAGATAATAGTGAGCTTACGGGAGTGGAAATACCTGTAAAAACATATATTTGTCCAGCGGATGATGAATCTTGGGAGCAAAGACAACATTGTCAAGGTAAATTCGCTAAATTTTTCAGGAAGCAAGAAACACAGATGAGTAATACCTCAAAATAACGAATTTTAAGAAAACATTGTTCTTAGAAGTGTCAACCAACATTTTAGGTTCCAGACGGTGAAGGCAGTGAAATCACCTTGCTTGAGTATGGGGGGCTGCATTGGCCCGTATTCCCCGGGTTATCACAGCGACTGGAGGAAGACCTGGTTCGGTTCAAAGCTAGACCTGACGATACGTGGATTATCAATTGGCCTAGATCAGGTAGTGGAAACAAAGAAAATATATATTATTTCTCTGGCCATTGCTTGATTAAATGAGAAAAAGAGGGAAAGAGGATTGTTAGGCTGGCATGACATTACAAAGGTTCTCGATATATTTTAACACAAGCTTGTGCTAAGTATATAAAACGAACTGATGCAGGGCGTCATGATGTAGTGTTTATATACATGTAGTGTTGTGAACGGCCTTCTTACTGTACTAGTAGTCTAGTACGTGAGTGAAGTGTCTTTGAAGCGTTTTGGTGTCTCGTGTGTGGTTGGTCAAGAACAAGGTAGTTTGTGTAATAATCAGTCTAGTGAAGTAATCAGTTTGACTATAACAAAAATTAAACGATAACGTTTGTGTATTATTTTTGTATTTAGTCTCATATTTGGAAAATTGCAATAAAATATATTAATCCAGAATTATAGGGTAGTGTTTGATATACATAGATTGCACTAACAAAGAGAATATAAAAAAACACCCACGGATATGTTCTAGGGTAAAATACATGTTTTTGATTGTTTTTTATGATGGTTTTTTTCGCCAGTTGTACGCCTATGTTCGTACGTGAATGCTACTGTACATGTAACTCAGTGGAAATACCACTATTTTTATCTTCTTAGTATATGATGCATATTTACTTGATGTCCTCGTTATAGTGTGTCTTCGGTGACGATACGTGAGCTTCTCCGTCAATAATAATAATAATAATAATAATAATAATGCATGAGCGCCGAAACTGGAAAATCGTAAAGATATTCGGTTGCACAATGATTGCCCTTCTGCAATCTCTTTTAGATGAAGTCGGGATGGTGTCTTGATCAAGCCTGCCCGAATCCACTGGTACATGTAATAAGATGTACATTAACGGGAAGAGTTGCGGATTCGGAAATAAATAATGATTTACATGTAACCTTTATTTTCGACATCGTAGCTTTTGGCAGTCACATGATGAAAAGTAAAAGAGGAAGAGGTGAAAAATTAATTGACAAAGAAAGCAACATGTTATATAATACATTTAATAAGTTTTAGAATGTGATGTACGTACATGATAAATATGATAAGAAAACACAGAATTAATTGAATAACAAGTTATTTTACTTACACTTAATGTAATTTTAACATATAAAATTTCTGACGTTAATTTTTGATAAAATAATAAGTCGGTCTTGCCTACGAACCACATGAGATTCATGAGATGGCTCCTTCCCACTCCAGCTGGTCTATGAATACTGCCTAAAGTGACCCATTAAGTTCACTTGACTAAAATGACAAGTACTCTCTAAAGTACTAAAAATATCAGAAAAAAAAATGATTATTATAATTACGATAATAAAATGATAATTATAGCTATCAGCCGACACTGTGGTTAATTACGCTAAATATACACCTTGTTGGAAAAATCGAAAATCACCAAGTTACAGGTTTGGTCAGTTCCCAAAAATTTTTCATGTTTAAAAATGAATGTCAAACTATGAAGAAAAAAAAAACTAAACAGATAGAAGAAAAATCCTTCATCTGCATTTGGCACCATAAAAAAACACATGTTTGCAATGCAGCTTTGTGTGCGGCCATTTTGGAAGAAGAATGTAACTTCAGAAAATGCTCAGTGAAATCGATACACATGTGGTGTATATAATGTAACTTAAAGGGATAATAACTCTACGTATGAAATCTTTATTTCACAATAAAAACATTGTGAACAACTCATAGAAATATAATATATTCTGTTTTACCACAAAAACAGCAGTTATAGCTATTATTCTGATATCTGAGCTTGTCTTCAGATCACGTGACTCCCATTGATGGCTGTAGTTTGTTATAATCTCTTAAGAGATTTTAACGAAAAACCAAACTTTTTAGAAAAAAACCAGGAACTAACTTTGAATGTAAAAATGGATTCATTAACCATTGGTAAGTATGGGAAAATTGTTGTTTACTCCGGGCAAATTCTTTTTTTTTTTTTGACCAAAACGAAGTTATTATCCCTTTAAGCATATACTGTATTGTCCTGTCAAATCTATTACTATAGATCTACTGGTCATTGTATAAACATATGTACGTCTTACCTGTCTCTATGCCTTCTTCTCCCGCCATGTTTTCGTGGAGCGGTCAGACTCCTTTTTGAAAACGAGGCGAAATCTGATATTTTCCTAGCACAGGAACAAAACGCCGTGCCTCGATATGAAACTAGGCAGCCCTGGTGTTTTAGCCTTCAAATTCTAAAAAAATCAATTAAGCTAATAAATTAGCCTCGCATAGGAATTTTTTATATCGTATATTTTATATTTATTATTATTGAAGTTCACAATAATAAACGAGTCGCCTTTTGATATATGCCATGCTATGATTTTTATAAAATAATATCAATTTTTACGAGATAACAAATTGCATCTTAGTGTTTGGTTCCATTGCCACGCTTTCAAAAAATTAGAATTAGCGCTCCAAACAGGGAAGACGAAGTTTAAAAATTGACATAGGCCGATTTCGCCCTCGCATAAGAATATCCTTGCAGCATTATCTGCAATTAACCTTTCTACGATTTTAAATGCATTTTGCATTTTCAATCTGCCACATTTATTTATCAAGAGTGGGGGAGGGGTGGAAAATCCTCTTCGGGCCACATACAGCACTATAAATACAAAGGGTATCCCCTTACAATGAAGGCAAAGTAAATGTTATTCTAAGGAAAGTCCAATGGATTTGTTTTTTATTACATACAATCAATATTATTTCTCAAATCAACATCAGAAAGCAAATTAAATTAAATAAACCAGACCGTAAGAACCGGCAGGCTTTGTCAATTTCACCACTGGTTTATTTCAAAAAGCGCGCTTTTCGCGCATGCACAGTCGTTTGAATCTTGTGCTTATTTTCCTAAATAACCGAGCACTAAATAACCGTCATATGAGAACAATGTTTAGAATTTGGAGTCTAAAAACATCAAAGCTGTCTGGTTTCATATCGAGGCACAACGTTTTTTTTTTCTTGCGCGTCAATTATTAACTCGATTCCTGAACACCACAAGGTCGGCACAAAGTTCAGGCAGATATAATGGCGGAGCAGTTTCAGACTGGTTATGAATAAAATATTGCCAGCTGAAGGTTTTCCTCTTTCCCACTATAGCTAATAGTGATTTAGTAGGAGTTGTAATAATAACGTATCAGATCATCGAATGATGGATCTTGGGAGCAAAGACAACATCATTAAGGTAAATGTTTTTACTTATTAGTGTAGACATAAACATGGAGACTATATTTTTAAGTTCATGTTTTGGGCTCTTGAATTTAAAAAGCCACCAGACGTAATAAGCTTGTGCTAAAGATGATGCCAAAATTGTTAAATTGGAAAAAGTATCGGTGGAAGTGTCCACAATATATGCATTTTGTTTGGCGTTGAAAAGTTTTCATGCGGGAATGTCTGATGGGGAGTTGTGTAAACACTTTAACTGAAATGAATACTATCTCCCACGCGTTTTACAAAGTTATTTAACAAGCGTCAGTTCAAATTCATTTGTTCATTTATGAATAAGAAATGATGCAGCTTCTAAATAGGGAAGTCAGGTCACCGCTCACACAGTCCAAAACGGGAAAAAATCTAACCTCACTGATTGTTTTCCATCATAACCTCCAAGATTTGAGCCCTATGATAAATATGAAAATATATTTAAAAAGAACATTAAATGGGCTTTCTAACAACATGTTAACAATGTATCATTTCTCCGTTGTAAGCCTCCAGCCACGAAAATGGCGCGAGAAATCGCCAGCGATTTTACTTCCTCGTTTGGTTCCCACTATTTACGAATCTTGCTCAACCTGCGCGTTTCGCGCCATTTTTCCAAAGGCTCCGTACGGTGCCCTGGGTGTTATTTCCTCGTATTTGGCCACATATTCATTCAGACAATGAACCAACCGTTCGAATGATAGGTTAGAGAAGGTGATTTAACCGAAAACAGCAACCGTAACTAGCTTGTAAAGTCTTTAATCGTGTTTTAGAGTTAGAGTAACGAAGTTCAGAATATTCTGTAACCCCTTCCTAGATATTTTAACTAATTCTCGGTTCAAATAAGTTATTCATTTATCATTTTTCGGTAAGACATAGCCGAAACAGCCGTTAGAAAATCAGTGACTTTGATCTCACCGTAAACAAAATAACAAAATGGCGGACACATCAAGCTGTTCTTCTGCTGATGAAAAAGCAACTGCACTTTCAGCACCCAAAGAGGATCAAGATATCAGAATACCTAATTGGAAAATATTTGATTTTTTTACGAAACACAACGATATTGATAAAATGTCTGCAATTCAAGAATATAGAGTTTATTTTATTTTTCAAACAAAGCATGAAATTGCGTACAATATCGATGGGCCTAATGCTTTTTGAACTCGTTAGTGAACATAAAAAGGGGAATCTTAGTTAAAATCATGGAGATATGCAATAACTCTAGAATGGTTAATGACAGTCAAACAAAAGTGAACAAAAGTAGTATTTTTTTCTTAACAACAACAACAACAAAAAAGGAAAATTCCTAAAACTGCCATTACGTTATGTCAGTATTCTTTTAGAAACAAAAACGAAATGCTTTCAGGTCCCAGACGCCGAAGGCAATACAATAACCATGATTGAGCACGCTGGGTTTCATTGGCCCCCATTGCCCGGGTTATCACAGCGACTGGAGGAAGACTTGGTTCGGTTCAAAGCTAGACCTGACGATACATGGGTTATCACTTGGCCTAAATCAGGTACTTGAAACAGAAAAGATGATATATATGGCATATCTTCGCAAATAAAATAGTTTGCTTGTGTGAAGAAAAGAGAAAAGTAAGCATTATTTGTTCTTACGGTTCTTAATATTTATTGCGCATAAGATATTTACTCATAACTTTCACACACACACACACAAAAAGAAAAATGCATAAATTTTAGAAAAACAATCCAATCCAGCTCGGCTTAAAACTCGAACTGTCTTTCAGTCCTGTGAATCATTTTTGTAAGTTTCAGAGTAATGGTTACTTTTTACTATTTGAAAGTGCATGGCAATGACGAACGCATGCGATGGAGATATTTCCAAACGCCTGTTTATAATGAGAAAGTTATTAATAATGATTGTAGGCACACACTCGTGTTAACGTCGGGAGATATGTGGTATGCTAGACAGTGACAAAGCCGAAAATCCACAGTCACTGCTACTGAGTGTACTCCAACGCTGTGGGAAACTACATACCATTACCCACGCGGACAGTAAAAGAACACGCTATATCCACAGAGAATCCCATGCTGATCTTTACGGTTAGACATCCCAAGCATGAGGTAATGATGAGTGTGTAAGCTTATGCTAAGTGTGTGTGTGCGGCTATTTATACTATACCGTATGTAAAAAAAAAATAACGTGCATTGTATTATATTATGCATACAGGGACTCACTGGTGTTGGGAGATATGCAGTATGCTAGTCAGTGGTAAAGCCGAGCTGTTACAACAATCCAAGGTTACTGCAATGTACCCCGACTTTGTGGGAAACGCTGAAGTAGACCCCATACCATCACCACGAGTATTAAACACCCACGCAGCCCCTGATTACTTCCCAAAAGAAGCGCTGGAGAAGTCCAAGTTGATTTTTACAGTGAGACATCCCAAGGATGCGGTTGTGTCTTATTTTCACCACACGAAGGGGATAAAACAGAACGAGTATGAAAGAGGAACGTGGGCTGGGTTCCTGTCTGTCTTTCTTGAGAAGAAAAGTACGTTATAATCTTTTGAATTATCAATAATAGATGCCTTTCTTAAGCAACAATGAAGACATGTAAAGTAAGAGTTAATGTATTCGGATTTAAGATATTAAAAACTGGATTAAAATAAATGAAATTATTGCATCCATAAAAATATTTGACCTTGATTATATATTCAAATTGATAAATCGCCCTCCTAAATCCTCATATTTGTTATAGTTGAATATCGGACTTTCATGCACCTAAAAGCTGTTGGAACTATTAGTTGTAAATTTCTTTGTCTTGATGTTTATCTGTAAACAGTGGGCAAATCTTTACCTTACGGTAACTAGGTGGAAATCCTGTGAAATGCCTCTTCCACTGTCGATTAAACCAAGTTAGGATCGTTGTAGTCATTTAGAAAAGGACTACATAGTATCTGTTTCCCACCTGAGTTACAAATTGTTTTATGTATTATCAATAATATTGTTATTTAGATGAATACGGAGACTGGATAAACCATACAGAGTCTTGGTTGTCTCTTTTGGACGGCAAATCCAACGCTCTTATTCTCAAATTTGAGGACTTGAAAAAGGTTCGTTTTCTGTTCTTTTCCACACTTCATCGAATTGTATAAGTAAATTCTACGTCTTGGCTTGTAATGGCTAATTAAAACAACTGTTATGGTAAATAATTGTGTTTATGGAGGAAATGGCAGGGGATAGTGCAAATTTAGGATGTCTTTGGCTTATAAACTAAACACAAAGTGCAACAGATGACCGGAGCTGTATCGATGGTTTTAATCATTGTGGGCTAAGACATTGAAATACTAGCACTGGTTTTAGCTGCGGTTGAGTGCAGTGATTATAGTCCACTTGAACTGTTTTATCAGTTACACTTGAAGATAAATTACTTAAAATATTATTTCAATTTTCAATGATGATCCGTCTTTATTCCTGGTGGCTGCAAGTTCATATGGACATTACTCATATATTTTATTACTTTTGGATGATTTATTCCATGACAGAAAATAGCCATTTAATAAAATCGCGAAATGTAATAAGATATGAAGTTGCAAGATGTTATACATCCCCCTTACAATGGAGCAAAAAGTTGGCAAAGAGCAAAACAATGGCCACAAGATGTGAGAGAAGCTCACTTCCACGCCATTACTTACACGTACACGAGTAAGAATTTAAGAAGTACACATCATTATCGTAAAATAATAATATATAGTCGCAAAACATTTCAATTTTTTCATCATCAGTTTTTACCCACGTGGCATATTTTTTCGGAATTTCAGGACTTAAGGAAAGAAGTTCAACATATTGCCGAGTTTCTTGAAGTATCACGTTCGGATGAATTTTACGACGATGTTACTCGTCTTTGTTCCTTTGACAGCATGAAGGAAGGGAAATTGTCTGGCAAAGATAGCTTTCTATGGAGAGCAGAGTCATCAGGAGTATTCAGGAAAGGTTAGTGGGAACGGGTCTTGGCATTTTATAAATAGAATATATAGAAGACTTCCAGGAAGTTGCATAAACTCCTTTTCAACTACTAAAATCCATTTATCAGCAAGTATTAACGATGTTTGTTGAATATCTTATAGTCTAAACGTTGAAATATTTTTTTCAAAAAGTATAAAATTGAATTAAAATGACCCATGGCGGTCTTACTAAAGGAGTGATATTTTCACCATTACTTTGTTTTTGAAAATTTTCTCTAAGTGAAACTATTCAGTTACGTTGTGAAGTTCGTTATTCTTTTTTTATTTATTTTACTATTTTTAGGCGAGAGTGAAGATTGGAAACGTCACTTTACTGTTGCACAAAACGAAGAGTTCAACAGATTCATTAACGAAAGGCTTACAGACACTATCTACGCCAAGAAAATTGGTTACGAATTCCTGTAAAACTGCATTCCCGCAGATTTATAGATCGATCTATCCCCATGGGGAGTCTCACTAGATTGCTGTCAGGTTAGCCGGCTTAAATGTCTGTCCCGCCTACTAAAAGCTCTAAGGGGGTAATTAACTTTCGTGCGCGCTCGGCTGACAGCAATTTAGCGTGAACCCCCAGGAAATTAGGTCGATCCAGATGGATCGATCTAAATCTGTGGGAACCCAGTCTAAGAGACCGAAAAATAACCATCTTGGCACTATCCTCCTCAATCTTGTGAGTGAAAGCACCTTAAAGTTATGCCAAAATAGACAATAGACAAATCCTAGGTGGAACTAGAGGAAGGTTGATAAGGGCAAAAAAGTCAGAATATATATTACTTAAATTGTACTCGAGAAATCATACGCCTACGTTATAATAAAAATAGTTATAATAATAAACTTTATTTATAGAGGGTAAAACATGTTAAATGCACACACTTATCTTACACATGGCCCTCTAGGGGGTTAAAATGAAATATTGTGTTATTGAATAATTTTATGAAATTAAAATGGCAATGAGTTTAAAATGAAATGATTTAGAATAACAAAAGTAATAAGAATAAAACAGAAGCCATTATGTTAGTAAAAATCCTAAAGCTACTTGACTTAATAGTTGTTGGCCTCTTTGCAACCCCACAATTTGAAATGTGTGCACTTTTTGTTTGGAATTATATTTAAAATGTAGATACTTCAGGCGCACACATTATGTTTGTATCATTTATCAATATTATTCAATGTTTATTATTAATATGCTTCATTTCTTTTTATTATTAATGGGAACTCCAATAAACGCGGCCATCATCGGCCACATTTCGAACATCACACTTGAGTTTGTTCCATTCTTTTAAATGACAAATCCTATTACGTCAGCTTAGATCAAGGAGACATAAAGTTGTATACATAAAATTTACTTTTGGTTTTTTAAAAACAATATTTTAAAAGTATCCAAGTCTTTGGAGTTTTTTATTTCAGAGTGTAGGCAGTTCCATTTTTTAATCAAGGTCCATATTGGGCCTTTAGTTAGTATGTCTTACGTCTGCCACTGGTAAAAAGATATTTCCCTTATTATTTGATCGGGTGATTCTGCCTGTAGTGTCTATGGTTGTAATTCCCAGTAAGTCTTTATAACGTATATAGGTGAGAGTCCATTTAAAGATTTAAAAACTAATGTGTCTTTCTTAAATTCTATCCGTTTATAGATTGTTTGACATTTTAGTTTCTTGAATAGTTCAATTGTTGGATATTTCTTGGCTTCTTTTTCTGGGATATCGAGAATGATTCTTGCTCCACGCTTGTGAAGTTTGTATATATTTTCTAGTTTTGCACAGCTGCTCTATACTGGAGCAGTAATCCAGATGTGGTACAGTAGTATATGTGCATTATACAGACTTGACATTTAATATGGAATATTTTTTCCAAATCATAATTCATCAGTTTTTTTCCTATTTTGCTGACTGATAAATGAAAATAAGGATTAAAATCGTGTTTCAATAACTTTTGATAATCTATTCGATGTCAGTGTGACATCAGTTCATTAACTGAATTCGCCAGTGAAGCATACAAAAATACATTGCCTATTTTAAGTCATACGACAACCATTGAAAGCGATATTTTGGATCTCCATATTTTCCAAATTATTGTCTTTAAAAGAGTTACACGTCCCACAAAGGCCCCCCATGTCAGTGTCTAGTCACAGCAACAGTCGCTGTTACGCTTGACCTCATCTTGCTGCTACCAGAGGTTTCAAGCCGCAAGGTATTCCTTATGATAGGTTTTTAGAGTTTTATCTGAAATAAAATTCCAGGCAACGGTTAAAACTTGTCCAATTTGGCTCAGTTTTGTTGTAGGACATGCAGGCCGTTGATACGGCGAGTAATGACCTACCGACATATTGTCTATGTGGTTCAATTATGGCGATTTGATGACCAAGGTAGCTACTCATTCTGTTGGTTCTGTAAGTTATCTGCTATTAAAAGTGCTCTGTGTGAACCGGCAATCTCATCGTGCAACCTAAAATTGTTCCTAAGTTGTCCCCTATCAAATTGGTTCAAGTGGTTCCCAGATTATTCCTTTATTTGATCTGGTTCAGGTTTTCATCGATGACTACCATTGGTGTTTTGGCACCAATGTGGTATCCACTCCAAATACTGACATTGTCAATGACCATGGTCACTTAAGAAGTGGCACACGTTTCGTCGTAGGCCTCTTCAGGATGTCTGTAAACTCTGTTTTGACCAGTTTAGCGGTACAGGTGAAGTTTGACCCCAATAAAGAAAGCCACGCGGTTTCAGTGTTCTACCCAGAAACGGTCATGGTCCCCAATTCATTAGAGAAACAGACTACGCTGCTATGCTGTCTACAGTGGCTTCCTCAGAGGTCATCTGGTATCTTAACCTGCTGAAACCAGTTTGGTGTTCGCTAAGAGCCTTGAAAAACGCGTTTTGGTGACAATTTACCTCTCATTCAAAACGGACTGGGTGGTTATGGTTTAATTGCGGCAGCATATCCTGAAGGACAGTGAGTCCTGTACCCTGGTGGTAAGACGTCAATGCATTGGGCGTGGTCTCTGTGCAGGTACATCAGTCTGGGCATTACTCTATAAAACTGTATAGACCATTCCGTTTGACACAATAATTTGTCTGGCAATATCTTTGCTTTTCGCGCCATTCTGGCACAGCTTAACAATTTTGTAAAACACTGCTTACTTCATTTTACGCACTGCAAAACGGACCGTTTGCATACAAAATTTCAAATTCTTCTATGCAGTAGTTGCCGATATATGGATACTTTTTTGACAGAACCATGCTTCGCCAAAGCCAAGCTTTGACCAGCCCAAAGGAGCACTGCCCAATTAAATCCCTGCATATTACACAAGGCAACAGAGCAACAAACTTGGTAGTCAGTTAATTGGCAGCGACACACCTGACTTCACACTTCTCCAGTCAGATGTCCTTTATGAGATCTGAATTTTTTGAAAAAAGAACGCATTTTTACCTAGGTATACCTTTAAAACTGAAATATTCCATATTAAATGTCAAGTCTGTAGAACAGTTTTCTTGTTTCCAATGTTAAGTATCGTTTTAGTTTGGATAGAAGGGAAAGTTTACTGTTAATTCTTTTTTCAAGTTTGTGCACATAGTCATTCCAGCTAAGATTTTCATTAATATATATACACTTTGCGTTTTTGCTGTTTGTACATTATCTAAAATGTCCCTATTTAACATAACTTTATATGGCTGTTCAGTTTTTTGGTATTTTTTGCACGTTTTTGTCTAGTTGTTCTAATCATTGCTTTTTTTTTTTTTTTTTCGTATTTGGTACCATATAATTTTCCCTGCACCACACCAAAACACCATGCTGTTATTTAATTTGACGTTTAGTTCTGGTACAGATTTAGTAGTGACAGTAATTGTAAAGTCATCAGCATACATATCAATTTCTCCATTATCAATATGAAATTGCTTTTCTGTATAAACATTCTGCTTAATAAATATACATAGTATTCACTTATTTTCATCTGTCAAATGTATTCAATCAACTTACATTTAAATCAAGTGCTGTATACCAGGAAGAAGTATACAAATTGCATTTTAATACTGGTGGCATAACATTTTGGTATTATACCTTTTTATGTCAGGCGAAAAAATGAGCTAAGAAAGACCGAAGTCATTCTGTCTCAACACCTACGTTACAACGTTACAAGATACAAGCGCTAATTCTGAATGATAACAGTTCAAAATACCGTCCGTGAACGAATGAATGTTTTAGTCATGATAGCTGAACTCAGCCCAACTTCTCCATTTCCTGCACAAAGCACGTAGAGAAACTTGTACACACATCAGCAGCTATAAATTGGATCTAATTATTTTTTCAATTGGATGCACGTACTGCCTGATTAAAAACGCATAAATGATCTTGGAACTAAATTGAAGTATAATTTGTTTGATATGTTATTACAAGCATGAAAAACAAACTGAACTAATGCCCTTGAATGCTAAAAATGGCTGTACATGTTGTATGCTCCGTTCGGTCAATTCGATGGGGGGGATTGTCTATTCGTGTAAAAATAAAAAAGATGTGCATTCTTCTGTGTGTACATTTATTTAATTCCCCTTTCCATATATATATATATATATATATATATATATATATATATATATATATACGTAATATTAGACAGTGATGACTGCCATGAAATGAATTTGCAATTATTTTTCTCGAATTCGTTATAAAAATCCTTCAAGAGCCTCACAAAGGTACCTCTTTTATGAAACTGACAGCTCATAACGAGTAAAGATGTAACAATAGGCCCAATAAATCTGAGCTGCAATTTCTCTAAATGCAGATTGCAACGAGAAGAAATCACTCAACAACCGAAGACGCTAGTGTAGTGTCAATATAAGTCAATAAACTTAAAAGCAATAATTTGTCAATTTACACGTACATATAATCATCATCTTCCAAATTTTCTAAAAGTTCTAGTTCTTCGAACAATGGCATTTCATTCAGTTTATCAACCGTAGAAACATGTTTTGGATTTCTGCTGGTAGCTGCTGACTGACTCTGTTTCTTATTATGCGCTAGTTCCCGACTTAACCGGCGTGCCCGGACCATTGTTGTAACATTGCTGACCATACCGGGTCCGCTTGACTTTGGCGGCTTTTTTGAAGCAGTTCTTTTTTCTCGACTTTGTAGTTGAGAAGAACCGTGGACAGGTTTTGCCCACATATTCGGGGTAGTAGGTGGTTCCTCTTCGGAAATCTCATGAATGTCAGGAGCGAAACTAATACTTTTTCTGTGTTCGCTGCCTTCACTTTCAATAATTACGGAAGATGGTCTACGAATGACGTCATTATTAATGTAACTTGTCGACGACATTTTTCTCTCAAGTATTTCGCTTGATGGCCTGTGTTTTGGTGATATAGACCCACTGGATTGTCTACGTGGATTATTTCGAGTAATGGCTTCAAGGTTGATAATGATGTTTTTATATTCCACATCTTCCAGTTTAGCTGTTTTTAAGAAGTGCTGAAGTTTTTCTGATATCTGATTAAATAAAAAAACAGGTTTTGACTTTTAAAATAATTTCTTCGATTAAACAGTGTATATATTACATTTGAAAAGAAAAAAATTGACCTTAGATGTAATGATTAACTTTACATGTAAGATAATTCAAACGACTAGAAAAAATAAGTTATATTGATGGCAATGAAACTAAAAATACCTTCAAGTCGAGTAAATGTAGGGAAATTCTTACCTTTTGAGATTTGATTTCCAGGAGCTCCGACTTTTTATCAGTGTTTTTCATAGATATCGCTACTGCATTATAATTGCTTTTCTTCTGTCGTCTCTTTGATTTTGTCTCTTCCTTTTCCTTAGGCACTTGCACTGTGATAAATGGAAAATGTAAATGACACTATATGTTTAAAACATCTTATATAACACTCTGCAGTGAAAAGTCTAAACAACAATCATATGCAGATTATGCAAATGATATCTCTATTTTACGAAATAGCATGAAATCAGTGAAATTGCAGTAACGCAGAGGATATTTCTTATTAAATGTATATATTGCTATAAAAGTGATACAAGAGAATTAACACACTTACAGTATTCTAAGAGTACGGACAAACGTTTCATTTTTCCATTGACTTCGCCCTTTTCGTCAGTTTCAGATTTATCGGTAGCGTTTTCTTTGACCTCACTTGTCACTTGCACTTTTCCTATATATTTGACCTCATTCTCCTCCTCTTTTTTGCTTCCGCCCAAACTGTCAAAAAGGCCCTGCACTCGTTTCCAAAAGTGAATACTTAACTCCTCATCGTAGCCTTGATCGGACTCCTCTTTCGCTGCTACCTGGGAGTCGCATATCACAGCTATGAACAGATTCAACACAATCAAGTAGACGAATATATTGAACACTATGTAGAGGACAGTAGAAAGTAATTCTTTTTCTTGGAACACGTCGTCGTATGTTATTAATCCCAGAGTCAGGAGGAATAATGATGAAAACGAAGCATACAGTGAACGGAACGCAAAGAAGAGATTTCCAGCATCGACGTGTAAAGAACTAACAAAAGCCAGGTAGATGATAATGAATGCCACGGCATACCAGACCATTTCTGACAGTGAAATCTTGAGAGAAGTTTTTATGATGGCGAGCGTCTGACTGAACGATAACGGGCGATAAAGTTCCATTATCGCAAAGAAACACAGGACAGCGATCGAGACGCTGAATATTTCGTCCACCTCGGCAACTTTATCGAAACTTGTAAATTGCCCTAAAATATAAAATTTAAATACTAAAATTAGTTATAAAGATGAATGAAATATTAGCACATCATTCATAGCAGCACCAGTATCATGAAATTTTCAAGATCCTTTGGTTTTTGAAAACGGTCGTATAGTACATTATGTTAATGCAAGCGTGCAGAAGCTAAAAAATTAAGAAATAAAAAGAAAAATGTTCAGAATTTTCACGACATATTACTTTTAAAATATTCTGATGACAAAAATGAAAACTGACCTCTATTATTAAAAACATGCTCAACCGCCTGCATGATGTAGACTATTCGTACAACGTAAACGATGATAGTCATAACTGCCAGTAGAATCTTCACCAGATCAAATACATTCCATGCGTCGTAGAAATACTGCCAGCCTTGCTTTTTGAGGCCAATTATGTGCTTAACTAATAGATATAGGACTAATCCAAGCCAAACTATTTGAGCCAGCAGGAGCACCAAATCTATCGCTTCTTTATACGGATATGGACGGAAACTAGTTAATGTGCTGCTGACGAAAGCGCTCCCCACAGCCGGGGTCTCCACAAGAATCTTTGTAGCGGTGAAAATATCTGATATTTCATTGTTGACGGTGAATTCAATCAAAACAGCCCTCGTCCTTGAGTCAGTCCAGTTATTATCCTTTAGCGCTGCAAATTTCAGAATGTCTGCGTTACTAAAATATTGAAACTCCTCCAAGTAGCCACCCCCGCCGTAAGAAGCAAACACACCCTTCGTAAATAGCGTGTTCGAGTGCGGGCTGGAGTATGCAAATGGTGACGAGGATACATTTTCCGCAGGGCCTCCTTCCCAACCTGTGCAGTAAATAAATATTTGTTGTTAAATTTTCGGGGAGAGATTTGTATCAAAATAGAGGAAAGACCCCTTCCCCCGACAAACAGATGTAGCCTAATTTCCAAAGAATAACCTAAACGTGAAAAACGACAAGTGTCCAGACATTGTTTTACAATATACAAGCATGGGGTGCACCGCAAAAAAAAAAAAAAAAAAAAAAAAAAAAAAAAAAACTACCTGGTAAATAAGTCCCATGTTCAGCATTACTGTCAGAGTAATCGGAGAAGCAGCCGTAAGGGTCGCGCAGATAGGCAACACGTACTTGGAGACAACTCTCTGAAAGATAAAAAAGCCATAGCTGTGTATAGAACGTTTATGAAAAGTCAGGTCAGTCTTTCAGTTCTGTTTATTCTTCTTATTTTTTTAATAAATAGAGTAGAATTGAGAAAAATCTTAAAATCCAAAGACACTTTTCTGATATTTATGAAGAATTTTGGTCGCAATTTTTTTTTAAATACTGCGAATAAAATTACATACTAGAGGTCACACGCAGCTGTCGAATTCGAACCGGTCCTAGTCGGTATGCATCAATGTCCAGCATAAAACTTGCTGCATCGGAGCTCAGTAAGTCCCCATTGTACGTCGTACGCGGAAAGAGCGGCGGTAGGATGCTTTTTTCTATCCACGGTAATATCATCGTGTGGTTGCGTACCTGAAGTGGTAAGTTGTACGTGTCCAAAATTGGCTTTCAGTTCCTAAATGTATTTTGTATGATTAGTGCAATTTTGCTTATATATATATATATAAAAATGAATGAATATTAACAGTAATATTATCAAGACGGAGCACCATGACCCTATGCTAACCTTTGAAACGGAGGAAAGGCCCAGACTGTTTTGAATGGCTTTGTTCTGGTAATAAAACTTGCTGTCTCTGTTTGCCGAGGCTATCCATATTAGAAGAGCCAAGTAAAGAAGATGTAAGCAATTATCTTTGAGAAACGTGAATAATTTATCGTCAAGCTGTGCCGTCTTTTTTCTTTCTTCTAATCCCTCTGACCATTCATTGATATCGGGCGGTTCCAATGGTATCTCTATACCCTTCGGTATTGAATCTGTGGGAAAAATAAAATTCATTCATCAAGATATGGGAGAAAATAACTGCATTTAAATTAACAGTGTTTATTAGATGGTAGGCCACCATTTCGTATCCAACAAGTTAAGAAAAATAATAAAACGCTGTTATTTGTATCTTAAGGTAGCATGTGTCGATTACTGGTCGAAGAGCTCGCCACTTTTAAACCAAAACCCGATCTTTCTTAATCTTATGTCAGCAATTTGACACAAATAAATTAATGCTTACATTCGCTAATGGTGCCTCTTGATATGGTAACAGCAAAGTCTTCTTCTACAGTGGTGCAATCTTCTTCTTCGTCAGGCATACGCATTATGCACGAGAGAATCACAGCAAGCAACACAGCCTAAAATGCAGCGAATACTTAAATGTTTGTAATATTGTTTACCTGACCTAATCTGCCGCTATAGAAATAATTTTTCGCTTAAATACTTAATTAAATACACCTACACTACAGTGCTTGAGCGCCGCTTTATCTTCCATTTTAGGGCGAACCCGTAAGTTTTATTTATATTTTGACAAGACTATTATCAAAGTGGGATTAAACGAAATAATGAAAAAATAAATAACACCCACACGCTTACCTTGACCGGTTGAACCAAAAGTAGTGAATCCACAAAAGATAAGACCCAAGAACCAAACCAGGCGAGAAATTTGACAGATCCCCACTGAAGTCCATAGAAGAGTGTAATGAAGCCTCCAGCAAAAGTAGTTAAGAATACCAAAATATAGCCAAAAATAATAAACCACCAAGGATAGGTAAACCTTTTCCCTTTGCAGCACCTACTGCTTTTCGGCGTTGGAGACGTCAAGCGTTGTTTTTCTTGATCAGACTCTACTTGCTCGAGGCTCTTTCCGTTTTCAGCAGACACTATGCCCTCTTCCTTAAAAACATTGTTTTCTTGGTACAGTTTCACTTTAGTAAGTAACTTTTCCAATCGATCCTTAGAATCCTCAGAATAACCTTTGACCCTCTTCCTAGACCGTTTGAATATGTGGACAATTAAAGCAGTGGGCGGGACGACGATCAGACTACCCATTAGACCAACAAATATTTGTTCAAATGTTATTTTAAGTGGTCCAATCTCGATGCTGGAGTTTCGCGCCGCTGATGTATCGTCTGCCTCATCCCTGTACCACATACAGCTCACCATCATCGTCATGAACAAGATGGACAGACACACACTGAGACGCTGCACTCTGGAAAAGTTACTTTTGCTCGGCCGCTTGAAGAGTGAAAACCAAGTGTGGTCATCAAAGAAGCCGACTTTGCTATGACTGTTGAAGAGCACAGAGAAATTCTTCATGTTTTGCTCGGCAGTGACATCTATCTCGATGCAAGTAGTATTACTTGTCAGCGACAGCCACTGTCCACAGTTAAAGTAGTACCTACAAAATTCGCAATAGAGGCATTCTAAATTAATAATAAAATGTTTTTTTTTTAATTTCTACTGGCAGATATTTGTTACCTGAACCTGAATCTATTATGTTATTTTTATGAAGATTTAAGTTTTTATTCATTTAATGTGAATATAATTAAATAGAAAGGATGCTCTTAATAACTGGAGATATATGTCATAAAGTTATTCAACTTACTGTGTCTGCTGAAGAATATCGACTACTGTAATTTTGGATAGATACCAGTCCGGTGTGTAGCCATTGCCATCGTGCCAGACATGGATCCGTGTTATGTCACCCAGGAACTCTCTTGTTGTCAGGAGAAAGTTACTGACGCTCCCTTGAGTGAAATTCTGAAATATAACGACGGAATATTAGAAAACCGAAATGTGCCTGTCGAGGCCTACCACATCCAAATTGTGTAATCTTTCATTTAACTCTTAAATGAAGCGAAATGTCTTTTCTGCCAAGTAATAAATCATTTTGTCAGAATAAAATATTTTTCTTTTGATTATCAATCAGTAGAATACAAGCATATGTATGCTGATGGCACAATCCGTTGAAAATGGAAGGTTATTTCATGTAGAATATGCACTTTATTTTATTCCATACCTTTCGGAAACCATCTATAAGAACCCTTGGCCCTGTCTTGCCTCCAGTTCCTGTCAACTGTATGAAAACATTAGCAGAGGTGCCGGCTCCTCGACGCAGGCCTGTATGGACACTTATACGGTATAAATACATGCCATCTGCCTCATTGTCCACAAGAGGGGCGTATTCCCACTAGATGAAAAATGATTAGGTGAAATACGTCATGTTATAACATTTACGGTCACTTACAGCAGTATGTTTAATCGCATAAAAATAATACTTCGATACGGAGATCGTAAAAAAGATTGTAGTAGTGTTTTTTATCTTCTTCCTTGTGGAAGACTTCTGGAAAAAGGCAGCCAATGAAAGGAAACAAAACAACAAAAAATATTTTTCAAACATTTTATCTGTATCAGATATGACTTCGTTACCTGCACTTGGTCCTTCTTGTCTGCCCATCTTGCCCATATCAACAACAGAAAGTAAATAGCCAGCAGAATACACAATATTATCAGCACATAGGGATTCTCAGCAAGCCGTTCAGAAAAGTTAGCAACCACTCCGGCGAAATCTAAGGAATTCGGTGGAATGAAGACCCCTGTGCAAAATGACCCCAGGAAATTGCTTTTAAAGACAACATTGTCTTTTGTTGATTCCTCCAAAATCTGAAGTGTTAAAAAATTATTTCATAAAATAGTCACTCGTAAGTACCCAGCAATAATGAAATAAGAGTACATAAACAAATAGATAAACGTTAAAATAAGACCAAAAAAGTAGTAGACTATGTAGAGCGATTATTCTATGTTAATCATTTGTGAAACAAGTAAAATCCATTGGTATTTTTTATTTATTTTTGGATTAATTGTATATTGAATTTCAACTAGAAAAGAATAATAATTCATGTCAGATTCTTAAATGAGATTATTTCAACATCTAGAGCACAAATAACACGGGTAGAATGTTTCATATCTGAATTATTTCATTTTATGATAAACCCCTTAACTCCTGAGCCAACATGTACCTCTATGGAGCTGTTTGTGCTCCAAGTTTCAGAGCGGGTATCCCAAACCCTTGTCTCCATAGTGGTCGATTCTGCGGCCACGCGCCCCCTGCCGGCACCCGCCAAACGCTTTACTCTGCTATGACTGGTGGAATTTACTAAAATAACAAAAAAAAAAGGTCATTTAAATGCATTGGGTAATATTTAAGTTACAATTATACTGCGAAAGATATATGAAGAAGTTTTTAATATTTACAGTATTTCAAAATATCTAAAAACTATAACGCTTATATCTAAAAGAAGAGTCAACTACAGATTGGCACATTGACCTGGGTGAGACCAGCTAAAATAGGCGGTGTGGTGACCAACACTGTGGAAAGATAATCATTACCTGTGGCATTAATTGAAACAATCTTGACGATGACAAACCCCGTCTCTAGTATTTCCCCAGCAGGGATGAAAAGCGACACCACATCAGAGTTAACGCGCACCGTCTCCTTGACATTCCATACAAGATCAGCACTCTCTACGCCAGAATGTGAAATAAGATATTTGAACGTGTAATTTGTCTCTGTTGGTGCCTCATTGGGAAATCCCGACAATTCATAAAAGTCAACTTCCTCTGGTACCCCGAATTCAATGCGCAATGCAGCAGTTGGGTCCGGAATTGTAAAATTATGGTACACAGGATCACAGTTCAAGAAACGGTAGTGTTCGAGGTCTTTGTAGGTGATTTTGTCACCAATGCTGGTTGTTACACTTGCTCGAATGGGTTCTTTTAAAACGTACTTGGTGCCATTTGGGTAGCTCAAGTCTATAGACGTCATAGCTGTGTTCACCTTCGATGATTCGTTTCCGTACGCATATATATTGTGTTTAAAGGAGAGTATCTGAAAATAAGTATATGAATATTTTCAAGTTTTTCTGAAGTTTTGTTTATTCCTCAGTTTCTACATAAAGAATTATATAAATCAAATACCAAATAAAGAGTCCGCTGGATCCAAATTGCAGCAGTTGTGACAACCACAACCACTCATTATCAGTATTTCACACATCGTGGTTCTTTGACTAATGTACTACTTTGTTTAAATACTCTCTACCACGCATACCTTCAGCCTCAGATCGCCATCAGCACTGTCGATGGTGGGTAGTGATATATTCGCGCCAAACACTTGGACGGTCTCATTGGTCTGATGCGCCATCTTCTGGATAGTCATGTTGACAAATGGCGTAGATATAGTGACTGTTGTGTTAGTGCTGTTATCCAGTCTGTTGTAGATTGCCCAAGAAGCTGCATCAAAGAAAGCAGTGGTCTCGGTCGCAAGTCCTCTCACCTGTTGAACATGAGGAACAATCATGACTATTATATTGCCTAGCTAGCATTTAAGGAAATAACTGAAATACCAACTGGCAATTTTACCGAGAAGGGAATACGAGACTTCACAAGACACATAATGAGAAATTGTAGAAAAAATGTTACTAAAAACACGAAATTGTTTTAAATCAGCAAGAATTTCATTAAAAAGATATTGAAAATAAAACGAAAATTGCACAGCAAATACGGTATACCCTTCTTCAGTTCTATCCTAATTTTCTGTATAAGAGAAAAGAACTACAGACTTGACATTTAATATGGAATATTTCAGTTTCGAAGGTATACCTAGGTAAAAATACGTTCTTTTTTTAAAAAAATCTGATCTCATATAAGATTTGTGAATGTAAAAGTGTGCAGTCAGGTGTGTCACTACCAATTAACTGACTTTCATGCCTATTGCTCTGCTACATTATGTAATGTGCAGTGATTTAATTGGGTAGTGTTCCTTTGGGCTGATCAAAGCTTGGCTTAGGCAAAGCTTGGTTCTGTCAAAAAAGTATCCATATTTCGGCAACTACTGCATAGAAAAATTTGAAATTTTGCATGCAAGCGGTCAGTTTTGCAGTGCGTAAGATGAGTCAAGTAGTGCATTACACATGTGTTAATCTAAGGCAGAATGGCGCGAAAAAGACAGACATAACCAGACAGATCATAGCGCCAAACGGAACGGTCCCCACAGTTTTATAGAGTAATGCCCAGACTGATGTGCCTACACAGAGGACACCCCCAATGTATCACAATTTTACCTACAGGGTACAGGACCAACTGTCTTTCGGGATACGCTGCTGCAACTAAACAAAAAACACTTAGTCCGATCAGAACGAGGGGTAAATTGCCACTAAAATGCGTTTTTTAAAGCCCTTAGCGAACACCAAACTGGTTTTACCAGGTAAGAACACCAAATGACCTCCGAGGTACCCACTGTATACAGCAAAACATCGTCGTCTGTTTCTCTAATGAATTGGGGGCCATGAACGATTCTGGGTAGAACAATGAAACTGCGTGGCTTTCTTTATTGAGGTCAGATCTCACCTGTACCGCCCAATTAGTCAAAACAGAGTTTACAGATATCCAGAAGAGGCCTACGACGAAGCATATGCCGGGTCTAAAGTGACAAGGGTGATTGACAGCGCCAGTATTTGGAGTAGATTCCACATTGGTGCCAAAACACCAATGGTAGTCATCGACGAAAACCTGAACCAGATCAAATAAAGGAATAATCTCGGAACCACTTGTCTATCATTTGATAGGGGGCACCTTAGGAACAATTCTAGGTTGCACGATGAGGTTGCAGGTTCACACAGAACACTTTTAATAGTAGATAACTTACAGAACCAAGGGAATGAGTAGCTACCCTGGTCATCAAAATCGCCACATTTGAACCACATACACAATGTTTCGGTAGACCATTACTCACCAATCAACTGCCTACATGTCCTACAACAAAACTGGACCAGATTGGACAATTTTAGACCGTTGCCTGGAATGCTATTCCAGATTGAACTCTAAAAACCTACCCCCAAGAAATGCCTTGCCGCTTGAGAGCGCTGGCAACAGCCACGTAGAGGCCAGGCGTTACAACGACCATTACTGTGACTAGCAACTGACATGAGGGTCTTCTGTGGAGCGTATTACCCTTTTACATACGATAATTTGTAAAATATGGAGATCCAAAATATCTCTTTTAATGGTTGTCGTATGACATAGAGTAGGCAATGTGTTTTTGTTTGCTTCTCTGGCGAATTCCATAAATAAACTGATGTCACAATGACATCAAAGAGATAATTTAAAGTTATTAAAACACGATTTTAATCCTTATTTTCATTTATCAGTCAGCAAAATAGGAAAAAACTGATAAAAAATTATTTCGAAAAAAATATTCCATATTAAATGTCAAGTCTGTATAAGAAGACCTAAAAACATTCGGTAATGGACAGAAGCATGACATTGACAAGGCTGTCCCAGTATGTCCTGCTTACCACTGTCTTTTCCTGGTCACTTAATGGCACAACCTCTGCTTCAACAACAACTTCATTGCCTGATACGGCAACATTGAATATATTACTAGTAGTTGATGTTAAGGCTAAAAAAGAAAGAAAATATAGTTAAAATATTTTCATGTGACTTTGATTTAAGAAAGTCCACTCCAATAACGTCTAAATGAAGCTTGCGGACTTATCTGTTTAGCTTTCGGTCTCATATTCTGCAATTTAAGTGTTAAAAATGTTATGAACCCAGGGTAATAACGCGGTCAACACTCAAGAAATTTTCATTAAAAGTTAGTTCATAGTTAACTCGAAGCAATTAAATCACTCATAACATATATATTTTCTGTTTTCACCGTACCTGTGCTGGCAAAGACAACTTCTTCTAAGGTCGCATTAGAAGACTTTGTTTTATCTATTATAAGAAATGCTGCTTCAACACAGGTCAGCTGAAAAAAAAAACGGTAACGTCACCAATGACGGATCTATATCTATGCATTTCTTTTAATACTTTGTGGTATGTAAAACCTGCTGCTTCTTTCGTGAAAGCACAGCATAGTACATGGTAAAAAATCGTACGCCTTAGGGTTCATTCCCAATGCAACTATCGTTTCACATCGATCCAACTCCGCGGGGACTCTCGCTGAATGCTATCAGATTAGCACGCTTCATCTTGTTTCCAGCTTACTTGTATAAGATGGCGATTATACGAGTACGTATACGAATATACGTATTCGTATAATCGCCAGTTTTTCTGTATTCTACTCTACATCAAGAGGAGGCGTGTCAATCTTGCATTCAGCGACAGTCCGCGCGGAGTTGGATCCATTGGGAATCTTATCTTGTTCACTTACCATGGTGTCGTTACTAAGTTCGTTGGAGACTTGAGTTACATCCGCCAACACGTTTGCTAAACCAAGAAGATCAGATGTTGTAGGGGTAACACTGCTGTTTGCAAGGTTAACTACCACTGTGACCACCTTTCCTCGTTGCTAAAAGAATATTGTAAATAAACTCTTGTATCTTTGATTTCTTATTTGTGCATTAGTTGACGTAGCAAATGAATGTCTCTTTATATATGACATTTATCGCTTTATCATCGACCTAAAACAACTTCAAAGCTGAGTCCACTAACAAAATTCATTAGCCTAAATCTATTTGTTATAAGGCAGCAAAACTAGTTGGTCCGCCAGCATTCTCCTATACATATTTTAATGTATTTATTTCTTAGCAGTCATGTTATCTTTTACAACTGCCATACACTATTTTGGTGGCATCAAGAAGTTTTTTCAGAGTAGGTGAGAACTTATATACATCTTACCTCTCTTCGAGTATCTAGGTCTACGTTATTCGTTGCATTTGCCTGGAACAAATACATTGTACACAAGATTTTAACAATGAGAAACATTTAGTAAATTTTCTTCTCATATCTTATTATAGTCAAAAAGGAAAACATTTTATTGGAAAGCAATAAAATTGTAAAAAGAAACTTTTGTGATTTTGAACAGACTTCTCAGAAAATTATTTATTCTTGAGATTCACATACCGCGTGCACATTGATCAAGTTCGTTATAGTTTGCACTGCATGAAGGACGTCGCTGGTGATGTTGGACAGAGTATTGTTGATGAGGGTATCTAGCTCTTCTACGGTATGGGCAGGATAGGGTGTTGTAACTGTGGTAGTGGGAGCTGTGGTGGTTTCAATGCTTGCAGTAGCTATGGAATTACTGCTTTCTGTGCTCACAGAATTGGTTGAATTGGCAACAGAAGTGCTAGCAAACCAACTGGACGCTGTTGAACTGGTAAATGCCTCAGTGGGAGAATATGCAGAGAAATATAAAGATGTCATGGAGGTTTCTGTTTGAGAGGCAGTTAAAACGGCTGACGTCTCTGCTGTAGCGCTTTCCGAGTACTGGCTTGCAGAGGGGGAAATCTCCGTCGTAATTTGCACTGAGACCGTACTTGATATTTCAGTAGTGGTGGAATCCATCTGCGTACTTTCACTTTGACCAGAAGAGGCTGATGTGGTAGTGCTTTCTTCGCTACTTTGGCTGGGATAAACACCAGTGTCCGATTGTGAGTCAGAAGAGGCTGATGTGGTTGTGCTTCCTTCGCTACTTTGGCTGGGATAAACACCAGTGTCCGATTGTGAGTCAGAAGAGGCTGATGTGGTTGTGCTATCTTCGCTACTTTGGCTGGGATAAAGACCAGAGTCCGATTGTGAGTCAGAAGAGGTTGATGTGGCTGTACTTTCGTCGCTTAAGTAAGAAGACAAAGATGATTCGGACAGTCCACTGGGATAAGAACTAACTGATGAACTTATTGAAGAATCAGCAGTTGCTGTAGTAGAAATAGGGGCATTTGTCGATGATGAAGTCTCACTCACATACATAGAGACGCTACTGGAGACTTCCGAACTGGCTGTGCTTTCTAATGTAGAGGTTGATGTGTCAACGCAGTGTTGTGCGTATCCAACTGTAAATGCAAAAAAGTGTTTGTTAAAATATTTTTGTTTTGATTTTACTTCAAATTCAATTTCTGGCATCTTTTAATACGAATCTCAAACACCACACTTGACTTGTTGCATCTTGCGATTGTTTCATTTTATAAAAGAGTTGAAAAATAAAGCATAAAAGTACGCACTTCCACACGGGGGAACATCACAAAGATCTACACCTCCTGGCGCTTCAGGCTCTACCACATAACACCAAATTCCAAAATTGTCGGTATCAGGATTTCTGCAGTAGTTTTCAGCGTCACTAACGTTCGCATCCGGGAACATGGAGGGATCAGTAAAGGTGTGGTTATTTGGGAACTGACTGTCCCATCGCTGACAGGTGTACCCACTTATGGTAAAATTTAGACGACCATTGTATTCAAAACCAGCAAAATCGTTTGCCGTTTGACAATCACACAGATCTATCAGAAACGAAAAGAAAATAGAAAGGGAAAATATTATTTAATCTCATGCATACATACATCTGATACTACTGAATTTATACGAGGCCTATAACGGTAAAACTACTTTCAATAGCAAAATGTGGCACAACTGAAACCCATTGATGTGACTCCGTACGGTATGGCTTGTATGGCCTGTCACCATGGTTACACGTTTTTACCAAATGTACAACATATTTAACCTAATAAGAACTACACTATTAACTTCATGATCGAGGCTAAACAAATTTAAAATCCAATGGTTACATCTCAGCTAGATAACTTACCAATAAATTATTGGCCAATGCATTGCAAATAATTTGAGGAAGATTATGACGGGCCAACAAATATAACTACATCCCCCCTTCATATCATCTGACCCCATAAAACCTACCACATCGAGGAATGTAGCAACGTTCAAAGGTGGTGTTAGTAACTGGGCACCAGGGTCCGCCATTTTGCGAGTTTGGGTTTCGGCAATAATTCGACGCATTTGCCATGGATCCGTCATAAATAAAACTGGCATCACTGAGTCCGAAATTTGCACCGTGTTCTGCCCAAGGAAGGCAAGAATTTCCCAAAAGCGACACATTTTGAAACCCAATATAGTCAATGCCAATTTTCGTCCGACGGCACCAATCGCTCCCTGTTTAAAATATATTTTTTTTTTGGCAGTGAAACAAATTCTATACTAATATATTACATAATATATATATATATATATATATATATATATATATATATATATATATATATATAATCACGCGTGAAAATGAACAGATGGTGAATATGTTACAGTATGACGTACAGAACATTTAACTTAAAAGTCTTTAATAACTCAAACTTTCAAATGTGTTTTATAAGGAAGTGGCAGAAAGGAGGCTGTGTAATACATGTATATCCACATAAAATTTTTTAATGAGATTGATTTTCTTAAAATACACTTTTGGGCAAGTGAATGCCTTAATATTATCTTACATATATATCCAGAACCAACTAAAGGTGCGCCAGTGGTGGTAATTGTATCTGTAGTGGTAAGCGTATCAGTGGTAGTGATCATCCCGGTGGTAGTGGTAGGTTCCTCAGTAGTAGTAGCTGTACAAGCTGCCTCGGAATAAGTAGCTAGTATATCACAGAAAACAATAGCACTTGTAAGCTGCGTTGTGCTACCAATGGCCGTATAGTATTGAATAAAGGTGTTTACTGGACAAAAAACAATTGTGTACATTGTGACATTGATTTATCTATCATTATAAAAGAAAGGGGGGTACATGTACCTGGGCATGGCGGTACGTCACACAGGTCTACGCCACCGGGTGCTTCAGGTTCTATCACATAACACCAGATCCCAAAGTTATCTGGATCGGGATTTCGACAGAAGTTCTCGGCATCGCTTACATTTGTATCCGGGTATGTACCGGCATCAGTGAAAGTGTGATTATTAGGAAACTGACTGTCCCACCGCTGACACGTATAACCACCAGTTGTAAAATTAAGGCGGCCATTGTAGTCGAATCCGGCAAAATCAGAAAATGTTTGGCAATCACAAGGATCTGCAGAAAAAATACACACAAATAAATTTACGCTTTTTCTGTTTCTGTTTACTTGTCCAATTATGTGTAATAACTGTATAATCAACTTAAAGACGATATCACATCCAACTATTTGTTATTGCGTTTTATCTTACTTCTAAAAATAATCTTTGGTGTGATATGAAAGTTACAGACTTATCAAGATAGTCTGCTTCCTCATCAACATCATCATAATCAAGCTATATACCTAAGCTGCAGAAAATTCATATTGATATCGGGATGGTGCACGTACAAAAATCCCGACGGTCATAATGTTGATAACACTTACGCAGCCCTAGATTACTTACCACAAAGAGGAATGGCGCACACTCCTCGTGTAGTGTTAGATACTGGACACCATAGACCACCACTGTGCGAGTCGGGGTTCCGGCAATAATTTTCAGCACTTGCCATTGAACCATCATATATAAAATCAGAATCGCTAAGACCAAAGCTGGCCCCATAATCAACCCATGACAGACAAGTTTGATTACTGTCTGTTGTATTTTGCGTTCCTATGTAATCTTTTCCTAATCCCGAGCGCCGACAAGAGTGGCTCCCTGTAAAAAATAGATTCAAAAGAAATACGTCCTGGTAAAACATCTGAATGTACTGTATGCTGTATTTTAAAAGGTTAATGTCATTGTTTTATATGAAGTGAGGGTCTAAATCGAATTATTTTAGAAAGCGGGGGCTTTAGTAACCATTACGTCAAAGTTCTTTATCTTAGAAATGTTCATTTCAACACAACCTAAAGATATTTTTTAAAATTACATATGTATCCAGTTGTGGTAGTGGTGGCAGTTGTTGTTTCCGGTTCAGCAGTGGTTGTAGCTGTGCATGCTTCTTCGGAATAAGAATCTGTAACATACAAGACTTTTCTTTTCAGCAAATTTTGTTTTAACTATTTTGAGGTTAAATTCTGAGTGGATCTATTGTATAAATTTAAGCAATATTTTATTTATTGAAGCTTTTTTTTTGTATTTGTCCCTTTCACAGCAAGCGTTAAGACCATACCTGGACAAGGTGGTACATCACACAGGTCTACCCCTCCAGTGACATTAGGCTCAACAACGTAACACCAGATTCCAAAATTGTTTGGGTCGGGGTTTCGGCAATAGTTCTCAGCATCGCTCACCGTTGCATCCGGGTATGTGGCAGGATTAGTAAACGTGTGATTGTTTGGGACTTGTGTGTCCCAGCGCTGACACGTATAACCACCGGATGTAAAACTTAGGCGACCATTGTAATCGAATCCGGCAAAATCAGAAATCGTTTGGCAATCACACGGATCTGTTGAAAGAAAAATAAATTAAAGATATTTAAATTATGTGATCGTGGTTTCCCAGTATTGCATATTAACTACTTGTTCTAGTTCCTAATACGACTCAAATAAAAACACATGCCAAGGGATAAACCGAATTATTCACTCGATCAGCCGTAGAAGAGAACATTAAAATTATACCTTCTCCATATTTATGGTCGTTAATTGGCCAATTTATCTTCCCAGTAATAAATAGCAAAGACAGTAATTGCAAAATATCCGCTTAAATATCATTTATATGCCCTTTAGTACTTAATAAGTTATACTATTTGAAACTATATGGTGACATTAAGTCGGCTTTGGTGGCAAAAATTGGACTTCGAATGCACATCTTTAAAGTTATATGGTAACGCTATCTGCCCAATGAAAAAAAAACACGAAATAGCTTTGTGCTATTGTCAGAATACAAATCTTACATAGTTTATTCATATCTCTAAAATTCAAAACCATTTACAATACCCAATGAACGGCATACAGGTGTTACGAAATAAGATAAATTTTCTAAATAAATACTTACCACAAAGAGGAATGGTACACGTTCCTCGTGTGGCGTTAGTTACTGGGCACCACGGGCCACCAATGTCCGAGTCAGGGTTCCGGCAATAATTAGAAGCATTTGCCATAGAGCCGTCATAGATGAAATTAATATCACTGACTCCAAAATAACCACCATAATCTGCCCAAGGCAGACAAGTTTCGTTATTGTCTGTAATATTCTGCGTCCCTATATAGTCTCGTCCAGCTCCTGTTCGACGACAATTGTCACTCCCTAAATTAAAATGTTAAATATGAATATACGTATTGGTATCACGCATCACCCCCCTCCTTCTCTCTCTCTCTCTCTCTCTCTCTCTCATATTCATTTATCTAAATATTTATTCATTTATTTATTTTGATGGGTGGGAATCTGGCGAAAATACAAGTAAACTTTTAAGTTTTTTAATTTAAAAAAAACGGTCATTTGGCTCCTTTTTATACAAGTCATTCTGTATTCAACACTAATTTCAATATACAGTACTCAGTATTTATAATTAGTGCACTTAGCACAAAGGAATATTTGACTTGTGTTGGATTATTTCTGTTGTGCTGAGACATATAGTAGGACTGTAAACTTATTTTATATCAGATGGATATAAATGGATTTGTGAATATATAGTTTGAGCGAACATGAACGTTTTTTTTTTATCAAACTTCGGCCCATGAAGAATGTCACAGGCACTCGTAAATTATAGCAGTGCATGGTCCTTAGAGAAAAGCAGACTCGGTTGAATAACATGTTTATAAATTAAAGTAGAAGAAAAACAAAAGAAGGGCCACAACCGAAGATATATTGTACTGAAAAGGACGCACATTATATACGACCAATTATAGGGGACAGGTTAATTATACCTATATCAAGCACCCTGGGCTTGCTTGGGCCCATGACCCTTCACCTGTATCAATTTAACTCTATTGGTATGTGGTAATCGGCTATGCTTGTGTTATAGATGGTTATATGAGCAGGATAAGCAGGTCTGTGTTGTTTGGGCAAGTGCCATATATTTCTTGTTTTCACTGTCTAGAATATATTGAATAGAGTCCCATAATATCAAATGTTTATCCTTCCTTCTTGTTGCATGGTAGGGGAGTTGCAGAAACGCCATCTAAGTGTTCATTAACAAAGGCAGCTTTCGCTGTTAATCATATTGACAGTATATGAACTCGATGCTTGTATTGGTTTGAAAAGATCTACCCTCGAGGGGCTCTCAGGTACCTTTATTTGAGTAAAGTAATCAAATATAAAACACTTAGTTTTGGTAACTAAACTGACCAAGACTTTCAGCTATTTTTTGGATAATGTAATACAAGTTCCAAGCCCAGCATTTGTTAAATGGTAAAGTGGGACGAATCAATTTTAATGCGTAAAAACTCAGTAAAGAGTGTCTACTCACATATCATTGCTTCGTCTGTGATTAGAACAAAAATGGAAACTCCAACGAGGAGGATCTGAAAACGTATTTTCTTTCATTATTATTAAGTTGTGAATTATTGATTTGTAATAAAAATGTATAGAAATATTTAAAATGCAAGAGAAAGCGAATTGTGGACTTTAATCTCAAACATACAAAATTTTTAATGCAATAACCAACCATCCTTTATTTTATATCGGGTTCTTCAAAACGTAAGACAAATTGAATTATAAGGCATTGATATACTGAGTAGTAAAAAAACATTTAAAAGAGAAAAAAAAGAACTTACCAAAGCAATTGCCTTCATGGTAGGGTTGCAGCTCAGCTCTAGTCAGTATATGGTCCTCTATGTTTTCACCATTTTAAAAAATCTAAATAAAAACAACCTGCTTTACTTTTTTATTCTTGACAAAGGTTAATTACTTAAAAAGCTCAGAAAGTCTTTAATTTAGATTGGCACGTAAACGGTTAATATGTTACTTCTACGAGTATTTTCACTCGGAAAAAGTAATTTTGAGCAGGGCTCCTTATTCCATTAATCTAAAAGGATATTTTCTGCTACAGTACCTGTATATATGTAAAGAAATTAGCTGAATGTACATTAAAACATCCCTTGTACTTCCCCATTCGAAGAAATTCTAAAGCTAAAAATTACCTACAATGTATTCAATACTGGAAGAAAGGGTGGCAACATTTGTCCTTAAGTACGCAGCCATGTGCACAAAAGCTACGTGAGACAACAAAAAACCACAGAAAATGACATTTTGTGGGTATGGTCTCAAATCAAAACTAGAATGAGGACAAAAACGGTCATTTAATTCCATCTTTGTTTTCTTTGGATTGTCTTTGAATGTTAGGATTAGATTTCATCTATGAGCAAAACTTTTGTCGTTCTGTCATGTTTATTCACTGATTGTTGGTTTAAGATCATAAGATTCGTTGATCAAATGCATCGCGTCATGTTCTATTTTTAATGACGAGAGCGTAAAGAAAGGTTTTCTCCAGATATGAAATCTGATCCTGTTTTTCATAGACATTCCAAAGAAAACAATCATATAAAATGATTGTTGATGTTCTCATTTTAATTTTGATTATTTTTATACATGTAAGCTGACGTATCCAATATGTCGGGTAGAAGGAGCAGGTGAACTCTATATAAAGTGAGGGTTTAGGATAAGGAAAATGAAAAATATTGCATCTCTTTGCTCGCAGACCCATTTGTTGTCAAGAAGGCTAATGTTGAAAAATACATAATATCCTTTCAGGACATATCATATTTTAAAAGCATTTTACACGCATTAACTACATAAAACATATCAAGCACCAGCTGCCAACACATCTTACATGGATCTTTTCCAGACGAGAACTTTTTGATTGATTTTCCCTGCAAAACATCTTCAGAGATTTATCATAACAATTATCATATTTCAGGGACGGACTAAGGCCATCTTCTGGCACGGGTCTTCCGGAAGACGCTCAGAATTTTTAAGTTTACATTGATGGGTATCTAATTTTTTTCTGTCAGAAGACTGTCGGAACGGAGGATAGATCGACAAAGCTAATTTGGAAGACTGTCAGAAAATATCTCTGGATCCGCCCCTGTAATTTATGAAGTTTGTGCTACGTTTCGCGTTTATATTTATCGTCATGTCGCATTTTCCTTTGACAAACTGAACAGCTATTAATTAATGTAAAGAGATGTTTGTGAGAAATCTCACCAGATTCTGTATCCATGTGAAGCGTAAAAGCCTCAAAATACGCGTCTCAATATCCACTATATATAGAAATAAGTCGGTCAACATTTTGGTAATTAGTTTGAAGAGGGAAGAAAAAACTTATGTACATGTTCATGGATATTTGACACCTAAAGTATTAAATATAAAATTCAGCGTAACGCTCAAAAGTAAATGTCAAAATCAACATGCATGTCAGTGAAAATTATTATGTCACAGATAAATCACGACCATTGTGTCAATAAAATGACAAGGTAAGATCAAACAGACAAAAACCTTACTTGCCTTTTTTGATAATTATCCAACATGATATTTCCCCCTTTTTCTCACAACGTCGAAAGTTCATGTATCCAGTGACAGGTCTAGTCAGACGACAGACCGTAGTTCACTGGGTCACCTGCCCGTGCAATATTGTGGATTGTGGTTACGTTTACATGGTCACAGCGCAACATTTCCCTTTTGTGTGTCTAACGCTAAGTAAACTGACCAACTTCTTCGAAAAGTTAATTACATAACATTTAGTATGTTCCTAGTCACGTTTTCTGAAGGAACGAAGAGTATGTGCATTATTATTATTTGCCGTCACAACTCCATTCATTGTAAAAGAATTCACTTGCTTACACTACATTTGCGGACCATACCGCTAAACTTGTCACGGTTGTTGACTGTGGACGCTAAACAAGCTAACAAAATTGAAATGGCGTGTTAACAATTAAGTGAATACGAATAGGCACTTTTACAGGATAATATGTCAAAAAGTAGCAGGCCAACGGCGAATTTTTATGGGACAATTTTGGTCAATAACTTTAAAAAAGGATTCCAACTAAATCACTCCCACCCAAAGCGTTTATTGTAGGGTTCTCGTGGGTTAAGTGGTCTTGGCAAATTTTTACAATCAGTGGCATTTTGATAAAAAAATTTGTGAAGCGTAAATTTATTCCATTGTCACTCCTTCTATGCGTATCTTTAGTGCATGTGACAGAAGTGCTGAAAACAAACGAGTGATTTAAATTTTCTAATTTTTTTCTGTATTTGAAACCATAATTTGTCGACATGTGCCCTACAAACATTTTCTGGACACACACACACACACACACACACACACACAATAAATTGATATAAGTAGAATAACCAATAAATAAATTTAAAAAAAAACGACATTTATACTGAAAAAATTGGTGCTACTTGTAAATGGGCCTACAGTATGTCAACAAAATCACGTTATATCTCATATAAATATCCTTATCCTGGTATATAGGTCGAACCCTCTACTAGTACAACCGTAAGTCAAATAATTAGGTATTTTTAATTTATTGTTTTAGTAAAAGTTATAGGCCTATGATGTCAATATTGTAAAAGATATTGTCACCCTTCGCCCAAAACTCTTCATTTACTGCCTTACATACATTCTTTGAGGTGATAAATCTTCAGTGTTCAGTGAATAAATAAATTAACATTTATACATATGTCATCTTATGGATGACGTCATAATTGCGATTTTGGGGTAAAAACTGAAAAATCGGTTTCTCACATTTCTCTTGTACCTGAGCACTCACGATCGCCGTTTCAACGCCGATTTAATGACACCATTTCATCATCATCATTCCTCTTCGTCCCGTGTGGGACATATGGCCACAACGACACCATTTAGTACTCCAAAATCCTGACAGCGATTTTTCTTAACAGTCTTAGTTCGGATTTTATCGTTGATAAAGCAAAATATTACTGTCCTTGTTTAATGAAAATCTGTAATTAGGGGCTCATAACTCCATTACAAAAACATATAAACCAAAATTATGGCACGGGCTTGTAGTCTATACACTCCTGGTCAATTCTGCCAATTTTCGCGATAAAATCTCGTTCGGGGATGAGGTCGCGCCCCACACCGATTGCTATCTCACCTCAAAATATAAAGGTTTTAAATTGACGATTAAAACTTTGAGTTACCTATGCTTATGCCTATACATTGCAACTAAAAAATATATTTTATATTTTCGAGTTTTTTTTTCATTGTTTTAAATCAGCACGAAGATACATACATTATTGAATAATTAGATGCAGGGAAAAAAACTAATTTTCGGTATCTGGATGATAATAAAGGGTTTCTACTGAACAAGCTTTCAAACGTCATCACCTTTGATATTACCCCTTCTATATTCTAATATAACTGCTAAAGTGGGAACTGGGGTCAAGTATTTAAATGGATTTTACATAAGATTTCCAACCAAGTCTGTGTGAAAGTTCTGTTTACTTCAATGTAACCGAGGATTTAACGGATCTCCTCTTGAATTACTCCCACTACACCCCCCTTCCCCCAGTTGTTATTGGGCTAACATCGCTGGCAAGTTACTTCTCATTTTACCCTGTTAGTCATTAGGTTATTTTTGTCGTTATCCAGCATTGCTATAAATATAGATCTGGCAACTGAGGAGCAGAGCTTTTCGTATTGATGGATATAAACAATATGTACGATAGACTATCGGTGACTAATGTTGAAATGGTCTTTTACTGCTTGCAATTGTGACAGATTTATATTGACAGTGCTACGGAGTCCACACAGAACCGTACTCAGTACATCAGCTTATAGATTTACAGTGTAGTATAAGATACATGTACATGTACACTGTACATACATGTACTGGTATACATGTAATACTTCACGTGCATGTGCAATTTGCAGTTGATACAAAATTATTGCCTTTCAAATAAGTTAACCGTAAACCACTGTTAAACGCTATGCTGACAATACTGACATCAATTATCCAGAATTGTTGGACGCAGTTGATTTAAGTGCGCGATATCATCATAAAGTCGATTCCTTTATAGCCGCACAGTATGGTGAGAAGTCTGAAAGACTGCTGTTTACAAGCAATTGCTCGGAATCTTAACAGGTAAGCCTGCAACAACACAATGTTTTGTTAAGTTGAGGTTGTAGTAAATACAGTTCAGTGTGACGTACAGTACTACTAGTAGTACATGTAGTTGGTTTATCTACAGTACATGTATATGTACATGTACATGTGGCACTTGAGTGTCAGTTCATGTAGTAATTTAATGTGCATAAGGGTGTGTATAGTAGCAATGTTATGTATGAAATACAATAAACTGTTTACTGCATATGTTCCTACCGGTATGTGTATTTTGCATTTACTTAGCAATAAGTGAACACGTTTGCACTGATACTAGTGTAAATGTACCAGTACTACTAGTAGTATGTGTATACATATATAATTACTGGTAATTATTGGGGAAATTTTACAGTCCATTTTCCTATTGATTTATGTGGCTAAATCTTCCCCATTTGAACCATAGGTACACACAGCTGTAGCTGCCCATTTACATTTGCTTTGAACCAACTGGAAAGCAAATGATATCTTGAAATACTGGTAGTACATGTATAATGGTATTTATAAAGAAAAATAATAGATATATTGGTTATAACATTATTTGAATATATCCAGGATCGCATTGAAAGTACTGCTGTTTGAAGTAAACATTGTATTTCAAGTAAATGCATACATGTTTTTACTATGTCACTCATTTTAGTTCCTAGGGGGTATAGTGGACATCTTGGTTATGTTCTTTTTATCATTCTCAAAAATGTATTTTTATTTTCTATTACCTATCCAGAAATATGTAAAATCATGACACTGTTACTCCCTTTTCCATAGGATCAGTCGCGTGGGGCGTCATCTTCCTCACATTCACAAAGAGCTCATTCTGAAGTGGCTTTCTGACCATGACATGCTGACAGATGATTACCTGCCACATATTACATATCACCTGTTCTCAGCAAACCTTAAAGTGATCAACTTCTACAAGTGTAACCAGGTCACAGACCATCTTCTGTATCAGCTGTCACAGAGTGGGTGTATGTTGAAGCACTTGACAGTACATGAGTGCAACAATGTCTCTGGTGGGTGGATACTGTATGTGGCATATCTATACTTCAGTGTTCACAGGCTGATTGACTGGTACCGTTTTGACCTTTATATGTGGAATTCTTCTCTTCATTCGGGAGAAAAAATATATATCTGTAAAAAAATAATCAGCATATTAACTGCCTGCTCACCTGAATTGTTGAATTATTTTACTTCTTTTTGCATGATGCCAAACATACAAATATGGGGTGTGCATATTAAAATTTGCAATTAACATTATAATGTGCAGTTTATATATCATACTGTGCATATGTTACCCATACAATTTACTTAACTGTAAATTAATGAAACAGATGCATTGTATTTCTAAATTAAGAAATGTAATATTTACCAGTATAATATGATTTGTTCACGATATACTGAGTAATTGCCAATTCCATATGAACATTTTTATTTGTTTCAGATGAAGGAATAAAATATATAACTATTGATCAGGAAGAACTGGAAGTTTTAGAATTGAGAAAATTGCGATTTCTGACCAGTTATGGTTTAGAGGTAGTGAGATCAAACAAGTTGCAGAAACTAGACTTAAAGGGATGCTCATATATTGACAGTAAAGGTAAATGCAGGTTATTCAAAAAGTTCATGTGTATTCAATATTTTTCATAGTCATATTTTACATTGATAGATCTTCTTCTTGTAGAGATATACCTTAATAGTTACTTTTTAAAAATTATTTATTGTGTCCATTTGATTTCATTTCAAGAAATATGAAGTCAAGACTTACTTGTAAACAGTGTAGCTTTATTTTCCAAATATTAAGCAAACAGTAGAAAAAAACAGCAGTTACAACATTTTAATCAAATGTTTATATCTGTGCCTGTATTCTAGGCCTTGATTCCCTGGTGCATAAATGTCCAAATATTAAATACTTAACCTTGTCCCAATGTACAAGGCTAGATGAAGGGATTTCTAATATTGCAAGATGTTTAAATATCACTCTGGTAAGTTGCATTCATTTATTATTTAAGGTCGCAAGTGCACATGGTTATTTATCTGTTTTTTANTCGAGCGTGTTCTCATTTTACCCTGTTAGTCATTATGTTATTTTTGTCGTTATCCAGCATTGCTATAAATATAGATCTGGCAACTGAGGAGCAGAGCTTTTCGTATTGATGACGATAAACAATATGTACGATAGACTATCGGTGACTAATGTTGAAATGGTCTTTTACTGCTTGCAATTGTGACAGATTTATATTGACAGTGCTACGGAGTCCACACAGTACCGTACTCAGTACATCAGCTTATAGATTTACAGTGTAGTATAAGATACATGTACACTGTACATACATGTACTGGTATACATGTAATACTTCACGTGCATGTGCTATTTGCAGTTGATACAAAATGATTGTCTTTCAAATAAGTTAACCGTTAACCACTGTTAAACGCTATGCTGACAATACTGACATCAATTATCCAGAATTGTTGGACGCAGTTGATTTAAGTGTGCGATATCGTCATAAAGTCGATTCCTTTATAACCGCACAGTATGGTGAGAAGTCTGAAAGACTGCTGTTTACAAGCAATTGCTCGGAATCTTAACAGGTAAGCCTGCAACAACACAATATTTTGTCAAGTTGAGGTTGTAGTAAATACAGCTAGTTCAGTGTGACGTACAGAACTACCAGTACTAGTAGTTGTTGGTTTATCTACAGTACATGTATTATGTACATGTGGCACTTGAGTGTCAATTCATGTAGTGATTTAATGTGCATATGGGTGGTTATTGTAGCAATATTATGTATGGAATACAATAAACTGTTTACTGCATATGTTCCTATGTGTATTTTGCATTTACTTGGCAATAAGTGAACACGTTTGCACTGATACTAGTGTAAATGTACCAGTACGTATACATATATAATTACTGGTAATTATTGGGGAAATTTTACAGTCCATTTTCTTATTGATTTATGTGGCTAAATCTTCCCCATTTGAACCATAGGTACACACAGCTGTAGCTGCCCATTTACATTTGCTTTGAACCAACTGGAAAGCAAATGATATCTTGAATAATATATAATGTATAATGGTATTTATAAAGAAAAATAAAAGATATATTGGTTATAACATTATTTGAATATATCCAGGATCACATTGAAAGTACTGCTGTTTGAAGTTAACATTGTATTTCAAGTAAATGCATACATGTTTTTACTATGTCACTCATTTTAGTTCCTAGGGGGTATAGTGGACATCTTGGTTATGTTCTTTTTATCATTCTCAAAAATGTATTTTTATTTTCTATTACCTATCCAGAAATATGTAAAATCATGACACTGTTACTCCCTTTTCCATAGGATCAGTCGCGTGGGGCGTCAACTTCCTCACGTTCACAAAGAGCTCATTCTGAAGTGGCTTTCTGACCATGACATGCTGACAGATGATTACCTGCCACATATTACATATCACCTGTTCTCAGCAAACCTTAAAGTGATCAACTTCTACAAGTGTAACCAGGTCACAGACCATCTTCTGTATCAGCTGTCACAGAGTGGGTGTATGCTGAAGCACTTGACAGTACATGAGTGCAACAATGTCTCTGGTGGGTGGATACTGTATGTGGCATATCTATACTTCAGTGTTCACAGGCTGATTGACTGGTACCGTTTTGACCTTTATATGTGGAATTCTTCTTTTCATTCGGGAGAAAAAATATATCTGTAAAAAGATAATTAGCATATTAACTGCCTGCTCACCTGAATTGCTGAATTATTTTACTTCTTTTTGCATGATGCCAAACATACAAATATGGGGTGTGCATATTAAAATTTGCAATTAACATTATAATGTGCAGTTTATAAATCATACTGTGCATATGTTACCCATACAATTTACTTAACTGTAAATTAATGAAACAGATGCATTGTATTTCTAAATTAAGAAATGTAATATTTACCAGTATAATATGATTTGTTCACGATATAATTGCCAATTCCATATGAACATTTTTATTTGTTTCAGATGAAGGAATAAAATATATAACTATTGATCAGGAAGAACTGGAAGTTTTAGAATTGAGAAAATTGCGATTTCTGACCAGTTATGGTTTAGAGGTAGTGAGATCAAACAAGTTGCAGAAACTAGACTTAAAGGGATGCTCATATATTGACAGTAGAGGTAAATGCAGGTTATTCAAAAAGTTCACGTGTATTCAATATTTTTCATAGTCATATTTTACATTGATCTTCTTCTTGTAGAGATATACCTTAATAGTTACTTTTTAAAAATTATTTATTGTGTCCATTTGATTTCATTTCAAGAAATATGAAGTCAAGACTTTCTTGTAAACAGTGTAGCTTTATTTTCCAAATATTAAGCAAACAGTAGAAAAAACAGCAGTTACAACATTATTTTAATCAAATGTTTATATCTGTGCCTGTATTCTAGGCCTTGATTCCCTGGTGCATAAATGTCCAAATATTAAATACTTAACCTTGTCCCAATGTACAAGGCTAGATGAAGGGATTTCTAATATTGCAAGATGTTTAAATATCACTCTGGTAAGTTGCATTCATTTATTATTTAAGGTCGCAAGTGCACATGGTTATTTATCTGTTTTTTTAAAGCATTTATTCTGAGTGACATTTTGAGACACATTTTATCAGTTGGCACAAATGAAAAGAAAAACATTTATTCCGAATGACATTTTAAGACAGATTTTATCAGTTGGCACAAATGAAAAGAAAAAACATTTTAAAGTTAAGTGATCGGAAACAGAAAATGTTAAGCAATGTCAGTACTGATAAATAGCTAAACATTTATTGTTTTTTAACATTTCTTAACTGCAGGAAGAATTGGACGTTGGAGGTGTGCATAAAATTGGTGACCACGATTTAGAGAACATTGCACAATACTGCAGTAATCTAACTCTGTAAGTGATTTTTTAAAATATATTTAGCCAACACTTGGCATTTTGCTTTTCTAAGAAGTGTATAATGGCTAGACAAAGTCACTTTGAATTGTTATCACAATATATTTTACATAAAAAATCATATATAACAGATATACCTGTCAAAATATCACACCAAAAAATAGTTAACTTATTTAAATATCATAAGACCTTGTATACTCAATAATACATTATGTATTTTTCAGGTTACATTTGATAGGCTGCTATAAGATAACAGTTGATGGTATTCAAAAGGTTAGTACAGAATCTGTTACCTAAGTGGTTAAACTAATAAGTAAGTTGACATTCATGACAAGATTGATAGATAAATGGACAAAGATGTGACAGCAAACTTACATAGGGAGCACACATTTAGTTACATGTATGTTATTAGGTATCTTTTATTAGAATCTTATTTTTCATAATCAACTTTTGCAAGTAGATGGATGGTATAATCCACAACATTTTATTACATAACATTTTAGGTATTTTTTCATCTTTTGATAAAAAATAACATAAAAAAAACCCCACAGAAGTCTACTTTTTTCCACAGGTTGTTGAAGGATGCAGAAAATTGAAAGATGTAGATTTTTCTTACTGTTTTACCTTGGAGTCTGTGGAAGCATTCAAAGCTTTACAGCATCTCCCAGATTCTGTGACTGAGCTCTCCCTGCTAGGGATACAATTACAGGACTCTGAATTGCTGGTTAATGTTGTGAAAAGGTTGACAAAACTTGAGACGGTTCGCCTTTGTGGAGTAAAAGCACTGGACGATGACAGTTTGGAGCAGGTAACTGTTAAGTACAAGGGCTTTCTTTCCTTTTTTTTTTGCCATATTATGAAAACTTTTACAGATGACCATGGTAACAGTTTACAATAGAAATTCTAGAAAAAATTGACATGAAGAAATTTTGTTGCAGTGCTACAGTATTTCCAATTTTTTTGAATCATTGCATTACACTTAGTAAGTCTTTTCATTAACAGATATTGCAAGCCGCAGGCTCTCACTTACTAAGTTTGGACATTGGTGGAAGCATAACTCAGGCAATAACAGATGATGGACTTCGGGCAGTCACCAAGTATTGCACAGCCCTAGAGGAGTTGATATTAACACTTCTTCCAGAAACAACAGGCATTACGCTGCTCCCTCTGTTTGAAGATGAGCAACGGGCAGCACAATTGACTTCCTTGTACTTAGGGTGTAAAAAGGTTAAAAAAAAAAAGATATTTAAATAGTATGTTGCATTGTAATGTAGAAGATATGGACAGCCAACCATATTAATGTATTTTATTTTATCAAATGGGTGTGAAAAAATTTTTTCTGTGATAAACAAAAGATAAAGTAATACAATACAATACAATTTTGCTAATTTTTTGCATTTTTTCAATATTGAAAATAATATCAATTTTATGTAATGCAGATGAATGGTGATGTTCTTCATGCAGCTGCTGTTTCCAGCACCAACCTTGAGAAGTTTTCAGTCTCTGGACTAATGTGTGTAGATGACAACCTGCTGCACACTCTGGCTGATAACTGCCCGAAACTGCACTACATTGGACTGAAAAGTTGCAGACAGGTATAAGCTGTCACAGCAAAGAAGAAAAAATATTTAAACGACCACAACTTTTATTGTTGCGTAGATACTTGTTCAGTGCTAAGTGTGCAGAACCATTAATCACTCCATTGGGTTAATATGCCTGAGCTGATAGGTGGAGAAGTGCTGAATTTGTAGCAATATCCTACCCCCATGAGCCTAGTTTCTATTACTGATATGCTATTTGGCACCTGCCTTGTAACCTAGTTATGTCAGTCTTGGTGATGTTTCATTTGATATAAGGTCAAATATTGTCAGTAATTGAAACAAAGCTCACAGGAGGTATCACATATATAATTCAGGTGTGGTGAATTATTAATATTTTTATGAAGTTTAAAATTGACATGACAATTTGGCCTTGCCCAGTGCACACTTTTTGTCTGTGAACACCATACCATTTTGAATCCCTCAAGTTACTTGCATATGGTGTATGTACAGTCTTTAATTTGAAAATGTGCAGATATAAATGAAATTGATGTATGGTATTAACTTTTTCCATGTCAGGATTTGTGTCTTCACAGGTAACAGATTCAGGTGTCTGTGAACTTGCCCGCAAGTGTCCATTACGAAGGGTGGTCCTGGCAGGCTGTCATCACCTTACAGACAAGAGCATCTTCACCCTGGCCAATATGTGCCTGGATATACAGGAGCTACACCTCAATGGATGTGCACACGTGTCTCCTGTGGCTGTCAGATATTTACAGGTATGGTACAGGTACTACGACTGGGTTCTCATCCCTAAAATCGATCTAACAGGATCATTCCATCTCCATGGGCTTTCTCGCTAAATTGCTTTCAGCTTAAGTGGCTTAAATGTCTGGGACAATTACTAAAGCTGCTGAATGATAGTTAATTACCCCCTATCAGCTTCAGTAGGCATGACAGACATCTAAGCTGTTTAAGTTAATTGCAATTAAGTGAGAATTGCCTTAGAGATAGGTCGCTCCATGGTTAGTACGATAGTCTCTGGGAATGGACTCTAAGAGATCTTCAGAGATAATGTGCTTGTATGTTATAATTCAAAATGACAATGTACATCAATAGGACTGTAGCTTACAAGGCTAATATTCATTTATTCTTCAATCAGTACTTAATTGTGCATTTATTAATTCATTCATTCATAAATTATCTTTACATATTAAATGAAAAACATGCGTAAGTTTGTGTCCTGCTATTGTTTTTGTAGGATCAGTGCACATCCAGAGTGTACATACAACACAAAATTCCTAATGCTGCTCCAAACCAGCTTATGGCAAAGAACTTGGACACGGGAGAGTTTTGTAGAGCAGATCTTATATATACATAATACTCACAGTGGCCATGGCAAAAAGACTGGAAGCTTATGGGAAAGGAATGCAGAGGACTTTCACTGTCAAATGTCTAAATGTATACCCGTTTGAGCAAATGATTGGAAAACCAAAGATTGCAGACTCACTATGTATTTCATAGTTTTGGAAACACAACACTTACTTTAAGTCTGTAGTACAGGTTTTTGTAAAATCTTTTTTGGTGCCTTACTTTGAGGGAATGTGTGCACATAAGCATGTATACTACAAGATATATATATTCTGCGACTTAAAGAACCTCCATTACATGCTCGATTGCAAGGAGAAATCATTTATATTCCAAGTGTTGTGTCTAAATAGCAATAGAAAAATTTTGTGCAATAAGTTAACATAACGTGATAAGCCTGGTTTATGTTTTTGTAATGTGGTATGGGAGCCTGTTACATACATCTACAAAACCAAAATGTAATATAAACTGTCATTGTTTATGAACTGTATGTTATTATTAAAGGGATAATAGGACTATTATTAAAGGGATAATAACTCTTCGTTTGGCCAAAAAATGAATTTTCCTGGAGTAAACAACAATTTTCCCATACTTACCAATATTAATGAATCCATTTTTACACTCAAAGTTAGTCCTTGGTTTTTTTCTAAAAAATATGTTTTTTTGTTAAGTATTATGTATAGAGTATAGCCATAAATGGAGGTCACGTGGTCTTAAGACAAGCTCAGATATCAGAAAAAAAGCTATAACTGCCGTTTTTGTGGTAAAAGAGAATATATTTCTTCGAGTTATTCACAATGTTTGTATTGTGAAATATATATTTCATACGAAGAGTTATTATCCCTTTAATGAATAAGAAAAGCAACTTACATTTTTTGTCACAGCTTAACCTAATACTGACAAGAAAAAAAAAAGAAAGTGAAAATATTTTTGAGGATATCACAAAGGCACTCCTTGTTGTTTTATTTATGTATAAAATCGATGGAATATTTTGTAACTTTTAAAAATTTAACTTGAAATTCTTAATTAAAACATAAAATACAATATGTCTGAAATGGTTTTTTTTAAATGTTTTATTTTATTATATTTTAAACTTTATGTTGACTGCAATTTCAGTATTGCTGACATCCAGAAGCATTGCACTGTGCTATCAGTAAAAATATACTTTTCATTTACCAAGTATTTAAAAATGTTATTATAACAATTAATTATAAAGTAGAACATTTCAGAGTAATCACTATGTATGTAATCTGAACAAAAAACAAAATTATTGAAAAATCTCTACAAAAGCTAACCAATATTATTGCACACCATACCAAGTACATAACATTAACAATGTAAATTTATTTTTAAAAAAAGCAAGCACACACTTTATGCCACTAACTGCATAAAACAAAATCTTTTCATGTCTACAACTAAACCTTAAGCTGCCTTAATCATAGTAAACTGACCATCCATCTACCATTCCTAACATTCCACCACCCCCTTTTGATGTAAAAATTCACTAACCTACACCATTTAGATTATAATACATTTTAAATTGTTTTCCCTCCCAGATGAGATGCACACTCAATCCTTTGTTGTAACAATAATTATAAAGAATGATGTACAAAAGGTAAAACCATTCAATACATTGCTGAGAGTTTTAAACATTGAACCACTAATGAATAAAAGAAATATTAAAACATCTTTTATAATGGCAAGCAATTAAGAATTGATAACAGATACAATTTCAACAATTATCCTTATAAGTCACCTCGTCATAGAAATGTATCAGTAAAATATTCATATAAAAATACTTTTTGTTAAAATCCCATGTCTACCAAAAGAATGTGACAAAGCTCATGTTAAAAATTATATATAATGACAGAAACATATTTGTATTGTTGCATGCAAGAGTTTTTTTAAAGTAAAACAGCACCCTGTTCAACATTCAGCTGGTAAAATTTCCATCCCCACATGTTTAAACAAAATTGTTTTCATAACTGCTAATTCAAATTCATTTTGAAACATTTCACTTAAGATAATAGTTAAAAGATGAAATGTTTGCATGTATGCTCTTACACCTAAAATAAGTGGTGTTAAAATTTGCTCTCAAATAGCTAGGGTTGCTATAAAAGAAATATGAAGAACAAATAACTTTTCATTATGGTTAAGCCACATAATGATGTGCGATCTACATAACTACAACAAAATGCCTACAAGAAGTTTCACATACCAACATTAATTTCCCTGAAAACTACTGAAAACCACTATAGTTTCCAAATGGCACCCCAAAGGCCTGCATATATAACATTCCAGTAGCAGCATTAATGAACTCTTGTTGGCTGTGCATGCCACTACTAGCAGATGACACTTGGACAGTTCCTGGTTGCTCTTGGCTTTTTACCATGGACTGCTGTTGGTCCATTGATGGGTCCATACCCCTTGTATTATCAATATCAGTTGCTGGAATAAGATCTCTAGTGTTAATAGTTTCATGGGTTGTCATAGCCTCATGTGTGACCATGGCATCACCACTGGAAGCATTTTGGTCCAACTGGTGAGATGCTGTGCCCCCAAATGCAACACGGATGAGGCTCTCACCTTGAGAGACAAAGTGGGACAAATCAGGATTTTCATCTGGGATTGGCAAAGTTGTGATTTTAGTCATGTTTTCCTCGCCGTGAATCTTCATGTGGACGCGTAGATTGTCTGCACGTGAACACGACTTGCCACAGATTTGGCACATAAAACGTTTGAAGTCTGTGTGAACGGTTTTTCTATGTTTGGTTAAACCACCTTTGTCTGGAAACCCTCTGCGACAGATTTCACAAACATGTGGTTTTAATCCTGAATGTCTTTTTTCATGTGCTGCCACTCTGTCTTTGCTTTTAAATCCTTTACCGCAAGTTGAACAACTATAAGGAGTTTCGGTTTTGTGAACCAGTGCATGGGAATACAGAGTGGCTTGTGTCTTAAATGACTTTCCACATACATTGCAGATAAACTGCCTCCCTTCTTCATGAGTAAGACTATGAGCCTCAAGGTTGCTTTTATACATGAAAGTTCTCCCACAAATGTCACACATAAAGCGAGAAGAGTCTTCTGTGTGTCTACGCCTATGAGCTCTCAAAAGATGGTCAGACTTAAAGAATTTTCCACAGATTTCACATTCTACATTTTTTATCTCATGAGTTCCCTCATGAACTTTAAGTGCACTCTTACTAACAAAACCACGGTCACATATGCCACATTTGAAAGGGCGTTCTTCTTGATGAAGCATCATGTGCAGTTTCAAACTATTTTCATAGGGGAAGGACTTCCCACATGTAGAGCATTGGTATTTCTTCTCATTTGTGTGAACAGCTTGAATATGGTTTTTTAGATGACAGGAAGTTAGATAAGTCTTTACACACAGCTCACACTTATATGGACGTTCACCCTTATGTCGCAACATATGAAGTTTTAAACTGTTGCTAAAGTTAAACTTTTTGAGACACAGTTTACAGTGGAAAGGTTTGTTATCTTCACTACTATGCAGACCACGCCTATGATGATACAGTGTACTCTGAGATGTGAATGCCTTTCCACATTCCTCACAGACAAACTTCTTGTCTTTGTTGTGTCTAAGGATATGTTTGTACAGGGCAGAGCGGTTTGGACAGGTGCGTCCACACAAATGGCACTTCAACACATCTTCTGCATGTAATTTCACCCTGTGCTTCTTCAGCTCTGCCATCTTTGAAAATGACTCTCCGCATATGGAACAAATGTGGTTATGGACCTCTTCCATGTGCTTTTGTAGATCATCATGGCACACAAATATTCTCCTGCACAGATCACAGTTGTAAGACCGCCCTGGATGTTGTTCTCTAATATGACGCTTAAACTCCACTCTCTTTTTGAATATCTCATCACAGTCAGTGCAAGTGTATTCAGAAGTTTCTGCATGCCGCTTCTCATGCCTCTTTAGGTCGTCTGGACGAAGGAAACTTTTGTCACACTGTTTGCACTGATGTGGCTTTAAGCCTTTGTGTCTATTCAAATGGTCCCTGTAGTGCCCACTATGATCAGTGGTGTAATCACAATGAGCACAATGAAATTTTCCTGCCTTCATCCCATCGACAACTCTATGCTCTTGTGGTACAGTCTGTTGTGCTGGAGCAGCCCTAGTTTTTGGTGGTTTGACCTGTTTAGGTTTAATTTTTTTCTTGCTTTTCCTTGACTTTGCTGTAATAGAGAAAGCGAATCACTTTCAATATCATCTTTTTCTTGATCTTCGATGTAAAGTAACAGATGTAAAGTTACAGATAAGTAGACTCACTTTTGACAAGATGAAGACTAGTCAGATTTTCACTCACACTTAACATGTAACATTACTATTTCAATGTTTCACAAGCCTTTTATTCTATTTAGATCAATTCTGTCTGAAATACTTAATTTGACTTTGATAAAAAAAAGGTGCTTTATTACGGGGTCTTCCTCGCTTCCTTTTCCCAATTTGTCTTTCATCAGACAGCTTCCATTCCTCCTCACTCCTGGAAAATATATGTAGGAAAAACATGTCACATCTTATGGTGAACATATCAATTAGCAATTTCTTAATAAGATGCAAATTATAACCCCCCTTCTCCTAAAAAAAAAAATAAATAATAAAAATAAATAAATAAATAAATAATAATAATAATAATAGACGGATTTAATGTTGTACTCACCCTTCATCAGTCACCTCCTCAGGACTATACACATCATGGTCACTCTCGTTGACCTCTTGTTTCACTCCAGTATCTCCCTGTTCTTTTCTGGAACCACTACCTGCTGTTTCTACATGCTGGATCAACTTCTCCACTGTCTTAGAGATACCAGATTCTTTTGCATAAGAGATCAGTTGTTGTATGAATTCATCTTTATTTTCTTGTACCAATGTCTTGGTGTCTGTTAAGCCAGAGGGTTCAGAGTTATCTGAATCTACAGTTTCAGTCAAGCTTGCACTTTGGAGGTTTGACAATCGAGAAGATTTTTTTGTTGCTGTGAAATTAATGTCGGAGAAACCAACTATGCCATTATGTTCATTCTCAATGTTTACATCTAACTCATCAATAAGATTATTCCTTTCTGTTTTTTCAACTTGTTTACAAGGCATATTAGTAGACTCCATTGCTATTGGGAATTCTGTTTGGAACAGATGTTGGTCTGATGAAATGAACAAAGAGCCTTCTTGTGTTGTGTTGTGTACTCTATACTCATTGATAGGTTTCAGCAAAGTATCAGCATTGCCATGTTGACCTATGACCAAGTCAATGCCATTTTCTCCATTAGAAAGAGCAGTTTGATTATGCTGTGAGGTGAGTGACTCATCAACTTTCACAACAGTCACATCTCTGTCTATGTCAACTGTGAGTGTTCCTGTGATATGGGCATGGCTAGTAAATGATATGTTTTTCAATGCAGCCACAACAGCCTTTCCTAGAAGGAACTGCAGTCCCATTCTTTCCTGGATAGAAGCCCTATCTTCCATATTCTACTGCTGCAAAATGAAACCATATGTAAATGATATCCATGTCATAGCATCCTGGTTGGCATTACAGGGGGTGCAATTTGAGGAGACGAGAGGCAAGATAAAAATTTAAGAGCTCCTGTATCATGGTGGATGTACAAGCTGGTTCTCATTTTATACTTTTTGAGCCGGTTGCTTTCATGCGTTAGAACAGCCAGTATATTTCATGTAGAAACCGAAGTGCTAACACATACACTCGTGCTACGTTAACTTAGGCTATATATTCACATACCATCACTTTATACAACTTACATACTTACTTCTGAAAGCCATGTGCTCAAACATCAGGTAACCAAAAAGCAACAAATATGCAAAGATAAACTGCAAAGCGTGGCCGCACTACCAGCAGAGACTGGCCCGATCTCGGTTGTGGTCAAGCTTAGAACCGCAAATCAGAATGTCAACATTGAAGTTTCCAGCATCCCCTTCTTCTTATGCATGCACAAAATAGAACCACGACTGATGATGCAAATACATAAGATGATCAACAGTGCAAAATATCTGTAATGTACAATTACAGAAGAGAACTGGATGTCCTTCTCACTTTGGGCATCCCATCCTGTCCCCTCTGACGTCAGTTCAACAAGTTAATCAACCTTCCTTTGAAGAGAGCTCTTTCCAAGATAAGCACAAACGAATCATCCGAGATAGCCAAAGGTCTTTGCTGCGACTTCGTGTAAATTAGAGCGAAATATCGAAGGATTTGGGAGAAGAAAGAGGTCAGCATTTTATGATACTGTTTAAGTTCATTGAATTACATTGTATATTCCTTTAGTATCAATATGAATAGATAAACTTTATTTTATTGTTCCACAACACATGAATGGAAAGCTATTGCCAAGAATAAAAGAATTGAAATATGAAAACGTTCAGATTTATTTTAGTATTCACAGATACATATTTTCCAACTCTGCATTAATAACGCGCACCTAATATTTTTGTACGTGTAAACATACATGTACCTTACATGCATAAATACCAGTAGGGTCTCTTGTCTCTTTTAAATATAAATATAAATGCACTTTAATACTTGAGAAAGTCATTAAATTGACAAATGATATGGACATCACGCAAAATGCACCTTGGTCACACTTGGACAAGCAGGCCCAGGTATAAGTAATGATAATTTAATTTAAAGACTAAATCGATAAATCTGGAGGTTTATTCTACAGTCCACCTACTTGTATTTAATCTGGGGGTTTCTCTTATGATATCAAAAACATCGGATAATTCATCCCGCCAACATTAGGTATTATCTGTAAGTTCATCGGAAGATTGAAGGGGAGGAGTGAAAAAAATGTACACTCAGGCATTAAGACAATAGATTCCCCGACATCTTTCTCCTCCTCTCTTAATCCCCTTATGTGCTGGTATATAACAAATCTGAAGATAATTGCAAAATGACATGGCGATGGCGTATCAGAAAGTAAGGCAGCCTGTGTTTTGCACGCTGTAATAACCAGTCGGTGGTTATACACTTTCTATGATTTTTTTTTCACTAGTAAGTCAACTGAGACAGGCAGGAATAGTTTACTGCTACATGATTTATTCAACGGACTGAAGACTCAGGTCTCTTCTACCATCTCTCTCTGTGTTATCTATCTCCGCGTTCCCTGACGGCGGCGGTACCTCTATGATCTCCGCGACGCGATCTGGCCCATTGTACTCTTTCAATGGCCAATCTTTATTGAACAGGCGCATAATTTTACGCGGGCAATCTACGGTCGCGTGTCCCTCGCGCAGAGCATCAATACCGATAATCATCTCGTGGTTAATACCGTCGACCACTACCACGTCGCAATATGTCGCGCCATCAATTTTGACTTTCGTTCGTCCTTTAACATCTAGCTTCTCCCCTGAGACGCTAAAAATCTCGTTTGTTTTCTCCAGCACCGTTCTTCTTCCCGTGGCTTCGCACACTTTTTTGAAAATGTCGAGGCGAAGGCAGGTACAGCATGCACCAGAATCAATCAGGGCCCTACACCGTATTCCACTAAGACCTCAAACTACCGCTAATCTACTGATTGAAAGTGCCTCTGTACCCGCCACGTCTAGTTTAAAGACTTCTTATTTTTTAATGTTGTCAGCTGCCGGCATTCTCTCTTTGAGTGCCCTACTTTGTTACAGTTGTAACAAATCACCGGCAGAGAAGCTCAGTGGATGATGACAGCTGTGATGAAGAGACTGCAATAGGGAAAGAAGTTAGAGAGGGGATCCGGAGCAATGAGGTTGTGATCAGCGGCGTTGCTAACAAATCTGCAAAAGAAGAATTCCCTGGTGCCGAGATGTTGCAGCTCCCCGATGGAGGCAACAATAATGTGGTCAGTGACGTTGCTGACAAAGCAAAATCTCCCGAATTTGAGATTTTGAAACCCCTTATGACCAGTGGTGATTCTGATGTATTAAATTTCCCTGATGCAGAAATGTTGCCGTTCCCTGATGAAGAGAGGTTGTCGCCCAGTGATGCTGAACCGTTGAAGTCTACTGATGATAAGATGATGAAGTTTCCCTGTGATAAGATGATGAAAACCCCTGATGTTGAAATGCTGCGTGTTGAGGAAATGGCCACCAATAAGACCAAACTAATTGAAAACGTGTGTTACCATAAGGACAATGAAGAAAATGACGAACAAGTGAAGGAAAGGATTGAGCTGCGTACTGAGGAAAGGGACAATGATATGGTGAATTTGAATATACTTGCTTATTACAAGGATAAAGACAGAAATGAAAAACAAGGGAATAAAACAGATGACTTGCTTGATGCGTTAGAAAGAACTGAAAAACTTAACTTGAACTTGAAAGGTACAGAGAAATGGAGGTACCCACCTCATTGCAAACTAAGGCATTTTTTTTAATGAGATAAGTTGTCCATGAGTAATTTTTAATAATTATTTTTTCTTTTCATCAATGTATAGAAAAATGGAGGTATCCACTTCACTGGAATTTTTTTTTCAATAAGGTTAGTAAATTGTCCAAAGATTGTTTTTCATAAAATTTTCTGTTAATTATTGTATGTCACATTTTTCTTTATTTGCATTTGATTTTTTTAAAATGCATACCCTTTGTGAAAGATAAGTTCTTAGGTTGTTAAATGTGTACTAAATATTGATTTGATTTGATTTGAGTAACATGTATAAAGCAGTCTTATAATTATATTTTTTAATGGGTGTGAATGTCTATGCAAAGCTAAAGTATGTTTAAAAGTCCTTTAATGCTTATGTTAAGCTAAAATTGTTTTATTATTTTTGAAACTGTTAAATCTTGGTTAAATTTGATTAAAAGATGTTCATGTACCTTGTATTATAGCTTAACACTCTATCAATTACAGTGTATAAATAGGAGTCGGTGCAGTAGGTTAAAAAAAAATTAAGTTCCTTAATTTTGTTTTCGGTAAAAAAAGGGAGATATGTGTAGTGAACCGTTAATTAGTACTGATTGTCTTCCAAATTTGCATACTGAGATATGCATATTTGTTAGAGTTTTAATTATTCAAATGTATATAGACATGACAGTTTGCATGCGTTGAACTATTAATAGTATTGAGAGCTAATTTCCATATATGTCATTTACATATTCGTTAATGCAAATTGTACCCACAATTAAATTTTAAGGTCTTAAGGCATGGCATGTCGCATGTCAATCACAGAAGTTAATTTAAAATGTAAATGGAGTTCATGTATAAAAGCAGTGACAGGGAGTTATAGATACCACAGAGAGAGATGGTAGAAGAGACCTGAGTCTTCAGTCGGTTGAATAAATCATGTAGCAGTAAACTATTCCTGCCTGCCTCAGTTGACTTATTGGTGAAAAAGTAACTCTAAGAAGGTGTGTATAACCACCGGCTGGTTATTACAACGCGTGCCACTATATCGGTGCATTACCGCCGGTAGGCTACATACAGACTCATCAATCCGCATCCGTATGTCAGGCGTAACCTTTGGCACTGGTTTCCCCTAACAAAAGGAATGTTGTGAAATTATATATCACAGTTTAGTTGGAATTCCCCAACAGCTGTTTTTTTTTTTTGTTTTTTTTTCACATCTTAATCCACCTTTGTTTCAGAGCACAGACAGTTGCACTTAGTATATAGGGCCAATACTCTAGCTCGGGTGGCTCTGTGGACACGGCATACGGCTATAGACAGAAAGATTCCGCAATCTATTATCAGGGCCGTAGCCTCCGGGGGGGGCATGGGGGGCAGCTGCCCCCCCCCTGGGATTTGAGGTGCAAAAAAATAAATAAATAAATAAATAATAATCGCAAAGGTAAAAAAATAATTGCAAAGTTGGTATCAATTCTGTGAGAAAATGCACTCATGGCCACTAGACAATCATTCAACAATCGTGGGAGGGGGACACCCCCTCCCACAACCTCCCCCGTCGGAGGCTTCGCCCCCTCGTGTCCGCTTACTGCCCCCCCTGGCATTTTGCTCAGGCTACGGCCCTGATTAGGCAAGCTGCATACAACCGCACTTCACCCTCCTCCTGTGACCCGAAACACCTGAACTGGAAATACTACTTTTATTCAGTTTTGGCATTATTTCATCATGAAACAAGGTAAAATATTTGAGAAAGCATCCACATCAGAGGATTTTGTGGAGAAAAGGCCGTCTTCAGAATGGCAGCCCTCGATTCTACGATCAAAAGCCTTAGTAGTGGCAGTAGTATTTGTTGTCTGTGCCCAAGAGACAGCGCTATCGGCAACATTAGGTAAGCTAGTTACAGAAACTGAAGCCTAGCAAATGCAGTAGGTGTTGGCTGAGGACAAGCTAGCCGGGAAACTGACTTTATTAAGGTTGCCTGCTAAACCCGTAAAGAAGCTGATAATCCGACAGCAGACCTCCTGAAAAGAAAGAAAAAGGTAAAGGTAGCGTGCTGGAATGTATGCACACTTTACCAAACAGGTAAGTTAGCACAAGTAATAAATGAGATGGAAAACTACAGAATTGACCTGCTGGGAGTTGGTGAAGTGAGACGAAAAGAGTCAGCTGTGCTCAAGACAAACCACGCCTTTATGTACTCATGTTTGCTTCTTTACAAGCATTGCAGCAGTAATCACAATAGGCCTATATAAATTCGGGATCTATATTTTGATGTCAACCCCTCTCGATTTTCAAATCACGAAAGTTCTTAGCCGTGATAAGGCATTGCTGATCTTCCATGATGTAATATCAGTTAAGTAGCGCTCTACGTTTAACATAGTTTTATACTTACTGTATCAATGTATTATGCCAATATCGTGTCAATATATATATAGTAGTACATAGTAGTAACTTCTGACTTTTTACTTTTGACTAAGTTTTTAATCTCTGCTAAAGTTTTACCGGTAGAGATATATAACTTTATTTTTCGTCACTGAGATATGAATAAATCAAACGAACAAGTGATTATCCCTGCATCAATTTCAGAACCAATAATGCCTTGTCTGCTCTCCGAAGATGCTACTAGTGATAGTTGTATAACGCCTACAACGCAAAGCGCCACGAATTTTAAGAAGTACGCCGTGCAAGCTGGGGTTATATTAGGTGTAAAATATTTTACTGAAATATTATGCAGACCAATTTCAGGTGTATTTATTGACAGGTAAGAGGACAAAACATGTTATTTAATTTTATTTAAATATTTTATGAGTGTCGTTGTTTTAATTCAGTATGCGATGAGCCGAGTGCTAGCCTAAATATGGCGGACCTGCATGAAAGGAAGACCGCTTAATCCTGTAATTCACGTCCCTGCAGGAGCACAGTAATTAAATCTTGTCTCAATTAGATCGGTCGAGGGACGACGCGTGGGGAGGTGTGTGAGAGGCGGAGAGACCATTACAGGATTAAGCGATGTAGGTCCGCCATATTTTTATGTAGGTCTGCCATATTTAGGCCGCTGACCAGTTAGCACTCGGATCTTCTCATTCTGAATGGCTTCATAGATATATAATAAATTCCACTTGTCCACCAAAACAGCGGTTATCGCAATTATTCTCGATTGTGTGCATGCCATATCAGTAAACCGCTTGCCTTCATAGATGGTTATTATACCTCCGTAATAATTTCTTAAGAGACTATGACAAAAAAAAAAACTTTTTTAGAAAAAAAATGGACTAACTGTGCTTTGAATGTTGGAATGGATTCATTAGCCCATGGTAAGTATGGGAAAATCGTCGTTTACCCCAGGAAAATCCGTTTTTCGACCAAAACGAAAAGTTGTTATTTATTATTAAAAGCACATATTATATTTCGGTTACCAAATAAGAAGAAACGTTCAACAACACTATATTTCTTTTTTTGCTGGACAAAATATTTTATCCTTCTTCCCAGTTTTGGTTACAAAAATCCATTGCTACTCGGAGCTGTTCTGGATGCGTTGTCAACGCTATGTGAGTATTTATTTATATCATTCCGTTTAAGGAGGATCTTTGAATTGTCTTTTGTTGCACCGTGCCTACAAGCCGTGGTGAGGTGGTAACGGAATCTGACAAATTATCGACATTTATAAAGTCATCTGTCTAATTCTAAGCACTTTAAGTAATCATTATTTTTATTTTGCTCGTTCGTTTTTTTCTTTTACTCCTCCGCGCAGTTGTGAGATGGCCGTTTAATATTCAATATTAAATCTTCGTTCTAGTGTTTGCATTTGCCAAGCCTTTCCCATTGCTTGTCCTAGCTCGTGTTGTTCAAGGGATTGGATCTAGTATAAGTGGAGTTGCAGGTATATAAATAGAGATTTTAAAAGTGTTTTCGAATAATTGATGACCGGTCCGTTTGGATGTGTTCTTATAAAGTGCTTTTCATCGGAGTCAATGGAAATCTTTACTATTGTCATTTGAAGCACAGTGCATGAGCTGGAGGAATAATAACAACTTCTCTTATCAGAGGCCTCTTAAATAGTAGAATTAAAGTACACAATAATTTTGTAACAGACTACTAGCGCACCCTGTGTTCAGAGGGTAGAATAATAGTTTCTTCAAGTAATAAACAAGCATACAGATGATTTAAGTTCTATGCCAACTTACAGAGACATTGCCAAACCACGATGCTTTGAAAAGTCCTTATGACTAGATTAACGTTATTTTTTTTTCATATAGCTCTTACGATGTTAACAATAACATATGACAACGAAGTCGAGAGATCAAAAGCTACCGCAACAGCTTTTGGTGGATATGCCGTGGGAATGCTTGGTAAGCATAGACACGTTGTTTACTGATGCTGTTTTCTCTTGTTTCTGCAAAATAAAATTGGCGACCAAAGATTCAACTGCCATTTTATTAAACTCGATCAGTATTATCATTACTACCTTAAGTGTTTAGATTTTAAGCCAGAACACGGGTTTGCTTCGTTTTAGGAGGTTACGTTCTTGGTAGTAGTACATATCAGCCACTCGGTCGTCGTGCGCCCTTCTTATTCTTAACGGGATTTAAAGTTTTCGATGGTGGTAAGTAGAACCGATATATACTGCATATATATGTATTTGTTGACACTCCTAATAGATTCACATAAATAAAGAACCCAAAATCTTTTGTAAAGTAAAAAAATATGCAAATTAATCATTGATGTATAGATATGGCGCTGGTATCTCTCTTTGGAATTGCATACATCTGTTCTCATTAATTTCATGATACATTTATTATTTCATTATTTTTTTCAGTTTTCCGTATGCTAGTGGTTTGGTCACAGGTAAGGATATTATTGAACAATATCATTTGTGCCAACTCGATGTGATCTTTACCTTATGTCATATTCCCATTGGCACTGGTTTTCAAACATTTTCGAAATATGCAAAATATAATAAAAAGATGGTCACATTAAATGATTTAGAAGATTTATGAACTCGAAATTCGAAAAGCAATTTAAATGTAAAGTATTGGTTTAATTAAACCCTGTAATGCAAATACTATATACAATTAAAACCAATAATCTTCCAAGTAGAAATATTTAAAAAATCTAAATCATCTTAACTTTATCATAGAAAGCAGGTAGTAAAGGAGATCAGTTAGAATTCGAGGACACATCTGTTTCACTGAAAGCTTACTTGAAGATTGTTGGTGATCCTTACATTCTCCACGGTCTGGGTAAGATGTTCTTTACCAACCTGCCTTTTTTTCACGAGGGCAACCAATTCAGGCTTTTTAATTCATTGTTATATTATTTAAACACTTACTGATAACTCTTACCTTTGGCATAGCACATTCTGTTTTGGGGGTGCGTCATATTTTGATAACCATTTGAATAGACTGAGGTTTAAATGTCAACAATAAATGTACTTTTCTTTATCACTGTGTATTGTGTTTTAATCTTAGGAACTGCTTTTGTTGATGTTCTTGCATATGCCCCTATCTTGACCATTGCACCACCGTGGCTTTATCAAGTGCGAGCGGCGCAGGAGTGGCAAATCGGTTGGTAACTACAGAATAGAGACAGGCAGTTACAGACAGATAACGACAGAACTAGATTTTATAATGAAGTTAATGCGTTGACATGGTCTGAAATGCATTCTGAAACTGTTATTACATTTTAAAACATTTATTTTGCACTCTCAAGTTGATTTCTCTTGGGGAGTTGCTAATGATATTTTCCCTTTAATTTAGGCATTGTTTTTCTGATCTCGGGAATTGCGCAACTTTTGATGAACGAGACAGTGTCACTTCTCCTGAACTACATCGACAAGTAAGTGTTATTAAGTAAATAAACAAAAAACTATGAAACTATATGAGCGATCAGGTTCAAAATAACCAATTGCTAGCCTTCACACTCAGTAGACGTAAACCGTGAGCCATATGTATTCACCGGGCTACTGTAGTTTCTTCTGTTACTAAAGCTGTTTTTTTTTTTTTTTTTTTTTTTTTTGACTCTGAGATGTCAGGTATAAATTGGATCTTAACACCAGTAAATTATCAAAGTTGCCAGTTTGGCTAGTCCGGTAGGTTAGTGGTTTGCAGTGTAGCCAGGTGAACAGTTGTTTGTGCAGAAAAACGAAAGAAAGTTAGCTGAAAATATTATCTACTTGTCGATCACGAAAAAGCACTGTACATGACACTTTGTGGATAAGGTAAAATATAGCCATCAAAATAAAATTACCGTATACATTTCTTAATATGAATCTTATCAAAGGTGATATATATATATATATATATATATATATATATATATATATATATAAACTTTTTTGATTTGCTTTTCAGATGGGTCTTTGCTTGTTTAGGGCTGCTTTTTTATTCGATTTCGTACACAGCAGTAAGTAACTGTTGTTTTTACCTTTACCGGCCCTTTGGCACTCTTCTGCACTAGCTGTAGTGGTGATATCCAAGCAAATAACAGATGTAAAGAATCTTTATCTTGCAGTAGATATTTTATTATTACATCACATATTATCATTTTATTACACATCACGTATTATCATTTTTTATAATTACACTTTACAGAAATGTTTAATTTCCACCTCTTCAGTTTTATAAAAATGAGTGTCTTGTATTAATACGTTTTTACGCGTATTCAACATTTTTTTGTGTGTAAAAAATTGTGTATAATAAGATCTTTTCTTATATATTTTTTCTTATTCCAGTATCCCTGGGCTACAACAGTGTGGGAGGCTATAGGACCTAATAGTTTACTCTGCGCTGGTTTTGCACTTAGCCTTTCCGTTATAACACCTATTATGGTCGAACTTGTTAAAATGAGACATTGCTCAGAGTTTGGAACTATTATAGGTCTGCAAACTAGTGCCCAAAGCTTAGGATTTGCAATAGGTACATGTGAACATAAATGAAGTCATTCAGTCTACGTAGAGAAAACACTCGAGTAAAACTGCTCTCGATTTAAGTCTAGTAATTTGTTGAATGGAATAACTGAGAGACTATTGTAAAGGAGAAAAGGATGTTAAGTGCATTTAGTTTCAAGAGTGCAGCTATTACTATTGGTACCAAATGATTTTTATAGTCTGCCTGAATTGAGTGCATATTATAATATTATATAAATATTCTCTCCTCAGGAGCTTCTTGCAGTGGTGCTGCCATGACAGCTTCTTCTTTTGAATGGTAAGAAAACTTCAAATTATGCAGCGGGTAAAATCTACAGATCCTGAGATAGTATCAAACTCCGAGGTTAATATCCACCCAAAAAACGTGTGGAGTTTTTTCAAATTAGTTTTGATTGTGCAGAAATGTTTTTCGGTTCATTTGATTATCTCAGATAATATGTGTCAAAGAAATATGCATTCAAATTACAGGAGCTGCTACTTGTGGGCCCTTATTTCATTCCTAGGTTCTGAGATGTGTGTGTGTATGCTCTTCCACGCTGTGCCATCAACAACGCAGGTTCGTTTATTAAGGGTCTGGGTGAAATATTGTAATCATTTTACACTTGAAAACGTTATGATAAACATATCTGCTATTCATATATAAAAGATAATCGAGTAATTTTGTAGAAATTAGCAAAACTGTAACAAACCTAGGAAAAACAATAATTAATTCCAATAAAAAACTAATCTTTTTAGACTTCCTTAAATGCTGGGTGGTATCATGAATAACAGTTAAACTTAAATTATGCTGTTTATTAAATTGGCTTTAAATAGCCTTGTGCAATGCTGAATTGCAGATGAAATCAACATACAGGGCCTCGTCAACGGCCTTATATACTGTAATTGGCACAGTTATAGGAAAAAAAAGGACCTTCCTCTCGCTCATTTTTGTTATAATGATGTACGCCGCTCCTCACATCAAATGTGTTTTGATATTTATTTCTAGGTACAAAAGCGACCTGATAACCAGTCATATGAATTATTTTTACGCAGTGAAAATGACAGCCAAGAAGATGAATAAAGGACAGTAAACCATATAAGTGTGATAGCATTCACGTTTTTCTGTGATAAACTGTAAGAACAAACAAAAGAGGAGATATTGATTCTTGCTCATCCAAAAATATTTTGCGCAGACATTTTAATCAATTCACATCCAAACGCAGGGGCAGATCCAGGATTATTTGAAGGGGCGGTCCGTGGATATGAAACCGACCCTAAAAATCCCTAAAAATCTAAACTTTTTGTTGAATGCATCTGTAGATTAACAGAAATTGCGAAATGTGTTGTCTCACCAGTCACAATTATTACCTCAAGCTGTAACTTCTGACCTTTACCCAGACTCAGCTTTGTTATCGCTGGATGACGTATTCGGGTATTAAAACAACAATCACGGGGGCTATGAACACCTTTAAACACAACAATCAAAGGCAAACCAATGTTTATTTGTTTTTCTTAATCAACAACAAATAAATTGTAACTGTTCGCTTTCAAAGGATTTGGGAATCAAGCCAGGTTTTCTATGCTGGCTTTTCATGGTGAATAAAGCAATGCAATTAAACCTTTTCATGGGTAAATTTGAATGAACACAAACCTTTAGAGAAAAATTGAATAATTGTTATTGAAACTTTCTTTATTTGCACCACGTTGCTATAAGGAGAACGCTAGCAGCTGGCTTCCAAGCTAAGCGACCAGGGCATATCGTTCATTACACCTGTCAAAACCAACACTTGGGCAGGCGATTTAGTCCAATTGCAAATCAAGGTAAGTTTTTGGTTTCAAATATTGGATTTTTATGAAAGTAAACGCGACAACAACATTTTATTCTACTTGCTAAGCAAGCAATGAAAGTAATAAGAAAGAACACTAGTCCTCTTGCACTGAATTGCATAATTGCGGTTTTGTTTTCATTAGACTAAGCGTTGCGGTCGTGTTAAAATTTCTCCTTTTCTGCCTCGATGACATTTTTGAAGGGTTACGCCAAAGCTATACAACATCTTTGTAACTGGAAATTAGCTGATTCTATACCACATCTGTTACTTCCGTAAGTTTATAAAGCGACATATCAGTCTGAATAAGAAGACGACTTTGTTGTAAGGTTTACATACTCAAACCTTATAAGACCATTTATACAAAATCCATGCTTAGGCGTAGCATCTGGAAATGGTAAACAATCAAAATCCTAGCTGCACGATGTGAGATTAGATTAATAAACACATTTATCGATCGGCGCTTGTTCAACGAGGAAAGCTAGGTAGTCTGTTTCATTATTTTGGCTTGTATTATAGATGATCACTGCTGGCTTTATCACAGCGCAGTAGCGCTAAGGCCACGTTTCTGAAGATAACAATCATTGAAGTGCCAGTCAATATAACTGATGACAAAGATTTTGAAACGTGTATCGAAGCCGGAAAGCCGCCAATTTTACCGAAAAAGATAACAAGCGAGTGTCTTTTAAGTGCTGTCGTGGCGCACAGGTATACATGTAACATATGCAGTCGTGCAATATATCAATATAGGTGAGGTGTGTTCGGAAATAATACATATGCATTTTGAGTAATCGGATCAAGACCATTACGTATCTCAAACGAAACCATTAGACTTTTTAAAGTGGTATGTACATTAGATTTCAAGAGAAATTATTATTTCTGATTGGTATGGTAATGTGATATCGGAAAAAAATTGTGCATGCTCTAATGACTGTATACGAAGCAATCAAGTGCAATTAAGGCCAGTTTTTGTCATTCATGGTTATTTGAAAAACACTGGTATCAGGACGTATCTTGTAAGGAAGTTAAAGACATAAAATCCAGTTGTTTTCATCCTTTTCAACTCGCATAACAAGCAGTGGGTTTGGGTAGGCCCTATTCAGGTGTTAACATGCCAAACTTTTTATAATCCATTTTATCACAGCAAGTAATAAAGGTTAGAACGATTAGTCGGTTACCAAGAGACACGGCGATTACAATGACACATAGGATTTAGAATATTTAAACTTTGTGAACGCCGAGTCGAATAGTAGTACTTGTGTGTGGTTGTGAACAATGCATACATGACAAATTGACAGAAAAGCGAAGGAAGTGTTTAATCAAAGCTTTCTAAAGTAAACATCAAATAGGGTCATTTTTTGTGCTGTTTTTTAACATAACCATTGCTGTATAGATCATTGCTTCTAAATAACCGTGGCGCCTTGTCGACATTCACCTTAAGGTTTCATATCAGAGTAGGCCTACTTGTGAAACGCTATCATTTATCTTATGAAATGCATCATTTAATGAAAATATGAAACACGATTTAATACGTAGCAATAAAATAAGGGCGTAATGCCAAGGCACTTTAACGGTACTTTTTGTATTTTAATTCATGTCAAGAATATGACGAAGTCGACAAAAATTGACTCAGCAGGGCGGCAGAAGTTTAATTGTTTGCTTATATGATAACAGCCGCTGTGACATCTTTCATCCCTCCTCCAACATAAAACAATGATATTGTTATAACGTTGCAATACAGATGTTATATTATGCTTTGTGCTTCCAAAAATATGTTAGAAAAAAAACAAAAACAAATAAAACGGTATATGAAAGTTGCGGCTTCCAACTGACGAAAGTAAGTCTGATTGATCACCGTGGCTGATTTGTCAGATACTGTATCCAAGGTAGTACATTACTGAGATACACATTAGTTGTAGGAGGAGAAGAGTTTCACTGGATTGTGTATATTTCGCAAAGACCGTACAAACAGAGCTCGGCAGGTGATAAAACAGATCATGATTTATATCTATCATGTCTTTTTTTTTTCGCACGAGAACTATGCACCTATGCTGTATGATATCTGCACGTAAAGAACAAGTTAGTTTGTGCTAATGTCATTTCACCGTATCAGGTGCTATTTTTCTTTCTTTTCAGATAAGGCAAAACAGACTGAAGGAGAAGAAATTCTGCTATCCTTTTGGATCGCCATATCGATAGATTTCTCAACCACTGTCACAATCAACCATGGCAACTCTTGGTGCCCAACTTTCACCCCCAGAAAAGTTACCGCGGATCCGCAGGGACCAAAACAAACGTCTAGAAGAATCGTTTAGCCAGTCGAGGAATCCAACAGAATTCGAACTTGAATTGCTGGCTGCTGAAGTCGGGCTCACAGATGAGGAGGTGGTGGTGAGGAACAATTGACTTATGTCATAATATTTCCAACAACTTTTTATCTTAGAATAAAAAAAACATAATTCATCGTGATTCCAAAGGCAAAACAATTGGTACACCTATTTTTTATTAAAAATTACGTCTGTCCTACACTATTTGCCAAAGGTTATATTAAATATTAATGAGATTTCATATTATTTCAGACCTGGTTTAAACATCGTCTCGCATTATGGCGCAAGCAACAAGGTCTGCCTGCCAATGAGGGTTCGATTTATGATTAACTGATTTCATCATACTGTCATCATGGCGGATAGCAGACGATCGATCTGAAGTGTGCCACCACGCCAGATGCGTCTTATATGCGGTGCTTAGCAACATATATTATCATACAGTCTCCATTGTCTTTATCAGCATTCGTCATCTGTACATTATCATTGAAGGTTTTTTTGTTTGTGGGAAAATTTTGATTTTACGAGTTTGTAATTTAATGTAATCAGTACTGCTATGCGGATATAGGGTCAGGAAAATGTTCAAGGGTGTTTAGTTGTATCGTTATTGGCTCTTCAAGTGACCTCACTGACTTTCTCATTAATCCTTATTATGTGAAGAAAAATATTGAATATTGCTGTGATATAGTTTGTTGGCTACTTGTAATTTTTTCTGCACAGAAAATAGATTTATTTTTTTCTCCTTCGGTATTCAGTGTGTGTTTTTGCAATATAGACACATATGTGAACTATGCGCGTTTTCGAGCATATAAAGGAAAGGAATATATGCTGAGTCTTTTAGCCAGGATGATCTGCGTGCTTCAAGGAGGATGAAAACCTGTAGAGGTGAGCCGTATCAGGAAACGATCTGGCTTTAAAAGCTGCAAACAATGCGTTTCCTACCGCTGTTCGATATTTTCGAGAAAATGTATTTGTGCAGGAAATATAACACGTCATGACGGCCGTTCTTCCATCCGGCTTTCAATCAATAGTTCGCGGCATCTTGAGAAACATTTGGTAATTTGTTATCAAATTAACGTACAAATGAACTTATTTCTCTTGATATACACGCCTTGAACGTTCGAACAGTCTGTGCTTGATGCATTTACTTAAGAAGTTTAAAACAATGCATTGCCGGTGAAATGATGTAATTTTCTTTCTTTTTTATATAAATACAGTAATAAAGCGAAATGTGGTCAAATGTAGTTTGGTGAGTTTATACTAAATAAAAACACTCTTTTGCACTTTTCAGTGGTATATTAAACTATAATACTGATATCGTACAATTGTAAAACGTCATTTGATGGCAACTTTAGTTACTTAATAATCAGGGCTAAGTGGCGACGTTGAACATGTTATTGATTATTTTTTGACAAAAATTTGCTAATAAAAAGACCTTTCTATAACGCCTTAGACTTCGAGGGGGGGGGCATATCTTGGAGTATGACATAAATGATATTTTCAGTATTTTTTTTCACCATAAGTATTCTTTTTTTTTTTTCACCATAAAGACACAACCACTCAGAATAATTCTGTGGTGCCATTGGATTTGTAGAAAACAAAATATAAATTTGAATCAAAACAAAAATACACAGTTGGTTTAGGAGCGTTTTAATCGTTATATAATAACTACGCTGATGAAGTTTAGTCACCCTGGGTTCCAGAGGAGGTGAGTTTCCAGTGTCCTTTGAAACTCGGGGTGAGTTTGTAGATTCTGTATACGAGCTCACATCTAAGCAATATTCTGATGTAATTGTTTTTAAACGCAGCTTCAGGGCGCTAAATTAAGTTGGTTAGCGAACCCCCGATGTGAGTCTGGATGGAGTTACCTTTATTATGGTAACATTGTTGTCTTTGACAGCAAACGATTACATGACAACGTTTCACCAAAAATAAACATATCAAAAACATACATGTACTCGATCATCCCTCTCGCTGTTATGAAGATGGCCTAGACCTTGCCAGAGGCACCTTAAACATAATAAAAGAAAAATAAATGATTGCTTACCTGCAGTGTTGTAAGTGACAGTATAAAATTGAAAACACATTAGTGATAATTGTCCTACGCTCAGACAATGCATGTATCGCTGTGTATCCCACTCCTATCCTTAAAAAGAAATACTAATAAAGCACATCGAGAGCGCAGACCTCCGCCAAGGCAGCAATTTTTCATTAATATTGATTATTGGTTGATTCTTGGTCCGGATCACCACCAAAAACTAATCATCTGTTCCTTGGCCCACTTCTGACATTTCCTGAAAACTTCAACAAAATCGGTCCATAACTTTTTGAGTTATGTTGATGACAAACAATCAAACAAACAGGGGTGAAAACATAACCTCCTTGGCGGAGGTAAATAGGCCTATAGCACTCATAATCATTCAGTAAATGATTGTTTCCATTCATGAAGCTGGGAATAATCCTTCATATGTTATTCTAAAAACAAACTTTAGATTTAAGCTTTTGTTATACTGTAAGCTATATATATATATATATAGGCCTATGTGACTCAAGGTCCTCGTGAAAAGAAAAAAAAAATCCGTCCTTTCTTGGTAATTTGGATCTGCCGATGAATCCTGTGAATTTTAGTATTAAAAGAACGAGACGGTTAGGCCTATTTAACATCATGATGCCATAACAAACTCGTGAGACCAATAAAAAAAAAATAAAACATTACCACCGGCTGGGTTCTTAAAAAAAACAAACAAACAAACAAAAAAAAACAAATAAGTTACATTTATCGTATATAGCCTATATAAGCCTATATGATATTCACTCCTTTGGGTGTGCTGGCTTTCATCATTTTTAGCTTTTTATCTTGTACTCTCTGAAGGGGGGAGGGGTCTTGAAAGAGCAGATTTGTGAAAATGATAAAAATGGATGACCCCTAAATCAGGGAGGTTTTTCTTTAATTTTTCTTCATCTATGTAACCTTCTATCCCAACGTTACACATGCCCCCTATCGTTACAAGCATGTCGCTGATATATTCACGGTGCTACAAAGGGGTATAGCTTTGTTTAATTAAAACATCTGACGAACTTGAATGATCCCAAGACACCTGCAACCTTATAGTCTGCGGATCCTGCGCACCTGCAAGTTAAACAATCCACTACAGTTGTCAAGATGAGTCAAGATCTTTATCGCCACCTATCGGCTCTCAATGTAACTATTTACGTTATTGAAAAACTTAAGTCCGAGAAAGGGAATATACCGAGATAACAAACGTTGGGTTACTAGTTCAACTCCAACTTGTGTGAAAAGAGTGCCATTTAATTATCTGTGTACATTGATAGAGACATTGTGAAAATGCTTACAGACTTTATAGACAAGGTTAACACTTGCAAGGCATGCTGGGAAGTATAGTGTTTTGGAAACATGGCGGATTATTGAATTCCTGGAGATGAAATATATGTCAGCCGTTCATTTGTTCAAAGTGAGGATGTTTTAGGGCTATTTAAACCAGTGCTGTAGGTGAGTGACAGGAGAATTTATTCTCTTGGTTTGATGTACTGATATTTTGATGTCTTGGCACAGATGGTTAAATATCATCTTTTGAAGATTAGAAACAACGTTCGGAATTTGTCAGAGTCAGACTTTTGTGAAGCTGAGCCACTAATATAACAATCCATTGTCCAGTACAGTCAGAGGTACTGTAATCGCTGACTTTGGATTAAGTTCAGGTGAACATGTGTACTGCTCAGAACAATTTTGCTTTTATGACTTAATATTTTGTCATCCATATCATGCTTTTTTCACATTTATAATATAATTATATTTACAGTGTTTGCTACTGTTATGTACAGTTTCTGTGAGTGTGACAAAGTGCAATTCTAAATTAAGTGTACAGTTGACATAAAGTACATGCATTTACAGGGTGTTTTTTGTTTGTTTTGCCAGTCATAAAAATTGTGTTCAATATCAAGCCTCTAAAGTAAACTAGCGAGGAATGTTCCCAGCTTTGAATACCAGAACCTCTGAGCATCACTTTTTAGGGTTCTCTCTTTAGGTTCATACCACCCCATTCCCCTGCATCATTACTTCCCCACATCATTTCACCCCTAGCAAAATGATGTTGTTACCCACATTGATTCCCCTCCCTCCACCTGCACCGTTACCTTGCTTCTTTGGTATTTGAATGATGTTTCAAATAATAATAATGATAATATTGATTAAATGATGTTTCAAATAATAATAATAATAATGATAATAGACTAGAAATAATTTTTAAAAAAATAAAAATCATATTCCCAGACAGTTATTTACAGCAAGGTTTATAAATAAGAATTGTATTTTATTTGTTGCATTTTTGCTGGTGTGGTCTAAGTAACAATGCAGGGAAGTACCAGTAATGTTGTGGGATAGTATCAGTCCAGGGATGTAATTTTACAAAACCCATCTTTTGCTGTCATATTAGAATATATCTTGTCATTTAATACAGTCTGAACAACAGTTGTATGCCCATCATTAAGACGTTTCCTTTTTCTGGATATTCTTATTTTAACATGCAGTCTTAAAAGAAGTCAGAATGTGACATAATGGAAGTGCTGAATGTGGTTTAATCAAGTGACTGTCCCCAGTTATCTTTTTGAATCATTCATCATAGTTTGAATCATAAAGATTGTTTTTTGTTAAATGATGTTTTTACCCCTAATCCCATATTCATTTTTCTTTGCACCTCCTCCTTTCTCAATTTCTTTTTTAGTAATAGCCATTTTAAATGCTACATTTCCAGTCTCCTGTATTTCATCATAGATAAAGTTCACAGTCTTGCAATTTGTACCATGTTTGATACTGTTGATTTAAAGCTTCACCAGAATTCAAACCAAGGGTATTCATTTTTGCTATGGATGGAAATTTGACTTTTTAAAATTATTAATGTTTTTGTTTTTACTAAAAGTATAATACATATGTAGCTCAAGTTTGGCAG